CTTCTTCTTACTCTTCTTCCCCTTTGCCTTTCCTTTACTCTTCTTACCTGACAACTCCTCCCCTAGCAACTCAGCCGCATGCCTACTGGCCTCCATCTCCCTTCTTCTCCTCCTCTCATCAACAACCCGAACAACCTTTTCAACATACTTAGAATCTATCTCCCTTCCATCCTTCCCCAGCATCATCTGCCTAACTATCTCTTCCATAACTTCACACCCGTGCTTATCATACGTGTCTAGAACTAACTTGGTGTCAACAATACTGTATTCCATATATCCTCTCTTATTGAACTCCTCCTTACTAAGTTCCACTTTCTCGAGAAATTTTCTCATACATCCTTCAGCCAGCAGCCCCAAAAGCTCCTCCTCAGGAAGCTTACTATACAGACTCAAAGATGCATCACACACTATACTCTCTGCATCCACTATTTGCTTCCATCTTTCTATATCACAGCATTTCTCTCCACGTTCTCTTACTATGCAACAGAAACTTTTCATTCTATCTTTTGATTCTTCATCCATAGCATCAGATACCTTCCCCATTACATCATCAGCCTCAGCAATAAGACACCTTCCAAACACCGACATCCTTCTTCTCTCGTTACTTTCATTACACTCAAATAGCCTATCGTATACCATCAGTAATACTTCGCTAAACGTGTTTCTCCCTCTTACATACACACTTAATGCATCCTCAGATACTTTCTTCATATGTCTTCTCATCCTCTTTCAAACATCGCCCCAAGCCGAACGTTATCTCTACAGTATGCATTATAATATGTAAATGATAATACTACATCTGCAATACAGCCCATAAACCCTTTGATATACGATTCCTCATCCGTGACTTTCTTCACATCTTTGAATCTTGTGTTCGGCAGCACAACAGCATTAGCTCCAAAGAAGACTAGTGGAAACACTACAGCCTTTTCCGAGCTTTTTAACTCAACAGTCCCGATGTTCTCTACAGGTAGGGACCAAATTCTGTCAAGCAGGATGAGTGTTTCCAGTACAAGCAATCTCATCGGTCCTTCTTACCAGCCATACTCCCCTTTTATTATACTTTCCCTTCTGCAATTCTATTCGCCAGTCGCCTCCTTTAACCCACAGCACAGAGCTTGCCGTAGCAAAGAGCAGGTGAGGATGCACCACACCCATATCCTTGAACACATATCACCGCATACCCCAAGATACACTATAACATAACAACTTGTAGAATATATCTGTCTTTATTAATATTAATATTTGCTCGACTAGTCGCCCATTCAAGTCACAGTGGTCTAACACTACAGCTTGTTCGAATCAATGGGCATCAGAATTTTCGTATGGCTTCAATTGCGACAGATTATCATATGTTAGAATAACCAAGGATACTGCAGTACTGACTACAACTGTCGTCACAAATACTGCAGAAGAGACCATCTTATTGATTGCTCTCCCTTTCATAATAGATGCAAGTAATAGAGGCAGCGCAAATACACACATCCCGGCATACATCCTATGGTTACGTAGGTCTATCATGGGAATGAAGTATTTCTTAGGACTAGTAAGATACCCTGCAACCACTATGATGTTTCCAGCTATAATCATTGCTACCTGCCCCCATGACATATCTTTCTTGCAAAGGTGTTGCAAGCATAACACCACAGTACAAATCGCTAACATCCCAAAACTCTGTGCACCCATATCCATAGGTACAGTACCGTTCTTGGCAATCTTGGCAATATTCATAAGCCCAACAGCCACAGGTATCATACTCGCAATCTCAACCCATTTCTCCTTCAGAACATCCTTGATTTCACCACCAGAACGATCCTTCATAACCATCCACAGTAGATATCCTAGCGTTCCAACAGCTGCCAGTGTGTAGAGCGCCACATTCCATGACTTTCCCAACGTTGTATTCTCGTATTCCCAGAGAAATACATGGGCCATCAATAAAAAGAAGAATCCACTAACTGTGTTTTGAACAAACTTATCACTTAATAACTGACCATGATCCTTACTTGATGTCTGCTGAACAGTTGAATCATCTAGTTGCTTTGCTGGTCCAGGTTGGGCTTGCATGGAATCTTGCATCACTTACCTTATATACTTAGCAATTTGCTGCATTTGTCTATTTTACTCCAGACCACTAAAGCAGTGTCTTCGAACATATCACTTATACAGTATCATTCTAGCAGCCAATCATTGCTAAAGGGTGAACCCAAATAGAGTATGCAAAAGTAACATGGACTGCTGTATCGCCTACATTGAGAGGCACTCATCACCATCCCAGTCTATGTATAAGGTAAGACGCTTCATCCTTATCTTTTTTATCTCACTGATCTACATGCTTCCTGTATCTATTTCATCACCCCACTATCCATCAATGAGATGGAAGGATGCACCATAGTACAATTATTAGAATATCCACCAAATGGAACATCGTGAAGCAATAGACTAAATAACAAACCACTACTTATCATTTAATTATTAGGCAATATCAAACCCTCGTATGATACGACAATAGTAGCATAGATGGCCTCACTGAGAGGCTTGTGGCGAACCTGACTGCACATCTCTCATCTCATTGAATCCAACCTCCATACTCAGCATCACCATAGCATTGGATGTCCTAAATGATGCCTCAGCCGCGTCGGTTATGAGGCCCTTTAGCTCTTCAAAACTACTCTCGCTATTCTCAACCGCCTCCCTGAGCCTCTCGAGTTTCTCTTGAAGCACCTCATTCTCAGAAACCAACGCCTCGTATAGCTCCTGTCCCTTCTCACTTGGATGTTCATCCAAGCATCTTTTCATGGACTCTGTCAGCCCAAGGCTATATAAATTCACAACAGACTTGTAGAATTTCTCACCTCTCTCCCTCATGTCTTTGCATCTCTCTTCTGCTACCTTGATCTCCTTGTTTACACTGGGAGACACACATTCTCCTTCACAGACAAGAGGATTCTCTCCCCTCAGTCCTCCCAAAAGCCCAATCATTCCAATAACACTTACTGCAAGCATTGCCTTCCACTTTCCGCTCTATTTATACATTTATTCCCAATTATTCCGGATATGGAAATTTCATTCCGCACTTCATTAACAACTCGTACTCATTCCACGTCATCAATTCCAGGTCTTGCTAGCTGTGACAGGAGCACGTCGTTTCCGAACATCCTCCCGAGCTCCTCCCACCCCATCCACTCGGCATCACTCTCCTTCACAAGGTCGTTCCCCCGAAGGTCAATCAGCTCCAGCCTCCTGTTGTCAAACAGGATGTCTGCAACCTTCCGCCTTACCCTGCGTATCTTGTTGTTCCGAAGGTCGAGCCTTTCGAGGCACCTCATCCTCCCTATCACCTCCGGTATCTCCTCAAAAAGATTGTTCCGGAGGCTCAGCTTCTCAAGGGAGCGGAACCCTGCAAATGTATCCGGTATCGTGCACAGCTCGTTTCCGTCTGCATACACCTCCCCGAGATACAACAGCCCACTCATCTTCGCAGGCAGCCTCTGGAGGCTGTTGTTACTCACATCAAGCCTCTTCAGGTACTGCAGGTGCTCAATCTCCACAGGCAGCCACCTGATGCTGTTGTTGCTTACATCAAGCATCCGGAGCTTTTTTACATTTCCGATCTCCGGAGGCAAAGACGAGATCTGGTTGTCATTCATGTAGAGCCTTAGCAGGTTCTCCAGCTTTCCTATCTCAGGAGGTACAGAGCATATCTTGTTTTTCTGGATATTGACCTCCACCAAGTACGAGGTCGACGACACCTCAAATATCTCCTCGGGAAACTCGGTGAGGCCCTGGTCACTGTAGTCGAGCACCCTTGGCCAGTACTTGCTGTCTTTTTCAATGAATGAAGATAGGTCAAAATCGCACCTAGCAAATCCTCCCAGAATCAGCCTTGCAATAATCATCCCAGGGTACTTCACTCATCTCACTCAGCAGTCATTATATACCGCCAAGTGACATGAATTAACAAAACAAATAAAAAGCTCTCAGAATCACACCTGCCATAGGCACTCAATATATTAAACGGAAAGATTATATTCTGATTGGCGCATGCATCCCAGCACACACTGAAAGCCCGCATATTCGCAAGGTCTAATAAAACTTTTATCCCAGGAACTGTCTCCTCTTGAAGCACACGTCCTGCCCAAATGCTAACGTAGAGGGCACCTGGCAGAACACAGGAGCTCGTGCCCCACCAGCCAAAGCCCCTGATGCAACTACCCAAGCTCACTCGGTGTCCCTGTTTAGATTGTTTTCATACGAAATCCCGTAAACCGATATCTTCCTCCTGTCATCGCTTGGCTTCTGCTTCTTACTGGGAAGAATCACACCAGTTGTGGACATGTGCCTTATGCTTTTACTCGACGGAAGAGTGCTCTGCTGCACTCCGTTCCTGCTCGAGGGTGCCCTGCAGAGGTCTCCCCCACGGTCCTTGATCTTGAGATACGAGTGGGCCGACAACGACCTAGCATCCGGCCTCACCAGGTGGCTAGGCTCCAATGCCCTCAGCAAAAACTCTATGAATACATCGTCATCCTCCTGCATGTTATCCTTCGACCTTATCGCCTTCTTCATGTCCTCTAAGGTAAAGCTGGATGGCTGTCCCACGAATCTGTATCCGTTTTCCTTCTCAAAGAAGACACTCGAGTTCTTTCCATGCTCTATCATGAACATAGGGAGCGACCCAAACAGCCCGTAGATCCTTCCTATTTGGTCTGTGTTATCCTTTCCCGGAAACAACGGGTGCCCAACATACAGCTCGTATCCTATGCACCCAAGAGACCATACATCACAGCTTGATCCATACGGAATCCCAAGGATGACTTCAGGTGCACGATAATATCTCGATTGAACATAAAAGTGTGATCCCTGGGGAGAGGTAACTGCTGACCCAAAGTCAATTATCTTCACCTTGAAAGTGTCATAATCAGCTATGAGAATATTCTCTGGCTTTAAGTCGCAATGGATGATTCCTAGTATTGAAAGCTGGATCATTCCTTCAAGTACTTGCTGAAGTATAGTTCTAACCGTAGAATGATCCAGGCCCTTAAATCTTGTCATTTTCAAGAATGTGTAAAGATTTCTTCCAAGTAACTCTTCTACAATGCATAGATGTTGTTTATACATGAATACATCCTTAATGGCTACAAATCTGTCATTTAAGTTGTTGTAAAGCAGCTTATGAAGAATTCTAACTTCGTTCATTTCGTAGTTATAATACTTTGGCTGATTCTTCACCACCTTAATTGCAACTTCTTCGCCATCAGGTCCGACACACCTAACCACCTGACCGAAGGTCCCCGTCCCTAGCATACCAATGACCATGTATTTCTGGTTTTTGTTTTTTGACAGATAATCTCCTCTAGCCATTACAAGATCAAACTCTGCGTTGTCTGGAGACAGGCCTACCTTCTCAGATGGAAAAGTCAAAACTTTTTTGTCCATCTTTCGGCTTTAAAGGATAGCTCCAATAAATTTTAAATGTTTAATTATTTTTAATTTTTGCAATGATATGCAAATATTTATCTATTTTATATCTCTGCAGTGCTTTCGGGACGCTATGCACCTTTTGAAAGGTCAAACAACTTTCTACAGGATACTCTATTAATAATGCCTACAAGGGATAAAGAGTTTATTTTAATTGAACATCTTATCATTTTTGCACATGATCTCTACACATTCATCTGAGTTAAACCTTATAGGGCATATCAAGCTCTCGATCTCCTCTGATGTGATTTTGAGATTTCCCTTTCTAGAGTTCTTGGCTTTTTCTGTGGCCAAAACCAATTTTTTAATCATTTGGGATGAGGTAATTGAGACAATTTTAGCCTTAAAAGAAAAAAATTACCCCTTCGTGTCCTTACGCAGGAGGTCTCTATCAATGACGTTTATACGGAGATAGAGAGATTGCTAGATTGGAAATCCAAACCATTGCAATGCTGAGTCTTATGTCTTTCGTGGCATAAGCCCCTCTCATGTTTGGTGGGAGGTGTTATTTTTTGGCATAGGCCTTTTAGGGCCTTTATTTGAATAATGTTTTTAACTCTATCCAGCGTCTTCGCGCATTTCCTCGAGAATAGCACTCATCGAAACAGGGTGTTTAATGGAATTTTTTCGAAAGTCTATTTCCTTTTTGAAGAAATCCTAGGGCCCATGTAAAGAGATTCGGAGTCAGCAATATACTTAATCCTGTAAGTCCCAGGACTCAATTGTATTTTCATATTTTGCTTTAAACAACCTGTTATTGGTGGCTTCTTACAAGTTCTCGGTAGGAACGCGGCATCGGAAATTAGTACGCCCTCGCAGGGAGTCAGCGTTTCAAACTTTTCGATATAGTCATCCCACGCCTCGTCTTCTTTAGGGCCTATAACACCAATCTCAATAAGATTCTTAGTTTTTTTGAAGCAATAGAGAATCTCACCAGAGTCAAATTCGCTTATTCCATGAAGAGAATCAAATGATTGCTTATTTTCGATCAGGGCTATGACCTGCTTTTCTATCTTAGAGATCATTTTTTTTATGTTGTAAAGCTTGAATCCTTTACAGTCAGTAAGTTCCCTAATTCTATCCTCAAAGGCATATCCATCAATGTTCTTTTTCATAAATTCAAGGCATGAGTTCTTTACTTCAAGGTACTTGGAGGCGGTTGGCTGTTCTAGCTCCGATTTGGACAGATCTGCCTTCTTAATTTCTAGTAGTCTCTCATATACTATAATTGAAAACCTAAAAATGCAAAAAAGAGGGAAATCAGAAACAATGGCAAACTCGTCCATTATGAATTTTTTGAAGATGGTCTCCAAAGCTGAATTCATGTTAGATACAAGCGCCTTCTTTCCATCTGTCTGATTGGCCTTTATGTGTGCTTTGCAAAGATCCATGACGTCTTCGATCACATCCTGGTCGTCTATCAAAACTCTCAATCCTTTTTCTCCTGTCTCTACGATATTCTTTGTGGTGAAAATGGTTTTTTCTGAAGACTTATATGATGGCCCCTCAACATCCAATGCTTTGTGATAATTTCTTTCCACAACTTCTCTCCATATCTTTTTCTTCTCTCTCATGCAAAGTCTAAGCTTCTTGTTCACCATATAAAGTCTTTTAATTACAATCGGTATGGCTATATGGGGCTTCATCAGAATTCCTTCAAGTATCTCTGGTGCAGACTTGTCATAAATGCTTTTCAAAATTTCCTTTATGATACCTGGAGACATTTTTATATCTCTCATACTAATTTCTGAGTCTTTGTTGAGACTGATTATTTGCTCTAGAGAATTTATGAAATATTGAATTCTTTCAATTGCCAAATCTGCCTCTGACCTTTCGTCCTCAATTCTAAACAATGCTTCTTCATGCACATTGCGTTTCAAGAACACGTAATTTGAATCTTCAGACTCAAAAGTTGGGCATCCTATACATGTGAAATTCAATACTTCCCTGGATATGGGATCTTGCCTTTCACTTCTTAATTCTTCAGGAAGAATTCTGTAAGATCCTTCCTTTCTATATTTTTCAAGGTTTCTTGGAGTCTCTCTCAGGGGCTCCTTATAGTTGATAAAGGATTTGAATCCTTTTATGAGCTCTTCATTCCTTAGAAGAGGCGCCATTAGCTCCAAAAGATCCTTTTCGTTGATAAACTTCTGGTTGAAATAGTTTATACACTTCAAAAAATCATCAAGGAGATTCTTACTCTTCAGAAGCTCTTTGATCCTTTGAAGGACGTTTCTTTCATCGTGTACTATATACCTTCTTGCAGGTACAAAATTTCTTTCAAAGTCTTCGCATAGATCGGGGCTTTCCCACAACAGGCTGTTTACTTCTGCCTTCATTTTCTCAAACAATCCATTTTTTACTTGATGTGATTGAAGAATTTCTACAAAAGACCTATAGATGCTAGGATTGTGGGAGTAGCGTTTTTTGACTCTCTGAATAAAATCTTGTGCTTGTCTTGCCTTCATTCTTTCAAAATCCTCTCCTCTTCTTTGCTCGTATGGCATATACTTTCCGCCTTGCCCTGTTACTTTCACAGATGAATGCATAACAGGGGGTTGACTTACATAACTTTGATGAATCCCACAATGAGGGTTCATATGTGGTGGTGGATTCATTCCTAATTGAGGATTAGGTATTCTTCCTCCAGGCCCGTATAAACCTCCTCGGTATTGCGGAGAAGATCCAATAGACGGGCCAGGCCTATCAGGTAGTTGAGATGTAGAGCCAACCACAGAAGAGGATGTTCCGTAAAACTTCAAATGAGCAGGCAAATAATCATTAAATGTTTCTATAAGATGAGCCTTATCTCGGAACAAAACCCTTACAGCCCTACAGACCTCCTCTGCATCAATTTTTCCAAACTTAAAATCCCTCATTGTTTCCAGAAAGTTGTCGTAGGTCACCATATCATTTGCATACTCTTCTTTGATTTTGTTTAAAAACATCATTGCATCACTCAGGTCTGCATCTTCATGAGACGTTCTGGGCGGTGGGGATCTTGCCAATCCTCTAGAATGGTATCCATTATCCAGTCCAGAATCCCCGACTTTTCCTATCATGTTAGAAGGCATATGCCCCATGTCGGAATAATATCCTCTGGCTGTGTTCCTCACATCAACTTGAGGCCCGTACCTTGGAGTGCTCTCCTCATGAGAATACTCCTTCCCCTCGGGATAATACCTTTTTCTTGCATTCCTAATGTCCTGCCACTGTTCACTTTCTTGATTCACAAGATCTTTTTCGTAATCTTTCGGCATAGAAGGGGTGCTTTTTTCCACCAATTTGTTTTAGCCTATTTCACCTAGATCTCTGTGCTCATTTAGGTAGCGGATATAGTATATAATGCTCAAAATCGTATCTTAGAAGACTCACTTTATCAAAAGAATTTGTTTCTCTCCATTCCACCGCCTACATCCTTTGCAAATGTCAAAAATAAACCATCATCACAATTAAATGAATAAATTACATTGAAAAAAGTTAATATTATATAAGGTTCTAATTCAGGCATATCATTTACTTTATGTCCAATTATACTAATGAAGAAACTCTACCTCGATATCGTCATATCGGTTATCTCCCTCCTTGTTTAGAAACAGAAGCTCAAAGCACTTCTTGCAGATAAACTTTTTCTTTTCCGGGAGGATAGGATCATTAACCATCTTCAGTACTGCATTGTTTTTTAGACAGCATTTGCATAATTGGGCTCTTCCATGCAGATGTTTTACAGACATATACGGACTCGTGCTTTTATGTGAAAAAAATGTCTTTACAATTTGAATCGACTTCAGAAACCTTCCGTCATGAAAATATATTTCCTTTGATATGTCTTTTATGCATTTATCAATTCTAATGTCCCATTTCTTGATATTAAATACTTTCAATTGAAATACCATTGTGGCAAATTTTATAGAGCTATCATCAGTGCTTTGAAGATAGATTGTTTTTCCTATGGCAAAAAACACCTTGCTTGACAGGCCGTCACTTCCAACTAGAAACCTGGCTATTTCAGAAAGATGTATGTCACCGGACATAGTAATTCTTGCCACAACCTCTCCCCCTAGAAAGCATTCTGCCTCATAATAAATGTTGCTAGCAGTATCCAGTTCAATGGGTGCATTATGCTTGCCAATCACAGAGTTGTTCTTGCATGTGGATTCATTACCAAACTCGCCTACAAACTCCTTAGGATACAGTATTCTATGATTTGTTGAAAAAGTGTGATCCCAGCCCACCGAGTATGTTCTTTCTGCTATTACTAAGCTGCGTGTTTTTTTATGGCTCGTTCTTCTTCTTTCTTCATCTTCACCTTCTGGAAGTACTTCTAAAGCTCTTCGAACTCTATCTATATAATTTTTCTCCATAAGGTAGGGCTTAAATAAGAAATGATCGTAAGAGCTATAAACCACGAAAACCTCTACATAGATGGCGATTTTAAGGATATAGAGGATTTAAAGGCTAAGATAGCCTTGAAGTATGGCATACCTACCTCCTCTCAGTCAATAATATTTAATGGAAGGCTCTACGTATTGGGCATATTTGACTTTCCATTAGAAAGTCATTCCGACACATATGAAAACCCTCTAGGATGTTTTGGATGCCCAGATACCATTTTTAATGATTTTGCATCTAGTGGGATGACCATCAATGAAATTAGAGCCCATGCGTTTCCTCATAAGGAAGACCTAAAAGAAGAGATCTTGCCACTGCCGAAAGCCATAGACATCAAATCCATAGCAAAAAAAGTTGTTGAAGGACAGTATGAGGAAATCTCAAAAATACCTGAGGGTCTGGAAGAAGAAGAAAAGGCTGCGATTATGGAAAATCTTGGAGAGTATATTGATTTGATTTTAAAACAAGCTAATGATTCCACTTCTCTTGATACTATATGCTGGGGTTATACAGTGACGAGATAGCAAAGGATACAATCGTCTCGTGCAGCAATCCACTAGGAAGACTCGGCTCAAGAAAACCTTTTGGTAAATAGATTTTCCTGGAGGGCTTTGCTATTATTCTTGGGAGTTCATCTGGATCAAAATAATCGGCAACAACGCTGATCTTTTGTATCTTGCTTTCCCCCTCCTTCAAATTTTGGCTTTGCCTCTTTCTAGTATGAAGAGCGCTCTTGCCAGAAATAATTTTTGGTGCAGGATTAAGAACAGATCTCTCTCCCATATCCTGTATCTCTTTTATTTTCTCCTTTACAAGAGATTCACTTCTCATATCCAGAACTTCAAACACAAGCTCTTCAAATTTCTCAAGATAATCATTGTACTTCACAACATCACCGCCAAATTCCTCCTCTTCCCTCTTGAAAGCCCTCAGAAGGACTCTTCGTATTTTGCATTCTTTTTCAACTGTTATGTCTTCGAATGTTGGCTTAATGTAGTTCACCTTTCTTAGCATTGTCCCACATTCGGGACAAGGCGCCTGTCCCCTGTTAAATATCCTAAACATACAAGACTCGCACACTTTGTGGAAACAAGGACTTATGTATATGACTATGTCCGGATTCAAATAAATATCACTTTTACACACTGGGCATCGCCTTTCCTCCATCCAGGGTAAAAATAGAGAGACTATTTATCATAAGCATGTTCACAAATGTAGTATAAATTTTATTCAAGCTCCATACTCCTCTAACCTTATCTTTTCAAGTAAAAGATCATCTCCCGAGCCAGATCTTCTAACACTTCCGCTTATATCGTAAATCGTCGACTCCCCAGTGACTTGGCCATACTGATCCAGTACTGCCAATACAATCTGCACGGATCCCTTGTCAGAGGATGGAATCGGCGTTTTCCCCAATGAGCAAATTCTTCTTTCAAAAACCATTTTAGGGTTCCAACATTTTTAATATTTTAAGCAATTTTGAACAGAACAATAACTCACAAATGTGCTTGAAAATACCCTCTATAGTTGCTATTTCTTTGTCCCCATCTCGCTAGATATCATACAAAAGTCCATCTTCAGGGAGGTTCCCCCAATTAGGAATCCATCAACTTCTTCTACGTCGAGAATCGCCTGACAGTTAAGCATCGAGACAGATCCTCCATATATTACACGCCCATTAAACTTCATGTCTTTACCCCACTTCTTTATATTTGAAACTATCTCCTTAATCTGGGCATTAGTGGGAACTTTTCCTGTTCCTATTGCCCACACAGGTTCATATGCAATATCAATGTCTTCCCCACACATCTCCTCTCTTAGCGAAAGTAACTGATTCCTTAATTCGTCTAGATACTTTCCATCCTCTCTACACTCTTCATCCTCTCCTATACATAAAATGATGTTCAAACCTTCACTCCTGGCATTTCTTATCTTTTCCAATATAACCGCTGAAGTTTCCCCAAACCACTTACGCCTTTCAGAGTGACCTATTATTATATACTCAGCACCCATTTCCTTTACCATTGCTGCAGAGACTTCACCTGTATACGGCCCATTTCTGAACCGACTACAGTCTTGCGCCCCAACCTTGATGTATTCTGGAAATTTCATTCTTGCTGTGTGGATATAGGGAAATGGAACTGCTATGAACACGTCGTTCCCGTCAAAGAAGTTCTTTTTGAAGTTTTTGACTATATCGAAAGTCTGTAACGACGAGCTCATTTTCCAATTTCCTCCAAGGAGTTTATTTTTCTTCATCTCTAGGCCTCACTGGATAAACAAATTAGAGTAAATTATAATCACACGTCAACAGGACATACATCAAGGAGCTTCTTATATTTATGCAGCAGGATGGAATATTTATGGCTCTCTTTTCCAGGCTCCAACTCTTTGAATAGAATATAAAATTTTTAAAACCTAGTCCCAAAATGGAGCAGATTCTGGACTTGGACAAGGATCTTAACATTGATATCTTTGACGAGGTTGTAATGAATGCAAACTGCCCAGATAACAGAAAAAAAGAGGAAGCCGAGAGGGTTCTGCTCAAGTTTAAGGAACTTCCAAACTCATGGACAAAGGTTGATTATATCTTGAACAATAGCAAGCTTCAGGAAAGCCATTATGTAGCGTTGCAACTGTTAGAAAGCATGATAAAGGTAAAGTGGTCTCTATTTGATGAGGGAATGAAGCAAGGGCTCAGAATGTATGTATTTCAGCTTGTCATTGAAAAATCCAAAGGTCGAGACAAAGGAAATTATGTCCTGCAGGAATTGAACACCATTCTTATTGAAATTGCAAAGAAGGACTGGCCCCGTCGATGGCCCAGTTTTATAACAGATCTTATCAGCGTGTCCCAGGGAATAAGCATGGAGGTATGCCGAAACAGTCTGAACATACTTAAAAGGCTTAATGAGGAGGTCTTCATCTTTTCTGAAGACAGCATTACGACTGTCAGAAAGAGGCTACTAAGGAATCAGCTTAAAGTTGAGTTTCCGCAGATATTTGGCTTCATAAAAACCATTCTCGAGTATTCCCGAAACACAGAAATGGATGAAAGTCTTCTAGAAGCAACACTAGAATCCTTCCAGTGCTTTTGTGGATCCATGCCACTTGACTTCATCTTTCTCACCGAAATAATCGATTTAGTCCTGGAGCATCTAAATTCCATGCACAGTGTTGCATGCCTCAGTTGCCTGATTGAGATTGTTGACCTAGGAAGGAACAGAAGTCTTTCCAGAAGCCATGAAATAGAGAATGCTGAGAAAGAAAAGATCCTTGTAATCCACAGGCAATGTGTTGAGTTTCTTAAGATGTACTTTAACAAGTTTCAAGAGGAAAGAATATACGAGGTGTATGGAGGAATGGACAAGTCCGAAAAAGTTTTTATCCTTAAGCTTGCGCAGCTTCTATCGTCCCTTTACGAGGTCTATATAAGCTTGCTTGAGGCAAGGGACATTACCAACACAAAGGTTGGGCTGGGATATCTTATACAAATATCTAAAATCAACAACTCAAATATTTTCTCTGTTGCATTTGAGATGTGGAATAAGTTTGTGTTTGATCTGTATTCTGAATTTCCATTCGCCAGCCAGGACTCCACAAAAAGGTTAAGGAGGTCGAACTATATCGGAATTTTGAACCAGCTGATGGGAACTCTTGTCGACAAGATGCCAAGGCCTGAGGAAGTATTTATTGTGGTCGACGAATACAACGAAGTAATAAGAAAAAAGATGACAGACACGGACCAGATAGAGTTCTATAGAAAGATGAGAGGATGCCTATATCATTTGGCATTCCTTATTGAGGAGGATATGAAGAAGTACTTTATAAGCAAGGTTGGGCTGCAGCTTGACGACAAAGAATGGGACTGCAACTACCTAAATAGACTATGCTGGGCTATTGGGTCTATATCAGGTGCATTTTCGGAAGTAAATGAAAGGGAGTTCTTTGTGAACATTCTTAAGCATCTGCTGGCATTATGCGAAATGAAGTCATTTAAAACAGACAAGGCGGTTATAGCTTCGAACATTATGTTCATAATCGGGCAATATCATCGATTTCTCCTTCACAACAAGAGTTTTTTGAAGACTGTTGTTAAAAAGCTCTTTGAGTTTATGGATGAGGACCATGAGGGAATCAAGGACATGGCATGTGATAACTTCTTTAAGATAGTGGAGAAGTGCCCCGTGGAGTTTTTAACGCAGAGGGAAAACGACGAGATCTTCATTGTCTATATACTGAAGAACTTGCCTGGAATTACAGCGACCTTAGAATTTTATCAGAAGAGAATTGTTTATGAAGCACTCCTGCTTGTCATAAAAGAAGTCCCTAAGACAAGGGACTACAAATCTAGGGTTCTGGGCTATGCGGATCTTCTCTTATCTTCTCTGCTAAACTTCAACATTCTTGCTGACGAGCACATAAACCGTCTTCCGAATATGATATCCAACGTGGAGGAGGCAAAAATGATTTCGCATGTCCTCAAGTCCCATTCGCTAACCTATAGATTGCTTCCTGAAACGTGTCCCTCTAGCTGTATTCAAATATTTCCGAAGTTCTTCAGGATCTTTGACATTTGCAACTCTATAATACTTGAAGGCAAGGAAGGAACTGCATTCAACAATGCCAAGGCAGTGAAGGCAGAGATTATCGAACTGTTTACTACGGTGATCGACTCAAAGTTTGTACAGGATGATTTTGTAAATATGGTCTGTGAGAAGGTCATTTTTGACTACAAGAACAATTCGATCTACAAGGAGCCTGCAATTCTTGCTCTGGGTTCAAGTATAGTGCGCAACGTGGAAAATGATGGGTCTGTTATATATCTGCAAAGGGAAGCGTTTATGATCTCTGCTTTGATAGAGCCATCTATTCCCTTTTTGATGCAAGCAGATGAGAATCTTGAGATATCGAAGAACTATCTTCTTCTTATAGAAAGCATGCTCCTGTTTTCGTTCAATTCGTTCTTTTCTTCCCTGTTTGGCCAGCCTTCGTTTCGCCAAGTATACAACACACTCCTCTATTCCTTAATATGCATAAGAGACGTTTCAGATTTGTCTCTGAACTGCCTAACTATAATCTTCAAGAAGTGCTACGAGCAGAAGATTTTCCAGTTTTACACCCAGAACTACATGTCCACTCTAGAAAATATTCTTGGAATAATATTTGACAGAGACATGAGGTACAATTTTGACCAGCAATGCCTTCTGCTTGCATTTATGATTCGTATAAGTAAGGATATTCCGAGCCTTGACGGTATCAACCCCAACTTCAACGTTCTTTCGGAATACATAGTTGGGCTATTTATGAAATCGTTTCCAAATATAACACAGGAGTCTGTTAAGGTATTTTCTGTCGGGCTATTTGAACTGTGCGGAGATGACGAGGTGTTTAAAGAGCATGTGGATGATTTTAGAGTCAAGGTTTATGAGTTTGGCACGGATGAAGATCTCCAAGAGGAGATTGACCTTAAGAACGAAAGAATTAGAAGATGTAAGAATTAAACCGGCCTACTGCTTTTAATGTGGTGTATTTGAAGGGCTTAGGAATCTATTCACAAACCATAAGAAGAATTACAGTTGATATAATTAATAGGCAGCAATAAATACTCGATCCAGAAAAGCAGATGTTACTAGCACTGTCTATTAGGTTGTCGATGTCCCCATTGTTATATATAACTTTCTGAGCAAGCTCAACCTTCCTTTCTATAGGTATTTGAAGGGCCAATCTCTCCTTGAAATAAGTTATTTTCCCTCCCCTCTCGATTTGAAGGTTCTTATCACAAGCAACTACTATCGTGTAAAAGTAGTGGTGAAGATCTAGCTCAAACAGTAATGGAATCTCGATGAATATAACTGAATGCCCTGCGAGAAGTAGACATATTATCCTCTTGGCCATCTTTGCATATAACTTTGGTCTTATCCTTTTCTCATGGGCTTTTCTGAATTTCGTATCAGTAAAGAACCTTTGGCGTAGGCTACTTATGTCTTCTCCTCCCAATATTTCATGAACCAGGTCATCAGTATTGATTGTTGCATGGCCTTTCGCCTCCAGGATATTTAATAGAGCCGTTTTCCCCATTCCTATACCTCCCGTTATGGCAATGATTCTCATGGCCTAAGGGTGTTCATATTGCATGAGTAAAATAAACGAATGTCCAGCAAAAGATCTAAGAAAATGCTTTAAAGCAAGTTTAGTACACCTCATTAATTACTTGATTCCTCTCTTGTCCTTGATTTTGTTCAATTTAAGTCTTTGAAAGTCCAAAATGACAGGCAGTCCTTTGACATCGCTCAGAGTGAGGTCTTCAATATTATTGATGTATGTCATTAGGATTTCCAATACCTGCACCTCTTCGTCATTTAGATCGTTGGGCTCAAGGCACATCATCGCCATGTACGTAAAGTTCTGATAGACGGACTTAAAGTCGTCCTTGGCTATTACCAGAACCCTTTCAAGAAGTGCAACAAGCATGGAAGATGCAAGATTTTCTAAGCAGGATATTTCTACATTAGAGACGAATGTCTCAAGATTAGACTCTGATCCCTTGATGGCAATTTCTGCAGCCTCTTCAATCAGCCCTTCAGAAATAAGTCCTTTGATTTCATTTTGCTTGTTGAAAGAGCTATGAAGCCCATCGACAGCTCTTTTAACATTTTTAAGGTGGTCTTCATTATGAATGAGTCTTATCTCATTTATCATCTGGATTCTAATTTCATCCATTGCTGCTTCGACCGCTGGAACGAGCGTACCAAGAATGATCTTCTTGACACAGTTCAAAACCTTAGACTCGTTAGATGTTTCACTTCTAAGCCGGGCCTCAAGGTTGTTCAATATCTCAACCATCCTGGGCAATTCTTCGGCCGAAAACACCTGTGTCCCTGATGTTTTCTTAGACTCATAGGACTTTTCAAGCATCTCTAATAATCTTTTGAACCGCTCACTGTTATCCCTTTCAATCTTACTCATCTTTTCTCCAATTTCTTTTTGGGCTCTTAGCACCATGTCTATCTTTTCATCTAGACGCCTTATTTCTTCAGAATCGTTTTTGTCCGGTATATATGGACTGAAGCTATCCACAGAAACATCTTCTTTTGAAAAAACATTTCCTTCCCCTGCCATCCTATGTCCTTCCTCGCCTGCATGGTTTCCTAATAATAAATTTGCATAAGGGGTATCGCTTCCAACTAGAAAGAGCTTGTCTGGGCTGGTATCATAACCATCTTCGGAGGACTCTATCTTTACATTACCTGTACCAGGCAAAGCACTTTCTACAATATCTCTATTTTTTTCAACTGAGCTATTCGATTCAACATTAAAGTCTTTTAAGACGGAGGAACTAGATTCTTTTGAAGACAGATCTTCACCCACTATTATTTCAGATATTCTTACAATATTTTCCTTCAAGTAAAGGCTTATACAGAGAGGACGCGTTTTCAAGTCAATTTCCTTTGCTATGCACAACTCCCCATTGCGCTCATTAACCAAATACAAAACCTCCTCAGAAACTATTCCAGTAATATTACCCAATGGAAACAAGTCGCTTGCACGTCCCGCTGCAGGAATCTTGAGCTGGCTGGCCACACAGTATTTTTCATCTAGTAAAAAGATGCAAGACTCTTTCTCCCTTCCATCCAAAACAAGGATCTTTCCTCCCATCTCACACATCTTGTCTCCTTGAACAGGCAGTTCCTTTCCATCTTCTCTACGAAATCTATATTCTGTATTCATAAACAGAGTTGAACTGGCATAGAATATATCAATGCTGGCCTTCGATTTGATTCCAGAAGTGCACATTCGCCCTCTAAGAACCCCATTGTCTTCCACAACCATGTTTATGTACGAGAGCTCGTTCTTGGTAGAAATGTAGAAAACCTTGTTTGACTGCTTGGTGACTTTCTGTACATTTCTTGAGATCACATACCGTTCTTCAGAAGGATATCCATTAACAAGCAACGAGTATTGAAGCTTGTTGGATGTATCTAAAGTTATGAAGTATAATTTATCTCCACTCCTGTGAAATATTGCTTTACGTAGAGGAAACGGAAGAAAAATGTACGGTGATGTCTGATTGGGATCAAACATCAGGTCTCTCCCATCGAAAGTACAGAAGTAATGGCCATCACTAGTATCTATAATGGGACATTCCGCGAACCTTGTGGGATCGGTTTTAACTACAAACTCATATTCTACTTGAATGCCGGGTTCAGACCTCTGCTCTTCGGGCATTTTCTGCTTGAGCAATTCCTTTAGGCCCTCGCTTGGCGTCCGTGATTTCCTCCTTACTACTTCCTCAATCATTCTATCCATAAGGGCTGTTCTCCTCTTCAGAAAAAAATCTTTTGTATAAATTGTGACTAGAGTTTCCTAGGCCAGAAATGCAGGTCTAGGATGTGCCACACTCCAAATCCTAAGTATAAATGGCCATAAACAATTGTGAAACTGTGGCTCTAAATGTTTGGACAAATTTAACAACAAATGTCAACAAGAGTAGATCCTCTGCTGGCCGCATTCATATCTTCCTTCCGCGAGTTACCCAGCTGCAAAAAAGAAAGTGCAATAATAAGAGAGAAGCGCAAGATGATTCCTTCAAACGGATCGGAGCCCTACATAAGGCACTCCAATGTACTGAAGTCTATATATATGAAGATGCTTTCCTATAAGGTCAATGAGATCGACTTCTTGAATGCATGTGAGTCTGACATTCTAAGGATAAAGACTGCAGGATACCTTGGGCTAATGGCTATGGAAGGCAATGAGCATGTTATCATGGCAATAAATACAATCATGAAAGACTTGAGAAAGAGAGAGACGAGAAACGATGCACTGACTTCGATCTGTAACCTTAGCAATGATGGACATGCTCTTTCTAACCTCATGGGACATGTTTGTCCAAATGGAAAAGGAGACCCATTTCATAAGAAAGCATTGGTAGCATTCTTTAGGCTGAATCCAGATGCAAGGGTCTCTGTTATAAGCCAAGACTCATCTGAAGTCTATGTCAAGTCCCAGATCATAGTGGATATCTTCAAGAAAACAGAGAGGATTGACCTTACTGAAAACGATATTCTATTTCTCCTTTCACTCTTTATGAAAAGCAGCGATCCCTTTCTTAAGATAAAGCTTCTGCAGATATTTGGAATACTCCACTCAAAAAATCAGCTTACTCCAGACAAAAGCCTTCTGGATTCAATTGAAGGAGCTATAATCCCACCCCAAGACAAAGTGCGCCTGCAAGCGGAAATAGCATTAGCCATTGAAGCTGCTGAATTCTTATTGAAGGTTGGCAAAGAAACCCCAAGGGTCGAGACATTCATTCTCAGACTTATTGAGTCGCAGAATCCCAACTCAAGGTACTTTGGGTTTAGAATGGTGAGAAAGTACAAGATTCATAGGAGCATAGCTATAGATTGCTGCATAAAACTTGGGCTTCATCGTGATCAATGCCTTGATACGCTTATTTCTCTTATAACAAGAAACAACCACAAGTCAATATATAGAAAGAGGGAGGAAATGATATTCTACATGGAAAAGAGAGGCGCTAGTAAACAAGCGATAAACACATCACTAGCAGCTGTGTTCTCAAAGCTCACACAGTATGTCAAAGACGAACTTTTGATAAAAATGTATCAGGAGATCCCAGAGGTATGCTTAAAGACTCCTCTTGACAAAAATATTCCAAAAGGATATGTGCTAAAGCTGTTCAAAAAAGTCTGTGTGACTGTTAACTGTAGGTATTTCCCTTTGATATACCAGCTCCTACAGCCAGGAATGGGGAACGAGGAGCTTTACACTGCTATATTTGAAAGGCACCTGAACATCTTGACTATAAAAAGAACCCGGGGCTGGGAAACCACTATCTTAGCAAAGCTCCTTGATTGCATGTTGAACTTTGGAGTACTATCTCGTAATCGGGACATTCTAGTTTCAAAATACAAGGAGGTTTTGAAAGAGAGAGACTCCTCAGACATACTTGATATGCTACTAAACACAATATACCTGCTCAATGCTAGGCTTGAAGACCGTACGATCCATATTACCTCAGAGCATTTCATTTACTTCGCCTTTTCTGGAAGCCACAGCGTAGAGCTTAGAATGGAACTGAGCCTAGAAGTAGAGTCTTTAACCAGCGGAGAGCTAGATATAGAGAAGACATATGAAAGGGTTTCTGACGGCATTAGGACCCTTGCCTACTATATAGAAAATGCTTCTGGGCTGAAGTTAAATGTTTCAGTGGGCAGCCAAACCTATGCACTAGACTTGGAAGTGTGAGCGCCATCCATGCCAGAAGCCCCAAATAAATGATTTCCTTGAGGTATTAGGGAAAAATAATAAGTTTATTAAAGAAGATGAACATAACACTAATACACGATCCTAAACAGCATAAGAAGCTCGGAGCCCAGGGCATGAAGGTCGTTGCCGTGTGCATCCTTAATTTTCTTCTTCAAACTCTGAGCTATTTCTTTTGATCTTCTCGGGAGATAAGGGCGGAACAAGTAGTTTTCCTTGATTATCAGATCCAGCAAAAAGTCAAGGGTTATCATTTTTAGGTCGTTTGGAAAAAAAAGAACGTACGGCTTGCCTATGCTTTTTTCCATTATCGCTAAAACAACAGGAAAGAGCTTGTCTCTAATCTGTTCCTTTATCTTTCCATCTTCCTCTAGTTTATTACTGTCCTCGTCGATGTCCATAGGCTCTACTCCAGTATAAATCTTCAGAATCTTAAGCTTAAGATCCTCGTATGCTGTGTTGTGTACAAGAACAGATTCGACGTTATAGCACTTGGACTTAAGATAAAAGGCCTTGTCATCCGTCAATATCACTGGATGGATCTGCTTAGATGCAAAATTCAAAATCTCATCGTCATTGTTCTTCGTATTTGGTATTAGCTTGGTGCAGTCCACGACATCCATTGAACTGTCTCTCAACCTCCCCTCTAGCTCTGTTATTGGTGCATTATACACTTTTTCAAGAAATCTTATGGCCTCTCTAGCCTCTATCATCTTCCCCTTGTTGTAATCCAGCTCCCTCAAAACAACTCTTGATATAGACATGATGACGTCCACGGGGAACTCGTCCTCGTAGAGCCTCTTAACAATATCCAAGTGCGATATAAAAACATTTGTGTCTGGAACGATTGAAATCCTCAGCATTAAAGGGTACCGAAACACAAAACAAAGAGCTTTCCAACATTTTTAAATTAGTTTCAAATACCTGTTTACAGCTTCTTGCATGTTTCTTGGCTTGTAGTTGATACAATGCCGTGGAAACCACAAAAAGGGCACTTGTCCCATGTAGATTTACAGCTTGATAGGTTATTGCAATTACTGCACTTGGCAATGTTTTTAGCCTCTTTTCCTGGATAAAAAGGCTCCATTTCGAGAAGGTGCTCGACTTTCTTGTTGATCGTAGACGTGTCTCCTATTGGCTTAGAGCATATAGGACATGTGTAGGTTTCTCTTATAAACTCATTGAAGCATCTTTCGTGTAAGGAATGCCCACATCTGAGGAGAACAAGAATCTCCACGCTTCCAAGCATGTCCTCTGCACATATAGGGCAATTTCCAGAGGTGGTATTTTCTACATGTGTATGGTTCTTTGATCCTGTAGCAACAAGGCACGTATGGCAGGCATCACAATGAAAAGAAGTCTTAGGATCTCCTCTTCTACAGACGTTGCATTTGTTGCAATGGAATATCTGGCTATCAGAGCTGTCCCATAGGTTGCACTTAGGGCAGAAGTACTTAGAGACTTCTACGAAACATTGAATGCATGAATGTGCTTTCTGCTGCAATAGGCTGCATCCCATGCACATCATTTGGTTAATTTCGTACCTGTTAGCCTTATGGCTCTCTGCCTTGTCATGGCATAGTCTGCATGGATACAGTTTTTTACAGCATTCAAATTTAACCAAGCAGTTATTTGAATAATGGCTGCAAGCCATGGCGGCCTCTATTTACACTTAAAGATTTATTCATGTCATGAGACGTGTTTTAGATGAAGCTAATACTAGTCTTCACCTAGGTAGAAATGAGTGGCTCCTTGGCCCTAAAATGGAGAAGTTTGAATTATTCGATTTGGGATTTGAGGGAACAACAATTAGAGATTGCCTAAGGTTTCGGAAAGAGAATATCAGCAACGCAATAGTTTTTGATGATAATGGCATTTATGGATCCACATATTGTGGATACTCTAGTTTGAGGAATAGTAAATATGTCAAGGATTGCATCCTAAACAAGGGAAGCGGTGAATCAAAGCTTTTACTTGAAGCATTTCCTGCAATATTCCGCCCCACAGACAAGCATATTGTGGAGCTCGAGAAAACAGGGATGATGGAGTTTCTTAGACTCATAAAGGTACAGAAACACTTTTATATTGACTCATCTGGGAAGGTGTACAAAATACCCTATACCAAAACCGAGGTTGCAGATTCGGATTTTCTGAGCCTTAAGGAAAAAAACTTAATTGGAAGTTTGTTTAAAGGTAGTCTGAGTCTTGAGGAGGTTTACAGAAAATTGTCCAGAAAAACAAGAGAGGTTCTTGTAAATGGAATCGCTGGTGAGAACAGAGATTGCTCAGAAAGAATATATAGATATGCAAGGAACTTTGGAAATGTTCCTTTTCTATATCCCGAATACGGCCTCAAGGAAATATCTGAAATGTTCTCAAGATGTAACTCGATGTGTGGTGCAGGATATGTTCTTGACAATACACTGGTAGTTACTGTCAGAGACGAGGGGTCATCAGATGCATTTTCCCTAAAGCAAAAAGATAGCGAAATAGTTCCATCAGAGTATATGTACAAAATCGACACTGCCTACGGTACGGTTTTTACGAAGAGCATTATAAAGGCCGAGCACAAGGAACAAGTGAGTTACATAAGAGCCGTTAATACCAGAAGGCCTATACTTGGAAAAACCTTTTTTGCATTTGTGCAAAGGAAGTCTGTAATGAAGGTAATTGGATTAAATTCAGACACCGAATGCTGTCCAGAAGGAACTTATCTTACATACATCATTAAATCAGATAGCCCTGTCACAGAAGAAGACATGAAGCCTTTGGGAATAGAGGAGAAAGATGTAGTCGAGGATATTTCTTATCAAACAAAATTCTCATTTGAATTTGACTCCTTAGATATGTGATCCTTTCGAAGCAAAAACAAAGGTCTCAAAACACCAAGACCAATAAATTTGATTATATTCTACGGTTTATTCCAATCTTCTCTATGCTTGTTCAGCCAGATAAAATACTGCTGTTCATTTAGGGCCGAAAAAAAACTTTCCTCTTTCATTGTATCATTAATATCTTCACTATTTAGATGCTCCAAAATTGTCAAACACTGAGGATAAGTCAGAAACCTCGAGTATTCCGGATGTTTCCAGTATTCTAAGTATCTTAAATAGCTCCTAAACTCCTCGGATTCAAAATAACCTTGATGAAACAGCCATCTAAGATACTCGGGATTGCATAGAAGCTGCACAAATTCTAACTCCCTTTCAAATCTCGACCCGCTCATGGGGATATAAATCAGTCATTCAAGATGAAGCCTGGGAAGGATGTTCATGGACATGAGCTCTTGGAACAGAAGCTTGCATGCATAGGGCATCTTTATCTTTGTAGGATTCTTGTCCTTGCAGGCAACACAGCAACCTTTGAATGCAAGCACCCCGCATGATTTACACACGTAGGCCTCAAATACATCTGAAGATATCATCAGTCTTTCTGTAATCAGAGAAGATGCTCCATATCCTATCAAGCAATCACGCTCCATTTCTCCTAACTTTAAACCTCCGTCCTTACTTCTACCTTCTGTTGGCTGCCTAGTGAGTATTGCCCTAGGCCCTCGTGCCCTCATATGGATTTTATCTGCTACCATATGCTTAAGCCTTTGATAGAATACCGGTCCAAAGAATATATATGCAGTCAATGGTGCGCCCGTTGTTCCGCTTGTAAAGCAATCTTTTCCAGAATAGCTGAATCCATGTCTGGAGAGGATATTGCATGTTTCTTCAACAGAGTTTTCTTTGAATGCAGTGCTGTCGAAGATTTTCCCCTCCATCAAGCCAGCCTTACCAGAAATTAGCTCTATTATTTTTCCGACCGTCATTCTCGATGGAAATCCATGAGGATTCATGATGATATCTGGGACAATTCCTTGGTCATTGAAGGGCATATCCTCCTGTCTAACAATTAATCCTACAACACCCTTCTGACCGTGCCTACTGCTAAGCTTGTCCCCTATTTCTGGTGGTCTTGTCTGGCGCAGCATAGTTTTTATAAGCACCTGGTCTTGGGACTTTGTAATGAGTACCTTGTCAATATATGCAGGATCTCCTCTATGGACCTTCCCTGTAAACTTATATATGCCTTCCACAGGCGACATCTTATTCACATAAATGGTTCCGTCCTTCACCATCCTTCCAGGTTTTCCTAACCCATCCTCATCCAAAACACTCTCTTTGGGATTAGGCCAGAGAACATCAGACATGCCGCTACTATGCTTTTTCAACAAGGTCGTGGTTGTTTTATACACCTCTACCCTGAAAAGCCCTCTTTCAATCGATGTTTTGTTCAAGACAAGAGCATCTTCTATGTCATACCCGGAGTAGCTCATGACAGCAACCATAGCATTTTGCCCTGCAGGTATTTCATTGTAGTTGATAAGGTCGAGTATCTTTGTGGATACCATGGGCCTGTGCGTATATGTGAGCTGTAAAATAACAGGATCAAATCTCTTCTTGACATTTAGAGATATGTGACCGATGGCCTGCTTTCCCATTGCACATTGATATGTGTTTCTAGGACTTTGGTTGTGGTGGGGAAATGGCACTAGCCCCGCTACATATCCTAGAATTGCAAATTCAGAAATTTCAAGATGTGTTGTCTCTTCCACCATGTCCTCAGGCTTAAGTGCAACAAGGCAGTCATTCTCCTCGTTGACATCAAGATATTCAATAAAGCCCTCTTCCAATAGATCGGAAAACGACTTGTATTTGAGATAGCAGTCAAGAAAGGTCTTTCCTCTTTCCATCTCTGGCCTTTCTGAAATGTTTAAAACCTCAAAGCACTTATCAATCTCGTTTGACACTATCATCCTGTTTATCTTTTTCTTATCAATAACAATCAACGGGCGACACACCCTGCCATTGTCTGAGGCTATGTGGATAACCCTTTCTGTCATCACCTTGTAAATCGACACAAACTTCCCGACAAGTCCCTTTCTCCTGTGCAGCTTGAACTGCTCCACAAAAAAGTCTACCTTGTCGATTATTCCAATAATATCACCGTTGAGAAATACAGAAAACATTCCATTCTGGTGTATTTCCCTTGTATAGACAGAATTGATGTCCACAACACCGAGCTTGAATATTAAGTCCAGAACTGGCCTTACATCCGAATCAGTCGTTATTTCTGCAAGCAATGCAAGATTCTTCACAAGCCCACATGACTCTCCTTCAGGTGTGTCGACGGGGCAAAGCATGCCCCAGGATGACGTGTGGAGCGATCGGGGCCCACTTACTTTTCTTGTCTTTTCAAAGTGAGAGTTGATCTTCGTCATCATCCCCAATGCAGATATGTAAGAATGTCTTGACAAGACATGTGTAACTCCGCTTCTCTCCATTCTGAATCTTTTTAGATTCCAGTTTCCAGTTGAAATTGCTCTTGAGAGGGTGGACGTTATCATATTGGCTTGTAGGTTCAAAAATGTCAGTGCATCGAACTCCTGGGCTCTCGATCTCTTGCTTAATATCTTATCTATAGACTTCTTTAACTCAAAATTAAATCTTTTGAATGTGTCCTCAAAAAGAATTGACAGCAGCTGTCCTGCAAGCTCAAACCTTTTGTTTCCAACAAAGTCCTTATCATCCTCCTTAAGTATGTTGAGCCTTGTCTGTGTAAGCCTCCTAATCATCAGTGCTATGTAAATCCCCTTCTTTCTCAGGTTGCATCCCTCTACCTGAACATTTGGAAGCACTTTCTCGGACAATATGGTGAGGACTTCCTCTATTCTGTTGTCTTCGGGTCTTAGCTTTATATAGTTGCTTATGTAAAGAAGAGCCTGCTCCTTTGTAAACACCTCCTTCGATATGCACTCGCCAAAACTGGGAACCATAATATCAAAATACTCCTTTCCAACACACTCAGCTATTTCTTTGTCCTGGGTTAGCCCCAGAGCTTTCATCACTATCACCACAGGGATCTCTTCATTAAACATCGAGTTCTTCAAGTAATAGCAATCGTCTTTGATCGTTACCGATGTTTTGCTCTTATGCTCATCTGTGGAAGACGTAACAGAAGCAAACAGCCCCTTCGGTCCAGACTCTATGATGATCCTGTTCTTGGAAAGCTGTTCCTGTATCAATATTACTCTTTCGATTCCTCTGATAATAAAGTATCCTCCAACGTCCAAGGGACATTCTTGCGACTCCTTGATCTTCCTATCCTTCGCCCTGTTTCCCTCTATTGAGATTTTCGCTTCCTTTCTAAGGTGGCATCTGCTACTTCTCAACATGACTGGCATCTTTCCGATGCAAACATCTCTCTTAACAATTATCTGCCTGTTTCTAACATACTCTATGTCGACGTAAATATTTGCAGAGTACGTCATGTCCCTCAGCCTACACTCTATCGGAAACACGTTGTAATTAACCATGTTCTCCTCTACGCTTGGCATCCCAACACGGATGTCCAGATACTTGAGATAAAATGTATGATCAATGTCAGAGTCCACAATCTGATTTGCTCTTACAAGAGCCTTTATTTCATGATCCACAAAATAGTCATATGATTCTATGTGCTGTCTGACCAGTCCTTTTTCTTTGAAGAAAAGTTTTATAAGCTCGAGTCTCTGATCTTCCCTCATCCAGGATGAACGCTAAAAATTTTACTGGATATAGAAATTCTGCAGTATACGGGCTTGTATCTAACCCGTCACTTGATGTCTATTATAAGACGCAGGATATTTGTTTTGTAAACATAGGCCTGGAACATGCAGATAAAAGTTAAGACGATAGCTGGAAGAGATTTGGAGCTTAATGTCGACCCTGAAGAAACCGTCCTAGACCTGAAGCTGAAGATAGAAAGCATTGAGCTGATACCAGCAGAACAGCAAAGACTTGTAAGCAATGGAAGAATACTGATGAAAGAAAAAGACACGCTTTCTAGCCTAAACATAGTTTCTGGAAATGTTGTCCACATGGTGTTAGCCCTGAGGGGGGGATAGGATGCATATCGCTCTTCACAGTACTATAACAAGGCTCCGGATGCATAAACCTAAGTTTAACCAGACGAAGATTTATATAATAAAGTTGACTTGCAATAAAGAAGGCTTCTAGCAAAATCTTGGTGCAAGAGGGATTTGAACCCCCGCCTCAATGAGACTGGAGCCTAATTCCAGCGCCTTAGACCACTCGGCCATTGCACCTCTCCGTTACCCCAACAACGGGCAACTTGCGAACTACGTAACTTCCTATCTGCGGAGACATGACATTGCATTTCATAGAATGCCCTGTGCCATGACAGAGACAGCAGAAAATGCCTTGTGGATTTCCAAATTAGATTTGGAACAAGAACCTACAAATGGGGTATACTTCTCTCTTGACATTATGAGATGTAAGATATGTTTTGAGATTTTTTATGTGAAGTACCATGAGGATCATCCGTGTTTTTCGAAAGATATAGATAGCCAATGCAATCAAAAGATAGAAACAATTTCCTCTATGGAAAAAAGAGATGCAAATCAAAGTCTGGAAGAGGACCAGAAGGGCCTGACTGAACACATACGGAGGCATGCCTATCTTGAAGAAGCCCTTAATATAAAGCCTGTGGTCAACAAGATTTGGAGGTTTCCACACATATTGTTACTTGAAGAAAGAAAATACCTGTGGAAGTGGATGCATGAAAAGAAAGAAAATTGAAATCCTAATGCATCAAAAAAGCGGTGGGGTGTAGCCCATTATGGACAAAGCATTAGGCCAGCTGTCGGAGACATTAAGGCATCCGAGCGACTTGCAAACAAAACTTGAAAGCGTGGAGAGGTCCACGAGAGAGGCTTATGAAAACCATGACCAGAACCTTACGGAAATGATATCGAAGTGCTACTCGAGCATACTGAACATATCAAAGAGGATATATGGGCTAGAGGAGCACCTTAAGGACTTTGTCGAGAGTAAGGACAGGAATGTAAGGGTTCTGAAGGACTTTTTTTCTCTTGTGAAGGACTATAGATCTGTGAAGATGGTATGTTTAGCACATTCAAACCTATGCAAGGTGATTGAATTTTCAGATAGGTTGAAAGGAATAGAAGACTCTGTTGTGTCTGAAGACATTGTTGCATATCACACCAAAGTGTATGATGCGGAGGACTTTGGGTGCCAATTAGACATGTACAATTCTGACATATCCCACGACGACTATATTGAGATCAACAAGGCGCTGAACACGATTGAAAAGAACTCACTAGACTTCACTGCAAAGCTCCTCGAAATTTGTGAGGAGTTTATTGAGAACCATGAAGCCATGAGCAAGGTGGTCCAGATAGTTGAAAAGGAGGAGTCTCGGGATGAATTGACGAGAAAGGTCCAGGAAGGCGAAAAGAGTGACGATCCGGTGCTCAAGGAGCTCCATCGAATGTATAGGATGTATGCCTCTAGAAAGCCGAAGATGCTAAAGGATAAGGTGATTAAGTCCATCGAAGTGTCGGTCAAAAACAAGTTCGACAAGCTAAGAGATGAGGAAATATTTGTGAACAAGATGGACTTTGTGTTGAATGATTTAGCTTTTATCAAAGAGAACATAAGATTTAGCTTCTACTCGTTCGATAACATTCTGATGCTATACCACGATAATCTGAGGCTATTTCTTGATGAGAATACAGAGAGATTGGATGCCGGTGAAATACTAGCCATTGTCGAGTATGTCGGTAACTACTACGACACCATCGAGTCTAAGTTTAATAAGATAGCTGATGCACTAGGAAAAAGGCTTCTGAGCAACGAGACCGAGCTACTGGAGAAGTATACCAAGACAGCCCAGGACAAGCTGAAGGAATGGATTATGAACATTAACAGAATTGAGGTTGAAAAGTTCTATGCTAGGAACGAAGAGCTCTCGAGGGATGAAGAAGACAAGCTTATAAGCCCTGGGTTTGTTAGTCTTCTCCAAATAATTAGGATGCAGCTGGAGCCCATTGCATTCAACAAGAGGATCTTTGCTCACATAACAAGGACGATTACAAAATACTGCGAGGTGTTCAAACAGAATCTTGTTGAGGCCATGAGTAAGGATTTCAAGCCATCTTGCGAGATGAATAGCAAGGCAGGATACGAGGACTTTTGCATCATGTTTGGAAACAGCGGCCTCAAAATAGCCCAGTACATTACATCCCTGCCATCGTATCACAACGATGAAGTCAAAGAGCTGGGAGATATATTCATAGACATTTTGAAGGCCTCAAACACATTTCTATCTGAGTTCATCATATATGCATGCCAGCCTGCAATAGATAAGATATTCACCGAAGAGTGGTGTAGCGGAAACGTCACAAAGGTTGTGATTCTGACCTTGCAGGACTTTCTTTCTGACTACCAAAACACGATGAGCGAATACTCCTTCATCACATTTATCCATGAGCTTTCGACATCTGTAGTATTGGCCTATATGAAGCAATTAGGGAGAAAGCGGGCAACTGTGGCCTCGGAATGCAGCAAGATCCTGAAGTCTGACCATACAAAGTTGTGTGAGCTACTCAGCAGTTATGGAGATAAGGAAGATGTGAAGACCTGCCTTTCTCCCATTCTCAAGATCATTCCTCTAATGGAAACAAGAAACGACGATCTTTTCATTGTGGAGGTGAAGTCTTTGAAGCTCATATATCCTGACATGAGGAAGAGTTTCATCAAGACGATCATAAAGAAGAGACAGGACCTTACCGAGGATCAGAAGAAGGTATTTACAGACAGACTCAAGGAGTGCTTTGCTGACGAGGCAAGCAGGGAAAAGACAATCTTCTCTCGATTGCTCAATCTGTAAACAAGCAGAGAGAACTAAAGCGAACTGCATTTTATTTCTTTTCCTTATAAAGGTACTTCTTTAAAAAATTTCCTATTATTGTGTTTGGAGATGCTTTTCCTCTAACAAACAGGACCTCATCGTTCGCACTTAGGCTCAAGAAAAAACAAAACGGTGTTGTCCATACCAGTGCAAAGTAGAGTACAATCTCCGCTCCGTATATAGCAGGTTTGGAGAATATTAGCCTTATAACAAGGAAATGATTGAGAAGTGAAGCAATCGTCCCGTATATGAAGTATGGGTTATCCATCTTTACAAGAGGATATATATCCAGAAGGCAATAGAATGCATACTGTATCGACAGGCTAAAAAGAATTTGAAAGATGGAAACGCCCCTCATTAAAAGAATAATATGAAGTCCTGCCGATATCTGTATTATTGATTCTATGTGCTTCTTTGCAGCATATGCCTTATCCTCAATGTAATCTATGGCCTTTACAATGCCTATCCCAAGCCCTATAAGACCTCCTACTGACCCCAGAATCAGGATTAAACTTTTCAGAAAGACCGAGAGCATTTGATGGGGATGTTTTTCTAGGAATATAAGAATTACAAGCTTTCATGTGATACAAAACGAATCCAATTGAAGCCACATGAAACATTACGTGATGCATGCTTCAAAACAATCACCCAGGCAATCCTTAGATTCTACTAGAGATCTTAGATAAGAGATTAGAATCTTAGAAAACAAAATACTTGTTTAATCATATGACACTAAAAGTTAGCAGATGAGTTCCTCCCAATGAATATCGCATTCTCAATGGCCTTCTTGTCCTCTTGGCTTTCAATCCAGGGGCTGTATTCATTAGAGTTCTCTGGTGATTCCATTATTTTCATCTGATTCTCAAGAATGCTCCTTAAGAACCGATCAAACTCCTTTATAGAGTTTCTTTCAACGGTGTTCCTCAATCGCTCTACAGCGCCAATGCTCACACACATGTCCACTTCAATAACCAGCTTGATACAGCTGTCTTCAAGTTCTGTAGGCGTTACTGTTTCAATTGTGGTATAGAACATTTTCTTTTTCCCCTCTGACAGATAGTAAAGGAGTATATATGCTTTTATAAAGGCACTGTTCTTTGTAGATGGATTATAGGAAACATAGGGCCCAAAATACATTTCCACTGCTTTTGTGTTTCCTTTCTTTATTTCGCTAAGGCAAAGGGACTCCACTTCACTCAATTGTTTATTCATCTGCAAGGCTTAAAAACCAAGGTCTTTATTTCTAATAGAGCTGGGGCTTGAAGAACACCCCCTAGGAAAGCCTACTGGCAAATCAATGCGTAATAGAACCGTAGCCACCGCAGGATGCCAGTGACATTGGCGCAATAGGTAGCGCGCTGGTCTCATAATCCAGAGGTTGCGAGTTCGAGTCTCGCATGTCGCATTTTGCCAAACAATCAAAACCCACAACTTTATTAAATCCAGTATCGACACTACCCTGTCCTGAATGTGTCTCCCTCTTTAGCTATGAACCTCTTTCGCAATAGAAGGTCAACAAATATACTTATCTTCTCCCTCGATACTCCAGAAACCTCTTTGTAGATTTCCTCTATCGTGACATTGGACCCTCGGGAAATAGCTTCATATACCAGAAATAGGCCTTTTTCATTTCGAAACAGGGGGGGAAGCATGTCTGGGTTGAATGGAAGTATATCTTCAGAGGACTCCGACTCTTCATAGGGCTTGAAGGCTCTTTCCTCTGCTATCCTAACAAAGCTTGAGGATTCGTTTTCAACATTACTGGTATGAAACCTTGCGGAAAGGTCTCCCAGAAACGTCTTATTCAGCATCTCCGATGATGTGCTATCAACAAATGGATTTCTTGGGGACGAAAACTTCATTGACTCGGGACTTCCCTCTGTAACACATATGTTTTGAAAACTCGGGTCTTCTCCTATCTCTTGGCCGGCCTCAGAGTACGGCACTTCACTTTCTATACTGTCCTCAGACTCGACAGAAAAAAACTTCATCCATGGCTCTAGGTCCTTGCCGATCTTACGCCTATCCCTGCCTATTCTTTCGACAAACTCCCTGATGTTTTTCAGTGTTCTATTGATAGAGGAAAACGTGGTATCTATCTCTTCTACTGTATGGATTATCTCCTCTTCAATTTCGATCATCAGGGTGCAAGCAGCAGAAAAGAAATTAGTGCTAAGCGCTGCATCCCTTCTAACCTTGAGATTCTTCCAGCAAATGATACCAATGTTTCAGCAAGGGCCAGGTTCTAATAGATTCTAAATTCCAAACTGTTTTGCTGCTTTCCAATTGTTCCTCAAAATATAGGAAACAAGTGGCACAAGCTTCACAACTTATCTGATTTTTTGCATAAATTTCTCTGGAAATAATTTCGGAATGGACAAGCTTCACTCGTTCTTTGGCAGGAAAATGTCTAGGGAAGCTGACAAGATACTCCTTGGAGTAGGGAGGGAGAAAGACGAAGAGCTTGGCCTGAAAATGCATATCGAAAACTCGGAAATAGATGTAAATTCCCTTTCTGTCTCTGCATTCTGTTACGAGTTCGGGATTGGAACCACTGTCGATATGAAGAAGGCTGAGATGAGATACACAAAGGCAGCATTAAGCGACAATGGGCTTGCACTGATCAGACTAGCATTCATAAGGAAATTTGGGAGGCCCACAGCAATAATAGATAGGCAAGAGGCTGAAAAGCACATTGATAAATTAAAACGCCTCGGAAGAAGAAGTTTAGACTGGCTTCTTTATGCAAATAAGCATGGGAACCTTTATGCTAAGTATTGTTTGGGAGTATGCTATCAGGAAGGATACGGAGTCCCTGTAGACCCTTTGCTGGCTGTGAAGTACTATAGCGAGGGCGCCTATGAGGGAAATGTTTGTTCAATTGGGATACTTGGGTACTGCTTCCTGAAAGGATTTGGAGTTGAAAAAAACGAAGAGATAGCTGTTGAACTGTTTAGATATGCATCTGAAAAAAAGGACTCAACTGCACTTTACAACATAGGCTTCTGCTATGAGGAAGGAAGAGGTGTGGAGAGAAACCTCATTAAGGCATTTGAGATGTATAAACTGTCTTCAAAGATGGAGAATTCGTATGCTCAGAATGCTTTGGGAAACTGCTATGAGGAAGGAAAGGGTGTGGACAGAGATTTCCAAAAGGCCTTTGAGTTCTATAAAAAGAGCGCTTTGCAGGGATACCCGTCGGGCCAATGCAACCTTGCATTTTGCTATCAGAAAGGAATTGGAACCAAAAAATGTTTACAAAAGGCTTTTGAATGGTACAAAAGAGCAGCCATGCAAGGGCTCAGCAGGGCGAAGCATAACATCGGATATTGCTACCAAAACGGACTGGGGACTTCTCGTTGCATGTCAAAAGCTATTTATTGGTATAAACAGTCTGCGTCCGAAAACAATAAGCACTCAATACATGCATTGGGCGTCTGTTATCAGCATGGGTATGGGGTGCCCAAGGATGAGGAGCTAGCAGTAAGATACTTCAACGAAGGTGCGAAGGCCGGCTTTGATGAAGCGATTATAAGTCTTGCATTATGCTACAGGTCTGGGACAGGTGTCAGAATATCTCCAGAGAAATCCTTCTCACTCATGAAGAGGGCAGCAGAGATGAACAACTCCTCTGCTCAAAATACTTTAGGATACTATTATGAAGAAGGATTTGGAACATCCAGAAACATAAAGGAGGCAGTAAGGTGGTACGAGACGAGTGCTAAGCAAGACAATTCATGGGCACTATTCAACCTAAGCAGCCTATACTTTAACGGGGCCCACGGCCCGCCTGATGAGAAGCTTGGAGTGAAGCTGCTATCTAGATCGAGAGACCTGGGAAATCCCAGAGCTGCAAATACTCTAGGATATTGCTTTGAGAAGGGAATTGGGGTTGAGAAGAATCCAAAGCTTGCCTTTGAGCACTACACCCAAGCACTGATGAATGGATATTCGAAGGCGGGATATAATCTTGGAAGGTGCTACGAAAATGGCATTGGAACTGGGATAGATATAGACAAGGCTTTGTATTACTTCTATAGGGCATCATCTGCCGGGGAGGAAGCCTCTCTTCAAAGGCTCAAGAAGATACTTTCTTCTTTAATCGAGCCGAATCATATGACAATTCCACCTTGTGCATGACATTAAAAACACATAGATTTATTTGAATTTATTTTTACGGTTGTGCCATAGGTTAGCCCTATTTCTGAGCCTGGTGGGTATAAACCTGATGTCGTTTCCTCTTGCATACTCGATATATACAGACTTTCCTCCTACATCATAGTACTTTCCGGATATGTGCTCTATGTTTGCATCGTCGTCAAATGATATGAAGGCATAATTCTTGAGTATCTTGATGTTTTTTACGGGCGCGATCTCGCGGAAAGCCTCTTCTAGAGCCTGCTTCGTCGTTGTTCCTGCTACAAATAGCTCATTGCTCCTAGCTGGAATTTTTGGATGTGTCATAAACCTCGATATGCCTTCTATCCTTGGAGAGGTTGTCCTTCTTCTCTGTGGAACATAGGGTACCGTAGGCGAAAGATGCTTGTCAAAAGGTGCTTGCAAGGCTGTATCTTTCATCTTCCAGAGGATTTTTAAAGACTCGTTTATTTTATGTGAAAAAATTGCCTTAAGGAGTCTTAGAAAGCAATGTTGTTCGTAATCTTCTGGTATTGATCATACATCCAAGTCCTGAACTTCTGTGATGACTCTGCTATCAGCGATAGCACAAATCTCCTTGCATTTTTGTCAGACAACTCTAGCCTGAATCTCAGAACAAAGTTTTCCACCGCATTTTTCTTGTAGCAGGGAAGCTTGCTGTCTGCAAAGGAGTCCATCATCATAACAAGATCCTTGCTCCGTCTCCTCAAGGCCAGAAATCCCTTGACCATCAAATCTTGGTAGATCTTAAATCCCTTTCCAGACACGCCTCCAAGAAGCTCTTCAATCTCTTTTGTCAATTTCAAAGGTGCCTCTATGTTGAGATTTCCCGGTGACATCTCTAGCATATACCCGAAGTCTATGTGTATCATCCTTCCCCGGTCATCTATCATTATATTTCCATTGTGCCTGTCCTTAATGTTAAGAAAATATACAACTAGCGAGTATCCTGCAAGGCTGGAGGCAAAATTACAGATTGCAGTGAGATACCCTTCGCTTTCCTTGAATCCAAACTTGTATTCGAAATATTCAGATAAATTGTTGATATTTTCTTTTCCTATCTGGTCTCTTGACTTTGAATTCGGGATCACTTCTATAATTCCAGTTCCTGAGGATGTAGCCATAACCCGGTATGGATATAGGAATATGTCCAGGTTCGCCTGCTTGAATATCGACTCGAACATCGAAATTATCTGAAGGGCCAGCATATCCTGTCTACAATCATCTCCAGACTTGAAAATTAGTTGCTTAATGCTTATTTGGCCATTTGGGTCCTGAACCCTGAAAGAAGCCATGAAGGGAACCTTAGCATGGCTCTGGAGGGCTCTTGTAGATCCGGTCATAATCTCGACAATTTTGAGCTCAGGATAGAACGGAACATAAACACCCGAATGCAGCTTGATCCTCGAGAGGTGATCGTTTATACGCCTTCTCTTTTCATCCTTCGAGGACTTAAGATATGGAATGAGCTCAGAGGAGATCCTGGTGAGACTGTCTATAAACTCTTCTTCTATAAGAAATACACTTCTGATTTCTTCTGGCATTTCTTCCATAATCTCTTCTATACATCGTATGAATGTGCTATAGCACTCGTCCTTGTCTGTTTTCCCGTCTGCGTACAAATTTGCCTTCAGATTCCAAATTAGCTGGTGCGCAACATATTTATCCTTTGCCAGATCTTTTAGTGCTGAAAATGCCATTTCAAACACCCTTTTGTGTCTCAACATCTGAACAAGCTGCGGAACATAAAACTGCATCTCATCCTTGAAGTCTTTAAGCTTCTCAAAGGCCTTTGATACAAGAGACGCATCATCTATTCTTCTGATTATTGTGAGGCAGTCGATGATTCCAAGTGCTTCCATGTTGAAAAAGTAGGACCTGTAAGATGGAATTGAAGATCTCTCTAGGAATCTCTGCACCATCTTTTGCTTGAATGTATTTTGTATGTGTATAAGGTCAGTCGTGTCAAACCTGGAGATTAACTGGGCTCTTTCCGGAAATGAAAGATCTTCGCCACTTGAGAAATTAGAAACTGCAAAGTGGAGTGCTCTGAAGAAAAATCTGTAAAATCCATTTGTTTCCAATGACAGTTTATAGCATATGGCTGGATCGGTTTTGAAGTCTAACCCTCTATGGAGTGCGTGCTTTAGGAATTCCTCAGAGTCGTTTTCCCTTATCGATAGAATGTTGTAGGCCTTTAGAAGGATATAAAGGTCTTCGTATTCAAACATATTCCTGAGCCTTAGCTTTAGAAGGTCTAAAACCATTCTTATTGTTGAGCTTTGGCTTCTTCGTGTGTATATTACATCAATAAGCCATGAGACAGATTTCTCTCTTTTTCTGATGTTCTCGTCTAATATTTCCATCCGTACGTCACGCGATACCGAATGCATAGGTGATGAGCTGTGGAGCGAAATGTTTCCTGTTGAGCTTTCCAAGCTCACGACACTATCATTCATACCTGTATGGATGATGCTATACATGTTATGCGACTTCTCCTCTCTATGCCTTGATATGTCTTCTTTTTCTCTAAGAGAACGATAGTCTGTGCCGCTTGCTCTGCATTGCCCGTGTATAGACGACATCGAGGCTACTTCGCTTGTGCTTTCCGAAGCGTTCCATCCATGATCAACCATAAATATGTCTGGAAACTCCTCCACAACGCCCATCCTAGACAGCGTCTGATTGTATAGCTCGTTGAATGACTTGAAATGTCCTTTTGGAAACTCTCCATCAAAAAAAGAGATGTCTGCCAGGCATAACACTACATAGTTGTAGAAGTTCGGTGCACATCTAATTTTTGCCAATATTCCTTTGTACAGTTTCCGGTATGAATCAATAACGTCGTCACTCAAAAACCTTTTGGTACTGAGAAGTACAAAAAGCTCCTGAAATCTTTGATGAATTTCCTTCATGAATACTATCTTGTCCTCCTTTTCAAGAATCTTTCTCAGAATAATCTCGACCATCACTAGCGTCGTCTCTACCGTCTTTGACTCGAGTGCTATGGTCAGAAGTGCATTTACATATGAAAGTGTAAAATCGTGAGACCTGCTAATGTAGTTAGTGTGGATAAGCTCTATAACAGAGATCAACCCATCTCTGGACATTCTTATTCCATCCTCGTCCTGTATGTATTCCAGTATTCCTGTGTAATTGAAGTTATGCAACTTCTTCGATTCGCAATAATACACAATGCCAAGAAACACAAGCATTCGTGGCTCTACATTTACAAGATTCAGCCTCGATGCTAAGTGGTTCAGGTATCCGACATTATAGTAAATGCTCGATGATATCCCAACTAGCGCCGGTGTCTTGAGAAGAAACAGGCCCACATGCTCAATTGCTTCATTTTCAAAGAGAAAGGAGTATATCTCGTATAAAGCATAAAGGACCTCTCGTTTCGCCGGGATATACGGAACAAGAGGAAGAACACCAATGAGTTCCTTGTGCTTTGTGCTCAGGAAAAACTTGAGGAAATCAGAAATAAGCCTATCCACGTGGGCCCTATCATGCTTTTCTTGGCGGACCTTGTTGAATAGAATAGAATAGAACCTTTTCACAAATCCAAAGCTAGAAATTTCGTGAAGACTATGGAGGGGAAAGTCAATTCCATTGATGAGAATGAAGTTCGAGTAGAGATCAATGGTTTCCGGATACCCCACAATAAACTTCAGGAAAATACTGTTCATATCTCCCATGTCTCCATTTATCCGGAGCTTCGATAGGAAGTTCAAGAAGTTCCACACCAATGCACCTTTGTTCTCCGATTCTGAGTCTCGGAGGCTGTGAAAAATCTTTCTAAATGTCTCTATAACGTTCCCACTCCTATCATTTTCGCCTCTTCCGTCTTTCTCAACCATTTCTATCAAAACTCCAATAAATTCATTTCTGTACTTCATACCCAGGGAAATGAGGCAATTAGTTGTGAACACAGAGTACAGCAACTCATACAGCGCATCATCCTCGTATAGGCATATCCTTGCCATTTGAATATGTATGCTGAACATATTTCTTTCTGAAATAGGGAGACTTTCAATAATTGGAAACACTTCGCTTACTCTATTTACCACCTGCCTGGTTACTAAGGCATCAATGGCCAGGGTAGACTTAAATATAAATGTCATATCGTCTTCTAAACCCTTCATCTCTCCGAGAAAAACAAATGTCTTGTAAAAGTACTCCTTCGCAAATGCAAATATACTCCTCTTCTTTACCTCTCCTTCCTTTTTTGCCTTACTCTCAACCATCATTACAATAAGCCTCAGTGACAGAAGTAAGAAATCGAGTTTTATGTTCATTATGTCCTCTTCTTGCTTCCAAAGACCAATCTCACAAAGAAGGCTATTGGTCATTTTTCCACACAGCCTTTCTATAAATGTCTCATACTTACTCAAACACTCTCCCCTCTCAATTCTCCATATCAGAGCTTCAATAAATGCATTGATGACCCCAGTTTCAGAAAGGGTGCAGGGCTCTATGGTACCTATGTCAGAAATAACCTCTTCGCTTATGTCTGCATCATCCAAAATCTTAAGAAATATTACTATATGCATCTCATAGAGCTTACTGCTGTACCCTAAACATACACTTGAGTTTTTTACATGTGCATATGCATTCAACCCAAACCCTTCATCGTATGCCTCCATTTCAGACAGCTCTTTGATGTCTTCAATCGTTGTCTCCTTGATGAGAGGTATGTAGATCTCCTCAGAATTCCCTTTTATCATCACCTCTATCTTCATACTAAGAATGTTTGTTGGGGTCTAAGGTATTTATGGTATATGGCACGGTCACAGCTATAGCACCCACGGTCCCTGTCTCTAGTAGAAATAAGCCTCGTAACTAGGACAAAATCTGAAAGATAACAAGAATGAAAATCATATGGTTTATTATCCTTTGAAGTTAATTAGATTCTGCATCCGTACTATAGTTATAGCTCCTAGTGCTCATACTCTACATCCTCAAATCTATTCACCAAATCCTCTATCTTATGTCTTTTGGTCTTTGACATCGTCATAAGGCTTTCCTTCGAAATAACACTGTCTATTGAAGCAAAGGGCGAGGCATGTTTAGGCAGACTCCTTCCTATAGAATAGGCTTCCGCATAGAGTCTTTTCCCCTGATTTAAGCAATCAAACAAATATTGTGGCTGTACATATGTTACGTTTTCTACCATCTCATCTATCTTCTCAGATATATGGATATCTGCATTGCATGGGCTTTCAACTATACTTCCTCCACAGCTCAAGGCAATGAATCTTAGTGCTCCCTCGACTGCTTTGCTTTCAATGTAAAACTTCACTCCTTCAAATATCTTTCGCTGTTCTTTGTGAGATTCATACACCTTTTCCAATTTGTGGAGAACTAGCTTGCAGTGTGTCATAAGAAGAGGAATCGAGTACGACAGCAGAGAGATGTCAATCTTAGCAGGATCGTTACAAATACCCTTTGCCTCCCCAGACTCAGAGGATTCTTCTTCAGAAGAAGATAAAAAGTCCAGAAAGTTGGGCTCGCTCCACTCGAATTTCTTTGGCATGTCCTTTTTTTCTTCTATTATATCCTTCAGCTCTGCTCCTGGATACGGAACAAGCCAAACAACTCTTATCTTTCCTAAGGTTATCTGGTTGTAAACGCCAGACTTCGACATATAAGAACACTCAAGCAAGGACTTTCTTGCAACAAACTCTTCAAACATCTCAATGACCTCTGGTATTCCATCGTCGAGCCCAAGCATCCTCCCCAAATACAGATTGCTCAGGGTGTGGTTCAACTCATCCACAGCTTCTCCAAACCCTTTACATCTACTTTTGATCAGGTCTACATATCCATATTCTCTGTAATGGATATTTTTAATCTTGTACTCAATCCCCGTTCCCGTATATCTTTTCTTTTTGTTCTCAAGATTTCTGTTTTTGATCAGCGTTCTATAGGCGTCAGAATGGATGAGCTTGTTGGCATCAGATATTCTATAGTAAAATCCATCTCCTTGGTCTACCTTCCGGTTGTTCTTGGGGATGTAGGGATGCACTCCACACAGTGTAACAAGCTTGTCGAACTCCTTCTCCTGCAAGTCCAGATTTTTCATAACTAAGTCTTTCGAAATATATTTCTTCGGCGGCTTTATGTAGCTACTTCCCATTAGGGGGAAGGTTTTTCTATGGTATCTAGAGAAGTAGCATATGGACGGGATTCTGTAGTCCACCCTCATGGAAAGTAATATCTAGCTATAAAATGGCAAGCTTTAACCCTGGTGATGAAGGACCTGAGAACATACCTAGCAGAGAGCAAAGTGGAGCATTTGTATCAACTGTTTGAAAGGCTGGGGATAGATGAATCCCAGCTGTTAGCAAAGCTTAAGTACTCAGATTTGGAAAAAATTGGGATTGAAAATCTTATAGAGAGGAGAAAGGTTTTTGATATAATCAATGAGATAAACCAAGACATATATAGTGAGGACATAGAGATGAATGAAAACGAGTCCTTCAAGGACAGTCTTGTTTCCTCACCTTTTGGTTTCAAGGACAATTTAAAATCTGAATCGCAATCTTTCCTTGGGAGCCTTGCAGAAAAAAATGGGCTTTTGTTTGGGAGTGGAGAAACCATAAGCCAAAGACTGTCTTCATGCTCTATGCCAAGAAGAAATAGTTTTGAAAAGTCTTTGATTGGACTGGATGATCTTGATGCAGGGTATGGGAAGGCAACATTAGAATCATGTGATACAAGTCTGTCGATCTCTTTTGATGCTAGAGAGACTGGGATAAGAGAGGAAAAGATAATTGTATGTGTTAGAAAAAGGCCTTGTGGAGATCCAAATCTCGATATAGTTGGCATAGAAGGAAAGGATGTTATTGTTCACGAAGAGAGGCTCAGGGTGGATCTAAGGCCATATGTAGAGCACCACAAGTTTAGATTTGACTATTCGTTTGATTGGGACAAGAAGAATATTGACGTGTATAGGGAGTGTGTGAAAGATATTGTGAACCACGTTGCTGCTGGAGGGCTTGGAACCGTTCTAGCATATGGGCAAACGGGAACTGGAAAGACGTACACCATGCTTGAAAAGGACATTGGAATGATGTACCTGGCAATTAAGGACCTTATGGCCTTCAAGAGTTATGGAACAGTAATGTTTTGTGAAATATACATGGGACAAGTTTACGATTTATTGGACAATGGAAAAAGAATACATCTGCGGGAAGTCAACGGGGTTGTGCATCTCTCCAACTCAAAGGAAGAAAGCTTTGAGGGATATTCAGAGGTGGTTAGTATTATCGACAGGGGGATGTCTCTGAGAAAGACCGGAGTGACCGGGGCTAATTCCAAATCATCTAGATCCCATGCAGTGATCTTAGTCAACTTTTCTGGTAAGAAAGTGGAGAAGGATGGCCAGAAAGTTCATTGTGGATCTATAGTATTTGTTGACCTTGCTGGAAGTGAACGGGGATCTGATAGAAGAGAGACAGGGTCTGATGTCAAGAACGAGGGTGCAGAGATCAACAAAAGCCTTTTAGCTTTGAAAGAGTGTATCCGAGGAATGGAAAAGGATAAAAAGCACCTTCCGTTCAGGCAAAGTAAACTGACGCAAATACTCAAAAATTCTTTTGTTGGGGCATCCAGAACATGCCTTATAGCCACTATATCCTCCACGTCTGAGAATGTTGAGCATACCTTGAATACATTGAGATATGCTTCGAGGATAAAGGAAAGCGTTGTACCCAAGGAAAAGAGAAGTAGAGAGTCTCCAAATTCCAACAGGTTTACAACCAGAGGAAGGTTTTCTGATGTTATATCTAAGCAGGAACTTGAGAGAAGGCATGTTGAATCATCTGCTTTAGGTACATCTAAAGCCAAAGATTCTCTTGTGAATGAAATCAGAAGAGCATTAGTGAGAATTGAATCTAAAATTCCATCATTGAAGACACCTGAAGAGTTAGAAAATGCACTAAATCTCTGTAAAGAAATAGAGGAAAGCCTGGGATGCAAGGAAACTAAATATTAAATTTGATATTAGACACTTTAGAACGGTTTTTTCTTTAGGATGCTGTTATCAAAACATACTTTATTTTGACCTTTGGCAAGATGCAGATACCAGTCCTGTTATCAGTGGATGGGGCTGGTTGGGCCTTGCAATAAACTCAGGGTGGAACTGCACTCCAACAAAGAACTTGTGTGTCGAAAGCTCAAAGATCTTCGTGGCCTTTCCCCCGTTGCTGAACCCAACAAACTTCAGCCCGTGCGCCCTCAGATCCTTCACCTTCTCCCACACAACCTCAAACCGGTGTCTATGCCTCTCCCGGATAGTCTCCTTCCCTCCATACAGACTCTTCACAAGCCCGTCACTGAGCTCAATCATGCTTCCGCCAACACGCAGCTTCTTATCAACCACCCCGTTCTCGTCGCTGATAAACCTCACAACAAGATCCTTCCCGTTAGCCTCAAACTCCTCGGAAAACGCATCCTTCATCCCAAGCACATTCCTGCACATCTCAATCACACACAGCTGGTATCCAAGACAGATCCCAAGAAGTGGAATATCCCGCTCCCTTGCATACCGTATCGCCTTGATCTTCCCCTCAATCCCACGTGCACCAAACCCTCCAGGTATGATGATCCCGTCGCACCGAGACAGGCCAGACTCGTCGTACTCCTCGGCATTCACCCACTCTATCTCAACATCAACCCCCACACGGGCACCAGAAAACTTCAGTCCATGCACAAGAGACGTGTAGCTATCAAACTGCGGCCCATACTTCCCAACTATCCCAATCCTTACACTCCTCCCGTGCTTCACACAGAGACGCCCAAACATCTCAAGAACTCCCCGGTCGATCTTCTTATCGCAGAGCCCGAGAACCCTGTACAGAGAGTCCACAATCCCACGGGACTCAAGAAAAGAAGGCACAGCATACACAGAGTCCAGGTTCGGAAGCCCTATCACATTCGAAAGCGCAACCCAGCAGTTCTTCGATATCTTCCGGCGCGTCTCCTCAGACGCCTCCCTCACTCCTCTGCACACAATGATGTCGTGGCTCAGCCCAAACATCCTGAAGTTCCTGCACCCCATCTGGATGCTCTTTGTCTTCTGCTCCCCACTTTCCAGCTCGGTGAGGTAGTCCACAGACACAAATGCACAGTTGTCCCGCCCGACGTCATGCTGGAACTTTGCAAGTGCATCCGTGTATATCGAGGACTCGTACTCGCCCACCGTTCCCCCGAGCTCGATGATCACGACGTCTGGGACTGCAGTGTGGCCATCCTCGAAGGACTCCACGGGTGTCTCACCAACAACTTTGATTCTTCGGATCACATCATCTATCACATGAGGATTGATCTGTAGGGTCTTTCCAAAAAAGTTTCCTTCTTTTTCACTTTTTATTATATCATGTAACAGCCTTCCTCCAGATACACTGTTAATAACAGAAAGCTTTACCATACTGAATCTTTCGTAATTTCCAAAGTCCATGTCGCATTCGTGTCCGTCATCAAGAACATAGACCTCCCCGTGTTCAGAAGGCGCAAGCATTCTTGCATTGTAATTCAGGTATGGGTCTATCTTAAAGTGTGTCACTGCATATCCTCTTGACTTTAGCAGCACTCCAATGCTGCTGCCCACTATACCTTTTCCAATTCCAGAAATAACACTTCCAGAGACAATAACGTACTTCATTCTAAGGATTATTTGTAAATTAATTTATTACAAAAATATATCCATACTCTTAATTAAAATTCTAAATAAAATTTTTATTACAAATACTCATCTTAGCCTGACGTTTTACCTAGCAGAAATGCTTTATCTTCAAGATCTCTGAAGGCTAGCGAGCAAAGAGAGATAAACTCCTCATCGGAAATGCAAAGCTTGCCATTTCTGTAATCTTTAACCAAGCTCTCCTTATCCAAAGATAGAACCTGCTTGTAAGACCTAAGCTTTTCTTTGTTTCCTATCGCCTCCATAGGAAGATGGAACGATAGATCAAGAACATAATCAATTAACAAAACGATATTCTTAATAGTGCTTTTTTTCGCCATTCTTAGTCCCAAAATTCTTTCCATCAAACCTTCATCAAGTATCTCAAAAAATTGGATCTCAAATAAACTTCTATTAATTAAAGGCACAAATAATCTCATATTGTCAACAAACTCCACATGCTTCTCCTTGAAATACAGCTTGAGAGTCACCAAGGGTTCACTCAGGTCTACGCTGACTCGCGAAGACTCCTTAACAATATCAAAAAACAGCTCTTCCTTTCTTTTGGAAAGCTCGTCAGTAAGAGGATGCCCAGGATAGGTTCGGAGGAAGTGTGTTATGTCCGCAAACTCAACAAAATAGCTATATACAGATGGCTCGTGCCTCTTTGGATCAAATAGCTTTGTTATTGCCCTGTTGATGACCTTTGCTCCTTTCTCATGTCTTTTCGACTTTAGTTTTCTAAACACCTCAAAGCATCCTTGAAATCTTTTGTAACTGGCGGAAACGGATCTTGGCATCCTATCAGACGCCTCAAAGATTTCAACTGCATCCATACTTCTGGGACCCTTCGTCATCTCAATTATCTCCTTCATCACAACATCAAGCTTCCACTCAGGCACATTATGCACATAAAACTCAGTGTCCTTGAAGAAGAGGTTATTCCTTTCTACCTCTTCATCAGAAAGGCCCTTTTCCACAACCCTCTTTCTCAGATTATCTCTCAAGACTTCGAATATTGCGTGTGACATCATTTTGTACTCCAAGATTTCTTTCAGATCCATCACAGCCTTCTCACCAAGTATGCAGGCAGAGAGTTCATCACGATTTCTCTCGGATGCAAAGAACAATGACCGATCATCTTGAAAAATCTTTATGTCTACAGGAATCAAGTCCTGGATATTCTCGCACACCATCAATTTGAATGAAAGGTAGCATCTTTCTTGTATTCTGGCATACTTTGCAGAAAGCTCGAAAAGCATTTCTACATCTTTGCTTATTTCAAACCAAGCAAACCTATTCTCATGTTCATCTTCTTGTCCTTTAATTTTTCCTTCACTTTCTTGGTCTAGGTACCTGATGGTAGCTGAATGCTTGAGAAACTCTAATGACTTCTTCAGCAGCACATCCATATCTAAGATCTTAGAAAAAACCATTTCTAGGTCTTCTATAGTTCTACATTCCTTAGAATTCAAGGAAAGAACCTCGATATCCTCAAGAACACTTTGGTATTCATTGGTGGTCTTTTTTATTTCTCTTTCTAAGCTTACAGAGTCGACCCTTTTTATCTCTTCCTCTATCCGTCCCAGCTCCTTTTCCAGCTTATTTTTTTCATCTCTGAAGGATTGGTACCTTGCATAGCACTCGTCAACATCTCTGATTTCACTGAAGAGACTATCTATTCTTTCCATCAAAGGGATAAAATCTCTATTAAGATATTTATTGGGCATCCTTAGAGAAGAAAAAATGGACTTCGATGAAGATACTCTGTTTCTTGGAAATATTCCTTCCAGCTTCACGAATGAACTTCTTACGGAAATGCTAAGCACTTTTGGAGAGATTAAAGAGTTTAGGCGTGGTAGGAGTCTGGAGGGCATTAACTCGGGATGGGTATTTGTAAATTACCACGAGTCAGCATCTGCAGAGCGTCTCTACGACACTCTTTTGGGCAGAGACTTGGGACAAAGCGGAATAATTATTCTTCCTCAAAGAACGAGTCCCAGCTCGTGGGAAGGTAAGAAGAATGCACTTAAAAGAATTGAGAGCATATGTGAGAGATACAGGAAGGAGCTTGAGAAAGAGGAACGCCTGGAAAAGTTTGTTTCTAGCTACAATCTGCTGTATGGAGATGCAAATGATAGCAAGGTATTTTATGATGCATTGAAAAAATGGATAGAAGAAGAGTCAGAAATACGCAGAAGATGCAGAAGAATTGAAGAGGAATTTAAAAGAAGCATGGAGAAGAAGAGACAGGAGGAATACCATTATCTGTCTACCTATGACGATGACAGGTCGAATGACTTATTTTATATTGACAGGGCATCTTGGATTTCCACCAGAAGGAACAAATATGGCGATAAATAAACTTGAATCCATCAACCGTCACTTAAACATTTATTTGGTCACAAAATTTTGATTATGAAGGGTGGCCTGGAGTCAAGAATGTTCGATGCCCTGAAGAAGGAATTCTGTCCAGCAAGTATGGAGGTTAGAAACACTTCCTACGACCATATAGGACATAGAGAAGTGGGCATGGGGGGCTTAGAGACACACTTTCGTGTAAAAATAAAGTCCGCCATGTTTAACGGAATGGTAAGTCTTAGCAGTTTATAATTTAAGAAATTTGCAGATAGGCACAGACTTGTACACAAGACACTGGAGTTTGCTTTTCAAGAGGGGCTTCATGCTATTGAGATTGATTGCGATTCAGATAGCCAGGAGTGACTTGGCGATATACGCTTGATCTTAATTTAAAATTTAATTTGGCTTTGAATTGATCTTTCTAGATTATAATCTATACCTTTTTGGAAAAAAGAATGCAATTCCTCTGCACACTTTTCCTTAAATAACAAGGTAGTTTCCTACCCATGCTATGGCTACTATACTTTGCATCTTGCTGGTGTGCATACGTTCCTGATGTGTGTACAAGCTCTGGAACGATAGCATTACACTTTGTGGACGGCCCTGTTAAAGGCGTAACAGATAGGGTTCTTAATGCTTTAGATGAGCTTGGGGTGAAGGCCACTTTCTCGTTTACAGTAAACCAAAAGGTAGTCGGAAATGTGGGGCAACTGTACAGAAGAGCTCTTAATGAAGGGCATAGTGTGGGGCTGAGGATAGATCCAAGAATGGACGATAGCTACGGTGATGTTTCCAGAGATGCTTTAGAAGAGCATATTGATAAGGAAATAGACACAATAGATGGGCTCAGCGGGACCGAAGTAAGGTATGCGTTCGCACCTGTAAACAACGGAGAAGTTAATTCGGAGGTCTATAGTGTCCTTACTGAGAGAGGTGTTCTTCCTATAGGGTATACCTTCTGCCCATATGATTGGGATGATCCCATGGGAGAGTTTGAAGGTATGATAGAAGGATCTGATCCAAAGCATCATTCATACATCATCTTGATGCATGATGGGCAGGAGGGAGACACTTCGCGCCTTGAAAGAATGGTGAAAATAGGAGAGGAAAAAGGCTACACGTTTGTAAATATGGACGAATGCCTCAGAGGCTACAAAGGTGCTTCGGGAGAGCCCGAAATCACCCTGAGAGGAAAGGGTGTTGAAAGCTTTTCATCGTTTTTACCCTTTTTCATCCTATTATCTCGATTTCTCTAAAGTATAAATAAACATACATCTTATGAATATACTGCTTTGTTGGGCTTGGGTCAAAATACAATGATAGATAAATTAGGCATCTCCTGTTTGAAGTGATTTTATAAATGCATGATATTGGGGCTGCTGCAAGCCCGAGACAAGGCATCATGGCTATGGTAATTTATATGGGATAAATAATAGACCTTACATCTATATTTATGTGGGGCCGTATTCTTCCCTCTCGAGCTTTCTATCCATTTAAATAATCTTCATCAGATAGACTCAGATTGCGAGGAAGTATAAGACCACAGCCGGTGCAGAATTGCTTGTCCTCTTCGCTCACATCATAATATCCAGGATATGGCTGATATGAAAGATAATATTTGCCATCGCTGCTCTCCACAAATCTGTGTCCTTCATGTATAGACTGTTCAATGTCAAATCCATTCACGTGATTGAACTCAGGACTAAAGAAATACCTGTTCATCAAGAACTCCACATCAGAAACCCATCCAATGTACGGTCCTGGAGACTTCCGAGCATAGTACTTGGCCCCCTCAATCCCTAGCCAGTGAAATGCATCCCTTACCCACTCCAGAGCAAAATTGAAGTCTTCGTCTCCATCCTCTATCTCGGTGTTTTTGAGACAGTAGTTTGCAATAAGAACAAACTTGTCTAGCGCCGTAAAGAACTCTTCAATCAGATGCTTTAACTTGATTTCCTCCCTCAAGTTTTTAGTCTTCTCCTTAAAGTAAAGATCCTCCAAAGCCACAGTGTAGTCGCTTCTCCCCTCAGCGTTACACAGGAAATTTGGGTTTGGATGGTTTCTTCTATTCTTCTCGAAGGCCAGGTCTGAAACCCTCAAAACCTTAAGATTTTTGCGTGACCCTTCAGCCTCTCTGACCCGGTATACGCTTAAAAGTCCTGAGCGCTCATCGGACTCGCCGCTCTCAAAGTCACTTGATGACAAGTCCTCTTTGTTCACCTCGCAATTCATAGAGGCCTCAAATAATCCTGTTTTGGAATTGGGATGTCCAGAAGCAACGTCTTTCATTTGGGTGCTTTTGCCTTCATCCTCATCATCTATGGAAGATGATGTGCCCTTCTCCAGAATGGATGGCATCCTTGGTCTTGCTTGATCCTCATCAATATCTGCCTTTGTAAGATTTAAAGGATTCTTGGTGCTTTCCTTCCCTCTGGAGACTTCCATCAGGGGCTTCAGAAATGTTTATAGATTCATTGGACGTTGTCCCAAACGCAAGATAGTCTATGAACATTAGAGAGTCGTTCATCAATGCCAGAAGGGCATGCGCTTCTCCTACAGACTCTGATAGGGATAGCTATGAAGAGGAGTATTACAAGTGGAAGATACGTGATCTGAAAAGAAAAATAAGGGATGTAAGAAAGGAGGTGGCCAAAGCCAGAAACATAAGAGGTCTTAGAAGGTTTTAGAATTTATTGATGTCCATAAATGCTTTCACGTCCTCCTCCGTGACATTTTTCCTAGTCTCCTGATACTTTAATACAAAAGTCTGTATTATAGCAATACACTTTTCTTTCATTTCTTTACTAGTGATCTCACCCTTAATGTATCCTGATCGGTATCTCTCAAGTTCCTGGTCATCGTCCAAAAAATACTTTAGGTATTCAAACGGAACATCTACGTCGATGTTTCCTCCTCTTTCTCGGTGCTCTTCCAGAGTCTTTCCACCTCCGGAATATGCATGCACACTGATCTTCTTCCTAATCACTTCCTGGGAATCATCCAGGTATATAGAGCTGTTTGGGTCGCTGGCAGACATCTTTCTGTTTACACCCTTGAGGTCTGGAAGAAGTGATACATACATGGTTGCAGGCTTTTTCTCTCCAAGCATTTTTGCCTTGTCTCTTGCAAGCCTAAAGTATGGGTCCTGGTCAACCGCAGCAGGAACAAGGCACATAGCCCCCTCTTGAATAAACTTGAAGGAGCTTGAGAAGCAAGGTGCTATCTCCTTTGATGGAAACCCTACCTGGCCTATGCTACTTGACATGTTGAAGCCAAATATCTTCGACGCCTCGTTGAGATTGATCGTTTTCGCTACCTTTAGAACATTCTTCTCGAAGTGGTGGGAGGACTCGACATTGGAGAATATGTACGTCAACTTTGGATCAAAGCCCAGTGCAACAATGTCCTTGATGTTTTCCTTTCCATTTTCTATGGCGTCCTCAAGCCTTATATTCTTCCACAAGAACTTTTCATCATCGGTCATCTGGATCACGAGAGGTATTTTAAAGGTGTCCTGGATGTACTTGCACAGGAGAAAGGGCACTACGTGTCCAATATGCATGGCCTTGGTGCTGGGCCCTCTGCCAGTATACAGATAGAATGCCTTACCTTTGGATATCTCGTCAAGCAAAAGATTGAAGTCTCTGTGCGCAAAGACAATGCCCCTCCTGAAAAAATAATGTGCAGGCTTTCCTGCCAACTTTTCCAAGCGGTCCACCAACTCCTTTCCAAGTTTTTCGCACCCAAACTGATTGACTATCTTGTCGTAGTCAATGGCCACCGGAGTTTCGTCTGTAGACACCACCTCCACCTCCCAAGGAGTAACCTTCTGCTCGGCCATTTGAGGGATTGTTTTGTCATGTTTACATATCCCTGAAAGGCTAAATATATGCAAAAAACGACTTCCTTCTAAAAATGCCGAACGCAAATGCTTTGAGCAAGAAGCCTTCATCGAACATAATTGGAATAGATCTGGGAACTACAAATTCCTGTGTATCTGTAGTCAAGAACGGGGAGCCTGTAATAATAGAAAATCAAGAGGGAGAGCGTACAACGCCTTCTGTGGTATCCATACTGAAAGATGAAGTTCTTGTCGGTAGCCAATCGAAGAGCAAGATACTGACCCACCCCAAGAACACGGTATTTGCATCTAAGAGGTTGATAGGAAGGAAACTTGAAGACCCAGAGGTTAAGAAGTATGTGAAGGGGCTCCCGTTTGATACGACATCTCATTGTAACGGGGATGTCTGGATAAAGGTTGATGGGAAAAAGTACTCACCTGCACAGATTGGAGCGTTCATACTTTCAAAGCTCAAGAGAAGTGCAGAGTCGTTTCTGAATCACTCTGTTGTGAAGTCGGTCATAACGGTTCCTGCCTACTTCAATGATAGCCAGCGCCAGGCAACAAAGGATGCGGGAAGGATAGCAGGGCTTGATGTTGTGAGGGTCATCAATGAGCCAACAGCCGCAGCGCTTGCCTACGGGCTGGACAAGTCGGCGAGAGGGAACATTGCAGTCTATGACCTTGGAGGAGGAACCTTTGACATATCGATACTCGAGTTGAGCGACGGGGTATTCCATGTGAAGGCCACTAATGGAGACACTTTTCTTGGAGGAGAGGATCTTGACAACGAGGTTGTGAGTTTTATTGTAAAGGACTTTATGGAGAAGGAGGGGATCGACCTTGGCAGAGATGTGAATGCTTTGGCAAGAATCAAAGAGTGTGCAGAGAAGGTAAAGAAGGATTTATCTTCGTCTGTTGTCTCAAGAATTGACATACCTTACATATGCAATGTTGGAGGAGAAGCGAAGCACTTATCTAGAGAGATCACTAGAAGTGAGTTTGAGAAAATCGTTGAGAAAATTGTGAACAGGACGATTGAGCCATGCAAGAAAGCACTTGCAGATGCAGGACTGGACTCTGCGGATATTAAGCATGTGATATTGGTTGGGGGGATGACAAGAATGCCCTATGTAAGGAAAGTGGTCAAAGAGATTTTTGGGATTGAGCCTTCTACCGAGATTAACCCTGATGAAGCAGTTGCGAAGGGAGCAGCCCTTCAGGGAGGTGTCCTTGCAGGAGAAGTTGATAATGTACTTCTCTTGGATGTAGCACCGCTAAGCCTTGGAATTGAGCTTCTAGGAGGAGTGTTCAGCAAGATAATAAGAAGAAACACAACCATTCCATTTAAAGAAACACAGATATTCTCTACCTCTGAAGACAACCAGACAGATGTCGATATCAAGGTGTATCAGGGTGAAAGGGCCATGGCAGCAGACAACAAGTATTTGGGACAGATAAAGCTCAAGAACATTCCTCCCCTCCCCAGAGGAGTTCCTAAGATTGAGGTGACATTTGAGTCTGATGCTAATGGAATGTACAGAGTGACTGCACAGGACAGTGTTACAAGAACGCCTCAATCACTTGAAATAATACCATCCAGCGGATTGACGGAAAAGGAGATAGATAGAATGGTGAGAGAGGGAGAGGAGCTCAAGAATCTAGACGAGATGAAGAGAAGGAAGGCTGAGGTTACTATTTCTGTAGGGGAGCTTCTCAGAAGAGGATATAATGAGCTGAGGAAGGCCCCTGAGGACAGTTTAAGCAAGCTTAGAAAGGTGGCGAGGGGTGAAGACTTCGACCTAGAGGAAACAGAGCAGATATTATTGGATGTAAAGAAAGCAATATCCAAATGATAATCATGACATTTTCAGAAACGCTGTTCTCCTCCTAAGATACAGAATCTGAAACAAGCTGAACTGGTGTAGTGAAACATATTAATAAACTAAGAGCCCCAGAAAACAAAGACCCATGGGAATGAATTTCAACAAAGAAGTCAAGATGCTTCGAGAGATCGAGGAGAACAAAAGATGTGCAGACTGCTCTACGTCAAATCCGCCGTGGGCATCTGTGACTTACGGGATATTCATATGCTTTGACTGCGCTAGTGTTCATAGGTCTTTGGGAGTCAAGACTAGCTTTGTAAAGAGTGTGAATCTGGACATTTGGGACGAGAAGGAGTACTTGTTTATGAAACACGGATCGAATGGGAATTTTAGAAAGTTCTTGGAGCAGCATGGACTTGTTGGACGCGAGATGAATGAGATTTATAACAACAACCACATCAAGAGATATGCAGCAAATGTTAAGAGCCTTGTTGTGAAGGATATAGGAGAAGAGGCATTCAACAAGGCAAAGGCCAACACTGTTCCCAAGGAGTCCAGAGACTCGGATGGATGGATGAACAAGTCCCCTATGAATTGTGTAAATAGAAACAAAAGTCCATACGGTACACTGGGGCTTGAATCATCTGGCACAGGATCATTGCATAGCTCTATTGCATCTACCCTATCTGTTGTCGGAAGTGCGATTTTCTCGAGCGCAAAGGTCATCACTGGCAAGACCGTTGAATATGGAGGCATTGTTGTTAGCTCTACAAAGAACATGATCAAGGATAACTCTTCCTCGTTAACATCCATTTTCAAGAGAAAAGAACTAACTCCAAAGGATAACTTAAAGGTCCCAGAAAAGCAAGAGATCTGCGAAAAGTCGGGGAAATGGGACTAAAACATTAGATATCTAATAAAACTTTCAAAGATTATCCGAGGTCTTTACAACAATCCAGAGATTCTTTATGATTTATTTACAACGAGTTCTGAAAAGTATCTATAAAGGAGGAACACATAGAAGGATATCTTGCAGAACATCTCAATCTTTATCCATCTCTTCTGCTTGAAGAAATCCAAGGCACTAATTGTAGTATCCGATCCTTTTTTCTGTACTTCATAAACAAACATTAAGACAACAAGAAGTGATACATAGCTCAGGGAAAGGACTTGTGCAGCTATCATTAGTACAAGCAACTTGAATTCCACGTTTACAAGACGAAGAATCCTATCGCATGCATTATAGGATGATGCTCTTCTACTTTCTACATCTAGCACTGCTTCAATTTTATAGAGCTCTATGATACAAAGCATAGTACTCAGCAAGAGAGAGGCAAGGTTTCCTATAAACCTCATTACAAGGGTACATAATTCGAGCCTTGAAAACATGGTTTATTTATTTATCTCTAACTGGTGGTCCGATTGATTGAAGATATACCTATGGATAGAATACAGAAGGTTGTGGATGGTATTTTCCATTATGCTTTCTTCGCACTTCTCAAGAAGTCGTCTTCTGTAGTCGACCTTGCCCACCCTAGCCATGTCGAGATTCTTACCTGTTAGGTTCTTTTCCTCTTCACATGCTTTTCCGTAGCTTTCAATGAGTTTCAAAACATCTCCCCTCTTTTCCCTGACGTCTCTGAGCTTAAGATTGTCTGCCCATGTCTTTCTATGAAGATTCAGCAGCATCTTCTGTTCAAGATCATTTTTCCTGCACGTTATGTTGAAAGAATAGTAGTGCTTGTTGAGCCCGTGAATTATGGATATGAGTGTGGGTGTCTTGAGGTACCCAATGTTTGATGTCACTTGTCTCGGCTCTCCTCCAAGGACACCTAACTGGTTGTCAATAAGTCTGAAGGCATCAATTACAACCTTCCCCTTAACACTTTGGATGGGGTCAACGACAACCGCAACAGCTCTCTTACATAGCTTTTCAAAGCTCTGCTGGGTACTTATATCAACTGTGCTTAGCCAGCACCCAAACCCTGGATGGCTGTGGTACCATCCTACCACTGTCTCATGCCTCCCAGTTGCCTTCAGTATATTCATCATCTCCGTCTGAAAGATAGGATCCACAGACTCTACAGTGACATTTGTACCGCTTTGGGGCATGGCAAATACATCAACAACTTTCACAGTGTATTCATCAACAAATTCCCCAAGCATCAGTCCCATGACTTCAAGGGGAATCCCAGCTCTCCCATGCTTAAGCATCTTTAACAGTGCAAGCGAGGATATCTGTACAGTCTCTGAGGCATCTGATGTTGGCTCCGCATCATCAGTCCCAACAAACCCATTGAACATTTCAGGGTTTAGGATTTCTTGCTTTTAAGTTTCCAGGCCAGGCCTTAAACCTCACTAGTTTTGAAGACTTCAAAGCCATCGTCTTCTAACTGGATTATCATGTCCTCAAGAACCCTTTCAAGCTCTTCTATGCTTTCGGATATAGACGTCCCACCGAGCCTTATGCCGCTGTCCAAACTTCTTATAAGTCTGTTATAGGCTCTCTCAATTTTCTCTTTCATTTGTAATGGAGTAAAGCAGCAGGGTCTAATAACTTCAGAAAGAAAGAGCTTGCAAAATACACTTCTTTTATTATATGCTTTTCAAAGGCATGACAAACATTATAATTGAAAAGACCGTCAGAGAGGTAATCATAGCCCATGCATCGGGTATCAGCCCACAATACTTTGTTTCAAAATCCACCCGGAACTGCATTTCCTCTTTCTCTCCAAAGTACTGAGTGGAGTCAACTAGCTCGAGTTTTCGAGGCTCATTCTCTTTAATATCATACCTGTAGTATCCAGGAAAAGATATTTTAATTGAATTCCAAGTAGGCGAAGTACCGTTTTGTGAAGAGGATATGTATGCATTTCCAACCTTAAGCGTATCAAACGAGTGTCTTGGTATTTCTACGTTATCTGCAACTACAGAGACAAGAAAAAAGAAAAGCATATTCTCTGAGGGTATTGGCTCGGCCGAAAAATATGCTTTCGTGCGAATATATGGAAGAAGGATGTTAATGCACTTCTTCGTCTTATCCCGGCCAAATTCAGGGCCCATGAGCACCGAGGATGTTTCCCAGGACATAGGAAAAAGATTCAAATCTCTTCTTTCAAAAAGAAAGAAGCTTAGAAAGCAGATTCAGAGTATCGAAAAGGAAATGTTCAAGTACGAAACCGTGTATTTGGAAATGACCCAAGGATCTCCTCTTACTCGGAATGTTGAATACTATGTCTCAAACAGGACAGACAAGAAAAAGCATAATGTTGACGATAGAATGAGGATATTCAACAAAAACTTTCCTAGGGTTGACTAGTAAAAGCATTCAATTTTGTAAAGCTGCGAATGGGAAAAAAATTTGAATCTTCCTTCCCATATGGATAAAGAGGACTGCATAAGCATCCTGAATGATCAAACCATACAGGTGAAGGAAGAAGACCATACAATTATGAACCCGTTAAGATGGTGCATAAGCAAGAATTTTACGGGTGAGAGCGTGGAACTTGTAGGATATACCATCCCACATCCATCTGATGATGTCTCTAATTTAACCATTCAGTTTTCTTCTGAGTCGTCACAAACGCCTCCAAATCTTCTTAAGAAGATGGTGGAAGGTCTGGAGTGTATGGAGGCTATCGGAAACAAAATGTTAAGCGAGATAGAGAGGTTTGGGAATGAAACTAATAAATAGAGACTTGCTATTGTTTATTTTAGGCCTCGATTCATATGCTGATAAAAGAACTACTCGTTACGTGCATAGAACAGCATTAATGGATATCCATGGACATCCTTCATTTCCAAGACATCTCTTATTCCATCACTTTCGTATCCATGCCAATCTTTGTCCCCACTCTTAACATAGCAGTAGCTCATAGCTCCGTCTTCTGTGATAAAAGAGCAAAGAGAGAACATACAGTTCCCAATGCTTATTTTTGAGTTGTTAAATAGATCAGTACTCTCCTGGTCCTTTACAACAAGAACAAGAATCTGAGGCTTCTTGGTTATCTTCTTATTCTCAGCCTTCAGGCTAGAATCAAAGGCCTCTTGGATACTAGAGAATCCCTTCAGAGATATCTTACTCTTTTCAAATGAGATCTCTTGAGGCATATCTCTAGAGACTGCCTTTCCTTGAAACATTTCCACAATCGGGGAATAGTCTTTGTAAAGCAGTTTCGGCTTAATTCCCTGGGTTCTGTCCATAGTGCTCCAAGTGTCCTCCTCAAAATTGTACCATTCACAAAGCTCCTGGTGGATGGACAGGAGGAGTTCCGAATATATATCCTCATAAAGTTTTGAATCCGGCTCCATTAAGAGCTCATTCACGTTTTCCTTCTTGCCTTCCATCACTAGGCTGAGGAGTTTGGAGATTCTGCCCGTAATGTGGAACTTCCCTATGTCCTGGCTTCTTTCTTCAAGGTTTAGAATGAAATTGTAGAAAGGAGGAAGCCTTAACAGGCACGAGAGCAAGTTGAACATCTTCTCATCTGTCTCTACATATTCAAGGTCCACAGCTTTCATGGGTCTTTTCTCAAATGCTTTGCGTCCACTAAGTATGAGTCTACTCCCATTCAATCTTCCCATAGGCTTTTTCTGAGCCTTAGATAGTTGTCTAGTGGCAATCTCGTATTCCTGCTCCGCCGTCATTCCATTCACAAAGAAGACACAGGACTCTGCTTTTACTTTCATTGCTTGATTCTCAGGATACAAATTTTTGTGTTCATTTAAGAGTTACGAAACTTAGAGCATTCAAATAGGATTTCTTTCCAAACAGCCGAAGGGATTTAATGGGCACTAGAACACATTCAGAGATGCTATCACATCCAGTATTTCTCTTCTGCTCATTCTAACAGAGGAGGAGATTAGTTTCTGAGTATTGAGATCGAAATAACTAAACAGATTCAGGATGTGCATAACTATAGGACTCTTCAACGACAGGCTATGCAGATGGATGTCAGAATTCAGATAGTCCCTTTGGTTCAATCCAAGCACACTCTTGAGATGCACCATGATTGATGTCTGTATTTCCAGAAGCTTAGGATAGTTCAAATCGTCTATTCCGGCCAAGTGTATTGATAAGTTAGTCTTTGAATAGAACATAATGCTATTCTTTCTAAATCCTATCCCGGAGGAAAACAACCTTCCTAGGTTAGTCTTCATCTCTGCTCTTTTGACAAGCTTTGCTCCATCCATACTTATGATGTTGTTTGGCGAATATGTATATGCATGGATCGTTCCCTTGGAATCGCAGCACACCATTGAAAGCTCGTTGCCTGCAATGAGAAGCTCCGTGGACGTCACGTTCTTGAGAGGTTCACTAGAGCTTATTAGGTGGAGCCTGATAGGTTTGGACTGGAAGAAGAAGAACGACAGCCCTCTATAGATGTCTGAAGCAAGAATGTAGTTTTTCACGACAGATATGGAGGATGTGAAGATATGCAGGTCATAGAAGCCTATGGGTATTATTCCGTTACTCCTGTCGATTTTATATATCATTATCTTTGTTCCCAAGCATAATGCAATCTTACCCCGAATCTCCGAGCATTGCACAATCGATCCCTTGGTCTTCTCAATTCCTAGCACCTTAAGCTTGCAATCCTTGAAGGGGCTTTCCGGCGACGGGACAACCGAAATTATTTCCAGTACATGGAGCCGGCCCTTTGCAGGCTTATCCTCCCCTTCAATGAAGGTTGTACAAATGAGCAGGAAAGGAGACTTTCCGTAATTTCCTTGCATGTCATCTAGAATAAGGTACTTGACGTCGAAAACATATTCATTCTCTTCGAGTTCATATGTATCTATGTGCTCATGATTTTCAGAGTATAGGTCCACATAGAACCGGTAAGTATTCACAGGAATCCCGCAGTCTTTTTCATTATTCGAAGAGACTTCAACCTCCTCACACGATGCTACAACCATATACCTATCTGCATACTCAATGTGCTTTGGAATCCTGAAGACAGGAACCCTTTTCCCAATAAGTCCATTCCCGAAAACATATTGGCTGTCTCCAACAGCAGGCACTCTGCAGACCATCAGATGCCCTCTGGAAAGCTGTATCAACTGGTCTTTGCTCATAGCCACGGAATTCAAAGTGTATCGGCTCTTGTATAGAAAATGCCCCTTGTCGCTTGGAACTATAAACATGTTGGTTGTAGCTCTGATGAATGCCATTCCCCCTAGATTGTAAAATGCTCTGGCTTCTGCTGTGGGATTGAAGGCAATATACCTTGGAAGATTGATCTTGAAAAATACAATCTCCTGCCGTAAAGTCTCATCAAACAGCCCAGATAGGTCAAAAGACTCATATGCAACTACATATCCTATTTTCAGCCTAAGCAGCATGAGAATCTTATTGCTTGTTAAAGACATGCACATTTCTATAATGTCATCCCCTTCTTCCTTCTCATCCAATCCTTCGGCCATGGAAGTCTCTGGAGAAAGCCTTATGGAATATGGAAGATCCTTAACAGAGCAGGGCGAAAACTGATTCATTCTGCTATTTATATCAAAGACATTCAAAAGATGCCCCGAAAGGACAAAAACCTTGTTCCTTGCGCCTCCAAAGCATGTAACATCAGGTATGCTTGAAACGACGCTCATATTCCCATCATAAAAACTAAGCTTTTTCTTTATATCTTTCACAGCGAGGAACATTCCGTCACAAATTATCTGAGCTTCAATTGCTTTGTCAGGGAAATTCAATTTGTTGAGAGCCCCAAGATTCTGATCCATTGATAGGCAGTATGTAGGTGTGACCTGAATTATCCCATCTCCAAACTCCACAAAAAGCAGTGTGTCTACATCTTTGCCATACTCGCCGTCAACTTCCAAAAGATCTTCTTTGGACCAACTGAAGACCCTCGTCTCCGAAATCCTTCCCAGAATATAGAAATCTAAAGCCTTCGAACAGTATAGATATCTTTTCGTTTTCTGGGACTTCACTATCTCAAGCGGCATAGTATTGCTCACAAGACGAACACACGGCTCCAGCCCTTCGGTGCCAAATGCAACTTCGTTGTCATTCTTCATTCCCACTCCATTCAAAAACCCGATATTTGGAATTTCATCAACCCGGTGGAGCACGAAGCTTTCCTCAGCCCTTGACTCCGATCCTTCACTAAAAAGCCTAGCATACTCTTCGTCCTGCTTTTGAGCATCCTGGTCTTTACTTCCAAACAGATTTGCATATTCTTCGGGAACGTCTACTTTCTCAGCCTCGCCCACCTTAGGTTTCATTTGAAGCCTCTCTATCTCAAACACCTTCGAGCTATCTCCCACAGACCCAACAAACAGAAGGTTGTTCACATGCCCTACACAACTGGCTACAGAATCTCTTGCTTCAAATTCAAGTGATGCACCTATAATTCTTTTTATGTCCATCGATATCACCAGTCTATATATATCTCCATTCCCATTGAATATCAGGAAGGTGTTTCCCCTCGAGAAGAAGTTCACATCGGAAAGAACTATATCATTAACTGCTTTCTTTCCTTCGCTTGCCTCAGACATCCTATTCAGAGGAATGGAATAAGAGCTGCTCGTCGATCTTATTAGTATCGAATTGTGTGACATGAATACAAGAACTGATCCCGCACATCCCACCCTGAAGGTTCTTGGAGGAACAAGAAATTCATCAATGACATGGAATTTCCCAGCATTCAGATCAATTGAAAACACCATGGCATTGCAACTCTTCACAACAGTATACTTCCTTGGCAATGAGTCGTACACTAGGCATACAGTGGGCATGGAATAGTTTTCCAGAAAAGTAAAGTCCACAGGATTTTTGATCTTTCCATCAATGTCTACAAACTTGAATACCCTTGCGTTGAACGTCCCGGGAAACAAGGGAAAGATGCTGAAGTGTCGCTTGCTCATCTGTAGCATTCCTAGATCTCCACTTATCTTGATCCTTCTTATGTCCTCATCCTTAATGTCAAATTCATCCTTCTCAAAAAACTTCAGAGATATCGTTCTAAACTCGTTTTTTTGAGGATTAAACCTGGCAAGGGAAACCTTAGCCTTGTGGAATAAGAAAGCCAGCCCATCTTCATTGGGAGATATTCTATACTTTTCTACCTGGCAGACTTTTTCAAGCAGTATGTCTTCCTTCACCAAAACCAAGCCAGAGCTGTATTTCCAGAGTTTAATAATGTTTCCATTGTATGTCAGAAATGAGGGTGTCCCCGGTACAAAGAACCCTGCAGAGCACCCCTCGACACCATTCCACGGGCTCTCCTGTGAATACAGGTAGTTCATTGGGGTTACATTTTCCTGGATCCAAACTCGTATTTTCAGCAAGAGTGCAGCCATGGTAAATTTTGTGCTTGAGATAAGTAGGAAAAAGATCATGGATTTAATATGGATTCTGCCTGGCAAGCTTCCTTGTATCTTTTACAATCGATAAGAAACTAATCCCCAATGCCTCCTTGAATGCGAGTATCACTCTTGACATCACCAGAACATAGTATATAGAAGTAAAAACAAAACAAGCGCCTATAAGAGGCCTCTTGAACTCCCTGAAGTGCTTCAGTTGCAAAATGGCAGAAATTACAAGATACATCAGATATACCGGGGTGAATAGGAAGAGGTCTTTCTTGATTATGTAAGAGCACACCTCGTTCACATAACTTATCGAGAATATCTGCCCAAACATCAGGATGTTTAGATACTGCACCCACAGCTTTTCTGTTGTGAGGGTGTTATACAGAATGACAAACGAGGTAGTAAAGGACATGATCCTTAGGAATGTCGAGTATAGCAAAAATCTCTTTGGTGGGTTTGTCTTGGACTCTATTGATATCAGAGTTAATGCGGTGTTGAGCACCAGAGACGTTGCAATGACTGCTGAAACTGCACTAAAATTGCTTGTTCCTAGTATTGAGGAGTAGAACTTCTTGACAGGCCAGAGAAACTCGTCTGAGAAGACATAATGGAAGAACCCCTTTCCACATGCAAAGGTGGTCAAGTGTGATATCAAAGCAAATGCTACTCCCTCTGAGGCCCCGCTGATTTTTCCCAGAACGAAATGCCCGGTGAATTTCTCCTCAACTCCAGCAAGATAGAATTGGGTCATAATGGCCAGTGCAAGTATTAGGAACTTCTGTGATAGTCCAAACCCAAAAGTAGATGAAAGCGTTATGCTTGTGATCAGAGCACAGCACGAGTCCACCCCATGATCAAAAAGTTGGCCTAGCGGCGTTCCGGATCCTGTTCTTCTAGCTTGGGCTCCATCCAGATTGTCACATGTAAAATACACAAACATCAAGAGAAAGTTAGCGAGAGAAAGAAAACGCGGGGGATTGCTCAGGTATGGATCAAACAACAATGTCAAGCACAGACTTATGATCATTGCAATAAATCCGCAGAGAGTCAGTGTGTTTGGTGCCACTGTTTCTGGTACTTTTTGTATCATCCACTTTATGTAGTGATGGATTACGTATTTTGAGAGGATGGAGTTGTCTGTTCCGATGAACCTGTGCTTCCTTAGGCTTGAGATCTCGCTTGGGCCTAGCTCCATTTTGAAGAATCGTTTTCCAAGCATGGGGGGAGAATGGTGATTGAATATATATTGGGAGCAGGTGCTTAATTCCCTGTGATAAATTACCATGTAATTCTAAATGTGGAACAAAGAAGGAGCAGAGGAATTGACTGATTTGCAATGGTATTTGGGGGAATGCAAAACCCCTTAAAAGTTATGGGGGGCGCTGATAATGAAAAGAAAAGCCAGTGCAAACAGTTATGTCCAATAAAGATTCCATTGATAGGGCCTCTCAGAGACATGATAGCTAGAGAGGTTGGAGACAAGGCCTCCACGGTGATTGACATTCTTGAGGGTCTTGTGCCCACGGTATCCCCTGAGAATATGTACAGTGAGCTGGTGGAGGCTTTGACTCCTGTGATAGACCAAAAGGCCAAGGGATTGGTAGGAAAAGTCATGGCATACAAAAGAAAGATTTGCAGGGACGGAGACGAATGTAGAGCAAAGAATTGCATTTTTCTGCATGGACGGGACAAAAGGAATGGGGAATGCACATCCGGGGGTTCTGGAATGAAAGGGAAGGAAGAGGGTGCAGATGCTAGCGATACCACCTCGAAAAGAAGGAAGATGGCCGAGCCCAATGAAAACAATGAGGTGGTGTTTAATAAGGTAAACGAATCGAGGCATAATCCAGAGGACCTTAAGGCCTATGCAGCGAGATTTGGAAGGATCACCAATTTCAAGAGACTCAACCCTGAGAAGTACCTTGTTGTTTTTGAAGACCCTGAGTCTGCTAGTGAGCTGGTGAAGTCGTCGGAGCCCGTATTGGAGGATCCTGGAATCAAGAAGTTTTATAACGTTATAGACAATCTTGTCAAGGTCGAGCTTAAAAAGCTGTTTGAGGAGCAGGAGGCCATTATAGATAAGATGTCCACAGAGTTTTCTGCAGCATTGCTTGGACATCTCAGAAACATAAATATCAGGATAAGAAGCCTAGTCATGAAGGACAGGTCTAAGGACAACGGAGGGGTAGACAACAAGAGAGGATTTGACCAAGAGAACAGCCTATACTATAACTGCTTTTGAGAGGCAGGAAGCAACTTTGGCGTTGTTTGTCTTTTTGCTGGCAATAGGTGGGGAGGATATTTATTGAAGCTAATCTTATTATCCCAAGCCCTGATGAATAAGGACAAAATTAAGAAGACTCAGCTGCTCAGTGACTTGGGCAGGTTTAAAGGAAAAAAGATAACAATAACTTTTATCGATGGGAAGTCTATTACAGGAAAGCTTACGTCATTCGATGATGTTGGCAACTGCGTATTAAGAAGGTGTGGGGACTGGAATTATGGCAATACCGTAGTATGCTTGGGAAGGAGCATAGTTCTTGTCTGTATGAATACTCCATACATCCTATGACAGGCTGGGGCTCCATGACAAGCAAATGCCTGTGAAATTTAATAACCGACCAAATAAAGCATATGTCTTGCATATTTATTTCTTCGCAACTACTTCTTTTCCTTTCGAGCTCATTCAAAGAGTCTATAAAACAAATAAAAAGCATTGAAGAGGATATAAATATGGACAAAAAGCGCAATGGCACCTTTGCTTTCTGAGCATTCGATTGTTTCTTTAGTCGTCTTCTCCTCTTCCTCATATAATATTCCTATCCTAGATGTCCAGCATGGTTTGGGCAAAGAAGACCTGAGGTGCTGCTTGAAGTCGTTTAGGGACCTTCTCCAATCAAACTTGTATATTTCTATGAGAAACTTGTGGCTACTATCCGGAACTGTATTTTCAGCGAGAGTAACCTCAATCTCTGCCTGCTGCATTGGCACTATAAGCCCCATATTCGGCCTTACTATGTATTCCCGAGGCTTCGTTGTTTTAATCTTGTATCCGACACTTTCCATAGAGTTGTTCTGCACAACAAAGGTTGAAGACCTTTTATTCCTTTTGATTCTGATTGTTGTTTGTGGCACAACTTTGATGTCCAGCATTTAAAGGGGAGACTCTATTTCTCTTAACTATGCGGTCATCATTGTTTATTATAAAACTTGGCAAGTTCAATGTATGAAGAGTTGAATATGGAAGATTTTGGCCTGCCAGAAGAAGTACAGTCATCAATAAAGTGCCTTTTGGATAGGCACATTGGACATGCCTTGTATATGGTATATCTCGATGTGCTGCCATTAAGTTTGTATCTTTTCCATGCCCTGGGACAGTCTTCTGTACTATGGCATCCTACAGGGCAGTCCTTGCACGTCTTCAGTATGTCTAGATCCTTAGGGCCAGGGCAGCTATCCATCAAATGCCCAAATCCTTTACACCTCTGGCAGTATCTATAGGGACATCGCGCCCTCACATGCCCATCCCGACTACACAAATCACACGTGCTCTCCTTGAGCGTTTTGGTGCACTCTCTGAACTCATGGCCTATCTCTCCACAGCGGAAGCATACAGTTGTGTCACAGAAATATCTCAATTTCCTATCAGTTGGGTTGCCCAAAGAACGAGTCTTACTCTCAGTCTCAACATCCTCGAAGTGGTAAACTAGTCCTAGGATGCTGTACAGAGTGTTTGCGTCAATCTTCTCCAAAGAAATGTGTGGATCGAGCAAACAGATGTCCAGGTCCTCTAGCTCAACAGTTTTGATTCCTTCAGTATCCTTGGCATAGTCCAACAAGGTCAGGGGCTTTTTCATCGCTATCCTCTGTGGTGGACATTTATTGCCCCAGAAATTTGAGAAAGGAAAATTTATTGAAATATTTGAATCTCTTTACTTTTTACGAGGCATCCCCATCTGCTTCTTCTTAGATTCTGTGTTTCCAATGAAATCAGTAGGCTTGAGAACCTGAAATGAACACACAAGATCCTTATCTACATCCATAATCGCCCCAGAGTTCTCAAACTCCCCGCAATAGTTTGGTGCAGAAAACACCGTAACTAGAGATCGGTTGGCGAAAAACTCGTATCCGTCTTCTACCACCTGGTGTGCTCTACATATAAGGTCCAGATTGTGTGTCTCCAGAAATCTTTCCACAGTATCGGGCCCAAATGTCACGGAAACACCTCTATCGTTCTCTCCCCACCCCCTTACACTGGCATCAGGATCGCTCCATAGAAGATCACAGAGAAGGCCTTCGTCAGGGACATCTGTGGGCCTCACAATTGCCTTTATCTGGTCCATACTTTTCAGGTCAGGCGAAATCCCTCCATGCATGCAGAGGATCCTACCATCAACAAGTGCAGAAATGGGAATCCAATTGAAACATTCCGTGAACATCTTCCACACAGTTGTGTCATATCTCCTCTTGCATTCGTCGTAAAATCCGTATATCCTGTTGATGCTGGCACACTCATGGTTTCCTCTCAGAAGAAAGAAGTTGTTTGGAAACTTTATCTTGTATGCTAATAGCAAGCAGATCGTCTCCAGAGACTGCTTTCCTCTATCTACATAGTCTCCAAGAAACAGATAGTTGCTGGAAGGAGGAAATCCTCCGTGCTCAAATAGCTTCAGGAGATCATAGTACTGTCCATGCACATCTCCGCAGATCTTAACCGGGGCTTTTACCTCGACTAGAGTAGGCTGTTTCTTGAACACTTCAGTCGACTTCTCACACAAGTATCTTATCTCTGCTTCAGCAAGATGGACCAGCCTTCCAAGTTTACTGTTCCGAACAGAAAGAAGTTTCTCTATTATTCTATCCAAGTCAACCTTTTCGTTACTCATCCCCGTAACCCCTGCCAAAAATTTAAAAAAATCAATAGCTTTCTATGAAGCCCTTTCAATCTGGAGCCTTTCCTGAGAGAAGGTAGTAGCAAGCCACAAGATTTATTATTTAAGACTAAGGATCACCCTCCAAGGCTCTTCAGATCGCTTTTTAGTTTTGACTCTCTCAGAATCAAGTTCAGCTCCTTCACAGATAGCTCTTCTCCATTTTTCATTCTGCCCTTTAGACCTTCAATCTCCTTAAGATCACTCAAAATCTCATCCTTGGTTCTTCCATTTGGCTTTTGCTGCCTTGCCCTCTCCTGTTTCTTGGCCACATTGCTCTCAAATGCAGCCTTCGGTATAAAGCTATGGATGGAGGGCGGAACGTACTTTTCCTGAATCTCGATGTTCAGCTTTTCAGGCTTCTCTATCTCAATGAACTCTTCCGTCTCTCCATAGACACTGGAGGAAAACAAAGACTCAAATCTCCTTTCGTCTACCTTTCTCCCATAGTAGTCATAGAGTGTTATCTTGTTATCTTCTTGGAAGTAACTTGTTGTTGAAATATAAAAGTATGACCCGTTTTCTTTCCAGTTAACCAGAGATGCTCCAAGTACATTGAACTTTGCTATGAGCTTTCTTGAAGGAGCATGAAACACTTCTATATCCCCAGAGAGGTTATCAAATCCTGCAAATACAGCAACATTCTCGTGCTGGTTGAAGAATACCCTATTTCTGGTACCTTCTGGAAAGTTGTGCTTCAGTTTGCCATCCAGCTCGTGAACCGAGACATCGCTAGGCTGTGGCCCGTGGCATACCACAAATCCACTAGAGAGAAAGGCGTACGAGTGAACAGGCGAGTATCCAAGGCTTTTGAAAGACCGTCTATCAATGTCATGCAAATATAGGTCGGACTCCGGGAAATAGCTGTTGTTCACATAGGACGTCATCAGAAGAAGCAATACGTATCTTCCAGACTCATGTGCTTTCAAGGTAAATCCTTGCAGTTCTTTCAGGCTATGGAGGACTTCTACCGAGCTTTTACTTATACGCAGAAGCCTGTGCATTCCATCCTTCTCGAGCCTTCTTGTCGCAAGAAAAACAAATTCTCCAGAAATAAAGAACTCTAATATGGAGACCTTTGATGTGTGGAACGGGCACTCTTCTATTTTATCCTCTTTGATCTGATGAATGAAAAATGATGAATTCGAGACATATCCAACCAAGGTGTTGGAAATTCTAAACTTGGATACATTCTCTACCTTTAGCATAACCCCGTCTTTCCCAAAAACCACCATTTCCCCCTTGCCATTAGCCACTCCTACATTCTTGCCATCATCGGACATCTCAATCTCTCTGGGCCTTTCCATCTCCGTCTCCAGAATCATTTTCTTATCTTTTAGATCGTAATACTTCACCTGATTGCCTTTGATCCACGCAGCCTTGCCAGACTTCAAAGCATAGTAATCACATCCAACCCAAGATGCATTCTCAGCAAACACATCAAATGTAAGTCCATTTTCACAATGAGCTACAACAGGCATTAGGGGTTCAAAACTGAAAGCTGATCATTCCAGTCAACAGGTGTTCTGGTAGTCCAGCATTAAGCGAAAGACTCTGTTTGCACAATGACAAAGCGAGATATTTTAATTCATTATGTCTTTTGATAGCCTGATGTAGAACTCTTTGGAGAGACTGGCCATTGGGTCGAAAACACATAGATAACTCTTGGCAGGCGACTCAGGCCACTCTTTAGCCTTTCTCAGTAATCTTTGCGAAGGGAAGCTCCCGCTCTTACACAGGGTAAGGATGCGAAGAAGTACCATCTTTGGAGAAAGCAGGGGAATTTTCTCGGCTTGGATGCTGAAGTTGCTGCTATATACTCTTTCAATCCACAAGGATACGTTTCCTCTAGTGATGCTTTCGGAATTGCCTAGTCCTTGGAAGTTCTGCTGGAAGTGCAATGGATTTGAAAACTTGTCTATAGCACCCCTGTTGAATTCAAAGGTTTCTCTTTGGTTCCTCAGAAGCAGGTCGGGATTTACTTCTTCTCCCTTGATGTTCTTTAGCTGCTCTTCTACAATTGTCCCACTCATTTCTGGTTTTTCTAGCTGACGATAAAGGAAGTTTACAAACTCCTCCTCGTTAGCAAGGCTTTCAAACGACAGGTTGAATATGAAATCCACACGCCCTTCAGTGTGCTTAATATCGTGCCTTGACAGATCCTCAAACTGCGCAAGCTCATCCCTCTTTCTCAGCTGGAACTTATTCCCAAACGCATACTGGTTTTTATCTGCAAGCATCGCTAATCCCTTCATGGCCTGCAGATTCACAACTATGTCGTCATCTTTCTTGACCTCTGAAAGTATTTTATAGGCCGTGTTGTAGTATCCCAGGTAATACAAACACTGGGAGGCAAGGACCTTGCTTCCTTCAGTGTCTATGCGTTTCAGAATCCTGAGTGCCTTCTTATACTTTTTCAGCTTGTATAGTGCATAAGCCCTTTCAAAGGAATCTTTCTCTGCATATCTTAAAGCCTCTTCAAACTTTCCCAGGTTGATGTATGCAACCACCCGGAATTGGTTGAATTCCGGATGTTCTAAACGAGATATTTCTTCATGGCAGTCGTTTTTGACCAGATCGTGTAGATTCATTAGGGTGGCATGTTCATCGAATTTTACCTGCCAGGGATTTCACAGGGCACGGGCTGCAAGCCTATTCCCTATGTATTTAAAAAAGTAGCCTTGCGCTCTGTGTCCAATTTATTTAATCCTCTTTATCAATTGTTTACAAAATAAGGGAAATGCATGCTAAGGAGCAGGTTAAGGCTGTCATTCTTGTGGGAGGATATGGGACGAGGCTAAGGCCGCTGACATACACCGTTCCAAAGCCCCTTGTGCCTTTTGCCAACAAGCCCATCCTAAGACATCAGATAGAGGCACTAGTCGGTGCTGGAATCAAGGAGATCATCCTGGCACTCAACTATTATTCAGAGCTTATAATAAGAGAGGTTAGGGATTACTCAAACGAGTTTGGGATTAACATCATCTATTCTAAGGAGCAAGAGCCTCTTGGAACAGCAGGCCCATTGGCACTTGCTAGAAAGTATCTTGAGGGCCACACCTTCTTTGTACTTAATTCAGATATAACATGTAGATTTCCCCTGAGGGAAATGCTTGCCTTTCATCTCTCTCACGGAAAGGAGGGAACCATTCTGTCCACCGGGGTGAAGGATCCAAGCAGATACGGACTCATTATCACAGAGGAAAACACAAACCTCATTCGAACATTTCTTGAGAAGCCCAAGAATGCAACATCGAACAGGATAAATGCAGGGATATACATACTTAATCCCTCTGTGCTGGACAGAGTGGAGCTCAGAGAGTGCTCCATAGAGAGGGAGATCTTTCCGAAAATGGCGGAAGAGCGCCAGCTTCAGGTATTTGATCTCGAGGGATTCTGGATGGACATAGGGCAGCCAGCGGATTACATAAGAGGCCAAGGAATGTATCTGGAGTACTATAAAGAGGCAGCCATGTGCAGCTATTTGCCCGACAGGAAGATGTTTTCAGTTGAGAGCAATGTTGTCATAGGGAAGAATGTGAAGATAGGAAAGAACGTCACAATCTCAAACAGTGCCATCTTTGATAATGTGGAGATAGGGGACAATGTGACAATAAAGGACAGCATAGTGGGCTGGAACGCGAAGATAGAAGACAATGTAACCATAAATTCTTGCTGTGTTCTGGGATATGCCACAACGGTTGAAAAGTTCTCTATCTTAACTTCAGTCAAGACGTTGCCTGACAAGACACCATTTAAGCTTCTCGAAGACATTTAGGCTTGTCTTCTGCCTCCTGCTTGTGTGAATAAAATCAAAGCCGAACTCTTTTATTTTTTGTGTGAAGAGCTTTCTCAGTGTTTCTCTGGCAGATTCTTCTATTAGCCTCCAAGAAATCCACAGACTTCGGACTGGCGCCGGAAAGAACAGTATATGCGCCAAGGATTTTCGATTGTATATATGGAGATCCCCCGTTCTCCTTGGCGTTAGCACAATACATCTCAAAAAATGTGTCTTTCATCCTGTCCCTGCTTACACTCGGTGATATATCCAGGATCATTTCAGCCTCTGCCTTCGACATCCTGTCTCTGAGCATGGCCTCGGAAATAGTGCTTGCCATTGCTTTGAAAAGCACCTTGCCACCCTCCTTGAAAAACACTACTAGATCCTTTCCAACCCCCATGGGCCTAATTCTCCATTCTCCCTTATATTTCAATGCAGTCCGTTATCTCCTTATATGTCTTTCCGTCAAAGAGATATTCAAAGCATATCTCTTCTACCCATTCCCCTCTGAGAGGCTCAGAACCCTGGGGCACTTCCGAAGCCCATCTGAAATTGGGAATACTCAGTGGCTCCCTTAGATCTATGTATCTCCTGAGTATGCTTTCAACTCCACTCTTATTGCCAGCGGAAATAAGCTCCAGGAGTTTCTCTTTCTCGAGCATGAAGTCTGTGAAATGAATTAGGAAGTTTGTCGGGCTTTCAACCTCAAGACGCATCTCCAGAGAAATCCAGGTCCTTTCATAATCCCACCATACACTGAACATACCTTCCTTGTGTAGGAGAACCGGGGCTTCTTGTCTTTCTGATGCATTTTCTCTTTCTCTCCTTACAAATCCCTCTACAAAAAGCTTGAATGTTTCAAAGGCTAGAAACGATAGACTTCTATCCTTGTGACCAAAGAATGTTACAAAGTAGTCCATGCTGTGGAAGATCTCTGTATGAATCATAAGCATCATTTGCTTTCTGGCAAAACGTCTCTCTCTCAGGCTTAGGAACTCCATTACCCAACTCTTCTTGGACTTCATCAGGCTGAAGAAGTTCTTGCATTCATAGTGAGGATTCCGTAATAGCTTCAGCAAAGCAGAGTCAAACAATCCGGGGGATACTCTATCCAGTAATGGGAACATATGCTCTCTCAAATATGAATTCCTGAAGTGTTTTTTAAGAGTGGACTCGGGTATTTCGAGCTCGATGCCAATGCAATAAAGAAGTCGATACGATATGGAAATCAGTTGCACGTTTTTAAATACATCCAGCGCCTTTACAAGGAGCTTCGACACTTTGTGATGAGAAGAGGGGTGTCTTGCTAGATAGTCCCTGAAGCAGGTGAAGAACTTCTCATAATCAGACGGATCCGTGTGGTCTTGTTTGATTTTAAGAAAGTTCTTTATCCAAACGTCCATTAATGCACTTTCTGGGGTGGGAAGGAGCCAAAATCTCTAGAGCACTGTCTCAAAATCGCTATTTATTAGGACAGGCACTGCAGTGGATCTACTGAAAAAATTTTCTGGAAGGGGTCCCTCGAAATGGACGCCGAAATGAAAAAGCAAGACATAGACGTGGCAAGCAACATGGAGACTATGAAGGTCTGCATAGACATGGCAAGCCTTGAAGAGAAAAGGATCAACAAGGTGTGTAGGGAGTTCTACGAGTACGGGAAGACATTCATCGATAATCTGCAGAGAGAAGTAGTCTTGCCCAAAAAGATTGAGAGCATCACAACGCTCAGGAACCCATCTGGACAGGGAACAAAGAAGTGGAGCAGATATAAGATGATTGTTCATCTCAGGAACTTTTATCTTGAAGCCACGCACCAGCAGTTGGAAAAAGTTGTCCAGTTTCTCAGGAACTTCCCCCATGTTGAAATTAACCTAAGCATTCAAAATTAAAGTTCGTTGAGTTATGTTCTTAAGATTTTATTGGTGGCAGAGTTGCATCTAAGAACCTCCAGTCTTGTAGCATCCTCACCCTTCATTATCGCAATAGTAGTCATCTTCGAAGGACCTTTCAAACTGAAGCTTTGCATTTTGAAAAAGCTTGATTTGCTGGTTGTGAAGTTCCTCCATGGACAGACCTGAATCCTTGAATTTGTCAATTTTTGATGGCTTCTGCTTGATGTAATTCTCATAGTTTCCGTGCTCCTTCACACAATCATCGATATAGTTTTCAAATCCAAGGTTCTTCAATGCCTTGTAGACATGCTCATAGCTTATTGTCTTTTTCTTCTCCTCCTCACAGGCTTTGTTTGCCTCCAGCGTTAACATGTTTAGGAAATAAATGCATGCATTCTGGAAAATTTCTTTGGATTCCTTTGGAACAACGGAGTTCTTTGGGAGCATAGACGATACCATCTTGTCGACAGTGGCCTTTGGCAATGTATTTTCATCATCATTTCTTTCCATATTTACGTTCAATTCTTGCTAGGATGATATTTATGGATTTTGAATAAGTTTGTTTTTGTGTGAAATAAATGTGATTATGCAAAGCGGGATAACCTCTTAGCACTTTCCATGTCTTTATGCTCTACATGGATGCCGAATTCATAAGTGGCGTTGTTGTCTCGTACTCCAAGCTCCTCAGGGAAATAAGCGGAATGAAGAAGGAGATCAAAGAGATCTTGGCAACTGTTCGTAGTGCCCTATCCCGGATGAGCACAATCTGCAGTGCGGGTCAAGCACACCCTGTACCACTTAGATGTGAATGTCTAGGCAATACCCGGATGTCCTCTTTGGATGATAAAGCAGCCTTAATACTTCCAAAAAAGTCTCTGGATCGTTGTGAAGTATCGCCGAGGAAGAAGAAGGATTATCACAGAGTCCCTTCAGCTTCCAAAGGTAAGGGCAAAAGATGCATGCAGAATGCCTGCGATGTAAATCCTTGCTTCTTCAAGGAGGTCGAGAGAGAAGTATGCCACGCACAATGCTCGGATGATGTGTCTTATTGAAGCAATGTTCTAAATGTGTGAGATGCGGAGGCCTAAATTCCTTGGATTATCTTGCCCCATGATCGAAATCCAGACTAGGTCGATTCCTATCCATCCTAAGAAGATGAGAATGATGAAAGAAGAATGGATGAAGATATACACGCCAATAGTCGAAATATGCAAGATCCAGATACGCATGAACATCAAGGGAAGATGTGTGGAGATGAGGACGTGCGAACATACTGAGGATCCCTCCTACTTGGAAAGATCTGCTCAGTACATTGAGGCTGTAAGCATTGGATTTCCTATTGATGATGCAATTGCAATACTCAAGTTCAGTGATGTGTTTTTGGACCGTTTTGAAATATCCGAGGTTAAAACGCTGAGGGGGCACCATGTTGAGAGGGCCGTTGGAAGAATCATAGGAAGGGAAGGAAAGACAAAAGATGCCATAGAAGAGTTTAGCAGGTCGAAGATCATTGTGCAAGAACAAATGATACATTTTCTTGGGACGATTGAAAACATAAGAATAGCAAAGGATGCGGTGTGCAGGCTTATAATGGGGTCCCAGCCAGGAAGTATCTTCAATAGACTACGGATCATCAACTCGAGGCTCAAGGAAAAGTATGGAGGGATTCAGACAATATATAACGAGTTTGAGAAGAGATAGGCACAACTACATAATAAATGTTTTGGATGCTCTATTATTCTTGAGGAAAGTGAACCCCGAATGGGGATTTCTGGGCTCTTGCCCATTGTGGCTCCTAAACTAGTGAAAAGACATATATCAAGCTACAAGCACCAGAGGATAGGGATTGACGGGCATGCATGGCTGTATCAAATTCTCTCCTTTGTGTCTGAGGAGATATTTTTCAAGGTTCCTACAAAGAAGCACATAGCCATGTTTGAAGAGAAAGTGAGGGTGCTAGAAAATTATGGCATCACGCCTGTTGTTGTCTTGGACGGAGACACACTCCCAAGCAAAGAGGAGACAAACAGAAAGAGGCAAGTCAAGAAGGAAAGGAATAGAAAGGAGGCCGAGCATTGGCTAATGAAGAACGACCCAGAAAAGGCCAAGGGATTTATGCGGCAATGTATAACTGTCACAAGGGAGATTGTGTCTGACATTGTGAAGATGCTGGAAAGAATAAACGTCGAGTATATTATCTCGCCCTATGAATCCGATGCTCAGCTTTGCTATCTCCAGAGAATAGGCTACATAGACTGCATCCTTACAGAAGACAGCGATCTCATTCCATATGGATCTAATAGAATACTCTACAAATTTGACTGCACATTTGTACAAGAGTTTACCAGAGACTGCCTTACGGAGGCAAGGGGCAAGGATTTCGAAGAGAACATTCTTGATATCTCCATATTGAGCGGATGTGATTATTTGGCTTCTATACAGGGCATTGGGGTTGTGACTGCTCATAAGCTCCTCTCCAGAGAGAAGACTGTTGAGGGGGTGATTGAGTATCTACGGCATAGAAAACCCGTCCCGAGCGGCTACTTAGATGACTTCCTTAAGGCAAAAAAGACATTTCTGCACCAGGTTGTGTATGATCCCATACAACAGAAGAGAAGATATCTCCGGGACCTAAGAGAGAAGCTGGACTTTCTGGGCACACTAAAGGAGGAGGAATATAGAATTGAAGACGGGCCCTTGGAGTCATTCTTCAAAGCACCAAGGAAGATAAGAGCAATCAAAAGACACTTCATACCGGCCATAAAGAAAAGAAGATCTGAAGCATCTGAAATTAAGAGAGGAAAAAAAGAAAGGCATGAGGCGAAAGTGGACATTCATATACACTCTCCATACTTTAACTAATAAAAATGAAGAATCAGAAGAAAGTTTTCATCAGCATTCAGCCAGGGATAACTTTATCATCATCACTTTCTTGGGGGACCCTTTTTTTTGTTTTTTATAGGAACTTGAAAATGAGGCAAACTCAGGAGTTACTTCCTGCACAACCCGTAAATACAAAAATCTGTTTATTGCCGAGGATTTCTGCCAAATACATTTTGAGTAGTGTTTCTGTTGGGGAGTGCAAACTTTGCGCCTAGGAAGATATGGTCCGAAGGAAAATGCATGTTTGGAAGGCCTGCAACATTTTCAGTGTACTCGTCCTCTATTGGAGACAACACCGATGTCAGCATTATTCTGCTGTCGTAAAATATGTAGTCAATAACGTTTTTGAATATGGGTGTGAAGTTGGTGAACCCAAGGTCTTGATTTATGTAGGAGTCATTAAGCCTCAAGCCATCTCCAAACTCCTGGGTAGAAAAGTGACGCGCAATATCCCCAAAGTCTGCTAAATCTACTGTCCTGGTAGTTATTGACTTGTAGACTGATGAGGACCTGAGGGAATTGAAGTCTCCCTGCAGAAACAGATATGCATTTGGATGTCTTGAAACTATCTTTCTGATTTCCTCAATAAGTAGAATCACTTGAAGCAGCTTGACATCTGGGTAATCAGGATCCCAGAAGATGTGGGTGTTTACAACCAATATCTGTTGCCCATTGGGCCTCTCGAGAAGTGCCCCAATTGCCACGTTATCCTTCTTTCCGTATCTTTCAAGCAGCTCTTGATTGGTATTGAATCTTGCATCCTGAGATACCTTCTGATAGAAGTCAATAGGAAACTGTGCAATCAGCCTAAACTTGTTTCTCCTCCAGAAGATTGCACATCCGTCGACTATCTTCTTGTCTGGAACACTCTTTACCCTTCCCCGTGGATAGATGATTGAATCGTAGCTGCACCTCATTTCAAGCTGCTCTTTGTAGAAATCAAAAAAGCTGTAGAGCTCGATCTCCTGAAGGCATAGTATATCCACATTGTACAGAACTATTTCCTGTAAGATTCCCTCTCTTCGGAACTCCGGGTTAATGACCCATGACGGTGCATATGTCAGCCTTGCTGCCCAAAGATTCGATAGGATGTTGAAGGTTCCAACACTTATTGTGTCGCTATAGAAAACATTCTTGTTCAGGTTTTCTATCCACGGCCTATCATTCGGAGGAGGATACCCCGTGTTATGCTCCCTACAGAACTGAAGAAGCTTCTTATCCCTTACAAGAGTGTTAAACGGGACTATCAGTGGATTGTTAGCTATCTCAAGATTCTCGAGATTATAGAGCGTTCCTATCTCCATCGGAATGTTTGAGATCAAGTTGTCACTCAAGTTCAACTCCTTCAGACTGGCAACCTTCCCAATTTCTGGAGGAATGCTTCTGATCTTGTTTTTGCTGAGATTGAGCACCTCAAGGCACCTTAGCTTGCATATCTCCTTTGGAATGATCTCTATCTCATTATTTGAAAGATTCAATACTCTAATGAACCTCATATCAAACAGAGACCTGGAGATGTTTCTTATTCCTTGAGAACAAAGATCAAGACCTGTCCACGGCTCCTCACAAGCCTCGGCAGTCCTTCCAAGGGACTTTCTTCTTGATGCCAAACACTCTTCTCCCATGCCCAAGGGTCCTTGTCCAGAAAATCTTTCACAATCACCATAAAAATTTGTAGGCTCAAAACAGGCCTTAAGAACCATTCAATAAGTTTAAGATTCCTAAGCGTCTTTTAATTCTTGGTATGATGGTTGACATCAACAATGTAGTTCTTCCCGAGCAGTCCATTAAGCCCTGCCCCTATTGCGTCCATCTCAGATCTACTGAAGGATGTCCTTCTTTCAAGAAGAACGTTCACAACCATGTCATTAACTCCACGCACGTCTGTCCTTGTTCCTGTAAGTAGAAATGGAAAGCAGGCATTTGCTAGCCATGTCTTTTCAATCGTGGACCTGGATGCAGGCCTTCCGTCTTCGTGGGATTCAATTTCAAAGTTTCTAATGAAAATTATATAATAGTCATGGAACTGCTGCTTAGCTGCCTTCATAATATTGGTGTAATTCATCTGCACCCCAGGCAGAATGCTCTTTGGAACCTTAACAGCCATAACTTTCTCTCCGTTGTCGCATATTATTATCTGAATGGCTATCTTGCCGAACATCTCAGATGGGGCAGAGATATCCTTTGCATGCTTCCTGATTATCTCCGAAATATTCACTTCAGCCTCAGTTTGCGTGCTCATAGACAAAGGGTCAAATTTTTTCACTTTTTTGAGGAGAGCCTAACGGCCCTTCTTGAAGGATATCGATGAAAACTTATAAACAAACAGTCTCCTTTATTCATTGTTGAAAACAACAACTCTGCGCAACGCCTCTTCAAACTTCTCGTAGTTGATGTTCTCAGTGATTATAGAGCCTCCTCCACTGGGATTGACATAGTGGTGCAGGATTCTTTGCTGCGACTTGTTCTGCTCAGTAATACAGAATTGCGGCGTTGGGAGCCTTTCCTCACATAGTGTCCTAGCCATCTCTTCGCTATCCCTTAGTATGCTCTTGAGGAACTCATACTCAGGCTGTTCGTGATACCCTTCTCTGACCCACTGTGCAAAATACTCTCCTTTCCATACTACAACATTGTGGAACGTGTCCAGCACAAGGATTACATCCGGCTCCAAAGACTTGCTGTCCACCTCAACTGCCTTAACCCCGCCTTGGTAGTGGTACGAAACAAGAGTGGGCTTGATGAGCTTCAATGCATCTGACACCTTCTGGTTGTACAGAAGCGTCAAGTAATATGCAGTCTCGTCAGGTGAATTGTTTCCTGTTTGGACCAGAAGGCTTCTTCGGAAAAAGAACATATAGTTTGGATAGTATGCCATGGAGTCGGGAAGAACTAGTGACGAAGGCTCTCCTTTATCATATCTAGCAAACGCCTTAGTAAATCTTATGAGATTCTTATCGATCATCCTTTCGCAATCCTTTATCTCCTCATACTTCTTTAGAAGAAGGAACCTTGCCTGGAAAACTGCAACAGCTTCCTGGTCAAACCCACATATCACGTCTTCTCTCGAGTCCGTAAATAGCCTGGCAAAGGTCGTCACCCTCACCAGAAGTTTCTTGTCACTCCTTTGGTACTGTGTAATCAACTGAACATATCCAAAATCACCATGCTTTGCCTCGGGCTTTTTGTCAAAGAGAATCGAGATGTTGGTCGACGGAAACACAGACCCCATCCTCCAGCATCCACCAGAAGACTTTCCCTGCCCAATAATCCCTTTGTACTCAAGGTTCTTGCTTGTTTTCACCTGCATCTTTACATTGAATCCTTGTGCCAGATGCCCTTCTTTGCTTCTATTAAGTATCTTGTTACAGGACGAAATGTAAATATCTCTATCAAAGTCCTGCGCCATTATTAGCATTCCTCCAGTCATTGCAGTTAGCCTCTCCATGTGACATATCCCTACATCAACTATAGTCGCCGCAAGAATGTCAAGGCTGTGCCCAACACTATTCATCCTCTCGCCTAGGCTCGTATAGAACTTCCTTGCAGGGCCTGCATACATCGGGTCGTTCTCTTCAAGATGGTCGTTTCTCCCTTTTTCCTTAAACTTTATTGGTGTCGTCGTTCCAGGCCCAAATGTGCAAGGTCCTTGAGTAAATAGAAGATACTTCACAGCTGTGTCAGGAAAGTTTGTTTCCAGTAAAGCAAAGGCTAGAGATACTGCGGAGCCCGTACACCTTACAGGCTTGTATGCTGTGAGAACAGGAAAGGGATCCTTCTCAAGATTCTCAGCCACATCATACAAAAAATCATAGCATTCGCTCTTCTTCTTCAAAAACCTGCCTACAATCTGTGACTCAGACTTCGCAGTTGTATTCAGAGACTTCAGAACCTCCGCATTATACTCCTTCTTCCCAGAAAACAAATGTGTTTTCCGCGGTAATGTTGTGCTAAGCTCCAGAAGCTCAATGTTTGTCCCATACTTAATAAACCCGACTAATGCATCGTCAGGAATCCCTTCTAACACCGCCTTGAGCGCATCCTTCAGAAGAATGTGTCTCTGATCATCAAACGTACATATGTCAACAATAAGGAAAAACACAGTAGGAAAAACGCTCTCCCTGCTCAGCACATACTCGACTGTCGAGCTCTGCGGAAGTAATTCCGGCAGAAGGTTGTCAGGTGTGATCCCTCGCGCATGGCTTGGCAAGGTTGTGTTGCTATTACATATCACACAGTTCCAGGTTTGCCTCCCAAAGTCGATGTTGCAGTGAGGATTCAGGACTCCATTGCAGCTCATACAATATATAGGCTCGCATTCGAGAATGTTTGTTTCCTGATGGATGTTGTACAAACATGCCAGGGGGACCTTTGCGGTGGCATCACCTTTGGAAGGCCACACATTCCAGGTGAGACGAACACCATCACTCTCCTCTATGTTTCTGATCTCCTCCTCCATAAGGGCTAATAAAAATTTCCGTAAACAACCAAAACTCAATATCTAGGCATGGATTTATCATAGCTTCGAAATCCTTAAGGTAAGCATAGATGAACATTAAGAAACCCGTCTCTTCACCATTCAAACCCCTCATCGGATTATCTTGTACATGTTCGCCCCCTTTTTGATAATCAATCCATTGTGGTTGAGTGCATCCACAAACTCATTGACAGGCTTGCTTGAATCAAAGGATGCTACTAGTTTACACAGCTCCTCTCTGCTGATCAGGTATTCCCCCCTCCCATTGGCATACTCTCTAAGCACCTGAGAAAAGTCTCGGCTCTTCTTGCTTCTGGGCATCTTTTCTCCGGGAATAAACGTCCTCTTGTACAGCTCAATACAGAAGTCTGCATCTGCCTTTGTTGCTATGCTTCGGAGATCAACCTTTGCCTTTGCTTCAGTCAACCTAACCAAAGACTCCAGATCCCTTGTCGAAACCCCTCGCCTCTTTCTCATAGACATGTACCATTCTCTTATGGTCTCCTTTGCCGACCTGTTCAGAACAGGAAACACATTTGCTCGGGCATATGAAATGTACTTTCTTATTATCTCCACGGGATATGTGCACCCAGAACACCTTATATTCTCAATAAATTCGTCCCTCCTAATGGCCTCTATGACATCATTAAATCCATTCCTTATCCCTGGAGATGATGTCTGCCTTTTCTTCAGAACCTGCCCAGATATCATGTAGCTTTCCTTCTCAGACAGATCGTCTAAAAGAAGGAAAACAAGATCGAATCTTGACAGAAGCCCTGGATCAAACCTTATGTTCTCTTCCATCGTCTTGGTCTTGTCAAAGTGCCCGCTCCTTGGGTTGGTTGCCGCTATCACAGTGGATCTTGTTGGGACATTGCAAATAACCCCTCCCTTCGCTATGCTTACCCTTTGGTCCTCCATAGCTTCAAACAAGGCTGCATGATCATCTATCTTATCAAACTCATCCAAGCAGCATATCCCATTGTCTGCCACCACAAGTGCCCCCGCATCAGCCATATATTCTCCAGAAACAGGATCGTGTGTTAAGGACACAGTCAATCCTGCCGTGGTGGTGAAGTTCCCACTCACATAACTACTCTTCGGAAGAATCCCACATGTGCTGAGAAGAAGCCTGCTCTTTCCAAGCCCCGGGTCCCCAACAATCAGAACATGTGTCTCAGATCTAATCCCATGTTGTCCAGCACTTTTCCTTGTTCCTCCAAACAAGGAGAGTACTAGTCCTATCTTTATTAGCTCATTTCCGTACACAGAGGAATAAAGTGAATGGACAAGCGAAGCCAGTGTGTTTTCTGATTTCGCTATCCTTCTAAACTCATCAAAGTCCTTGCTCTGATATTCAAGGTTTTCTACAAAGAAGTTCTTGTTCTTGATGATCTTCAGATTATTTATATGAACCGTCAGCCTGTAGAGATTGTCGCTTTCCAGCTCAACCCCGAGTACCCCGACAATCTGCACAATGTCTCCAGGGGCCAATGTCCCTACAAACTCGTCGTAAAGAATACAGTCTACAGATCTTGGAATCCCGCTTCCATCCTCTCCAGTTCCCCCATAGAGCTCCTGTATCTTTATTTCTTGGATGTCCTTACACTCCATTTCATGATGATTTCGTATGAGGACAAAGCTTCTTGAGCTGCAAGATCCTTTGCATACCCCTGGAGGCCTGTACACATTGTTCTTAACATCCACACACGCCACATCTCCACATTTCGTGCATTCAAAGAACATTTTGGTGCTGACAACCCTTCTGAATCCTACTCTACAGACAGTTCCCGTCATAAAGACAAGCTTCCCTAGATTGGCTCTGTCAACGTCCCCAAAGTTTCCTTCGTTGTGCTGCGTCTTAACCCTAGTGCTTATCCTTATCGATAGGTGCCCGTTGTCATACAGATGCTCGGAAATGGCGCATGACACACACAGGAGCAAGTTTCCTGCATTTGTGTCCAGCAACTTCTTCTCAACAAGGTTTTCGAGGTGCTCCTTCGATATATGGTAGGTTCTGGACTCCAGAATGCTATCCAGACTATCTCCATCCAATTCATTTTTTAGCCGCTTCTTTATTTCAAGTATTGCCTGCACAAGCTCGTTGAATGCAGTAAACTCCTCCTCTGGAAAGTACATGCTCCATGTTTCTATATGCATCCCTTCTGTTCCAGGTCCTATTTAAATATCCCCAGACGAGAAGAATGAAAAGGACGTCTTTTTGTGATATCTAGGGCATGAGGAGTAACTGCCCTTCTATGTGTAGGACAAAATCACCAATTTTTTCTCCCCTGCAAAATGCCTCAAAACGACTTTGTGGAAAGGCATATAAAGAAGTATGGGAGGCGTCTGGACTACGAGATAAAGAAGTATAAGAAGGAAAGAAGAGAGGAGAAACTGGTGTCAAAGAAGGCAAGCAAGCTCTTTGGAATAAAGGCAAAGCTGTTTGCTAAGAAACAGCGCGCTGCAAAGATCCAACTGAAGAGGGACATGAAGGTGAAGGAATCTAGCAAAAAGAATATAGAGGTTAATGTTGAAAGCAACCCACTTCCGCACTTCTTGCTTGACAGAGAGATGGAGGAAAAGGCCAGAGACATCAACAACAAGATCAAGCAACAAAGGCAGGAGAAGGGATCGAAGTACTCTGTCCCCTTGCCTAAGATCCACCCTCTTCCGGAGAAAGAGGTGTTTGGGGTTGTTGTGAGTGGAAAGCGCAAATCTAAGCACTGGAAGAGAATGGTTACCAAGCCTTGCTTTGTTGGAAGCGACTTTACTAGGAAACCTCCAAAGTACGAGAGGTTCATAAGGCCTATGGCAATGAGGTTCAAGACTGCACATGTAAGCCATCCGGAATTGAGTTCGACATTCAACCTCAAGATAATAGGGCTGAAGAAGAATCCCCACTCGGAGGTCTACACCGGCCTTGGGATATTAAGCAAAGGAACTATTATAGAAGTGGATGTTAGTCCCCTTGGGCTTGTCAACGGGTCTGGCAAGATCATATGGGGAAAGTATGCCCAAATAACAAACAACCCGGAAAACGATGGGTGTGTGAATGCCGTTCTTCTGGTATAAATGAGAGACAGATTTGCTTAAATAAACCATGTTTTGCAGGTCTGCCATATTGGGAATCAGGAAGACAGAAACATCCTAACATACTACTAGATTAACTAAACCAATTTAGCTTTTTATTCTTCGTGATTCTTTTCATTCATCAGGATCGTTGATGCCCTGTTCCGTAATTGCAAACACTGCTTCCGACTCCGGGAGACAGGGAGAATCATATATTTTGCATATTCTTGTTTCTCCCCTTCCTTTCCTTAGGTAAAGCCTTGTTGTGCTTGCATGTGCCATGATATTCCCTCCTATTGGCTTCTTGATATCTCCAGCAAACATCCCAACAGCCCCATCCACATTAGAAACAACCTGGTTGGTGATAATAACAGCAACACGGAATGTTTCTGCAAGGTTTACAAGGCTACGGAGATATTTCGCCAAATGCAGCTGCCTAGCTCCAAGCTCTCCCCTTCCGCTAAAGTCCGTCCTGTATAAGGCTGTTGCAGAATCAATTATAAGAACTGAGTACTTTGACTCAGACATCATTGCAGATGCCTTGATCAGAAGTTGTGACTGGTGGTCTGAATTGTACGCACGAGCATATGATATGTTATCCATAACCTCATTCGGGTCTAGCCCAAACCTCTCTGCTATTGGGACCAATCTTTCAGATCGGAATGTTCCCTCAGTGTCTATGTACATGGCCTTTCCTCCTCCCCCACCTTGCTCAGGAGGCAGCTGGCATGTCACCGCAACCGTATGGCATAGCTGTGTCTTTCCCGTTCGGAACTCTCCAAATATCTCTGTTATGCTTCCTGATTCAAACCCACCATTCAGCAGCTTATCCACCTCCGAAGATCCAGTAGTTAGATAGACAAGCTCTGACCTTCTCTGGTGGTATGCAGACGCGGTTGTAAATCCCATTGGAACCAGCTTGGCTGCCTCCTTGATAAGCTTGTCCACCTTGATGTCCGAAAATCCTTTTATCGAAAGAAGCTGCCTCTTCGGTGCAAATGCCAAAGACTCAACCGTTGTAAACCCAGCTTCTATCAACTTTGCTATATCCACAGCCAATATCCCACCATTCTTCAGCTCAGATATCGAAATACTCTCTGAATGATACTCTGTGTCTTGATACTGATATTCCTCACTCATGGGCAAATTTTTTCTCTTTGCTTTATGCCTCTCTCCTCTATTTTCTTTGTGCATTTCTGTCTTCACCTGTGAGATGTAAAAACATCTATTGCACAGGCCCCATGAAGGAAGAAGAGTTCAATGAGCTCAAGCAGAATCTAGATAACTATACCCCACTTCTTCCAGAGTCGGTGACAGATTACTTCATGGAAAAGGCCGGTGTGGCCACTTCCGATCAGAATGTTAAGAAGCTTGTTTCCCTGTTAGCTCATAAGTTTGTGACAGACATCGCCGTGTCTTCTTTTCAGTATCATAGAATAAACCAGAAGGCCGCGCAGAAAGACAAAAGGTTTGCAAAGGAGAAGAAGCCCACATTCCAGCTCGTAGACCTTGAAAAAGCTCTTGAGGAGGTGGGCATAAGCATATCAAGGCCTCACTACTACATGTAAGGCACCAGAAACATAAACATCTTGAAGATTAGTCTTTATTGTTCGCTAGTATTTCAACATTTTTGTTCCTTGGCCTTGGCTCCAAGAAGTAGAACTTCTTCAGAGACTTCACTACCTCAACATCACTTCCGTCCGTTCCTTTCTTTTTAGGGTCTCCGTCTTCAAAAGCCCTTCTTAAATCCTTCCAAGAAATTTCATCCACGTTTCCGTCATTTATAAATGATATCTTTTTCAAAATATCTACAATTCTAGACTGTGCCATTCCATTAGTCATCCTGACTAGATCACCTATCCTATTTGTTATCTCCCTATTACAGTCCCCGAGATACTCCTCCAGGATCTCCAGCCTTTCCTCATCACTCGGTAATGAAAACTCATAAACACCAGAAAACCTACGCTTGAAAGCATCATCAAGGACATCATACAGATTGGTAGCTCCAAAGAGAAACACATTGCTGCTTATCTTGTCGCATGCCCCGCCAATCGTATTGAGGAACTCCGTCTGCGCCTTTAGTGTATAGTCTTGAGACTTGTCCGATCTTTTGGAAAAGAATACATCTACCTCATCAATAAATACAAATGTGGCCCAGTATCTTCCGTCGTTCGCACTTTGAAATAGCTCCCGGATGTTCTTCTCAGTCTCTCCAACGTACTTGTTGTTCAACGACGATGGCGTTACAAACGTTATTCTGGTGAGCGAATCCATCTGCCTTGCTCTGATGAGCTTTTCGTTGTGGTCCATCCTTTCAAACTCCTCCTCTCCCATCTCGTTCCTCATCTTCAAGAATTTGATATTCAAATCAACAAGATATATTAGCTTTTTCATGAAGAGAGTTTTACCAGTCCCAGGAGGCCCGTGGAACAGGAAGTTTCTCTGCGTCGTCTCTATGTTCTTGTGGAGGTCCTTTTCCGGCACAGTCTTCAAAAGATTAACTATCTTAGTCACCTGTGAAATCACTTGTATCATCAGGTCCTCCTTTCCAAAATAGGAAACATTCTCAAATTCAGATCCATCTCTGAAGGATGGCTTGTCTCTATCTTCAGACTTCTGCTCTCCTCCCTTTGGAACTTGAGAGTGTCTACCGTCAGTGGCAAATATCATTTTGTACATCACATATGCAATTATAAGAACAACTATTATAAGATAGAAAACATCTCTTAGCTTCGGCGTATTGGGTTGTGTCTTCGATGCTTTGGTCTTTTTCTGCTTCATCCCGTAGTCTTTCAAGATCCTCCTGTATATCAGTGCACCAAGAATGTCGTTGTTGATGTTTCTTCTGTTTCCCTCCGGATTATTTCCCTTTGTTCTTTTCTGTACCTCCTCGTATTCTTCTTCGTCGCTTTCGGTCTTCTTTTCCACTTTGTAACACTTAGATGCTTCTATATCCCTCATAGGCTTCTGATTCTATGGGTGTCCCAAAAAGATTTCAAGAATCAGTGTCTAGGGGAAATATCTTGATTCCCGTGGATATTGCTTTTTCCGGTTTCTGATAGGCCATCCACCTTTCAACATATCAAGCTTTCAGATAGGATATAGAGCAACAGGCTTCTCCTTTCCCACTCCTTTGGAAGCCTTTTTAACACGAGCCAAAGGAGTAAGGATGAATTATCTCGGCAAAAAATCCAGGGAGTTGGATTCTGTATGTGTGCCTACCTTCAAGGTGTTGGGGGAATGCACCGAATTCTATCAAAGAATCAAGTTTCTCTTGCAGAGCTCAGAATCTGTATACATGGCATCATTATTTTTTGGACAGGGCGATGAGATGGAGGATATTCTTGACATCCTTGAGGAAAGAAAAAGAAGAGGACTCACAACAGTTATATTCATCGATAAGAACAGGGGCGCTGCGGGCCACGGGCTTGAATTCATAAGGAAAAGGAACCTTGAGTCAATCTTCCACCTTGTTGATCTTTCCACCTCAAGCCTGCTTCCTGCTAAGCTTAACGAGCTACTCAGGGTCTTTCATACAAAGGCACTGGTCTTTGATGATCTGACCATACTATCTGGGGCAAACATGGACACATCATATATGGTGAGCAGAGTAGATAGGTAAGTGAAGTATTTTAATTTTAAGATATCTCGAAATCCAGAGCAAGGAACTGACAGACATGATTAAAGCAAAGGTCTTTGGCATCAAGCCCCCCTCAGATGCTAGGCATACTCCGTCCAAAGACCTTCCTGTGTATGTGGGGATGTTTAAGGAGCAGGAGGAACCATCTGTAGTTCAATCATTTTTACAAGACTTTGGCGAGATACATATTTCTACAGGGTATTTGAACTTCCCAAAAAACTACTTGAGGATGTTTAGGAACAGGAGTATATCTTTGTATGCAGCATGTCCAGATGAAAACTGCTTCAACTCGTTTGGAGTCATGGATAGATTCATAGGCCCAATCTACTCATATAGCTTCTACAGGACTCTTGAATGTATCCCGACTCTCTCCATTCATGAGTTTAGAAGGAACGGATACTCATTCCATCTGAAAGGTAAGTGTAGATATTAATTTTAGGGCTTTGGGGATTCAAAGATGGAATGGCTGCAACGATCGTGGGCTCGTCTAACTTCAACAGGAGAAGTACAGAAAGAGATGACGAAACAAATTATTTGATAATTACATCAGACCCAGGGCATATCCAGAAGCTAAGAAAGGAGGTGGAGTATCTTAGGGCCAGTTCAGTTCCGAGATCTCTCAAGGAACTTAGATGGAAGACATACAGATTGATTGTGGTTCTGTTTTTTTTCATCTTCAACAGGTTTCTCTGAATGGCATGTTGCATATCTAATAAAGCAAGATCTACTTTTCAGGCTTCTGTTGTCTACTAAACACATGGTTTGCCCCTTTAAGCAGATCTTCCTGTGTCACCTCCACGCAGTATCTTGCATACTCCTTCTCAGTCTTACACAAGCTATGGTAGAGAATATACTTTGGATGCTGTCTCGAAATGCAGCTGGTATTGTGAATAAAGCACTTTGTGTCATTGAATATAGATGTGTATGATCCCCCGGAAAGCTTTGCAACATTCATAAAGTATCCTGCACAGAACGACAGCACAACCTTGCTCTCATCAGATCGGCATGGCCCCTTGAACATTGAGCACAGCTGTTTCTTTATCTTCACAACCTGAAGCATGTTCCTGACGTTCAGAAACCACTTCTTCAAGTACCACACCTTAAACCCTGTCTTCTCCCATCTTCTATATATTCCAAGAAACGAAAAGTGATCTCCCCTCTTATCAGAATGAATGGTCTTCGCATAAAGGAACGCTTTGTACAACTGGCTATGCCGAGGAATGTCCTGCCACACATTGCCCACGCTCAGCATTGCTGATATGATCGAAACATCGTCAAGACAACCAAGCTCCTCAGACACAATCAATGAGATGGCCATCTCGGGTTCCAAGGGAATCTTGGATGCCCTCACCCCAATCGGTGTTATCCTTCCATTTCCCTCTATAGCTCGAAGATAATATAGTAGCTCCAATGCTTTCTTCAGATTCGAGACTGCAGGCCTGTCTATAAAATCGAAGTTCATAATATCATCTAGCCCAATCGACTTCAGTTCCAGCACAGCCTTTGCAAGGTTACAGCAGAATATCTCAGGCACTGTGTTGTCGTTCATCTTTTGATACTCTTCTTTCGAGTATATTCGGAACACCTTTCCCTTCTGCGTCCTCCCTGCTCTTCCAGCCCTCTGCTTGGCTTGTGACTTCGATATCCACCCAACCTCCAATATGTCCATCCCAAAAGATGCAGAGTATCTCATCTGTTTCGACCTCCCGCAATCCACCACATACTTTATTCCCTCAATTGTTATCGAGGTCTCTGCAATGTTTGTTGCAAGAACAATCTTCCTCTTCTCCGTCTTCTTGAATACAGCCTCCTGCTCCTCAGGAGAAAGAGTGCTGTACAAGCAGCACACTTCAACATCCCTTCCCAGCTCCTCTGTAAGGAGTGCATGCCCTCCATTTATTTCCTCTTTTCCAGTTAGAAACACCAGTATGTCTCCACTCTCCTCCGTCCGGTGTATCTGAATAGCAGTCTTCACAGCTTCACCCAAGTAGTCCACAACTTCAGACTTCTTCAAGAAAAATATCTCCAATGGGAACATCTTGTGCTGGATCTCAACCGTTTGGCACTTGAAGAACGAAATAAACTTCTCGGAGTTTAGCGTTGCACTCATTATGATCACACGGACATCATTTCTCTTCACTAGAATCTGCTTCAGATATCCCAGAAGAATATCTATGTTGATGCTTCTTTCATGTGCTTCGTCCACAATTATAACATCATACTTATTAAGATACTTGTCTCCATTTATCTCTCTTATCAGAATCCCATCAGTGGCATACTTGAGCCTGGTCCTCCCACTCGATCTATCATCAAACCTCACAGAATATCCAACCACCTCCCCCAGCCTCACATTCATGTCTCGAGCAACTTTCTTTGCGATGCTCATAGCCGCGATCCTTCTGGGCTGTGTGCAGACTATCCTTTTGTATCTCTTGAGCAGATACTTTGGGATCTTCGTCGTCTTCCCACACCCAGTGTTCCCCTCAATCAGTAGAACTTGGCTCTTCTCAAGCTTGTCAAAGATCTCGCTCATCTTGTCCTCGACAGTCTCCTCTTCCGAGATGCACTTCTCTCCCTCCATATCTTCCAGCAGACCAGCTATTTCTTCCCTCGCTAGAAACTCATCTTTCTCTCTAGCATCTCCAAAGAGCTCAGAAGGAATCTTACGGTTGATGAGGATATCCATTTCAGTCCCTTCAGACTCAGTCTTTCTTTTCATAAGGAAGGGGTCCTCACTCATTCTATTGTGGCCCATATAATTTTTTTGAAAAACACCCCCCGCTTGCCTAGCTGATAGTACGAGTCTTTTGCCTTTTACTGAAGACTCCCATGGCTAGGCATAACAGCCCACAGCAATTTTTGGAATGCTGATCACTTCAGCGTTATTGTCATAAAATCTGCATCCATCCCCTAGCATAAGTAAAAAAAGAACTTCCTTTTAATTCTTCATTCTTTTCTTTTGCCTGTTTGCATAGTCTTGGTAGTTGGATATTATCCTGTTAACTATGTGCTCTGCAGAGAGATAGTTGAACCTGTTTTCAGCATAGCTATGCTCCACCATCTCTTTGATTTTGTCGTATCTCGACAAGTCCTTTGTATCAAAAGAGGGCCCTACGACATTGATTCCATGCTTTTCGACAAACTCACCCCCAACCAAATAGGGCGAAACCACAACCTCATCCACATACCTGCATGACATCAGTGTAAGCATCCTCTCCTTAGTGCTCAGAACCGGATAGTTCCTGGTGTACTCCTTCGTAGTCTCATCATCATGTATCCCAACAATCAGGTAGTCCCCCATCTCTCTTGCTATTCTCAAGGACACAACATGGCCCGCATGGAACAAATCGAAGTTTCCGTCCACAAACACAATCCTTCCTTTCTTCTCCCTCTTCATCGAACTCATAAATAGGTTAATCAATTCGTCATGGTACTTAGAGTTTTTGTTGCACTCTCCATTTTCTACATCTATGCAAGATCCTCTACTTTTTAGCATCATCCTTCCAACAGTTTCTGTCGTTGAAATCCCAATAGTCCTTTCAACCTCCCTGAACATCCCCGTCTTTCTAACCTGGAAGTAAGAGTCTTGCCCATTAGAGTCAAGTATTATGTCATTTCCGTGTGCTACTACATTCACCCCATACTCCTTAATCATATCCATCTGCGTGACAAACGGCGCGTCCCTCACAATCTCGTCCACATATCTGCATCCTTGGACAACCTCATACCTCTCATCGTCCTCCATCACAGGCAATCCCTTTTCTTGGTTTATGCTGAGAGATGAATGGACCCCTGCTATGAGATAATCTCCCAGTGCCTTTGACTGTCTTAAGGCATTTGCATGTCCGTAATGAAACATGTCAAAGCATCCGTCTGCCCAAACCTTTCGGATCTCGTGGGATGCCATTTGTTTGGGAGAGAACCTACTTAATTATAAAGAAATTAAAATGTTTTAAATTAAAAAACAGGATGAGTGCCTGAGAGTAAGCCTCATTCAGTTGGGTAGAACCATACCTAACAGCATTATTCTATCTCAATGATGAAAGATGTCACTTAAGACCGCCCTTTCGGCATCATCCGAGGACTTTCCATAGAGCCCACTAGGTGCTCCAACGCTGTTCTTCAGACACCCATGGGCATTCCAAAATTCTTTTAAAAATAAAAAGTTTTTCCACTTGGGGAGTAATCCCAAAAAGTACGATTGGAAGATTGGTTTATTTTGACCTTTGGCAAGATGCAGATACCAGTCCTGTTATCAGTGGATGGGGCTGGTTGGGCCTTGCAATAAACTCAGGGTGGAACTGCACTCCAACAAAGAACTTGTGTGTCGAAAGCTCAAAGATCTTCGTGGCCTTTCCCCCGTTGCTGAACCCAACAAACTTCAGCCCGTGCGCCCTCAGATCCTTCACCTTCTCCCACACAACCTCAAACCGGTGTCTATGCCTCTCCCGGATAGTCTCCTTCCCTCCATACAGACTCTTCACAAGCCCGTCACTGAGCTCAATCATGCTTCCGCCAACACGCAGCTTCTTATCAACCACCCCGTTCTCGTCGCTGATAAACCTCACAACAAGATCCTTCCCGTTAGCCTCAAACTCCTCGGAAAACGCATCCTTCATCCCAAGCACATTCCTGCACATCTCAATCACACACAGCTGGTATCCAAGACAGATCCCAAGAAGTGGAATATCCCGCTCCCTTGCATACCGTATCGCCTTGATCTTCCCCTCAATCCCACGTGCACCAAACCCTCCAGGTATGATGATCCCGTCGCACCGAGACAGGCCAGACTCGTCGTACTCCTCGGCATTCACCCACTCTATCTCAACATCAACCCCCACACGGGCACCAGAAAACTTCAGTCCATGCACAAGAGACGTGTAGCTATCAAACTGCGGCCCATACTTCCCAACTATCCCAATCCTTACACTCCTCCCGTGCTTCACACAGAGACGCCCAAACATCTCAAGAACTCCCCGGTCGATCTTCTTATCGCAGAGCCCGAGAACCCTGTACAGAGAGTCCACAATCCCACGGGACTCAAGAAAAGAAGGCACAGCATACACAGAGTCCAGGTTCGGAAGCCCTATCACATTCGAAAGCGCAACCCAGCAGTTCTTCGATATCTTCCGGCGCGTCTCCTCAGACGCCTCCCTCACTCCTCTGCACACAATGATGTCGTGGCTCAGCCCAAACATCCTGAAGTTCCTGCACCCCATCTGGATGCTCTTTGTCTTCTGCTCCCCACTTTCCAGCTCGGTGAGGTAGTCCACAGACACAAATGCACAGTTGTCCCGCCCGACGTCATGCTGGAACTTTGCAAGTGCATCCGTGTATATCGAGGACTCGTACTCGCCCACCGTTCCCCCGAGCTCGATGATCACGACGTCTGGGACTGCAGTGTGGCCATCCTCGAAGGACTCCACGGGTGTCTCACCAACAACTTTGATTCTTCGGATCACATCATCTATCACATGAGGATTGATCTGTAGGGTCTTTCCAAAAAAGTTTCCTTCTTTTTCACTTTTTATTATATCATGTAACAGCCTTCCTCCAGATACACTGTTAATAACAGAAAGCTTTACCATACTGAATCTTTCGTAATTTCCAAAGTCCATGTCGCATTCGTGTCCGTCATCAAGAACATAGACCTCCCCATGCTCAGAAGGCGCAAGCATTCTTGCATTGTAGTTGAGATATGGATCTATCTTTATATGGGTCACAGTGTGCCCCCTTGACTTGAGCAGTGCCCCGATACTGCTACTGACCACACCCTTCCCAGCACCGGAAATAACGCCTCCAGAGATAAAAACATACTTCATTTTAGGGTGCTGATTTTATCTCTTAAATATTTTTCTGTTATTCATCGTTTATATTAATATTGTCAAAGATAAACGTTTTAACGGCATCGGTATATTGCCACCTGTCATCCCAAAGTAGATTCTTACTGAATTTAAATATTAAATATTAAATTCAATGAAACCCTCCCACAATGAAGAAGTTAATAACAAGTGCCTTGCCGTATGTGAACAACCAGCCACACCTTGGGAATGTCATAGGAAGTGTCCTCAGTGGGGATGTGTATAGCAGGTATTGCAAGAAGAAAGGAGAGACGGTGGTGTACATATCTGGGACAGACGAGTACGGGACTGCCATCGAGATGGAGGCTATTTCACGGGGCAAGACTCCTGCTGAGGTTTGCGAGGAGAATAGGAAGCTTCACAAGCAGATTTACGACTGGTTCAACATCGATTTTGATTATTTTGGATTTACATCTATACCTGGACACACGGAGGTTGTGCAAGATCTTTTTATGAAGATGTACAACAACGGGCATTTTACCGAGCAAGAAGTTGAGCAGCTTTACTGCAAATCTTGCGAGATATTCCTTGCAGACAGGTATGTTGTTGGAAAGTGCAGGTTTTGTGGGGATCTAAAGGCAAGAGGAGATCAGTGTGATGCTTGTGGACACACGTACAACTCTCTCGAGCTTCTATCTCCGGAGTGCTCTGTATGCAAGTCCATGCCGATTGTGAAATCAACCACCCACCTGTTTTTTGATCTGGAGGCATTTAGGCCGGAGCTGGAGAAGCTGTACAAGACGAATGGACATCTGTGGAGTCAGAATGCACAGAACATATTCAACCAGTGGATTTCGATGGAGTTTCATCCAAGATGCATGACAAGGGATCTGAAGTTCAAATGGGGGGTTTCTGTTCCGCTGAAGAAGTTTGAGGAAAAGGTCTTTTATGTCTGGTTTGATGCACCGATAGGATATCTGACCTTTTTAAAGGCGCTTGTGGGAGAAGACTTCGATGAATGGTGCAGGGAGTCTGAGCTTGTACAGTTTATGGGAAAGGACAATGTGCCATTCCACACTGTGATATTCCCGGCGATGCTTTGTGCAACTGGAGAGAAGTACCCACTGATCAAAAGGTTATCTGCCACCGAGTACCTCATGTTTGAGAACCAGAAGTTCTCAAAGAGCAGAAGGCACGGGATATTTGGGCTGGATCTTGTTGATGGGAGTCTTGGGAGGTCATGCATATGGAGGTATTACCTGCTGAAGATACGCCCTGAGTCAACCAAGGATTCAAACTTCACTTTCCACGACTTCCAGCAGTCTGTAACGGCGGATCTTATTAACAACCTTGGGAACTTTGTGAATCGAGTGCTGAAGTACATAAAGTCTAGGTGTAACTCAAGGATATCGCTGCTTGAGCTTAATGACAAGGATAAGAAGTGTGTTGAAGAGGTAAATGAGCTATATTGCAAGTATATAAAGAAGATGGACGAGATAAAGCTCAGGGAGGGGCTCCAGGTAGCAATGGATATTTCCAGGCGTGGAAACGAGTATATTCAAGAAGGGATCCGAAGCGAGGACAGGAAAGGCCATTTCTTCTGCCTTGGATTCAGCATTGTTGGGCTCCTTGGCACTCTTCTATACCCCTTTATGCCTCTTGCCTCGTTGGAAATACTGAAGATGTGTAATCTTGAGGAGACAAGGCTTCCAGACCATATGAATATAATTGACGGGCACACTATAGGAAATGAGATCTATCCTCTGTTTAAGAACTTTACGGCCGAACAGCTTGAGGAGATGAGGAAATACGAAGCCCCCAGCGTATAGGTAGATTCTGAATAAATATTTGTTGGTATTTGTCATTAGTCTTTGTATCCTTGTGATGGAGGAAAAAAGCTCAAGGAGATCTGTAAGGAGGAAGATGTCTGTATGGGATGAGGACGATGCTGTGGATAGGAGGAATGTGAGCAAATGGGAGATAACTCCGAGGACAGCAACGCAGTCAAAAAGGTTGAAGTGGGATCAGACGCCTCTAGGATATATCAGAGTGGAGGATGATTTGTGGAGCGGGACCAGAATGAGCTCTGGATCGGTCTGGGACAAGGAGGCGCTGGAAGGAGAGGGGGGTGCTGAGTATTCTGAGATGACGTTGAGGGAAATAAATATGTGCTTGCCGGCGAAAGGATATAAAAGGTATGATCTTCGTTATGCTTCTGGAGGTGAGGAGCTGAATGTGAAGGATTTGCCTGAGATTTCTGCCGAGGAGAAGGACTTCTTTATGCCATTGCTTGAGGCCAAAGATGGAGACGAGGCCGATGTATACAAAGGGATATTGCTGATAAAGAACGGAAATAAGAAGATGAGCATGCACGGGTTTAAGATCCTCAAGAAGAAGGATGTGAACGCTGTACTGGAAAAGGTACTTCTCATGGCGATGAGCTTAGAGCTTAGCGATAAAGACAAAGAAAAGGTAATTGGCCTGCTCCGGTTTCTCCTGAGCGATGCTGATATGAGTGAGGTGAAGTACATGAAGGAGGTACTGCTTGTGGTGGGGTCATATTCTTACTTTCCTTCTCTCAGAAGGATGTGCATGCCTGTGCTTGCTCTGATTTACAGATGTGGGTTTGAGCATTCTATCCAGGCCATTGAAGAGTGCTTTACAAGCAAGGAGCCTTATGTGAGAGAAGTGAGTGGAAATGTTGTGGGAACATTTATATGCCATTTTGATACGCCGAGAATCCATGGTCTTTTGTCATCCTTAGCTAGAAGTAAGAGCGACGAGGCACGAAAGACTTGCATAAGGTGCATTATAGGGATTTGCGAGTTTGCAGGTGGAGACATTGCATCTTATCTGGAGCCTGTGCTAGACATACTCAGTAGGCTCGTTACGGACAGAAACAGGTTTATAAGGATGGATGCAGCCAATGCAATGTCTTACATATTCAAGCTCATCAGTCCGCTCAAGACACTGCAAATGGATGGGATTTTCGATATTCTCAGGAAGGAGGTATCAAGGTCCGGGGGCATCGAGTTTAGCTCTCTACTGAAGGCGATGTCTTGCCTGTGCCATGGAAGGAAAGAGCATTCTGAGGAGGTTTTTAATCTGCTAAAAGAATCGAACGAAAGAGGAACATCATCACTCAAGGTGTTTGAAAGGGTCTGTGATACGATTAGCATCGAAGATTCCTGGAAGTATTTTGACCAAATGTCTGGCATCTTCTTTTCCTCAAAAGGAAGAGAGAATGCAAGCCTGGTTGTTAGTATTTGCACAAAGATAGGCGGTGACGCCAGAGTTGCTAAAAGGATCCTGGAGCACTACACCGATCCTTTGAACGCAGGATTGATCTCAAGAATATTCAGTAGAATTCCGAAGATGAGATTTGGGAAGGAAGAGGTGGAGATGTATTATCGAAGCATATGTAACGCCATTCCCCATGATGGGGCGACAGCCAGCCTTGTGCTTCTGCTTGTTTCCAAGGAGTTTTTACAGCAGAGGCATGTGTCTATGGTTGCATCGGAGTCGTTCAAGCTTCTAAAGGACCCTTCACTGGATACCAGGATCAGGGGACTTAAAGCAATAGGAGGCCTTGCAAAGATCCTAAATGCGAAGGAGCTGTCATACTATGGAAACCTTCTTATGGAGAACATAACAGGAAGCGATCAGGAGACGCTGCCGTTTGTCCTTAAAGCGATATGTAGTGTATACAACAGCCACCAGTTTAGGCCGGCATACGAGATTGTCCCAAGCATCCTCCCGATCCTGAAGTCTAAAGAGCAGAAGGCTGTTGCATCTGGAGTGATGCTTCTCCATACGATATGCATGAATTCCCCTGAGGAGTGCCAAAAGATTAGTATGAAGGAATGGATGAGAATATCTTATGAGTTGGTTGATTCTCTAGCATCCTGGAATAAAGAGATTAGAAAGAATGCCACTGAGTCTTTAGGGTGTATCTCCCGGATAGTTGGCCCCCAGGAAATACTAGATATCCTGATAGATAACCTTGAGTCAGAAGACAAGAACCAAAGAGCAGGATCCTCACTTGGCATTTCTATTGTGGGAGAGTACAACGGGCTATTCTCTATTCTCCCAACCCTTGTGACTGACTACAAGACTCCTAGTCCTCTTGTGCAGCAAGGGATACTCAAGACCATGTGCCACTTTTTCCAAAGAGAGTACCAAGTGCCCTCGACGTATGTATACTCGATGCTCCCTATGATTGAAGATGCGATGATGGACGAAGACCCGCTGTACCGGAACCTTGGTATAAGCCTTGTCAGACACATAGTTCTAAACCATCCTCCATCAACCACAGACATCGAGCTAGTCATCCATTTGCTCAATTTGGTCTGGGCAAATATCCTTGACCCTGTTCCGGTGATACTGCAATCCTTCGATGAATGCATGGAATCCTTTGCCACCATCCTCTCATCTCAAGTTATGTATGGATATGTGCAGCAAGGCCTTTTTCACCCCTCAAGAAGAGTTAGAGAAAGGTATTCCACTGTTTTAGAGATAATGGAGCACTTCGACAGCACCACTCTTTCACAGTGTTTTCTTGTAGAGGAAGAATTCCTCAATATTCCAAAATAAACCTTAACAAACGATTTCTTCATTGTCTTTATTCAGGGCTGTAATGGAACGGCTCGATCGCCTTACTATTCACATGGCATGCCTTTGAGCGAACAAGCTTCCTAAATATCCGAAGTGTATTTCTTTCTCTAGAAATGGAGGTGCCAATCTTCTCGTTGTACTCGTTTTCAGTATATCCGAAAGGCAGCTCTGCCAGAAACCTCTTATCTACCTCCAGTGCCTTTTCGTTGATAATGATGTGTGATCTATTGAAGTCCTTTCTGTTAGAGTACTTTATTCCCTCCACAATGTTTCTTATGGTATTACTCTTTGTCTTGACCACCTCCAGCCCCGGGCCAGCCCACTCTCCCCATCCAGGAAGAACAACCTCCTCAACTCTTGGTGCTTCCTCATTCACAACCTCCTCTTTTTCTTTTGCAAAAGCCTTTTCTTGCTCCTCAATGTCATCTTTGAATGCAAGCCTAACCAGTCTCTCCTGCTCATTCTCTCCTCTGTTCTCATCTCCCCCAAAACTAAGTATAGGCGTGTCTTCCTCTACCTCCTCTACCTCTTTCAGAAGCACATCTGGGATAAGTGGTCGAGCCCTGTCTTGCTGCACCCCTTGGTTTTCTTGCATATTCTCCTCCAGCACCTCCTTGTTCTTAAGCTTGTTCTGTCTTCGTATCCTCCTGTATGTCTTGCTTTTTATTCTCTTTATTCTTCTCATCTTCTTGTCAAACTCGTACTTGAAGTTTTTCTCGAAAAGCACAGCTCCAGTCTCCTTTGCCTTCTCCCTCTGAAGAATCTTGTCCATCATCTTCTCCAGACTCGTAGACGGAACAACCTCATAGAAGTCCTCTACCACCTTCTTGCTTTTCTTCTTAGTTTGCTTGGCCGCATCGAAGACCTCTTCTCTTATAGCTGCATACACAGAGTCCTTGTTCTCCTCAAGCTCTGTAAGATCTATTTTATCTCCCTCCTCAAACTTGACAAGATCTGCAACAGAAATCTTGTTAACTGCCATGGGCTTCCAAGCCAGTGTCCAGATCAATTTTCGGTGAGAATCCAATCCCAGGCATTTAATGGAATACTACAGCTTAGACGACATCCTGCTCGATGAGCAGAGGATACCGGTCATATTCAAGCACAGAATACAGAACTTTGGATTTCTTGGGTCTAGAACAAAGGTTGTTCCAGAAAACAAAAAGGTAGATGCTCCATACTTTCTGGTTGGCTTTCTCTTGAGAAACGGCCACTGCGAGCTGGACAAGGAGTTCCCAGATGAGGCTCTACTGTATGACATCAGGGCAAAGCCCTCTGCAGTTGACCTGAGGTCTGTGTGTCCCTACTTCTTCTATTTGTATTCCATCCTGCTTCGAGAGAAGGCCTTCTTGTCTGAGTTCTTCTACGAAAGAGTGGGAGACTACTCCTCTCTAGTTCTCAAGAGAGAATTCTCTGAAGACGATGTGTGGAAGCTTGACATGATAGAAAGAGGCCTTATAGTGTGCAGCAGAAGAATGTTCCAGAGATTTTACTCCTTTTTTGTCACTGGGAATGGCAAGATGGTTAGGTGAACTGCGCCCACTCGCCTTCCTTGCAATAAAATATTTTGAAAATATTTGGCCATGATGAAATACGAGTGCAGGCTTCACTTCAGAAAGTATCCTAGGGAAGGAGAGATCGTCATGGGGAGGGTTGTGTCTATAGGGGGAGATGGGCTAACACTGAACCTACTGGAGTATGGGGACCTTGAGGGGCTTGTGCTCCTTGGCGAGCTGTCTAAGAGGAGGGTGAAGAGCATACAGCAGGTGACAAAAGTTGGGAACATCGAGATATGCAATGTTCTGAAGGTTGACGAGGAGAGGGGGTACATAGATCTAAGTATGTCCAAAGTTACTGAGAATGAGAAGGCCGAGTGTAGGGAGACCAGTGCAAAGAACAAGCTTGCGTACCATATTATGCTTAAGGCTGCGAAAAGACTGAAAATGGAGGTATCGGATCTGTATGAAAAGATGGGATATGATAAGGAGGAGGAGTTTGGATCTTTGTACTACTTCTTTGCAAGGGTTAAGGACAACGGGGATATAATGGACGATGATGAGATTGGATTGACGATCAAGAACCTGATAAGAGAGCAATTCCAGGCATCCACATACAAAGTCCGTGCAGACATTGATGTGATGTGCTCATCAAAAGGAGGGATAGACTCTATAAAGAAAGCCTTTGCTGAGGCTTTGAAGCTTGATCCAAGACTCGAGTTCTGCTTGATTAAGACACCCACATACTCTGTGACACGTGTATCTGGCAACAAGGATAAGGCTTACGAGGTCGTACGGGAGGCGTGCAACATCCTGATCTCAAATATTCAGAAGGAGGGAGGGACTGCCACTGTAATAAGCCAGCCGAAGCTGTATGGGGAGAAGTCGAGATACAACCTATTGAACTTTGAGGAGAATGAAGTGTCTTCTTCCGAATAAAGTTTTATCCTTATGGGCTATTGCATAAAGGGCCTTCTGGCCACCCCTCTATGGACAGGAAGTTCATGGCGAGTGGAGTATTTCAGTTCCTGGACGAGGTGTGCGAGCAGCGAGGGCCCTTGTTTAGATATGGAAATCTTGTAGGTAAGGGAGAACTAGCTTTCAACGAAGCATTGATAGAAAATGAGGCTGACGTTCGTAATGCCCTCAATAAGGTTAGGAAGGGAGACCATTCGCGGAGCAGTCTGATGGATTGGTAAGAGTACTTAGTTTACTAGAAATGATATCTATACTTGGATTACATAAGCGCTTCCCTGATTTTGTTCAATGTATCACCTCCATCCATTTCAAGGAAAACACAAGTGAACCGGCCTGGAATGGAAGACTTCCTTCTAACAAAAATGTACTTGACACCTCTGTCTTCGCAGAGTGCGGGTAGGTGTGTGATTAAATCCATAGGTGTTGTATCTGCTGTCAAGACCAGCAGGCCTTTTGATCCCTCCAGAATGCGCTTCTGGCATTTCTTAATTCCTGTGGACAGCGTGCTTCTTTCTGCCTGCTCAGATATTAGCTTGGCTATCACCTCTTCGGCGGGCTCTGAGGCCAGTGGACTTGCTATTGGGATCATCTTGGGCAAAATTTTGTTACAAAATATGAATGCAGGACATGATATATGGTGGCGGCCAAAGCCCTTAATGGGGGCAAAGAACTTCATGACTGCTAAGGAGAAGGACTATGTTGCCGAAAGCCTTAGAAGAAACATGAGGTACTTCCGGTCGGACATTGACTATGCAGCCCTTTTTAGGCAGGGGCAGGAGAAGATTGAAGTGAGGTGTGATGATGAGGAGCCAAAAAGGAACATCAACCTGGTTTTTGGGAAGGAAAACAAAAAGTCCTCAAGAAGGCCAAGGCCGTACTGCGGGATAGATGCGCAAGACGCCACGCAGAAGGTCAGGAATATGCTTCTTTTGGAAGAGCTCATCGACCTGTACACTGTCAGGAGGTATTGTAAACTTTCCGAAGATGATTTGAGAGAAAATACAAGGATGCTCAGGTCGGGCCTTCTCTCCAAGTTTGGCACGCTCGTCTCTATCGCAAAGTTCCTTAGGTTTTTAGGAGATTACTTTTCTTACATTGAAGAGGACGAGAGGAGAGAGATTGTGCATCTACTTCAGAAAACATTTCATTTAATCGAAGACATGCCCGAGTTCTATGACATGATGGGGTCTCTGTTGAACTCGATTCCCCTGATTTCCGAGGCAGATCTGGAAGATGGGTTTGTCTCCACATTTCTCTTTTTCCCTAGCGGCCTGATTCTAGCAACCTCGCTACTTATACAGAATGAGGCTCTATGTGACATATTCTACGAGGCAGCCATCAGTGAACCCTCCTGGCCCTTCACAAAGAACAGATATGGATGGCAATTCCTTTCTGTCATGATTTCCTTGGTGAGCGAGGAGAAGCAAAAATCTGTTGTAAAGAAGGCCCGGCCCTATCTGCTGGAGATTGCCAGGGGGCCTGATGATGAGAGGATGGATGGTGCCATGCTGTTTTTGAAAGCAATAGGTGCGGACATGGACGAGCTCAAATGTTATAGCGAGTGATGAAGCAGGCTCATGCACTATACTTAGAGATAAATTCTTACAGGCGTTTATTTAATCAACATTCTTTCTTTTACAAGGACTAGGCTTATTTCTTCCATGGCAGCCGCCTTGGTGCCTTGTCCCTTCGGCCTTGAAAACTTTATGATCGAAATATTTATCTTCTATAATCTGGCCGACAGTTATTCTTTTTTCGGGGTCAATGCAGAGCATCCTGCTCACCAGCTTTACTGCAGACTCGTCATGCTTTGCAATGATTCCTTCTATTCTTCGAGGAGACTGGGGGAGCTTGAAGCTACGGAACCCAGGAAGGTTCAAGACACCGGGATAGGTGTTTTCGTTGATGGACCCACAGGCATGGATGATCATTTCCAGCTGCAGGATCTCTGTACTTCCCTGGAATATCATGTGTCCCAGATACATTTCTGTCAATATGCATCCAAGTGACCAGACATCTGCAGAGAAGGTATAGTTCGAGGATCCAAGCAGTATTTCTGGAGGTCTGTACCATAGGGTGACCACACCCGGAGTATACATGGCTGTCTTTGTCGCCTGCCTTGCCATTCCGAAGTCTGCAATACTAGCATTCAGATTGTGGTCCAAAAGGATGTTTGCACTCTTCAGATCCCTGTGCATGATTCCCTTACTATGGATGTAGTGCACGCCTTTAACGATTTGGTAAAATATATGCTTGACTTCATCAGATGTTATCCTATTACTTCTTATAAACTTATTTAGATCATATGGGAAGTATGGAAACACCATGTAAACATCTCCATCCGTCTCTACAACCACCTCTATCAGTTTTATTATGTTTGGATGGCTTATTTTCCGCAAGGCCTGGATTTCTCTGATCGTTGTTACAGACAGTCCTTCCCTCTCCTTGTTCACCTTCTTTAATGCATATCTAGCCCTTCCCTTCCTTGCAAGGATGACCTGGCCAAAGGTGCCTTCCCCCACGACTCTTATCTTTTCATACTCCATTTTTGTTGCTGTGAAGTGTCGACGCACGAAAATCTCTCCCTCTTCGGCAGGCTCCATCGTTTGGGTGGAGACCGAATAAGTTTTATTGTTGGGATCGCCCCAAACGATGGGGGAAAGAGAGGAGCAAATCCTGACGAGGGAGATCAGAAAGGAGGACCCGTCACTCAAGGGCCTTCTCTATATATCCAACTTTGCTTCTGTGTATCACTATGGTGATGGGGAGTGGGACAAGCTGAACATTGAAGGGACGTTTGTAATGTACAGCAGAGAATGCTATCCCTTTGTTGGTATCTACGTGTTCAACAGAAAGAGCCTGAAGGACTTTTACCTCCACTTGACAAAGGAAACCTCCTTTGGTATAAAGAAGAACTTCATGACCATAAATAGGCGAGAAAAGGATGGGATTCATGGCCTCTGGTTCCATGACAACACCCATCCCCAGGAAGTGCTGAGGTGCTTAGAAGAGTTTCTGTAGCCACCCGGGATCTTTCCCACCGATCTCTCCCAGCCAAATAATTAAAATGAAAAGCCGTAGCCCTGCAATGGCAATTCTCTACACACAGATAATAAAGCTTCCCGACTATAGGATACTGTCTGGAGAGTACTCTCCACAAAGCAACTCTCTTAAGCCTGGAAATGAGATAGTCAAGGAGCTAAGGGATGCCGTCAAGTCGATTCCAAGCAGCGGGACGACGTTCTATACATTCAATTCTTCTGACACGAGGTTTGTGTTCTACTTCAAGATAAGCCCCGGGCTTGTTTTTGCTGTGATAAGCGACAAGTACACATCGTCAAAGATAGCCTCGGGATACATGGACCGGGTTATGGAAGCCTTTGGCAAAATATATGTTGAAGACCCAAAGACAACATACTATACCTTTGACCCTACGATCAAGGCGATTTCTGACAGGTTCAACAGAGACTCGAACTATGCACAGGGAATGGCTGTTGTCGAAGAAACAAAGGGGCTGCTTGCAGAGTCTCTTAACATGATAATAAAGAGGGACGAGAACATAAATAACCTGAAGGGTCTTGCCAGCAGGATGACTGCCGAGGCGCAGATAATGCAAAAGAACGTCCAGAGGATGCACTTAAAGAGCATGATGAATGACTACTGGATATACGTGGTGTTTGCTGTCTTGATTGTTCTTTTCCTGTACTATATAACTCATTAAACATCTTTCGAAAGCTTGCCTGTTTGTATTTCCCGATGAGAAATCCCTTTCGATCTTTCCCTTGAACAATGGAGGATGAGAGCCCGAGGGCAGGAGAAGAGTCGGTATCCAGGGAGAATTTGAATGTGGAGTCTAACGGAAGGGAAAAAGAGGATGCGTGTTCGAGAAAGGTTAGAAGCACGGATGTTCCACAGGTGCTGGTGTCTCAGTCATGTGCTGCCAGGGAGTGTGCAAAAGATGAAATAAGAAAGTTTGTGAAGGTTCTCGTGGAGGTGGACACTGTTGGTGGAAGACCTCTTGTGTTTATGATGTGGGCATCTGAGGAGAAGCCAATCCATAAAAGGAGGCAACCTACTGAGGTATCTAGAGACACCTTCGGATGTGAATCCTGTGAAGAGGTATTTGACACTTTTAAGAAACTTCAGCTTCACAAAGCTCTTCACAAGAACGTCTCTGGAGAGATCAATCCTCTCTTTTGCCCCGTTTGCAACAAAACATTTGACGAGAAGCGCAAGCTAATGCTTCACTCCAGATACCACAAGATAACCAAGGACGACAAATAAACTGTGGAATAAGAATGCTTTGATACTTGATATCTCGTTCAGATATTATGCTTACGATGTTTGATTGTGATTCTTCGAAAGAAGTCGAAGCCATTGTCAAAAAACTCTTCAATGTCGGAGAATGCAAGGACGTCGAGTTTCTATCTGCGTTTCTAGACGAGGCGGCGGCAAACAGCGAGGTTGAGAAGGAAAAGTGTTGCATATGCCTTGAGGATGTCGAGGAGTCCAGGGCCCTACTCGGGTGTGGCCATACCTTCCATTTGGACTGTATTTACGCATGGCTGGATATGAAAGGGATATGCCCGAGTTGTAGAAAAGCAGTAAGGTAAGATGCCTTGTTAGTAGAATGCCAAAGAACAGATACAACATCTTGGTTGAGAAGTCAGATGCAAGAGACTCTCCGGTAAATCAAGAGGATCTGAGCCTGACACTTGAGTCATCTCTAGTTCTTTCAGGAACAAAGTATCCGGAGCCTAGGACAAGAATTTCCTTCAGCTTCGTATCTGCATCTGAACTTGGAGTTATCAAGCTTTTCTTTGTCACGATAACTCATTCCAGATCAAGTGGTGAGTACTATGGCTTTGACTCGTCAGAAAGCTGTGTGGTGATCTTTCCAAACAAACTGAATGTAGGGAGGAGGTATGAGATTTACGGGAGGCTTGAACATAAAAGTCGTAAAGTGCTGTACTGTATAAGTGCCAAGGAGATATGCTATAGAAGACTGTGCTATGAAATATTCTAATCATTTAATTTACTTCTTCAATAAATATATCCCCAGAGCCGTTATTTAGAAGTAGGACTTTTCTTAGGCATCCTTCTTACAGACGAAGCCTTTCCACTCTTAGTCTTCTTGGCTATATTCTTCGCGACTATTTCCCAAGTGAGCCCTGATCCCCACTTCAGATCGCTTCCATTTATGTCAAAAGTGTCCCTGAACTTCGATTTAATCATCCCAAGGAGGCTCTTGGAGGAGTCAAACTTTGTGTGCATCCATCCATACCTTACACTTTTCTTGGGCCTTGTGTCTTTTCTTTCTTCATGAGTATTTGACGATTCCTCATTTCTACTACTCTCCGTGCTCAAAGGCCCCTCGTCCTTGTTCTCGGATAGAGACAAACCCTCAATCTCTATTATCATCTTCCTTCTACCCCCGTCGTCTCGGTCCTTCCTGGGCTCGGCAACCGCATGGGCTTCTTTGCTTTGATTCTCCACTTGCGATACACCCTTGTTCCTTGCTTTGGATTCTTCTCTGACAACAGTTGAATACACATCCTCATTCTCAGGAGATCCTACAAGTCCCCGCTCTTCAAGCCGGTGGAGATCCGTGGTTGTCGACGACATTATTTCCCTCTCAATCCTTTTTGCCATCAGAAGCTTGCTCTTGTACCACTCAGAATTTTTGTCAAGGACATCCATGTATTCCTCCTCATCAAACTTGTTGTCTATATTGAAAAGTTTTGAGTTCGCCTCAAACTGGTTCCAGTCCTTGCTTTCCTCTCCTGGAAGAATCTCAGTGCTTACACCCTCAGCTGAAACCTCTTTTGCCCCTACCTCGCCTGGCGTTCCAGAAATCTGGGCGTCTGTTTTGAATGTGCCCACCTCAGAATCATTAGCCTCTGCACTATCTCTCTCTACTTCTCCAGAATGCATTCCTTCGTTTTCCTTTCCCTCAAGCCTCTTTTCCATCCTTTTCACTATGATTATGTCACTTTCGGAAATGGAGATCGTGGGAAACACGATCCCCGGATTGTTTTCAAAGAATGCATTCTCCAGCTTCACCATCTCGCCCTCGTTAGAAAGAAAGGTCCCTATCATCTTGCTCGGGTTGTTCTTGAAGTGTATAGCAATCGTGTAATTATCCATCTGCCCCTAAGGGCTTTCCCACTAAGGTTTATTTTACATCCGAGCCTCGCGAATAAACATACACTCCTTGCCCACGCCACATGGAAGATAACTTTTATGGACTGCAGGAGATCCTCGAGAAAAAAGGTCTCCCAGAGTTTCCATCTCTCCTGCCATATGAGCTGAGAGATCCCGAAGCAACTTGCTGCTTAGAAAAGCTGTATGAGGAGATGATCTGCGAGGTCTCGAGAAACAATGGCCTAATCCCTATTCTTTCATCTGTAACCGGGCTTCCTGTTGAGACAGATATAAAAGAGATCGAACGGCTTTTGGCAGGAAACAAGCCGGTAAAGGGAGAGTTCTTCCGAGTTGGGCATGTCTCACGCCCCCTGCCCCCGGAAAAGGACGAGTATCCAGGGTTCGTGACTGGTAGTGGAAGCAAGATTACTAAGAGGGAGCAGAAAGACAAGAACGAGGTGGATGGAGAATGTAATGTAGAAAGCTACATAGTGGACAGAATCAGAAATGAGATTCTGGAAAAGGCTGTGGATGTCAAGTGGGATGACATAATTGGGCTGAGAGATGTTAAGAAGGCCATCAATGAGATTGTTCTTTGGCCTATGCTGAGGCCGGATCTATTTACAGGGCTTCGTGGGCCTCCAAAGGGCCTTCTTCTGTTTGGGCCTCCTGGAACAGGAAAGACCATGATAGGTAAGTGTATTGCAAGCCAGTGCAAGGCGACGTTTTTCTCTATAAGTGCATCATCACTAACGTCCAAGTGGGTTGGAGAGGGAGAAAAGATGGTTAGGGCGTTGTTCCACCTAGCAAGATCAATGCAGCCATCGGTTGTGTTTATTGACGAGATTGACTCTCTTCTTTCGCAGAGGAGCGAGAACGAGAACGAGGGAAGCAGAAGGATCAAAACGGAGTTTCTGGTTCAATTTGATGGGGCAGCAACGTCTGATAGAGACAGGATACTGGTGATTGGTGCAACAAACAGGCCTCATGAGATTGATGAGGCTGCAAGACGCAGGCTAGTGAAGAGGATCTATGTTCCCTTGCCAGAGTACCTTGGCAGGAGGCAAATGGTCGAGCATCTAATAAAAGAATACAGGAACACCCTTGAATCTGCAGGGCTGGACGAAGTGGCGAAAATGACAGAAGGATATTCGGGATCAGATATCTTTAATCTATGCAGAGAGGCATCCCTGGAGCCGCTGAGGGAGATTGATGACATCAAGGACTTTAAGAACGAAGACACAAGGCCGATCTCCCTTGAAGACTTCAGGAAGGCCACGAGGCAGATAAGAAAGAGTGTTTCGGAGAGAGACCTTGAGATTTATTCAGACTGGAACTCCAAGTTTGGGTCCGTTTCGTAGGGAGCCTGTGTGCTAATCAAGAAAGACCGAAGTCAAGCCTTACGAGGTGATAACTCTCCTTTCCAAATGCACACTCCTTTTGTGTCCCGGAAAACAGGAAGATGGACTTTCTATTTGCCATAGAGGCCTGTCTCAGGAACTCATGTTCAAAATTATTAAACTCATACTCTAGCAATACAAAGGTACTGAAGTTGTTCAAATGGTCAAGAACTGCCTGGAAGGGTTCTTCTTCTATCAAAATCTTCACCCTATTCCGGCATTTTCTCAGAAGCCTAAACGAAGGAATGGTTTCAAGTCTTCGGTGTATGACTAATGCATCTGGAACATACTCGAGAAATGCATATATCCTGGAAATGCTGTCTTGCGATGGGGTGTACTGAAACCTCACATACTCATAAGAAAATCGCCCCAGAAAGTCCTTCATTCAGCCTATCTCGAGGTCAGGGCTTTCCATTCAATGTATTGCAAAAAATCCAAAACCGGTTTCAGAAAAAGGATAAAGTGAGATTACTCGCACAACAACAATGAATAGAAGAACAACACTTTTCCTCATAATATGCAACGAATTCTGTGAGAGGTTCTGCTACTACGGGCTGAGGTCTCTTCTGTTTTCTTTTTCCAGGGAGGAGTACAACTTCACTACAAAGGAGTCTACCATGACCCTTCATTTCTTTGTTTCTATGAGCTATCTATTCACGCTTCTCGGGGGGCTTCTGTCGGACATGTTCCTGGGAAGATACAACACCATCGTGGCACTGAGTTCCCTATACCTTACAGGAACATCTCTTCTCACCTATTGCTCTGTTGTGTCCGCCTCTCCAAGGCTTCTGATGGCGAGCTTGCTCATGATAGCCGTTGGGACAGGAGGAATCAAGCCTTGCGTTGCTGCATTTGGGGGAGACCAGTTTGGCGTGGACGAGACACAGGATCTAAGGAAATTCTTCAACTTCTTCTATTTTGCCATAAACATCGGAAGCATGGTTTCCACAGTGCTAACACCTGTCATGTCTGATACCACTTGCTTTGGGAAGAACTCTTGCTACCCACTGGCATTTGGGGCATCGAGCACACTGCTTGGCGCCTCTATTATTCTGTTTGTAATTGGAACGAATCTCTATGTGATTAAGCCGGCAAAGAAAGAGCAGTTTTCAAGGTCCTTTCGCTCCTTGGCCCAGAACGTAAAGAAGCTGCTTTGGAGACAGGATGGGCATGACGAGAAGACTAGCACTTTACAGACTGCGTCAGAGGCCGTCTCGGAAGCCTGTGAAGAAGACGACAAAAAGAAGACCCTGAAGATACTGAGGATCCTGGGGCCCGCAGTTCTCTTCTGGGCTCTTTATGACCAGCAGTCCTCTTCATGGATAGAGCAGGGATCGAAAATGGATTCACGCCAGAGAATACTCGGGCATGATATAGATATCTTGCCATCGCAGATGCAGGCATTCAACTCTGTGTTTATCCTTCTATTCATTCCTATGTTTTCAAAGCTGGTCTATCCATTGCTGGGACGGATTGGCATCCTCTCTTCTCCAGAAGAGAAAATGGGGGCCGGGATCGTTCTTGCATCCCTCAGCTTCTTCTGCTCTGGATACATAGAGTACAAGATAACTCTGGCCGAGTCTGTAGGGCAGAAGCTGTCAATATTATGGCAAGTGCCTCAATATGTTATAGTAACGGCGGGGGAGATAATGCTGAATGTAACCGGGATGGAATATATGTATGCTGAAGCGCCAGAAACCATGAAGTCGCTAGTTCTGTCGATGTGGCTGTTGACTGTGACTGCAGGAAATCTTCTGGTGATGGGGATTACGCTATTGGATCCAATAGCCTTGGTTTCTTCCCGCACCCATGATATGTGGAGCTTTATCATGTACGGGATTGCGGGGCTTGCGGCATCTAGATACATGTTCCAGGCCTCAAGACCTATCTAGAAAGCAACTCTGCATTAAGCATAAGGTAAAGGAGGACAGATAAGTGCTATTGCCATCCGGCAAATGCAATTGAACAGCAAGCAAAGGGATTCTAAGAGGATTTAGAAATTCGTGCACCCATAGAATGATAAGAACAACATTCAAGACTCTGTGTCTCCTTCTTAATAACATACTGCTGCTACTTGCAAGCTGCATTCTTGGAGCACTGATATCCTCTGTACCGGACTCCAAGAGCATATACAAGAATGTAAACAAGCAGATAACTTACATGCTGCTCCTCGCAAATGCAGGCCTTGCTATCTTTACTCTCGTGATAGTCCAGAATCTTAACGATGTGTTCCTACACAGGGCGAGGTCTCCAAGAGGAGTTGAAACAAAAATGAAGATCCAGTGGATAATACTCTCTATAGTGACATTTTTCTACGGTACTTTTCACTTCCCACTAATTACATCAAACATGGACAGACTTTTCAAAATGGACATGATGGCCTTAATTACTGTCTTGATATTCACCTTACAGGTAAGTGGAAAAACTAATTTTAGATAGTCATGCTCTTTATCATATACTCAATGCATCCAGACTTGTTTGGAACCAAGTACAACCGAGAGGTTCGGAGCTACATCGAGAGGCTTGAAGCAGAGAATTACGATCAAACCGAGATTTGACGGGACACATCCAAAGACGACGATATCTCTAGGAATAAATTCCATTTATTTTATAACTTACAGGAATGTCCGAAATGGGAGGCTCCAGAGGCTTTATTATGTAAAGATGTCCACTAGGCGCCGTGCCTCTCGTCTATCTTCCTCTTTATCCTTGATAGGAAGTTACGGCATTTCATCTGGTCGCATATGGACCACTTCGAAGAGCTGTTGTTCATCTCCCTCACCATGGTGCGTATCTTCTTGCCCATGTTCATTCGGTACCTCTCCTCCCTTACACCAAAGTCCTCTGTGCGGTTGCTCACCAGAGCCATCTGAAAGTCCAGTGCTGCAAATTCGTAGCTCATCAGGTTAACCTCCAAATAAAACTTTTTATTTATATTTTGTGTCTCAGAGATTGCAGTCGTTTTTAGCAAATAAATCAGTATTTATTTCGGGCCAAATTAGACATCTTCTTGCAGTGCAAAAATATTTCAAAATTAAATCTCCAATCTCCCGCCATCGCCGTGCTATACAGGCCCCTTAATTAAACGGTTTTGACTTTCATTAACCCAAACAGCCACTGCCAAAAGTCATCTTTCATGTTCAGAGACAAATGTGATGCTTCCTGCCAAAACAAAAGATGAGTGCCATCCTGTTAGTTCTTGGCGTCCTCGTCATCATCTATTTCCTATTAGGGCGCAGCGCAGAACATGAAATAAGGGAAAAGAAAGTTCTTGTGGTTGGTGGAAGCAGTGGACTGGGCCTTGCCTTTGCGCAGATACTGAAGAAGGCTGGAAACGATGTCACAATAACATCCAGGTCTGCGAAAAGGCTGAAGCTTCTGAAAAGGGAGTGGGGATTTGGAACGAAAGTGCTAGACGTGAGTACAATGGATGCCCAGGAGCCATCAGACTTCGATTATATATTCTGTTGTGCAGGCATTTCCTATCCCTCATACTTTACTGACCAGTCGCTTGAGCTTTTTAAGGAAACAATGGCTACAAACTACCTTGGGACTGTTGCAGTATTAAAGCACTATGTGGCTGCTAACAAAAAGCCCATGGGGTTTGTCATGGTAGGATCTACTTTGTCGTTGCTTACATTCCCGGGGTTCTCTTCTTACTCCCCTACGAAGGCAGCTCTTCTCTCACTGTTCTACACACTTCGTGATGAGATGGCCAAGTTGGATGTGAAGCTGTATTTCTACAACACAGCATCCATCCAGACACCGGGACTCGAAAGGGAGAACCAGACAAAGCCTGCATACACAAGGGCCATAGAGGAGATGGTACCTCCGTCCTCTGCCCAGGAGAGAGCCCTTGTATTTCTGAATGGAATGAAGAAAAGGAGCATAGTGGCATCTGATATCTTCACGTACCTATGCCAGATAAGGCTTGAGTGCGAATGCCTTTCTGACTATCTCCTTTTTCCTATGTCCGTCGTTGTTGTGTTTATACTGCGGATCTATGTGAGATGGAAGTTCAAGGCTCAGGAGAAGATAAATAGTAGGGAGAACACCTACATTAAGAATAAATAACCAGCCTCAATCGAATTTAATGGATCCATCGGACGTAACATGGAGCTTCTTGTTTTCAAGAGCTACTTCCTCAAATATCTTGCTGACTGTTCCCCAGTTTACAACCTTCCACCAGTTTGCTATGTATTCAGCCCTTGCACTCTTGTACTTAAGGTAGTATGCATGCTCCCACACATCCAGCCCAAGAATTGGAATTGTGCTCGAGGTCTTCATGCATATGGCATCTTGGTTATGGGTCTTTCTTATTACAAGAATCCCTTCGCTCTGTCTGTAGCACAGCCATACCCATCCAGATCCAAACAGAGACGTTGCCGCATCATTGAACTCCTCAATCATCTTTTCCTGCGACCCGAAGGACTTCTCAATATACTCGGACAGCTTTGGACTTATAGGCTCGCTGGTTCCTGGGGGGCACATCATCTTCCAGAACAGGCTGTGGTTGTAATGTCCTCCAGAGAAATTGGCTATGTCCCTTTTCACGCTGCTTTTGATTCCGCCGATTCTTCGTCCCTTTGTCACACAGAAGGTAAGGTTTTTGTCCTTGATTCCGTTGTTCCTGAGTGTCCTTTCAAGGTTGTTGATGTATCCCTGGTGGTGCTTGGTGTGATGAGTCCTCATTGTCTCCTCGTCAATAAAAGGCTCAAGCGCGTCGTACGGATAGTCGAGGTTTGGGAGAGTAAATTCCATGGGTATTGCATTTCGGATGGTTTAAGCTCTTGGCTTACTAAACATTCTATGTGGAAGGCCTTCTGCATAAAGGGATTATGACAAGAAAGACGATGTGTATACAAATACCTAGAGACCCGAGAGTAGACGGAATTTCGTTTATAACAGCGATGCCAGAGGCAATGGCCGAGAAGATAGAGGGGCAGAAGTGGAAGGAAATAATGTCTGGCCTGAACGGTATCTTCCACGAGTTTGAGTCTCCGTCCATAGCATCTTTTATCAAGACGGTGTCCATTGTTCCACTCCTTGTGGGCACGCCTCGAAATGTCTATACGAGGGTTGAAGAATACCTATCTGAGGCAAACAAACGCCTGGAGAGGCATGGAATCCGTATAATTCATCCTGGGAACCACCAGTATGTCGAGCTTGAGGTTGAGATATGCAGGGACGAATGATGTGGATGGCACCCGACTGGAGTTATTCGAGCATGCCAAGATCTATAATTGCAATTTTTTCTGATCCTCAAGAATGTATAGGAAAAATGCCAACTTTGTTGAATGCGAAGAAGAGGTGCTAGAATACTGGAGAAACAGCAGATGCTTTGAGAAGGCCTGTGAGATGAGCAAGGGGCGGAAGAAGTTTACTTTCTATGACGGGCCGCCGTTTGCAACAGGGCTGCCACACTACGGCCACATTCTCAGCGGCACTGTTAAAGACACTGTCACAAGGTTCTTTTATCAGCAAGGATACGATGTCGACAGAAGATTTGGATGGGACTGCCACGGGCTTCCTGTTGAGTATGAGATTGACAAGAAGCTAGGAATAAGTAGCAGGGACGAGGTTCTGAAGATGGGGATTGGCAAATACAATGAGGAATGCAGAAGTATTGTTATGAAGTATAGTGGGGAGTGGGAAAAGACTGTGGAGAGGCTTGGACGGTGGGTAAGCTTTAAGAATGGGTACAAGACTATGGATAAGGCATACATGGAAAGCGTGTGGAATATTTTCAAGGAGCTCTTCAATAGAAATCTGATATACAGAGGGTTTCGGGTGATGCCATTTTCCACGGCATGCTCGACTCCGCTGAGCAATTTTGAGTCGAACCAGAACTACAAGGATGTCAGCGACCCGTCTGTGCTTATTTCCTTTCCCCTTCTTGAGGCTCTTGAGGGGTACAAAGTGTCGCTGGTTGCATGGACAACCACCCCCTGGACCTTACCGTCCAACTGTGCACTTGTAGTGAATTCTGAGTTTGAGTATGGGATTTTTGAGCACAAGCAGAGGTTTTATCTGATGCATGTTGGCAGGATTGGAGAGTACTTCAAGGATGCCAAGGTTCTCCGGAGGATTTCTGGCCAGAGGCTTGAAGGGCTTGAATACGAACAGCCATTTCCGTACTTCGAAGAGTACAGGAAGAAAGGATTCTTCAGAGTCTACACCTCAGGATTTGTTACGGATACGGATGGCACTGGGGTGGTCCACTCTGCACCTGGGTTTGGGGAAAGCGACTATAATGTGTTTGTTGAGAAGGGGCTGATACGTGAGAATGACCTTGTTCCCTGTCCTGTCGATGAGAATGGGAGGTATACTAGCGAAGTGAAGGACTATGCTGGAAGGTATGTGAAGGACTGCGACAAGGTCATTCTTTCTGACATCAAGGACAGAGTTCTCATGAACCAAAGGATAGTGCATAAGTATCCATTCTGCTGGAGATCTGATACGCCCCTGCTGTATAAGCTTGTTCCAAACTGGTTTGTGAAGGTCAGGGATCATGTGGACTCTCTTCTGAGGAACAATGAGAAGATAAACTGGGTTCCCAAGGATATAAAATACAAGAGATTCCACAACTGGCTAGAAAATGCAAGGGATTGGTCTATCTCAAGAAACAGGTTCTGGGGAACACCGATTCCTTTATGGACCACTGAGGACTATAGTGACATGATATGCGTGGGATCGATAGGTGAGCTTGAGAGACTGAGCGGAAGAAAGATTTCCGACATTCACAGGGAGTTTATTGATGACATTGTCATACACAAGGATGGAAAGGAGTACAGAAGGGTTGAGGAGGTTCTTGACTGCTGGTTTGAAAGCGGGAGTATGCCGTATGCACAAGACCACTGGCCGTTCTGTAGGGACGTTAGCACAGACCTCAAGCACCTTTCTGTGGCAGGCGAAGGGGAGAAGCATGCAAAGCTTGTGAAAGAAAACTTCCCAGCCAATTTCATAGGAGAGGGGCTTGATCAGACAAGAGGATGGTTCTATACTCTCCATGTGATATCCTCGCTTCTATTTGATCAGCCTGCATTTCTCAATGTGGTTGTCAATGGGATAGTACTTGCAGAGGATGGGCGAAAGATGAGTAAGAGGCTAAAGAACTACCCAGATCCCTCTCTTATACTCAACACCTATGGTGCAGACTCTCTCAGGATGTATTTAATATCGAGTCCTGTTGTTGAAGCAGAGAATCTGAGGTTCAATGAGAGCGGGGTCAAAGAGGTTCTGAAGACACTGATAATCCCGTGGTACAATTCGCTAGGATTCTACTTAGAGAATAAGGGTGTTAAACCTGACGACGAATGTCTACCTATGGATGGATGGATAAGGGCATCCTTCAACAACTTCACAACATCTTTGACAGAAAAGATGAAAGGATACGAGCTTTCTTCTGTGCTGACTTTAGCACTAAGGTTCATTGACGACCTATCGAATTGGTATATCAGGATGTATAGAAAGGAGATAAGGTCAGGACACCATGCTGTTCTCGGAGAGATTCTTCAGAAGTTCTCGATTGTAATGGCACCGTTCACCCCTTTCTTCAGTGAGTATTCCTATCAATCCCTTAGTCCCGGAGAGAGTGTCCACTTCCAGGAGTATCCTGTGTGCAATAGCGAGACACATCCATTTGAGATGGCAAAGAGCGTGATAACTGCAGTAAGACGGCTCAGAGAAATGAACTCAATATCTCTAAAGACGCCTCTGAGGAGTGCCACACTAGTGAGTAGTAATAGTCTTTACGAGGAGATTAGGGATTACACAGATGCAATCAAAACAGAATGCAATGTCCTGGAGCTTCTCCATAAGGAGGAAGGCAAGTCTATGTTTGACATCACCGTGAAGCCAAACTTCCTGAGCCTGAAAAGAGACAAGGCCACTATGAAGAAAAAGATGGAGATAATCAAAAACCTCTCGAGTGACCAGATGTACTCACTTCTAGGCTCTTCATTGAATGTGGGGGATCTTGAGATTCTTCAGGACGATGTATTAATTGTGAAGAAAATCAAGTGCGATAAGGGAATAAGCCAGGAGTTCGGAGACTTTAGCATAATCATTGATGATACTCAGGATGAAAATATTGTTGAAATGAAAGTTGCAAGGGAGTTCCATAGTTATGTCCAAAAGCTGAGGAAGTCTGTGGGCCTAAGCATTAATGATGATGTGGTGGTGGACATTGAATGCCCAGATTTGAAGAGAATTGTGAATAAGTATTTCGACATTTCCTTTGGAAACCTGGGGACTCTATGTGGAAAAGGCTCATATGAGTTCAATGGTGGCTCGCATCCTGTTTCCCTCTACAAGAAGGCCCAGTCCTGATCTTATTAAACACCCTATCTACTCAATCCTGTTTATTTACCCTGTTTTGTTCAGAAGAGACAGGAAATCAGACATTCTTCTTTCATAGTCGGCCATCTCTTCTTCCAGCCTTCTCTTTGTGCCCATATCGAGCTCTGCATCGACTCTTCTTCTTATTTCGTCAATCTTCGACTGCAGTTCGTTCACAGGAAGTATACATTCGTCTCCAATCCTACTCTGAAGAACGTCAATAATCTTCTTCTGTCTGTCTATTGTGACACTCTTCTTCTTATTAGACTCGACTGCCTTCTTCAATGCCTCCCTTGCAGCGTCATAATCTTTCTTTATCCTTGTATTCTTGGTACTAAGCCTCGATACAGCTTCCGAAAAACTGGCATTCTCATTTGCAATTCTGTCCATCTTGCCTTTGAGCTCTGCATAGTCCTTCAGAACATTCTCATACTCCCTTTCCTTCAATTGTGCCTCCTGGCTCATCAGTTCCATGGTCTTGATTCTCTTCAAAACGCTCTTAAATACATTCTTCAGAGCCTTTGAGACATCGTGAAGACCATCCCCCTCCATGCCCACATCAATTCCGAAGTCCTCAATGGCTCCTGCAACATCCTTAGCAATCGCCCCTCCTATCCTCCTCAGGTCCTCCAGCTCTCTTGAGCATTTGTCAAGTTGTTTTACAACCTCACCACTCGACCTAGCATATCCAAGCTCAGCCTCAAAGCTCTTGCTCCTCATGTCAAAAAACATCCTGCGAAGCTTATGGCTTATCTCCTCGACATCCCTCAGATCCCCCAGTAGCCCGTCTATCTTCCGAGACACACTTCCCGTAGAACATGCCCCCTCTTCGGCGCAGTATGTCTCTACAGAAAAGAGGGGATCTCTGTCCTTAAGCTCCCTGCATATAACCCTTTTGGCCCTTTCCAGATCCCCTTTGCATATCTCCGCAAGAACATGCTTTATAAATCCCTCGTCAAAGTACTCCTTCCTGATAAGCTTGTCAATCTTCTCATTCACCTTCATATAAGTCTTGTATATGCTTGATAGGTATACGCAGTCCTCATTCCCGTTGCTTTCTGCCGATATGGTGCCAAAAGCAGATAAGGTGTCCGAGCGATCGTCAGAGATGCTGTCGCCAAAGGCACCGCCCTTTCCGTCCACCACAACCTTGATATCGGACAGAGAAAGCATCTCCAGCCCATTCACAATGTACTTCCCCAGCTGCTGCGATGTGTCTGGCGATTTCAAGGTTGCATCCTGAATGCTTTCGAATGCCGGCAAAGGCTTCTTCTCATTCTCGTCTGCAAAGAGCCCCATAGGTCTAGGGATCAGTGCAAAAATTCAAGCCATCAGAAGATGTATTAAAACGAGGCAGGACCCCTAGGATGGAAGACATGAGGACAGTAATAGCAAGTGTGGTGGCACACATAGACCATGGAAAAACCTCTTTGATAGACAGCCTTGTTGCATCGCAGGGACGGATATCAAGAACATTAGCCGGATCTGTTAGGTTTCTCGATACAAGAGAGGACGAGCAAACCAGAGGAATAACGCTGAAGCTGAGTGCAATCTCCTTGAGGCACGATGGGGGCAGCTATGTGTTCATTGACACACCAGGGCACGTAGACTTTGAGTCTCTGATCCAGTCAAGCTCTATATTCTCAGACAACTTCCTCATCCTCGTGGACGTTAACGAGGGGATAACGCCAAGAACTTATTCGCTTGTGAAGTATACGAAAGGGAAGAGATGTGTTCTTGCGGTAAACAAGATAGACAAGGTATGCTCTCCTGAGGAGCTTCTGCAGAAGGTACTCTCGGTTGTGTCATCAATAAACGGGCTTGCAGGAGAAGATCTTTTTGAGTGGGAGGCCAACAACATCATACTGTGCTGCGCAACGCTTTGCTATGGAATTAACAGAAAGATGTTCAGGAAGATTGTTGGCAAAGACGGAACCTTGAAGAAAGCCATAGATCTCCTGTTCCACATATACAAGAAGATAGAAGAGAAGGACGTCGATAAGATATGCGAAAGATTTAGGGTGGCAAGCAGAAACCGAAAGAACATTCTTTCGTCTATGTTCCCTCTCTCTGACTGTGTGTTTGATTCTGTGTCCTCGGACACTAGAGATCACTTGAAGGTGTTTTTTGGATCTGATCTAATAAGGCTGAATCCAGTGCCATCTAGCAGGAAGCCTGCCCTTGTAGGGGTTACTGCCTACGGCATTCTGAAGACACCTCGGGTATATGCTAGGGCCTCAGTGCTCTTTGTCACAAGATTATTCTGCGGGACTGTGAGGGTAGGGGACGTTGTGTACTCTGCAGACGGCGAAAGCGTCACGGAATGCACTGTGGAAAGCCTATATCTGTTTGGGATAAACGAGCTAGTTGAGAAGAGCGAGGTTTCTGGATCAAATCTTGTCTGCATTGGAGGCAACTTCCTGAAGAACTCGCTGATAACTGATGTTCCTGTGTATAAGATGAGTGTCAGGAGCAAGGTGACACCCTTCTACAAGTTCAAGCTTGTTCTAAACGACCTTGAGAGGCTTGATGAGCTAAAGGAGGTGTTTAGGGTGATGTCCTGTACAGAGCAGTTCCTGAAAGTAAGGCTCAACAAGTACAAGGAGATAGAGGTTTCATGCACTGGGAAGGTCCAGTCAGAAAAAATAATCACTGATCTCATAGACTCTGGCTTTGAGTTTACTGTTGCAGATCTTGAGGAGAAGTTCTGCGAATATGCCACAAAGCCCATAAGCCAGGCCTTTTCTCTGGAAGGCCTTAATTTGAAGGTTTCTGTCTGCAGGGCGCATGAAAGCGGAGAAGGCACCGATACTTGCTTTAGAAGGTGGGAAGACATGAACAGAAACCAATTTGTTCTTGCATCAGACCTGTGCTTTGAGATGGCTGCTAATGTTCTGGAGATGTTTGTTTCGAGCGGGCCGCTGATAAGAGAAAAGATATATGAAACAAGGTTTGCTCTGGATTTAGAGGGAGACGCCGACGGAATGGATTCTGACACCTTGTATTCCTTTCTAAAGAACTCTCTTGCTTCTGTGTATCTCTTGTCCGCGCCGACTGTTGCGCCGATGTTCTATGAATGCAACATCTCGATCCAGGAGGAGTTTATAGGGGAAGCATACAAAAGCCTGTCCAAGCACAACTATGCGGTGGCCCAGGAGAGCTACGAAGAAAAGACAGGGTTCTATGTCCTCACAGTGCTGATTCCGCAGTTTCTGTACTCAAGCTTTCTTGAGGACATAAGAGTGAGGACAAAAGGAACGGCATATCTTCTAGTGAAGGACGTAGGATACAGGTTTTTGCTAGATTTCAGCAGGTACATAGAAGGTATAAGGAAGAAGAAAGGACTATTCGTCGAGGAGAAGATAGTTGAGAGCCCATCAAAGCAAAGAACATATAAAAAGTAGAGCCATAATTTACTAATAAAGGTCTTATACTAGTTAAGCCTCAAAGCTATATGACCTCAGGGTTATGGAGATAAGTAAGCACATAAGCGTGAATAAGCCTATTGCTGTTCTGTATGAAAATACATTTGCTTCTTCCTCTTGTAAAAGGCAGTTTCCAAATCTTGTGCCGCTGACTTTTATCCCTGGCGTTATCACCTTCACAAGCTTTCTGTTGTTTGCAGGCCTTGGAGGAAGCCCTCTGCTTTCTTTCTTCGAGTCCACAGCCAGCACAGATATGACCTCCTCAATCTCCATCCTACTTCTACATGTAGGGCAGAACTTGCATCCTCCCGTCGACTGTGACCATGCATATAGACACCCCCAGCAGAACAGATGCCCGCATGGCGTTATCACGGGGCCTTCTGGCCGTGAATAGCATATACTGCATGTGTAGTCTCCGCTCGGGTGTCTACTTTCCTTCTTTTCGTTGGCGTCTTCTATGCATGCCTTGGACTCCGCAGCTTCTTTGCTCCATTCGCCAGGCTCCGCCGTTTTCTTTTTGGTTTTCATGGGATGCTTGTCCCCCTTGCTCATGAATCTATTGGACATGAGCGTCAAGTTTGTTGAGGAAATCAATTTATTTCTACGCCAGGAGAATGATGAACTGGATGCCGTGGAGGTGGAAAGACTGATCCAAAGGATCGAAGAGGTGCAACTGCTTGTAAGGGATTCCGAGGAAAGCTTCAGGCAGATGCTCGAGGGCATTGAGGCTGAGGAGAGCTCTAAGGCAGATACCATTGTGGTCATAACAAAAAACAAGAAGCCAATTTGCATTTTAGGAAAAGAGGTGGTTAAGCCAAGAATAGAAAGTATTAATGCGGGAAGTGTCAGTTGTACTCATACTCCATCGTTCTGCAAATTCAAGGCATTTTCAAGCACCGTGCATGTGAAGACGCTTGCCCAGCTGTTGGACATAGACAAGCATATCACACAGGCTGCAATAGAAGTGTTCGACCACACATACAGGTCGTATGAAGGATTCACATGCCTTATCTCTGTTGGCGACACAAATGGAAACATCTACATAATAGATGCAATAAAGTTCAGGGCATTCATTCCAAGGCTTGCACTATTGAAGTGCAATGTCCCGAAGATAATACACTGTGGAGGCTGTGTTGAGAGGCTCCTCAGAGACTTTAAGCAACTTGGATGCTTTAGAAACTACGAGATCCCTTCGGATATGATTTTTATTGATTGGAGAATCCGTCCTGTCCCAAGATTCCTTCTCGAAGTTTTGTACAGGGGAGTTCAGGAAATAAGAGAAATGGTTGCCAATGGCGTTGAAATGGAGGTCTATTGCAGCAAAAAAAATGACGAAACAAAGGAGATGGCCTTGAAGTATGGCATCTCTAATGACGGAGGGCTCCTTGAAGACCTTCTAAAGCTGAGAGAGTTTCTTGCAAAAAGTAACGACGAGTCTGTTCAATATGTCATGACCGATGACCAGGTCGTAAGACTCCTGAAGACAAAGCCAACTTCACAAAGAAAGATGGCCGACGAACTCAGGAGGCTTTCTCCCATAGCAAGGCAGCACATAATGGACTTTCTGCTTCTGCTCAATGGCAAGAAAAAAAAATTCCTATTAAAAGATCTCATGACGCCAAATCAAGGATGACAGGCCAACCACAGTGTGTGCCCTTTCCAATCTGAAACATGCAGAGCAGTCTATTTCAGGCAGCAACAACACAGGCAGAATGGGGATCAATAGAGAAAGAAAAGTCGATGTCTCCCAGAATGTGGCATGGACATTGCAGCGAGGGAGCTGGATAATCCATGTCCTGGTTGTATTTCTTCTCAAGATGACACTCTCGGTGGTATTTAACGATAATATAGGATGGCAGCTCTCACTAATCATCTACAACATCTCCACTTTCATCTTCTTTCACATGATTCCTGGAGATCCCTTCAACGACAGATATAGCCTCTATACATTCTGGGAGCAGCTTTCAGAGCAGCTAGAAGGCACTCCAGATCTTATTTTCATAGCACTGTTCCCACTGATAGCATTCACCGTCATAAACTTCATTGTGAAGTGGAACACTCTTCTTCTCTGGATGTGCATTACAAGCCTATTTATTGTGACTGTCCCAAAGTTCGGCTTCATGCATCTCAGGAGAATCCTGATATTCAAGGAGTAGGCCATGCATGCCAGTAAACCTTGCTTCATTCTATCCTATCCTGAAGAAGCTCTTTCTTTTTACTATAAGACTCCCCCCTATACTCCACACAGCTCAGGACATCTGCCGCAAGCTTGGACAAATTCTGGAGAACAAGAATCTCTACAAACTCAAGGACTAAGAACTCTTCAACATTGCTGAAGCTTCCCTTTCTCGATATAATGCACTCAACAATCTTGTGAATGTCTGTGTACTTCATACAGAACGCCTCCTTGAAGAGCCTTATCGACTGGTCGGTAAGCCCCTTCCTTGTGTAGAACTTCATTGCATGGACCTTGATTTGAAGGTTTCCTGGATTTGTCTCTATGGCCTTCTTCAGAAAATACTCTGCATTATCTAGCCTTTCTGTCTTGGTGTACACCAGTCCACATCCAAACATTGCTCTGTAGTTGTCTCCAAGCATCTTTAGTGACAGATTAAAGTACTTCATTGCTATGTCATATTCGTTCCTCTGGATTGATTCATACCCCAGAAGCGTATACGTGTATGAATCTTCTTCTATGTGCAGGCTTCTCTTGAAACACAGAACGCTCCTTTGGTAATCCCCTTGGTGGCTATAGAAGTTCCCTAATGCCTTCCATGTGTGAGGAGAGTCCTGTGCATGCTTGATCAGATTCTTGCACAGCATTCCGAGCTCATAAACATCCTTGCAGTGCCACAGGATGGTCGAGTAGTAGTCCACGTTGTGTAAAAACATGGGATCCTTTCTCCTTACAAGCTCAAAGCATGCCTTACTCTTATCATTCATTCCAAGATTGAAGTACCTCCTTGCTGCATTTGAAATGAAGTATGATCCAACTCCAGGGACATGCTCCAAATACTTCTTTATCAGAGACTGCCCAAGGCTCTCATGGAACTCAATGATGTCTGCCACATACTCCTCCTCTATCCCCCTCTTCCCCATCTGCCGGATGTTCTCCTTGTCTCTCTTCAGAGGAATCTTGTTCTCAAGCAGAAGGTTTTCAACAGCAGAAAACAAAAAGCTCTTTGCAAAGGACTTTGTGTAGTGCCCAATCGCTTCTTCTCGATGCCCAGACAAAGTATACAGGTCTCCAAGAAGAGACTCAAAAAACTCATCATCGTCAGGATCAATAAACATCTCTTGTATCCTTGCATCTACCTCGGGGTCTCTTTCAACCTTTCCCTCGAGAATGTGCTCCAGGCTTTTGATCGCCTTCTTGTAGTCCTTTTTCTTTTTGTAGCAAAGAGACTCGTAGTATTTAGATGTGCATGTGTTGAGCCTGTGGAGATGAAAGAGCGCACGGGAGTACTCCCCGTTCAGATAAAGCACTATGGACATCAGCGTTCTGTACTCAGGCTTTTGCTGAGTCAGATATGCCGTTAGAAAAATTGCAGTCTCATAGTCCCTGTATCTTATCGACTTGCATATCTTTCCAATTAACCTTGCGTCCATTTGAGGGCAAGCTCTTGTTGTTTGAAGACCACTAGTAACCATACCTAAAGATGTTTATTCTTCCAACTAGCCTTGGAAACATTCGAGAAATGCAATCGAGCGGAGATTCTCCTCTTGAAAATACATTTCATCATCAATGACAGACCCAAGCACCTCTATTTTTCTGCCAAGCGTGTCGTCGTCTTTTATGTCCCTCTCATACAGAAAAAGAATCGTCTCAATGCACTCAGTAAAAATAGGCACAAGCTCCTTCACCATAAAGAACTCAATTATCACATCAAGAACATCCTCAACCTCTCTTCTGCTTAGATCCTGGAGTGCATGCTCAAACTCCCCTCTCTCATGGATATAGCTCATCACTGCAAACAATTCCTGGATATCTCTCCTCTTCACAGCGTGGATCATCGACTTCTTGTATTCAAACGCATTCAGCCTCTTCTCCAAGAAATTGAATTTCTCAAGCCGGTTCGGAACCACCTTGATCTTCACCTCATCGTCCAGCTCTCCTTCTCTGCATCTAAGCTCCACCATATCCCTCTTCGCCTTTTCCTTGACCAGCTCAAGCACCCCTCCATCCTCCAATCCAAGGCACACCACATCGTCAAAGATCCCGATACTCAGAATCCCTCCTCGAATTCCAATCTTCGATATCATCCTAAGATCCACTGTAAACACCCTTATGCTTGCATCCAGAGACACCGTATATAGCCTCCCTTCATAGAACATCATGGACGTCACCTCCTTTATGTGGAAGAACCTTCCCGTCTCCTTTCCCCCGTTCTCAACGTCAATCACACACACCTCGCTCCCAGATGCAAAGGCCAATCGCCCCCCTCCTAAAGCACAGACCTTCGATACACGGCGCTTGGTATCATACTTAAACACTTTCTCAAATGTTGAAAGGCTGTATCCGTTGATAAACCCATCATACGACCCAGAAAACATTACTCCATCTCCGACATCAATGCTTTTGACGTAGTCCGTGTTCTCGGCTATGGTGACAACAGACTTGGGCTTCGAAAGCTCAAACACTTTCACCTTCATGTCATCGCTACAGCTCATAACCATCTCTCCACTGATTTTTATCTCATTAACTCTGGCCTCGTGCTCGTAGTACTGTCTAACAATGCTTCTCATCCTCCCAATCACCTTGATGCCTCCTCCTTCGTCTCCACATGCCACTAACTCCTCACACACATCCATAGCACTGACATCTCTATCGAACTTCGCTATCTTCTTTCTCTTGCTCTCATCCTTCTTGACAACCAGCGCACGGTTCCCACACCCCACAACTATCCCGTCTTTGCAGCAGCATAGATTAGAGACAGGTGCCTCCTGCTCATAGATCATCTTGAAGCTTTCCCTCGAGGAGTCGGCTATCCCAAAATTGTTGCTTCGGAAGTACACCATATGGGTCTTGGCAAGGAGGAAAATAACTGCCAGAGACTATCCGATCTGGATATGGAGGACTTGGCAAGAAAGATAGACACCTTCTTCAGTAACAGGAAGACAACAAATCTTATGGCCTCGTCGAAGAAGAAGGTCCTTCAATTTGCAAAAAGCAGAGGTGTGAACATGAACAAGTCTTTAATCGAAGTGGAAGAGTTTCCAAGAAATGCATATGCAGATGAGCTGGAGCGGTTTCCTGTTCTGAAAGACTAATAATAAACTACCGATGGAATAAATCCTTGAATGCTGAAAATGCTTCTTTCAAACTGTCTTTTGGCTAGGAAGTCATCCGTAAACAGAACCAAGTGCCCCTGTATTCCATTCAGTGCATCGCAGATGAGTCCGTCATCCAAAGAGCAAAGGTCAAAATGCCCCCCGCCACCTCCAAAAAGTCTTCGGAACATCTCTGTATTGTTTCTTGCTCTGCCAATAATCTTGTTGAAGACATCGTCACTCCCAAGATCAATCTCGTTATTGAGTAGGCTATGTTCCAAAAGGTCCTCAGGCCCATAGCCATCCTCCCTTGCTCTTCTGACTCCAAGATGCTCTTCTAACAGTCTCTTAAGCAGCTTGCGGACCGCCTCACTCTCCTCCTCCACAAGCAGTGCTATTTCTGTATCTCTGTTCCCCAACATACTTCTGTCATTGAGATTCGCGCTTCCTACTATAGCAGATGTCCCGTCCACAATAATGATTTTGGAATGGACATAGATTTGCTCCTGAACAATCTTCCTACCATCAAAGTAAGCCTTCCTCAAAGACACAAACACAAGGTACTTGTCTGGATCCACACCATTCTCCTTTAGCACTTGATACACAGACATCTCTCCTCTGAATATCGATTGCTCTTGGATCCTTATGATTTCCATCGCCGGCGTCGGCCCCACAGTGAACCCAGTATCGAGTATAGGGAAGAGAGGAATCACAACATACACCTTAAACTCCTCTCCGTCTCTGTTGGCCCTGACTATTCTTTCCACAAGAGCCTTTCCAATCGTGTTCTCAGGGAATCCAGGCGCAGAGCTGCACCTTGTGATGAAGAACTGATTCTCTATGTATATGAATCTCTTAGAGCTCAGGATCATCTCGGAATACCCTCTTGATATAGAATCCTCGTCATATCCAAGAGACCACTTCCCAGCAGATCTCAGAACCTGTGTCCTAATGGATGCCCTTCCATCTGGGCCGTGTCTAGAAACATACTCTTCCAGCATCTCTTCGTTTGGAACCAGCAGCTTTATCTTCTCCACCTCACCGTACTTCGAAACAATGAAATTCCATCGCTCAATGAAGTGCTGTGATACATCAAATGCAGAATCCCCAACAATCTTGCATTGGACATCATGCCATGGCATCCTGCGGACGCCGCCAGTGTCCCCTTCCCATCTGCCTCCTCCTGATACTTCAGGCCAGTACTCCGTGCTGAAAAGTGCATGCTCTTGTGTATCGTATCTACCAGGTGCAAGGTCCATCCCTCCAACATATGCTATCCTCTGGTCTATAGCAACTATCTTCTCATGATGGGTCCAGTAGATCGGGATGTATCCTGCATTGTTCGGATGCATGAGAACCTCGATTCGCTTGTGTAAATTGGACAGAAGCTCACAAGTACGATTCGAATCTATATTCAGAGCACCCAGGGCCTCCTTGTACATGAGTATCTTTATCCTTATTCCCCCCTCAGCCAGCTTCTTCAGAACATGGTCAAGCCTGTATGTCTTGTCTAGTTCTCCATTATCTGGCTCCTTTCGAAGATACAATGTTGGATAGATCCACCATCCAGCAATGAAAACCTCTCTCCTTGCCAGACATAATGTTTCGTAGAGATTGTGGAAGTAGCTCTTTCCATCAATATAGAAGTTCACCACTCCTCCCCTCCTTACAGGACTAAAAGATAGAAACCTTTCTGGCCCTCTCCTCTCCAGCCCCCCTAGAATCTCCCCAAACAATCGCCGTACTGCATCATGTCTAAAAGACTTAATTACATATCTCCTCTCATTCCTGTCCACCGTGACCTTGCTGCAAAACATCTCTGATTTGTACTTTGCATTCAATCTTTCTCTATAGAACAGAACGTCTATGTCCTTGTGGCCATTCTTGTAATCAACAAGCACTAGATGGGACTTCTTGCAGACAACGTACATCTTCCCAGAGATCCCCGAGGTTTTGCAACAGGGCCATTTACATCTGTCTTTCTCAAGATCTAGCACGCTTACATGGAACTTATCTTCAAACATCTTTGTCCCGTTGAATGAGTGTCTGGATATCCTGAAGAAGTCGTAGACCTTTCCAATGTCAAGCAGCCGGGATCTGTGGAGGACAACCCTAAGAAACTCCTCAACACCACTGTAATGCCCCTCTGCACACATGTCCGGCTTGTCTCTTCTTGAATCCATGACTTCTCTGTAATGAAGATAGGCGTTCAAGGAAAACATCTGTACTATTCCTATATGTATTCTCCACCTCTGCTTCCCATACCTTAGACTCACTGTGTATCGAGCAGAAGACGAAGACGTTCTATCCACACTCACATCTACATAGTCCAACAAAACAGGGAACACAGGCTCTTGTGAAAGAAATCTAAGCTTCCTGAAGGGAACCATGAGGACAGACTCAAGTAAGTTTTTGTACATGCGATTGCTTTCAGACGCCGACAGAGTGCCTGCACACCCACCGTCAACCGAATCTTGAGGCATCCGACCCAGAAAGGTTTTGTCTGTGGTTTCCATAATTGCAGGATCTCCTCAAAATGAAATATAGTTTAGGCCTGCAAGATGGGAGAAAGCTGCCCAGGGGTATCAAGCAAGGATGCGGGGAAAGCCGAGGGATGCAGAGGATGCCCAAACGAGTCGTATTGCTCGCAGCCAATGCAGCAGGATCCAGACATCAAAACCATCCGGGAAAATCTCGGAGGCATAAGAACTATTGTTGCCATTATGAGTGGAAAGGGAGGTGTTGGAAAAAGTACGGTCACTAGAAACATAGCAGAGTGCATTTCCTCCAGAGGGACCACTGTATGCATCTTGGATCTTGATCTGTCGGGGCCAAGCATTCCAAGGCTTACTGGGACAGATGGAGAATCCATGTGCGAAACAAACGGAGTGATACAGCCAGTAGAAGTGAACGAGTTCTTAAAAGTTGTTTCTGTCGGATACACTCAGAGTTCGTATGGGGAAGGAACCGCGTTCAGCTCTAGGCTTAAGACAAATGTTTTGAAAAAGTTACTGAAGAATTGCAATTACAAAGGGGTGGATGTGTTGCTTCTAGACACGCCTCCAAATGTGACTGATGAGCATCTTGGAATGGTGAACTTCATAAAGCCGAAGTTTGGAATTATTGTCACAACGCCTCAGAAATTCTCGATGCAGGATGTGATAAGGCAGATCGACTTCTGTGGGAAAGCAAGGATAGATATCCTTGGAATCATAGAGAATATGAAAAGATTCGTCTGCCCAAGTTGCAGCCACGAGAAGAGCGTGTTCAGGAGTACTGGTGTTGAGCTGTATTGCAAGTCTAGTGGTGTCCCATATCTGGGCTCGATTGACTTAAGGCAAGACATAGCCAAATCATCAGATATGGGGCATGCTATACAAGAAGATGCCTTCAACGGGATATGCAACCTTATCATGTCTCTGCACAAGGCCAGCGATGGGAGCCATTGATTCTGTCCACCATTGGAAGTAAATCTATGAATGTGTTAAAAATATTTATTTGCTCCCTAGCACACCATGGTTTCTTAGTCCTTCCACTATGGACTCTGAACCCTCGCTTATTTGGCTTATCATCCTGATTACGCCCTTGTCAACAAAGCAAACCTTATCAAATAGTGGAAGAAGATCGAGATTGTGCACTATCGCCATGACAGTCAGCGACCCCTCGAAATCTATGATGTTCTTTATGATGTCTATCTCTGCCTCCTTGTCAAGATTAGAGGTAGGCTCATCCATTATGAGAATCTCTGGCCTTCTCAGCAAGGCTCTTAGTATGATAATCTTCTGCCTCTCTCCCCCGCTTATATGCCTTCCAGACTCCCCAACATTCGTAAAATATCCTCTCTCAAGCCTCATTATGCTGTCGTGGATATTGAATCTTTTTGCAAGCTCAACAACAGCATAATCAGACACATCGGGGCACCCGTACTTGATGTTGTACATTACAGTCTCGTTAAACAAAGAAGAGTTCTGAGGCACATATCCTATGATCTTTCTGAAAGACCCATTTCCTATTGCCTTGATGTTTATCCCGTCAATAGATATGGTTCCTTGGTAGCTGCAGAACTTCAGGAAGGTTTTCAGAATGGTCGACTTCCCAGATCCGTTGGACCCTACAATCGCCATCTTGTCTCCCCTCTCGACCTTGAGATTCACCCCGTTGAGTATCTTTTTGTCTCCATAATACAGGTGGATATTGTCGAACGTGATGTTCCTCCTAAACCTTACTATAGACTGGCTTTCACTCGTCCTTACATCATAGTCCTCAGACAGAACCTCCCTGGCATTCAGCATGGCCTCCGTAAACCTACAGTATGTGTATCCAAGGTTGTTCAGATTCATAAGAAGAATCCTGCTTGTCGTTGCATAGAAGATCAATGTCTTCCCATCCATCTTACTGGAAAGCATCCCATACACCCCAAGCGCAATCACTGATGAGCTCATGAGCGCAAAGATGAGCTTTTGAACCATATTCAGGATGTACAGCCCCCTGAACAGGCTTGTCCCAAACCTTTCAATCTCCACCAGCTTTCCGTCATATCTTTTCACCTCAATATCGTAGTTGTTGAACGAAACAACAGACTCGTGGTTGCTCAGCGCGTCGTACACAATGTTTGATGCCGTATTCTCTGCATTGTTCAGCGCTGCCCTAATCCTGTTTCTTCTGAGAGCTATGGATATCGTCGTGAATCCATAAACACTCACTGCAAAGACAACAATGGCAGAGGCCAATGCCCCGAGCTTCAGATACACCTCGAGCCCTACAAATCCAATCGAGGCTACCACCGGAAATAGATTCTGAACAGAAACTTCCACAAAGTCACTGATTGCCTTGCTCTTTCTGGTTATGATGCTCTGGATTGTTCCTAGGCCGTAAGACTCAAATGGTTCTGTCTCCATCCGAATAAAGTACTCAAATGTGGTCCTCAGGGTGTATCTATAAACATACTGGATCGCACCGACAAACACATATCCTTGGAGTTCCGTAAACATTATCCCCATGAGAGAGACCGCGAGGAACATGGCTATCCTGCCACGGGGCATCTCTGCTGAGTCAAGGCCATCAGAGATATGGCTTATGCAACTCGCCACCTTGACTTCAAAATACTTTCCTGCAAAGATGCTCAGAAGAACTGGGAGCACGACGACCCGGATCTGCGGAATCCCAAGAATATACTTCCTAACAATGATGCTCAGAGTCTGAAGCTCGCTCGCCTTCTTCTTACTACCCATTTGTGATATATTTTTCGAAAATATTTATTATCTTTTGTTTGAAAATCCGATCTAAAACAAAGTCAAATCTCGTTCTGGAAGAGACATTCCTCCTTGCCTTCCCTGGACTTCGCCATAAGAACAGATGTCTCAACATGCTGCGTAAGGATCTTCGACTTCTGCTCCAGCCTCCTCAGGGCCTGGTCACACTCCGCAATGCTGTTCCTTAGAACTCTGAGCTTTTCTTGAAGCGCCATCAGGGGCACTTAGAGGTTTGACATCAATCATCCAGCACCGCCCTTTCCTCCCACACAAAACATGCCAGAAACGATACACCAGCCAGAGCAAAAAGATTCCTCAAAAGATTGGTTTAATTTCAAACTTCACAATCGCCTTGTTTATATGTGTTAGTACTTGCAGTCATCGTCGGCAGAGTCGGAGGGCTCGTTGACGTATATTACTCTCTGCCCCCTGACACCCTCCTCAGACGGGATGTATACATTGCCTTGGTGGCTATCTACATCAACATGCGCGGAAGTCTCTTCGCTCACATCATCGATCCCAAATATTATTGCCCCGTTGACACTAGGCTTAGAAGCTATGCATGTGTCCACATGCTGGCAGACATAGGAAAACCTTTCTTCGTCCTTAGAGCTTGGAAACTCCTGGTTGAGAAACAAGTCTTTCACCCCTGAGATGGCCTCGGATATTCCAGATTTAATGAAGTCTATTGTGTCTTCTGTGCCTCTCCACAGCACACCTATTGACCTTGCACACTCCTTGGGCTCTCCAATCACTATCTTGGGAACTATGTTATCATTGTGAGTCGGACAGCTCCACAAGAACATGTGGATTCCTATCTTCCTGTCTTTGTATGTGTTGAGAAGGTGCTCGTGCACCATGTTTGTCCTCGAGCTCACAGGCTCCACAAGCTCGCACGAGCTGTCAAACCTCTTTTCGGGTACAAGCTCATTGACATCGTAGTCCTTTGCATCGAATCCTATCTTCACCTTGAACTTCGATAGATAGTCGTTGTAGGGCCCTATCACCCTTGTTTTCAGGTAGTGCTCCACGGCTTCTCTCTCGTCCTTGCAGTCAGAAAATGCAGAGAAGATCGCATCTATTGTTCCTCTGTCGAAATGTGCATACAGGCTAACCAGGTAGACCTTATCGTCCTTTGTGCATGCAGGATCAGATTCAAGGCCCCCGAAGTTATATTCAGACGCTAATGCAAGGCCTTCCCGAACCAGTCCAATGAGAAGCAAAAGAGGAGATGGTGTCATGAGAAACATAGTTTTGATACCTCTTCCTTGGGAAATATATAAATATTTTGCTTGAAACAGATGTTTTGGTTCCAGAGGCTCTGTTTTGCCATCTCTCACACACCTGATTCACCTCCTCAGTCTGAGGTATCAATCCCATCCTTGTCTGTAACAACCTTCTTAACGGTGTTCAAGATGTTGAACACCACAAGGCTGTTCTTGCTCTCAATCCTGCTGATGAACCTCAAGAGAACCGATTCCTTGCCAGACATCTGAAGTTTTGTGCAGCTTTCAGAGATCTTGTTGAGATAGCGATAGTATCCTATTTCCTTCGGCTTGATCCCTCTGAATGCGTTCTCAGCCCGGATTCCTCCAATCTTGGAGACCTGCGACTCAATGGATTCCAGTACTCCAGCCCCGTTACAGACCGATCTGAGGGCCATCATAGACTCTATCTGTGCATCTGCCTGGAATACAACGATGTCAAACCCTGAGGATTGCCCCGTCTCAATGACATCTTTAGGGAGTGGATTGATCTCGCCATGGATGCGGTAGCTGGAGGCTATGGGTTCTGGATCCATGTCTATGTGGCAGGAAAGCCCGATGTCCCTGAGAAAGCCACTGTGCACTGAGCATGTCCTGGAAGCTACTGTGAACTTGTGTATGCTTCTGTTCCTTAATCTACTGATAGCATGTGCCATCACAATGGATGACGGTGTTCCGTCAAGATAAAGCAGTATCTTGCTTCCAAACGGAAGCTTCTTGAAGTGTCTGAACACCTTGTGGAGAAACTGCCTCTCGAAGCATGTGTCACAGTAATCCAGGTTGCTTATTCTGATGTTTGGAGCATGAGCACAGACTGCACACCTATGTTCCATGGATAAAATATTTTCGATGGAGATTGGGATTTAATGGGTCTGGAGCACGCAGCAGCAAATGCCGAGAAGATAAGGGGGATGATGGATGGGATAGTGAATGACCTTGAGGGGCATCTTGAGATGTTCAGGAGCCATGCAAGGTTTCTTAGAGGCAGGATAAGCAGAGACAAGCAGGAGGGAGAGGTCCTCTTGCAAACGGTGACGTCCACACTGAACGAGATGAGGGAAAGGAACGAGAGGCTGGTTGACGAGAGAAATGCACTGAAGTCCAGGATTGAGCAGGACACGAAAGATCTCAGGGCCTCTGAGGACGAGAAGCATGAGCTTGTGAACCAGATCAGGGAGCTTGAGATGAGCAACCGTGACCTTAAGGAGGTTTTCCGGGAGAAGAAAGGGATTGAGAATGCCTTTGTGAAGAAGATGGAGCTTGTTTCGGAGAGAAACAAGCAGAGAGAGGCTCTGATGGAGGCGAAGACAGAGTGTTTCAGGAAGTATCTTGGGATGGACATTATTCCTGTGAGGGAAAACGTGATCAAGATTGTGTTTAGCAGGATATGTCCTGAGGACAGTGTTGAATGCTTTGTGACCTTGGATCTGTCTGTGGAGGATGCGGTGATTGATCTGTTTCCTAGGATGTATGGTCTTGAGAAGGCCAACGGCGTGTTCAGGGAGTGTGGTAACTTCCACGACTTTCTGGTGGCTGTGAGGAGGGAGTTCAGAAGAGAGTATTCTGGGATATGAGCTTCCGCTGTTATTAAAGTTGTTCTTTGTTTTAGGATGTTCTGGGCCGTTGAAGATGTATTGTGAAGAACCCCAATGAAAAGCTATAAGCTTGTGTACAAGCCTGAGCAGGGAGAGAAAAGGTTTCTGTTTACAAATGTGGATGTGAAGGAGCTTTCTGGGCCTGTAACGATTTCGAGGGAAAGACCCCTGAAGGAGGAGGTTGTGTTCAACACGAAGAAGAAGAGCGAGCAGGTTGAGTATGAGGACGAGGAGTACAAGAAGCTGAAGGAGAAGGAGGGATGCTTGCTGGTTCTGGAGGATGCGGAGAGCAGGGCGTATTCTGGGAAGATGCAGGATCTAGGTGCAAGCGGATCGTGCTATTTTGTGTTTATCAACACTGGGACTTATCTGAAGGTTGTGCCCATACGGAAATGGTATCGTTTCAGCCAGAAGTCCCAGTTGGACATTATCCAAGAGTATGATATGGAGGGTGTTGGAGAAGAGAATGGGGGAGGAGAGGAGGACAAGGTATCATCTGAGGAAAAGGAAGAAATTGACTTTGATGAGGACTTTGATGACGACGATGGAGAGGAGACGAATGTGTTTGTTATCCGCGAGAAGAGGCTCAACAGTGCAGGGCGGCGGATGAGGAATATTATGGAGAACTATGAGGAGAAGGAGAAGAGCGACGTTTCGGAGGAGATGGAGGAGAGAGAGGTGAAGGAGGAGCGTGTGGACAGGGCTCTTACGAAGGATGTGCTTAGAGGGATGTTTAGAGGGGGGAGGATTGCGCTAAGGGATCTTCTCCGGGGAGTGAAGACACGGTTTGGGCTTAACGATGAGGAGAAGGAGCTTGTAAAGGAGTTTATTGGGGAGAACTGTACCTTTGATACTGACGAGGGAAATAAAGAAAAATATCTTGTTCTGAAAAAATGAGCGTCTGGGAGGCTCTGATGATTTGTGGGTTTTGTAAGGAGCCCTGATGAGACGGATACTAGAGGATAGGCTCATGAGGTATTTGAAGGAAGTAGGATATGAGGCTGTTGAAAGAAAGGCATTGGAGGTTTACATGGCCTCTCTTGAGGCCTATATGCTTGAGCATCTAAAGGGCGTTGTATCTGTTTCCAGGCATGGATTAAAGTCTCATTCGACCTTGTTAGATGTCTTATGGTTTATAGAGGGGAAAAAGCTTGAGCTTCCGCCTTTTGAGAGAATAGAATACGAGGAAGAGGAGGTTGTGAGGGAGGAGAAGTTTGTTAGTCCTCTGTCATCGAGCATTGAGAAGTACATCCATATATACGACTTCATGCCGAGCTTTCCGCCCACACATGCATTTAGACAGACGATTGTCAAAGGAGGAAGCAAGGGCAGCAAGTCTATGAATGTGAAGAACAGACTAGAGCAGAGCCTGAGGACTGAGGGGAATCTATTGAAGCTGATCCGGGCCTCTGGATCCCTTCCACCGTTTGTCAACTTCCTGTATAAGAATGAGTGACCTTAATGGATTAAAGATTGTTTTTGTTATGTTTCTGACTGGTTCTGGAGCCCCTGTGCTGGGCTCTGTGTGGGGGCATTTGAGAAGGGATGTGTGGCCTTACAAGGCAAGCATTGATAGTATAGTGGTTATTATGTGAGCTTCCCAAGCTCATGGCCCGGGTTCGATTCCCGGTCAATGCATTTTGTCACACGAAATGATGGAGGGAAGATTTCCCGCCAACGTTGGATATATGATATATGGAGCAAATGAGCGGGCGGTAGGATGATGATAAGAAAGCTGCCTGAGGATGTTGGAAGGAAAATCAAGGCCCAGAGGTCTGTCCAGAATGCTTATGTTGTTGTGAAGGAGTTGATTGAAAACTCCATTGATTCTGGATGCACATGGATAAGAATACGAATAGACGACGCCATAACTGTCGAGGATAATGGATGTGGAATCAGCGACTTGAACGAGGTCGGAGTTGAGGGATGTACTTCGAAGGAGTCCATGGCATATTATGTCCTGGGGTGTGTTGATGTAGTGGAGAGGCCTTCATATGGGTTCAGGGGACAGGCCCTTAGCTGTCTTGCCGAGGTCTGCGACCTGGAAATCATCTCAAGGTCTGAGGGCCCATTTGCAACCAAGAGAGACTTCTCAACAAATACTGTTTCTAGGTGTGCTAGGGAAAGAGGTACGACTGTCCATGTGAGGAACCTGTTTAAGAACTGCCCCATAAGGAGGTCTGCGGGTGAGGGAAGCCTGAAAAAAGACTTGGCAAAGATATGCAATTTGATTGAATCGTACCGCTGCGTTAACAAGATAAACTTCACTCTGTTTCACAAGAGAAAGGTTCTTTTGAGCTGCGGAGGCTATGAAACGCCAAGGGAGTACTTTGAGTCCAATTATCCTTCCTTTTTGGGGAGGTACATGGAGGTGAGCAGCGGACAGATGGAGATTTTCATGCTTCCTGTATCTACCAAAGACCCAAAGCAGCTAATGTTCTCTGAGAGGAGGCCGGTCTCCAACAAAAGGATACTGAATGCGATAAAGAACGAGTTCAACCTGTACGTCGAAGGAAGCCCGACGTTTGTTCTGGTGATAAAAGGGCATGGAGATGTAAATGTATCCACGGACAAGAGTGAGGTGATATTTGGGGATGAGGCGGGGATTCTAAGCCTCCTCAAGTCGGAAATAAGTAGGTTCTTTTCGTCGGAGGCATATTTACACTTTGGAAGTACCGAGGTAAGCCGGAAGGGATGCATTTCGAAGAGAAGTGCTGTGGAGGAAAACAATAGTGAGGAACGGGTGCCCAAGTCCTGTTCTGTGGAAAGTGAGGGTTTCCCTGCCATAAAGCCTGCCAAGGCAGTTAGTTCTTTTGAAAGAAGTCCAAGGAGACGGGGCATCACGCTGCAAGAAAATGTAGAGGATGGCAAGGAGCCAGTAACAGAAAGGCAGCTGCCTGTAGAGGAAGAGTACGAAAAAGGAGAGAATGCTCCCACCAGCTCTTTTGGGGATTTGAAAGACCCAGAGCCTTCTCCTGAGATGGAGCAGGGAGAAGAAAAGCATGAGGGCCAAGACAACTTTGCAACAGGCGCATATTCGTTTTTCAAGTATGATGACCTTGTCCATCCAAAGATTTCATTTTCAAAGGGAGACTTCTCTAGGCTGGAGGTCATAGGACAGTTCAACAATGGATTTATCATTTCGAAGCTAGAGAAAAACGGGAGTGTGTATCTCGTGGCTGTGGACCAGCATGCCGCAGACGAGATCAAAAACTTTGAAAGCATCAGGAAAACATTCCGCATGAAAAAGCAGAGTGTGATAGTGCCTGTGAAGCTGGACCTTACTCCGATTGAGGAAATGGTTGTCAGCGACAATCTAGAGCTGTTTGAAAGAAACGGGTTTGTCATCAAGAACGGAATGCTTGAGGCCATTCCTGTATACAAGAATCAAGTGTTTGGAATCAAGGAGTTCCGTGAATTCCTCGAGAGCGTGAAGAATGACGAGCACGAGTTCAAGAAGATCCGGGACATAGTTGCGTCAAAGGCATGCAGAACAAGCGTAATGATAGGCGATGCGCTTTCTATAGCAGATATGAAAAGAATAGTGAAAGGCCTGGCCTCTCTAGACAGGCCTTGGAAGTGCCCGCATGGAAGACCTACATTCATGGTGCTGAATGAGGCAGAAATGTGATGTTCAAGGTATTTACTGTAACATTTATTCAACCTCAAGATTTTCGACTCCACGGGCCTCATCAAGAAATAGCTCAAAGACCCTTTGGATATCCTCAATGGTGACCTTTCCGCCTCTCCTGCTTGCCCTCAGACTAGATATCGTCAGCAGGTTCATGGAGTATCTCAACCCGGACGTCTCGGAGATTGATACAAGCCTATCCATGGCCTCGGAATCAATAAGAATGTCCTCCTCAAGTATTCTGTGCTTGATTATAGCCTCAAGGTCTTCTCTACAGTACTTTTCCATAGAGATGATAAGAGTACGGTCAATAAAGTCCCTCGGCATTCCATAAAGGCCTGTTTCATCTGTTCCTCTCACAACACATTCCTTCTTATTGGTCGAAATAAGAATCACAGGGCAGAAGTCCTCCTCAATCGCCTTGTTCAAAAATGCAAAGCTCTCGATGTCCAGCATGTGAACCTCGTCAATAAATAGCACACCGCGAACCACCTCTGCCTTTCCCTCATTAATCCAGTTCCATATCTTCTTGTTCACCTCATCCCTTGTCTCTGCTCTTATCTCCCCCGTCTCCCCGCTGAAAAGCGCAAGATATCCCTCAGCTTTGTTATTAACAACATCGATGTCATGGAGAGATATCTCTTGAACCTCCTCCACAATCTTTATCAGCTCTCCCTCGGGGCAGGGGACAAACCGTGTGTCAGTCCCCACAACCTCGGTCTTCTTCACCATGCTTGTTCCAATCTTGTACACCTTGCCTCTTTCTTTGACTATTCTTATGATGTCTCCACTGCTTACCTTCTCCCTGTCAAGCTCATTTCTCATCTTTTCCCCTATGTCAAACGACGACTCCATGTCAACAGTCTTGAGAACAATTCTTCTCCCGTTCAGGCTCACAACCTCTCCCTCAATCACCTTCACAGACTCCTTGATCCGAAGCCCAACAGACTTCCGAAGAGCTTGGGTAATCGCCTCAGACTTGCTCATCTCCAGGCTGTAGATCTCAGTCCCGCTAATGGAGTTGAAGTGCACTCCTCCCAGGCTCTTGGATAGCCCTATGGCCAATGCAGTCTTTCCACTCCCGCGCTCGCCCTTGATAAGAACAATCTTTCCTCCTTTGTTGCTCTCTACCATCTTCTTTATAAGCATCATGGCTTTCCTGGCCTTCATCTGCCCAACAAGCCCATCCTTATCGTACTCAATCTCCTCCCCGTTGAGCCCAAGGCCACAAACATGCGAGTGAAGGCCAATCCTGCTCACAGTCTCAACGTCCCGGACTTGCATCGGGGCAACATCTCAAACAAAAATTTCTTTCCGCCTACAGCCTTATCACGAAGTAATTTATTTCATCCCAGCAACTTCAGAAACACCTCGTCTATTTCCCTCTTCAGCTTGTTCAGCCTCGACTCCATCTCGTCATTAACCATCACAAACTTCATCTTCATCAGCCCATAGAATACATCCTCAGTCTCCTTCCTAACAGTAGACCAACTAAGCTTGTGGTTTGTTATCGCATTCTTGCTGTTGTCAAAGTACAGAATGATGTTCCGTAGCATCAGCCTGGTCTTGGTAAACGGACAGTAGTTGTCATACTTCGAATACCCATTCTGTTGCAAGAAATCCTCCTTGATAAGCTTCGATATGTCCAGAATGAGCTTCTCAGTCTCCGAAAGTGCATTCTTCCCCACCAGCTGGACAATCTCAGAAAGATCGTCGTCTAGCTGCAGAATCTCCTTGCACTTCGTTCTGTTCACAGTAAAGTCCGGATCTTCCTTCTCGTAATACGGCTCCAGATTTGTAAAGTACTTCGAGTAGCTCAGGTTCCAGTTTATGGATGGAAAGTGCTTCCGCTGGGCAAGCTTCTTGTCAAGCCCCCAGAACACCTGGACAATCCCGAGCGTGGCAGACGTCACAGGGTCCGAGAAGTCTCCTCCAGGGGGAGAAACCGCACCAACTATGGTCACCGACCCTGTTCTCTTCGGAGACCCTAGGCATACGACAGACCCCGCCCTTTCATAGAAAAACGCAAGCTTTGCTCCAAGATACGCAGGATACCCACTGTCTGCAGGCATCTCTGCGAGCCTTCCGCTTATCTCCCTCAATGCCTCAGCCCATCTGGATGTCGAGTCCGCCATCATCGATACATTCATCCCTTGATCCCGAAGATACTCGGAGATCGTTATCCCCGTGTATATAGACGCCTCCCTCGCTGCAACAGGCATGTTCGATGTGTTTGCTACCAATACAGTCCTCTTCATGATGCTGTCCTCCTTTCCTCCAACAGTTAGCTTCGGGAACTCCATCAGAACCTCGCTCATTTCGTTTCCTCGCTCCCCACACCCGACATACACAATTGCATCAGAGTTCGAGTACTTCGACAGCGACTGGGAGATGACCGTCTTTCCACATCCAAATGCACCGGGAATCGCAGTGGTCCCCCCCTGCACACAGGGGAACAGAGAATCAAGGATCCTTTGCCCCGTAAACAATGGATGTGTGGCGTTCTTCTTCTCTTCAATGGGTCGAGGAACCCTTACAGGCCATGTGTGGTACATAAACATCTCCATCTTTCCCTTGCTAGTCTCAAGCTCCATCACAACATCCTTAAGAGTGTAGTTTCCCTGCCGTGCTATGAAAACAACCCTCCCACTTTCTTTCGGAGGAACAAGAATCTTCGTTTCAATAAGGCTGTTTTCATAAACCTTCCCAAAGATGTCTCCCCCAACAACATAATCCCCAACCTTGACATTGGGCACAAACTCATACTCCCTTTCTCTGTCCAGAGAAGGAATGTTCACCCCTTTTGGAATGAAGATTCCTCCAGTGCTTTCTCGGATCTCCTTCAAGGGCCTCTGGATCCCATCGTAGATGCTCTCGAAAAGCCCAGGCCCAAGCTCCGCACACAATGGCTTTCCAGTCCTTACAATAACATCTCCAACACACAGCCCATTGGTGTCCTCATACACCTGGATCGTGGCTCGGTCCTTGTCAATCTTGATGATCTCTCCCGCCAATCCTTCACTCCCGACCTTTACAAGCTCATACATCGCACATCCAATCATGTCACATCCAACAACCACAGGCCCACTAACAGAATAGACCTTCCCCTCCAATCTCTTTTTGGGCTCCTCTATGCTCAGCTTTGCAAATGTTTGCTGTACAACATTCATAGACACCCTCATCTAACCTAACTTTTTATTTCCTAATTGTTTCGATTTTCTCGCCACCATACAACATTAGGGCCTCAGACACCAGGGCCCTCAGTACACATCCTCATTGCGTCTTCAACAAGTTCTTTCCGGCACTCTTGCCCACCAGCCATAAACTCACTACAAAGGCCCCGGGATGCCGAGTACCTTTTTCTGGGATCAAATGATAGCAGATTCCTTACAAAAGCAACCATCCCAAGGTCATATCCCTCAAACACATCATCAAAATCTGCCAGAAAGCTCTCAGGCTTCCTGATGTTCTTCAGATGAGGAAGATCCAGCCCTTCAAAGTCAGAATTCGCAGGATATCCTAAGAGCCTGAATATCCTGTCTAGTTGGTTTATCTCTCCTTCACCAGGCAAGATCGGCTCTCCTTTCGCCATCTCTCCAACAATACACCCAACAGACCACATGTCAATCGACTCGTCGTAACTCTCTGACCCAAGCAGTACCTCAATGGCCCTGTACCACAACGTAACAACAAGATTAGTCATTGCACTCCCCACAACCCGAGCCAGTCCAAAGTCTGCTATTTTCAGATCTCCATTTCTCATGAGGAGGATGTTTGATGGCTTCAGATCTCTGTGAACCACTCCAACCCCATGCAGAAACTTGAGCCCTTCAAGAATCTGGCGTGTGAAGAACCTAATCAGCCTTACATCCATCCTTCCCGCTCTTTGGATGGCAGACCTCAGGTCTATGTCGCAGCATTCCATCACAATGAAGAAGTCGTTGATCTCATTGCCTTCAACAACTTCCTCAATCCTCATCACATTTCTGTTTCTTGTGTGCTTCAGAATCATCACCTCCCTTATATAAAGAATCGAAAATCCGTTGGTGTCGTGGCACATAGACGGGTTCATCCTCTTAAGGGCAAACTCCCTGCCGTCCCCAGCGCGCTTGACCTTATATACATTTCCAAAGCTTCCTGAGGATATCCTGCAGACCTTCTCGTAGGCCTCTATGCTACTACACCTGCTTCCTCCCCTGAGTAGCATTGAATGGGATCAGCCTATGTGCTTTATATCATTAACAAAAATGGCCATAATAATTTAATGTTCTTCTGCGACTCACAGCTTTATCACCGAGATCTTAGGGACATGGACCCTATTTCTGAGTATGGCGCCTTCTTCGTCCGCCCCACTGCTTGAAGCATCTTCGTAGCTTATTTCACTTTCCGATGGATATAAAATAGAGCCTCTACTTCTTTCTGAGGAATGTAAGCTTTTATAGCCGGGCTGCTTTCCAGTTTCATTCATGCTCTTAGATACGCTACCTAGAAGAGGCTTCGCCTCAGTACCGTCAGACTTTTGAGATCCACTGTTTACTGGCAAGGTTCCCTTGCTCACACCCTTGCCAGCCTTTTTGTCGGGAGAAGAGCTTGAATCTACCTTGCTCTCCTGAGTATCTTTTTTGGTGTATGCACTTCTCTTTTCATGGGTGTCTAAGGGTTTCTCAGATGCGGAGCTGTCGGCACTGCTAGGCTTTCCGCTCCCATTTGGGCTTTTACTTTCTTTTAGATCCTTAGGCTTTTCCTGTAGTTCCTTGGTGTCTTCTGCCGGAATCACTAGGGATGGCTTTATGGCGTTGGTGAAGCTTTCATTAAGAAATTCTCCGATGAGCTTTTCAATGCGCTCTCCTCCTGAAATCGGATTTCCAAGCGTACTTCCTATGGCAATGCTTTCTGGAAGTCCTGGAGACATCACTTCCCCGCCGCTGGAGAGAGATGGCTGAGGCTCTAGTTTACTTTCTGTTTCCTTGGGTACACTGGGCTTGTCTGTGCTTGGAACACCGTAACTCCCAGAACCAGATGCATGCAGATCAAAGCCATCAGAGTGTTCAGGATGGAAGGCATCTAGGATTCCGCCAAGTTGGTGACTCTTCCGAGGTGATTCTACAGCATCAATATTCGTTCCCTGGCCCCTCTCACCTAGATAGTAAGGCTGGGCACCCAAGAGCACGGGGCTTGTTAGGGATCTTTCAGGGCGATAGGAGTACCTGGACTCGTGGTATGGGCCTTCGCTCACACTTGGACTCTTCCCCATTGTTGTGGAGTCGGCCTTGCTGGCAGACTTGATTTCCTCAACAATCTTGATCACTCTGTCCAGCTTCTTGCCTATCAGGTCCATCTTCTCTCTCAAGACGTCGATCCTGTCATTGCTTTTTCTTTCAGCAAACTTCCCAATTGCTGACGTCTTCTTACCAAATAGAGACATCCTTCCCCTCTCAACGAGGCTTGCAGACCTGACTGAGCTTCTTGGCATCATGAAGTCTATTCCAAACAGAACCATGACTATCCCAGTAGTGATGCAGCCAAGAAGAAAAACGGTTCTCTGGTTCTTCATAGGATGGAGTAAACAGCACAAGCTGTTTTATATCTGATTCCAAAACACTGTTTCATGTTTCTATTTCTTGTGAATAGGCCCGGGATTTGTTTCAGGATTGTCGAAAGAATAGAAACAGGTCTTCCCCATGAAGGTATGCATAATTGGAGGAGGACCTGCGGGATTGTATACAGCGGCTTCCCTGGTGTCCAGAAACATCGATGTCACTCTTCACGAGAAGGAGCCCGAGGTGGGTGGACTGTACAGATATTCGTTACTTCCTCCATCAAGAATGTCTCCATTCTCAAAACTGCTTGAGTGCAAGAACTTTTCGTTGAAGCTAAACTCTGAAGTTGATCTCCAGAAGCTAAAGACTATGGAAAAGGACTTTGATGCCTTTGTTATTGCCACAGGGTCTCCTGGACCAAGAAGACTGAGCATCCCAGGGAGGGAGCACTGTATAAACGGCCTTGACATAGCAAAGTCGTGGGCTGGAGAGGAGCCGAGATACAATGTGGGAAGTAGGGTCCTGATTGTTGGGATGGGAGACGTGTCAATGGATATTACAAGGTTTCTTTTTGGGTGGAGTGGAGCACAATTCAAGTTTCCTGAGAATGCTCTGAAAAGAGTAAGGAGAGTAAAGGACGTAACCATTACATCCAGGAGAAGTGCTCACAACAGTGCATTCACAAACTCTGGGCTCCGGAAGGTACTTGAAATCCCGGGGCTTGGGTTTTGGTGGTCAGAAGGGAAAGAGGTGACTGAAGAGAACAGGTCCAAGCTAGAAAAGCTCAGAGAGACACGCGGGCATAATGAAGAGGACGGAGAGAAGGGTAAGTGCAAGGGATGGTGGGACAGAAGACAAAGACTGCTTAATAGTGTCAGAGAAGGTGCTAGGAGGCTTAAGCTAATGTTTAATACCGATGTTAAGTCTATAGAAAGGGTTGGGTCCCAATACAAAGTGAGGATGGTGCAGAATGGAGTCCCGGTAGAGGAATGTTTTGATAGCGTTATATCAAGCATAGGATTTGATGAAGCAGAGGCAAAAGGCCTGGGACTTACAAAGCCTATGTATCGTATTGGATGGGCCAAGTATCCAAGGGGCAATGCCGAGAGGGCCAAGGAGGATGCTCAGAATACAGTAAACAAAATAATTGAAATGAAGAAAATGTGGATGCCTTGTAAGTCGATATGAAAAGAAAGGTTCCTGCCTCCATTATGTCTTATCTGGTTTGTGGAATGGTTGAATACCTTATTGAACAGAGAAAGGAGGTGGAAGCGGATCTCAGGGCAATAGGATATGAGGTTGGTGTAAAACTTCTTGAGATATGCAACTTTGAGAGGGAAATCCACATACCAACACTCCTTTATAGAATTACCTTTGACCTTCTTTCTTTGGTAAGTGACAGCGATAAAAGAATTGAAAAGGCCGAAGACGCAGACAGGACTTACCTCCTTACAGACGCCGACGGAATCTTCTCGAGGTTCGTGTCTGTCCCAAAGGAATGGGAGGGGTTTTCTGCAGACTCTGTTGTCTGTGGAATGATACAAGCTGCCCTAATGGCTTCTGGATACATCTCTGAGGTTACAGCATTTCCAAAGCCCTCTGAAAGCCTTCCAAATAGAATTATCTTCCAGATAAAGATATTGGATCCATAGCTCTAGGCCTCGGTATTGCGCTTCAAGGTACTTCAAGGTAAATCTGGATCATGTTTTATATTTTATTTACATTCTTACTTGGATTGATTTCTGAAACCATGAACTTCTTCATATGTCTCACCAGGTCCTTCGGGGACGGCTCGGAATCGCAGGACCCACCCTCTCTTTCATCGTTCAGGCAGTCTCCTGAACCTGAAGACTCAGACCTCTCGGATGCTGCAAAATCATAGTGCTTGGCTTTTCTTCGCCTTTTGAAATCCTCCTTTGATAAAAAATCGTAATCGAGCATCCATCTTCCTCCCTTTCCTCTTGTCCCGGGATCCCTAGGAACCTTCTTAAAGCATTTGTTCAGGGACAAGTTGTGTCGTATGGAATTCTTCCAGACAGGGTTTGCATGTCTGTAGTACTCAAATGAGTCCTCAATCCACTTGTATATCTCGCTAAGAGTAAGCTTGCCTGCCTTGCTTGTCCTTATGGCTCTTGTTATTATTTGGGCATACGAGAGGGAAGGCTTTGATTTCGAAGGATCATGGCACACATGTTCCCTTGCTTCACAAATCTTTATTTCCTCACTCTTCTTATTTGTCTCAAAGCAGTCGTCGTAAAGGCATCGAGGATCGATACATGTGTCTGGGCTTGCAGGCCTTGCACAGCTAGACATCCATTTTCTGTAGAACCTGTGAGCTGCTGCATCTTCATCGAACCCAATTCCTAGAAATTCACACAGGAAGCCCGATGCTGCAAAGCCCCCTTCTGTGGGCTTGTAGAAGTCTTTAACATCCTGCTCTATGCCTTCGGGAGAAAGTTCAATGTCAGAAAACTCCATAGAAGCCATATTGCAGCCCATAGGATAGGATCAACTAGCAAATATATAGGCTTTTTGTACTTATTAAAATTGGCATGCAATAGTCCATATTTGGAACAACATCTATCTATTTTGATAAATTTTTAAGGCATTCATTAATATCAATCGAGCTGATTAGGGTAGATCTAATGATTTAATTAAATCAAACTTGATCATGTTGCAAGAATGAGGTCAATGCCGAGGGATCTTGATATATTGAATAGGCTCCTAACTACCCTTCCTCAAGCATGGCTTATTGGTCGACTTCGAAATCCGAAAGTAAATCTCCGGTAGTATTAATACCACTCATGAGGATGCAGGCGAATGCTGAAATCACCAGAACCACCGCAACAATCACCAAGATCCGTTTAAGCCAGGATCCTTGAGTAAGTGGTTTCATCCTTGGCTTTGCAGCCTTATTTTCAGACAACTTTAGGCGCCTTGAAGGGGTAAAGCTTCTGTCCAAGAAAATGATGGAAATAAGGCTGAGCGAAATGAATGAGGTGATAAGGAACATAACAAACTGCAAGTTCCCGAGTTTATAATCCACAGGAAAACCCACATCTGACTTGGCAATAATTCCTAATTTTGACCTGACAACAAGTTCTGGATAAAATAATCTGATCAAGAAGTCAAGGAACGATGATATCGGCGAAGGTAGTTTCCAATCATCGGAAATAATTGCGAAGTTAAGGTATTTTTTAAATAGGAAATTAACGAAATGAAGGATATGATTAGATTTGCTGAGGGCTAAAATGAACGCCTTAAAAGACATACAAGCAATCAAAAGTGCTGTCCCAGTACCTGTTCCAGGATCCACCAAGCATTTATATAAGTTAGAAATGCTTCCCATAAACAAGAATAGTATTCCATGCATAAAGATAGAGGGCGTAAATTTAGGGAGAGGGATATTAGCTGTTTTTAAAAGCCCAAAGGCATTAAAGGCATACATAAGCCCAATAAAAATCCCCATTTTGATAACTGCATGAAGAGCTTCTATAACCACCGCGGATACCCATACTGTTGCAGTGTTATACATTCCCCTATTGGTTTCTTCTTGGATGTATTTTCGACTTGTATCTAACATTCCATTGGAAAATATGCCAGAAAAATGGCCAAGACTGCCAATTACGGCGACAAATGCAAGGAAAGGTGGCTTTTTCAACAATACTGGAATAACGAGAACAGCACAAGTTATCAAATAGATCAAATAGACGTAAGATCTAAAGTCTATAAGGAACTGCCTCTTTACCAAGGAGAGAACTACCGAGAAGTTCGGAACAAAGTCTACCTTTGTATCATCGTCTACCTTGAGCTTGTCGTCAACACTTGCTTCCTCCTTTGCTTCACTTCTAATTTTCTTGATTTCCTCCTTGTACTGTTCTGCTTCTTCAGATCCACTTGTAAATAAATTAAATAAAAACTCCCTGTCGGTCTCGGGGCCCTTTGGATTGTAAATACCCTTGGAATTCAAGTATTTCATGAAACCATTGGCAGGGCCTGCATATATCTTTCTCCCCTTGTCCATAAAAAGTAGATTGTCAAAGGTACTATAAAGCTCAGGCCCGGGCTGGTGAACGGTTACAAGCACTATGGCATTATTCCTTTCTGCATACCTCTTAAGGAACCTTATCACCTTCACAGCCAGCCCTGAGTCAAGCTCACTGGTCGGCTCGTCGAGAAGCGCCACCTTCAGCTTTCCTTCAAGCAAGAGCATTTTCGTGAAAGTCGTTGCAATATTCACCCTCTTTTTTTCTCCTCCAGAAAGCTTCGTCATTCGGTTGTTTCTAACATGCTTCAGTCCAAGAACGTTGTCCAATACTTCATCCATAACCCTCTTGATGTTCTTCTTACTTTCATGAGGTAAGCAGAAAGAAGTGGTGTAGTAGATAAACTCTTCAACTGTCAGCTCATTAATAATGTACTCATTCTGCCTTCCATATGATGATTCCATTTCCCACCATTTGTTGTCGCTTCTTTCGCTATTGTCTATTAATATCTCTCCGCTACTTTTGGACCCGTATGGGATCATTCCTGCAATGGCCTCCATAGTCGTTGTCTTGCTACTTCCGCTTGCCCCCATAAAAGCATACAGCTTCCCAGACACAAACTCTGCATCTAAGCCCTTAATGAGTCTCTTATGCTTTTTACTAGATGAATTGTCTTGATTTGGAACTTCGAGTACAACTTTTTTGAGATCAATGATATGATCTTTCATAATGAGGGATGATGTTAAGGAAAATTATAAGTATTTATTAAGTTACTCTAGATCCAATCTGGGGGCTGCCATTTTGATTTACGGTTTTTAGCTGTACTACGGAAGCTTTGTATAGCTGCCATGTATTCCATAATTAAAATTTCGTGATAAAGTGACCCCATGAATAAGCTCCCATCGAAGTTTCATGTTACTTTAAAGGTTCTTGAGAGCTCGGAGAGCGGTGTCTCAAAAGACACGTATGAAAAGGACTTGAGGAGCATATGCACACTGGAGACCCAGGAGCATGTGTCCTATCTCCTGCACCATTTGAAGGACTTTGATAAGATAGACAAGCAATTTTACATAAATGTATTTAAGGAGGGAATCAGCCCTGTATGGGAGGACAAAAACAACATGAATGGATGTGATTGGAGCCTTATGCTCAAGAAAGAAGTATCCCAGAGATACTTTGAGAGGCTTCTCATAAGCTTGTGCACAGGATACTTTAAGACATTTGAGCCCACGGGGATGGTTGGGATACACAAGGACAACAGGTTCAAGCTTAGCATATGGTCCAAGAGTCTTCCATCAACAGCAGACTGCGGAGAAATAATCAACGAGCTGAAGGCAGCACTGCAAATAGACTTTGTAATTACGTTTCACTACAAAAACCACTCGAAAATACTTGCATACCACAAGTCCCTTGAGGTATAAGTGAAAATGTGTTCTAGAAAACTGAAGACATGCTTCCATTATACAAATAAAGAATATGCTTCGAATTGTCTGTTGAGCAGGCTTCTTGTCGAACAGGATCGCTCTTCATGGGAAATGTTGTTTATTACTATATGTCATCCAGCTCGAAAAAGTTCCCTCTTCTCTTGAAGTTAATGGTGGGCTTTGAGTTTTTCTCTTCAATTTTCTTTGCAATTTCAACGTACTCACTGTAGGAGATGAGCCTCCTTGTGGCATAGAAGTGCTGCATGAGTGCACTCTGCAATGCCTCTCCCTTCTCCTTGTTTATGTGCTTTAAAGTGCTGAGAGCCTCCAATGACTTTTCGTCGAGTATCTTGCGTATGAGCTCGTCGGGCTGGTCCATGGGTCCTGAAATGCACCCCATTAAGACTAACACTATATCTAGATCTACAGTTTATTATAACTATGACTCTCAAGAGACTTCAGAAATACACGGCAAAAATCAAAAGAGGAAATCTCATCATAACAAGCTGCTAGTGCCTTGGGCGCCCCGCCTGCTTTCATCCTAATCCAGAGCATCGTCAGGATCTCCTCGAGATGCATTTTCCTTTCTATCATGAACTTGATGCTCTCAATCACCGTAGACGAGATGGTGTCTGTCTCGTTAAGGTTGTCTATCAGGTACACCCAAAGATTCTTTCCTATCCCAAGGTCGGTTACTTTTACAGACGTCCTGTTCTGGAGGGCTGTTCGGAGCCTGAAGAATGAGTTCTGGCCCTCCACAGGCACAATCCTATCTCTGGTCTGGTTAATGAAGTTCTTTATGTGGGGGTACTCCTGAGGACAGCAATAGGCCAGGTACGAAGAGTACATCCTGACATATGTGGGATTTCTTTTGAGTACCTGCATGATCTGCGTGATCGGATACATGAACTTCGGGCTATAGAAGCCACACCTCAGTGTCTCTGCAGCAAGAACAACACCTTCCTCAGAGTCAAAGTATTTTAAGACAAATTTGTGACTCAGGATCTCTAAGAAACAGGATGAGAATCCAGGAACCCTGGATGGAGACAGAACTTCTAGCACAGAGAACACCAAGGATCTGTTGGTTGGCGTGTCCTCAATCACATCCAGTATCTTGACAATAAACCTTGCATAGAGCTTGAAGAACAGGTAGTTCCTTTTCCTGTACGCCTCCAGAAACACAAAGAGGCTGTCCTTTATCGACTCGTAGAGCTTGTCCTTGATGAGGTTTGGAAGAGGGTCCACCTTCAAGTAGCAGTATGCAGTGGGGATCCGGTGGTATCTTATGAAGTGATCCCAAGACACCTTAAAGGCAGACCGGATGTCTAGCGACTCAGGGTAGTTTGCTCTCTCCATGAACTCGGGAAGGAACATCTCGGGAACCGTCGTGAATCTGCAGTTCCGGACATACTCGTCGTACTCAGACACCCCCTTCGCCTCTATATGCATCATCAGGTTACTGATCTTTTGGAAAAAGTCGAAAACCTTGGGGTTGTCGCTGTGTCCTGCAAGCATCTCGAGAGTGCAAATAAAGTCATACACAGTGCATATCTGGACCTCGGTTGTTATCAGAGACGTCAAGAGTGCTATTACGAAGTCGAGATTCCCATCTCCAAGTGAGATCTTCGAAAGAGCCTGGTCGTATTCTACTACGTTGATGAGATTGTGTTCTATAAACTTACTGACAAGGCTGACACTAAACTTCCGCGGATCGTTGGAATAAATAAGCCATCCTAGAACCTCCTTTTGTGTTTTGAATGATATCTTAAATATCTTTTCCATACATTCAAATAGAAAGTCCTCTTTACTTCCACTCTTGATGAGATGCCCTGTGATGTACCTGCATAGCCGGATGCACTCCTCGTCCTTGTCCTCGTTGTTTTCCACACTCTCCAGTATTCTCTTGAACACCTGCTCCTTTCCTTCATTTAGAAGCCCACGCCACTCATCAGCCACAATGTTCTTCTTCGAGTATGGAATCTTCTTGCTCAGTTGCCCAAGATGTGCCTTTATCTCCTGATACTCGCCACTGTCAACAGGCTTGATCGCCACCTTCTCAATGTGCCCAGGATCCTCAAGAAGAGAAAGCCTTACATCACCTGCATCTCCATTCCGGTACTCCAGGCTGCTGTAGCATCCGCTGATAGATTCGCTGACCTTCGACACCCCAGCCCTCTGGATGAGCTCGCAGCAAACCGCTTGGTTCTCCAGAGCCACTTTGAACACCCTTTCAGTCGAGAAGTCCAGTGAGCAGAGCTTCATGAAGTATGAGACATTCCCAGAAATGCATGCCTTAATCGGCTCCTGAGCAGACACTAGGCAGAGGAATTTCGTGAGATTCACCACCATGTTCCTAAAAAGGACATACTCCATTCCCTTTTCGACACACATCGTTCTGAAGAGAACCATTCCAGTCTGTATTGCAACAGAACAGGCCTTCTCTACAATCGCCCCGCATATCTCCCTCACGCTTAGATCCAATGCAAGAGATATCACATGCCTGACTACAAGATCTCCGTCTTCAATTACGTACTCTGCTAAATACTTCTTGGACTTCAGTCCAAGGCTCTTGAACGGTCTTGGGACAAGGTCAACCGAAAAGTAGTCAAACAGCCCTTGGATCTCGTCCCTTACAGCCTTTGGGGTGCAGCTATAGATCTCAGACAGAAGACTCAAAATACTCATCATCCATGGGTTATTTGGAATAAACACAATTCCGTGCTTTCCCTGCTTCAAAAAGCTTGATATAAACTTCACTCCAAACAAAATCCTTCTGCACTCAACAGATTTCACAACAAACTTCTTGAAGTCAAACTGCTCAGACGTTACAATCCTGTTCTTGGCAAGCATCACCCCTCCGAGTATGAACCCTAGGTTCTTAGCAATCTGGTTCTCGCTCCTGTTTCTGTAGTCTAAAAACATCTTAAGGAATTCAAGAGACTTCCGAACAAACTTTAGGTAGAAGTCATTCCCCAGGCTTTCTACGGCCAGTATGAGTCTTCTACAGTCTTCCAACAAGACATTCTGGATGATGTACAGTATTACCTCTTCCTTCTCCACAAGGCTCCTTGAGATTGCATCAGAAAGCCTGTGCCCATCATTTTCCGCTTCAGAACCCAGGGTTTTGATTATTTCCCCAATCCTCTCATTCTTGCTGTCACATTTAAATATCAGCTTTGCCATATCCTCCAGCTCCAGCATCGGATGAGTGCTCGAATCTACAAGAATCAACTCCTTCTTCACAAGGATGTTGTTGACACTTTCTATCTCCTCAATCTCAGGCAGGATCGATGGGTAAGATGGCAGAAACACCTCCAGGCACCGGAACCCAAACGAGTACTCCCTGTCGTTCTCAGGATATTTCAGCGATCCCTTTATGTACTCAATGGCCATCCTTTGGTAAGGCTTCGGAAACACCCCTTCTTTTATCAGGCCTCCATACAGCAATGCAATAAGATCAGAATTCGGCAGCTTGTACAGCGATCCGTAATTCTCAAGCAACGCAGAAAATATTCGGGACGCTAGCTCCTTGCTCAATGCATTCCCCCGAAGGAACTCCTTGATCTGGTTGATGCTACTCTCAATCCCTCTTTGCGAGTTGATGATCTGCGAGATGAAATTGCTTGCCTCCTCCTCAATCTTTATGTCTTTGCTCCTCTGTGCTCGAAGCCCATGGGGAATCTTCGACTTAAACTCGTTGTACATCCCAACCGTCTCCGGCTTCAGTATCCTGACATACTGCTCCACAGCCTTCGTGAAAGTCCCCATGATCTCAACATTGAGCGGAAACATCTTCTCAGGCTCCTTGCACTTCGATACTTTCGAGTCCAAGTATAGCACAAGTGATCTAACAAACTCGTCTTTCCTGGTCGTCAAGTTATTGGACAGCCAAATACCAAGATTCAAATGATCCCGGATAGAGCTCAGCACAATGATGTCAAAGCAAAGCTCAGGCGGGTCCAGCAGCTCAGAAACAACGGGAAGCATCTTGTGCTCTAGGAATATGTCAAGGATCCGAGACACAGGTATCCCCTCTCTAACAAGAATCAGCGCCTTCTGAAGCATCATCTCAGGATGGTTCTTGAACAGAACATGCAGGATAAAGCTATTGGGTGCTCCTCTTGCAAAGCCTATCAAAAGCTCCTCAAACATCCTAGAAAACCTCGGCTGAATAAACCCAAGCCCCGCTGCACACCACTCAGGCGACTTCCTTGCAATCAGCTCGACCAATGGAATCGACCCAAGCATCCCAATGCACTGGAAAAGCTCCACACAGTTGAAATTGCTTTCGTACCCCAGCACATTCTTAAAGCGATAGCTTCTCGAATCTTCAATACTGATGATCCTGCTGAAAAATACATTCGAATACAGCTGCGTCCTCTTCTCATCACTCTCGATAATCAGCCTCAAAAAATATATTTGCGCCCTTTCATTCTTCCATCTCTTGAAAAATATCTCATATGGAACAGTAATGATCCCACTAATATGGACCCAGCAGTCAATGATAACATACAAAGACTCCAAGGTCCAGATGCTGAAGTTCACATCAAGGAAGCATGAATAAACATCCCTCCAGTTAATCTCCTCGAGATTGCTCTTCATCGACCCAACTATTGACGGGAGATCCCACTCTCTGTCCGGAAAGTCTGCCATAAATAAGATGGCTCTTGCTACCTCCTGGGGAGTCACTTCCCGCTTCTTCCTTATCTTCTGCAATACATCATCCATAAAGCCTCGGTCCACTTCTTTCGGATCACTCTTCTCAAGTACGTCCTTTATCTCTTGCTTGTATACTTTCTCGTCCATCCACAAAATAATCCCTTTATTTTCAAGGTGTAAATTTTGTCTTTTTATTCTCCTTGCAGCCAAATAACACCCCGCCAGGAGCAGATTGTTTACCCCTTCTGTTCCAAAAACATTCGGAAAGCAAGGTTGGCAAGGCCCAGGCACAAATAAAACATAAAACTCTTGAAATAGTCACGTTTTAATCTCAACGGTACTTCTGGAGAACCAATGTGTTCCTTCTTCTCCAGCATGATCGGATAGATCCTCCCTTCGACTTGTTGAATCGGACTCCCTTTCCAAGCCCTCTACTCTTCTTGGATGCAGACGTGAGGCCTCTGCACTCCCTATGCTTCATCGTGCTCTTGCATATCCAGTTGATCTTGCAGTCGTTTCTTATTGCTGGGTGATGTCTGTCAACCATTATCACCTCATAGTACTTGTAGGCTGCATCCTGCCCAACCCAGTAGGAGTTCAGAACACCAAGGTTAGCACACTTCTTACCAGCTACCATCTCGGCGCTCGCTTGCTTCCTAAGAGACGGCTTGATTTGGTTGATTCCTGCATTCACACATTTCCCCCGGGTGTTCCCGTTGTGGTAGTTCCTCTTCATGTTCCCTTTCTTCACCCGTGCAATATACAGCACATATCCCTGCTTTGCTTTGTATCCAAGCGTTCGGGCTCTCTCGAGAAACGTTGGCTTCTCAACACGGAAGCACTCTCCCCTCTGTCTGTATTCGCATACCCGAATCCTCAGCAGATATCTCATCACATCAGACTGCTTGCGCCTGTGTATCTCCCTGAGATAGTTAATAGCTCCCATCCTGGGGTTGAAAAATTTTCACTATTTCCATTTACATAATGCCTATGTCCCCTTCCTGGATCCCCAACAATATCGCCTTTCAAGAGATCACTGCCTTTTCCCATCTCTATACCCGTGCCTTCGTCCCTCCCCCCTCTCCTCGTATCGCCCTCGCTCTTCCCTCTCTCCTCGTCGTCTTCCCCCGTCCTTCCTTCCATTCCATCCTTCCCACCTTTGCCCTTCTGCCGACCCTCTTCTTCCTCCTTCTCTTTCTGCTCGATTTCCCCGTCGGCCTCGATATCCGTCTCCTTCTCCTTCCCTCTTGATCTCGTTGAACCCTCTTCTCACCCCACTGTACTTCTCGTCAGTCCATTCAGCCCCTCCCCGTGCAAACTCACTCTTTCTTCTTTGCATGTTGCAGTACTCCCTCCAGGTCGTCTCATTAAACCCGTAGTTGAAGTAGTCGGTAATGTCTGCCCCAGGCTTGTTCCACGGCTTATCTGTAAAGCTTTCTATGTCATAGTCTAATATGTTCTGCCCCTCATTCTCCTCCTTCTGTTCTTCCTTTCCAGGAACTTTATCCACAATCAGCTCCAAATCAGAGGACGTGCTGCCGTCGTCCTGATCCCCAATAAAGAACTCTTCATCATTCTGCATCCAAAGGGCTTCGAAAACATTCATTTGAGTAACAGCCAGCCAGACTCTAACCATCAAATTAAACTCTTATCCATGTCTTCCAGACAGCCCCAATGTGTGACCGCTTCTGCAAGGAGTGCAGTAACCTTCTTTATCCAAAAGAAGACGACAATACTCTGTTTCTTGCATGCAAAAACTGTGAGCACATCCAGGAGGCAAAGTCCCATCGCCTTTACGTGAAGAACTTCAGACCAAAGCACACGTCAATAGAGTTGTATGCCAAGGATCTTGCACAGGATCCTACGCTTCCCTCAATAAGGATCGATTGTAAGAATTGCGGATTTAACAAAGGGTTGTACTTTCAGTCAAGAGGCGGCGAAGACGACGTCGCATTGAATATTTACTACCTGTGTTGCAGGTGCCACCATCTATGGACATGATCTATGGCTTTTAGGGTAGCTCAATCACAATAAATTGTTGTGTTCACCTTCCGAACTATCAGAGCACAAGTCTAGCCACCTGCCCTCCAGATTTCTCCCTTCCCCAGAACTTTCTTTCTCAACATACACACCATCAAATATGTAAATCTTCTCTGAGCTTGCACCTTCCCTTCCATTGGAATCATTCAAAGACTTGCCTCCAAATGGGTTGTATCTTTTAACCTTCGGTTCCAGAGGCCTATGGCTGCAGGACTCTACATCGCTCTTCATGCAACTTTTGCACAGGTAGCATCCATTCCCACAGAAATCATTGTTCCGCTTCAGCATCATTATTAAATAGGATCTTCTGTCTTCGTCCATGCCTTCAATGCTCGCCCTATGCACCACTAGTTCCTCGGGCCTAAACCTCATATACAGCGGAGAGCTAGCCAGAGACTTCAAGAAGCACGCCTCGTTGATATCGCACGGCTCTCCATATGTATCACACTCTCCTCCGCAATATGTAAAGCTCTCTATGCACATAAAAAACCTCTTGCTTTCAGAACGGTATCCATAGTGGAACTTGTCAACAGTAATGTAGCATCCTCTTATATCCTCAACCCCGCAGGCTATCTCCTTCCCAAACACATCGATAGACTCCTTCGTCAGAATGCTGTCAATGAAATGCCTAGAATCAGACACACACACTTCAAATCCCCCGTCCTTTCTTTTCTTTCCAATCTCTATCATTTGTGCATTAAAAGATGTTTGCTGTCCTCTTCTCCAATGCCAGTCGTATATCTGCTCGTAAATCGTTTTTTCAATCCAGAAATCTCGGAGAAACAAAAGCATACATCCCTAAGATATTCTCCAATTATCTCCAATTGGCCAAGAGTAAAATAAAAAGACATCCACAAGACAATTTATTCAAGAGGTCATTACTGGGTTACACAGTATATGTAGTCAGAGATACAGATCCCTTGTGCCTCCTCAGAAGGATGGGTGCACATGACCCTGACAGGATCCTCATTCGTCTTCATCAGAAGAATCTTTGTTAATGCATGGACAAAGTTCGACTGGATGAATCGCTTGAGCAGGCGAGCTCCATAGGTCGAGGAGTGCACCTTCTCAATCACATCGTCCTTCACCCGGTTGGAAATCTCAAATGATATGTTTTTGTCCTCGAGCTTTTTCTTTAATTGCGACATCTGGTATTCAAGAATCTTGTACATGCTTTCTCTATCAAGCTTGTTGAAGTATATCACATTGTCAATGCGATTGACAAGAGGAGGGCCAAACCTGTTCAGAACCAACCTCTCAATCTCCTTCTTATCGTCTTCGCCAAGCTCAGAAGACCTTAGTATTATCTCCTGCCCAAGGTTGGACGTCATAATCAGCACGCAGTTCCTGAAATCCACGACAGTTCCCTTTCCATCAGTGACACGCCCTTCGTCCAGCAGCTGGTATAACACATTCAGGACAGTCTGGTGCGCTAGGTCCACCTCGTCTAGTAGAATCACGCTGTAGGGCTTGTTCTTAATGGGCTCGGTAAGCGCACCTCCCTCGTTATATCCTACATACCCTGCAGACGCCCCAATCAGCTTTGTTATGCTCATCTCATTTCCATAGTCGCTCATGTCAAGAACAAGCATGTTCTTCTCGTCGTCAAACAGCTCCATGGCAACCGCCTTGGCAAGCTCCGTCTTTCCAACCCCGGTGGGCCCAAGAAGAAGAAAAGCCCCAATCGGCTTATCCTCCCTGCTCAAGCCTACTCTGGACTGTAAAATGGAGTCCACAATCGCATCCACAGCATGGCCTTGCCCAAATATGCGCCCCTTTATCCTCGAAGACATCTCCATTAACCTCTCATTCTCCTTGATGGTTAGCCTCTTCACCGGAATCCCTGTCCATCGACTTATAACCTCTGCAACATTGACAGGAAGAATCACCTCAACACTCTCAAGCCTCTTAAGCTCACTCTCAATCACAGGAATCACATTGGTCTTCAGATCATATGCAACATACGTGTCTCTTTCCCTCTCAGCTTGCGCAAGCCTTAGCTTGGTATCCTCCAATCTCTTCTTTAGCTTCTTCGCCTCAATTATGTGTCTTTTTTCCTTCAGATACGCCTCCTCCATGGGCTCTATGCTTCTCTTCACCTCCTCTATCTTCTCACACACACTCTCAAGCCTTTTCATCGTTTGCTCGTCCTTCTCCCGAGCAAGGTCAATCTCCAAACTTGCCTTCTCAAGCTCAAGAGACCATGCCTTTGACCTTGCATTCAGGATCTCTTGAGGCTCGCTCTCAAGCGCTATCACCGCGCTCGCACAGGCCGTATCTATCAGATCAATTGCCACATCAGGAAGCCTTCTGTTCGAAATGTATTTCTTTGATGAGTTTGCAGCATACACAAGAGCACTGTCAGCTATCTTGACCCCATGGTACGCCTCAAGCCTTTCCTTAAGCCCTCTGAGCATCGTGATCGAGTCTTCAATAGACGGTTCGTTCACAACAACCTGGACAAACCTCCTTTCAAATGCGGGATCCTTCTCAACATACTTCCTATACTCATCATGCGTTGTTGCCCCAATGCACTTGATAGTCCCGGCAGCAAGTCCAGGCTTCAGCATATTTGCCGCATCCATCGCCCCATCGGTCTTTCCAGCACCAAGAACAATGTGGATCTCATCGATAAACAAAATAACCCCAGGAGTCGTTTCAGCCTCCTTGACTAGGCTCTTCAGCCTTTCTTCAAAGTCTCCTCTGTGGGCCGTCCCTGCAACCATAGATCCAACATCCACATTGTATATCTTTGCATTTCGAAGCGTAGGAACCTCTCCATTTGCTACCAGCTGTGCAATCCCATTCACTATCGCCGTCTTCCCAACACCCGGCTTTCCAACCAATATTGCATTACTCTTTGTCTTCTTAGACAGTATCTCAATCACCTGCCGTATCTCCTCGTCTCTCCCAATAACAGGGTCAAAGACATTCCGCCTTGCCTGCTCAACCATGTCAACAGCAAATCTCGACATCACATCCGTTGCATCGTCGGAGTTTCGGGAGTCAAACTTCTTGTTCCTCGACTGCTCCTCAACCCTTTTCTTTATGTCTTCAGAATTCGATATCAGCTCCTTGATGCTCTGAACAGTAAGAAGTTGCAGCACCAATGCATTCACAGAGACATAGCTGTCTCTCCCACTCTCAGCACTCATTATAACCCTTGCAAGCGCCTCTCCGATCCGCGGCTCCGTGCAGTTGTACTGCTTTGCAAACCCCCCTATCCTTCTTATGAGCTTGTTCTTGATATCCTCCCTCTCATCCAAGCTTAGCACAGAGTACAACACCGATGTTTGGTCATTCAAGATAACCTTCAAGAGATGCTCCGGCTCGACAACATTGTTGCTGTTTGCAATGGCCTCGTTCAGGCATGCCTTCAAAGCACTTTGTGCTCTTTCCGTGTATTTCTTCGTAGACATGACCACAAACTTAACGGCATTTAAATACTTTTTCCCATCCAGAGTCTTGAGGTTTTTCTCTCACTTTTCTGGAAAAATCCAGGAGACAGGCATTGCCTGTTCCACAAGAAAACAGATCACATACATCAACCTAACTTTATTCTTCTGGTCACTTTTTCAAATAAGCCGGTACCATTAGGCCCAGCATACATCCTATCACAAGAAGCACAGCGCGGCCCTGGGCTGGGGATCTAATGGCTACAGCCATGAACATCGGAATAAAGCTGTATATGAACAGCGATGGCATCGAAAAGACAGAAATGATGGTCATAATAAGCGTCATGGATGTGTATGCCAAGAACGGTGTTTCGTCCACATACCTCCCGTAGTCATCTCTTTGGATTTTGTAGCAAGCCATTCTATGGGTGACAAAACTCTTACCCCGAAATCTTGCATGCTTTACCTAGTTGGATTTGGACTGCATTCGTACAAGGACATAACTCTCAGGGGACTGGAGGCTGTCAAAAGCAGTACCAAGGTGTATCTCGAAAGCTACACATCGATCCATGGAGAGCCGCTTGATGAGTTTGAGGAACTTATAGGAAGAAAGGTGTGCCTTGCAGACAGAGAGATGATGGAGCAGACGGATAGGATAGTTGATGAATCGTCTCGAGAGGATGTTTCCCTGCTTGTTGTTGGAACGCCACTATTTGCAACAACTCACTCAGACATAATAATAAGGGCAAAGGAGAAGGGGGTGAATGTAGAAGTGATCCACAACGCCTCGATCATAAATGTCTTGGGATGCTGTGGACTCTACTCATACTCTTTTGGAAGAGTGGTGTCCATCCCATATTTCGTGGGTAGGTGGAGGCCAACAAGCTTCTATGAAAACATAGTAAGGAACTATCAGAACGGGCTCCATACCCTGTGCCTGCTAGATATAAAGACCGATGAAAATAGGTTTATGAGTGTCAACGAGGCCATTGACCAGATTCTTGAATCTGCCAGGACTCTCGGCTCTGATCTCATCAACGAAGATACAAGGGTCTTTGCAATCTGTAGGTTTGGATCACCCAAGGAAGAAACGGCGTACGGAAGAATTGGGGACATGAAAGAAAGAACATTTGGAGAGCCTCTCCATTCGTTAATAATACCTGCAAGGCTAGATAGGGTTGAGGAAGAGCTTGTCGGGTCCCTGCTCAAATAAACTACAGGCATAAAAACAAAAGGTACAACGATTTATTAGAAAAATCATTATTATTACTTTGTCTTAACTTTAACGAGACACCTTTCCTACGAACCCTGCTGCTGGCTGGGCAGTCCCAATTCCTGATGCGTTTTTATTGCCAGGGAATGAATGAGAGAATCCTCTCATTGTATGGTCTGGCTGTCCAGGCGAAAGTCTCACGGGTGTGCTGCTGGCGGACGATGGTGCCTTAACCCCAGGCTTTAGTGGATTCTGCTGACTGCTTGGAACTGCAGGCCCTGGCGTTGCGCTAGCCGATGCTCCTGCTCCTGCTTGACCTGGCCGGTTTGAAGATCCACCTTGTCCTGTCTGGTTGGGGGATCTTTGGCCTGCCTGATTCGGGGCTCCCTGCCTTGGCTGGTTCGAGGTTCCTGCCTTACCAGAAGCTGGCCTTCCACTAGATGTCGTTGGTGTTGGATTCCCCTTAAACTTCACCTCTCCAAGAACCTGTGTCTTGTTAGGATCGTTCGGTACGGATACAGAGACTTGTGTTGTTCCTGTAGGCGTGTTCTTGGTTTCAACCTGCTCAATAGCCTTCAGGTTTGGAACCGTCATTTGCTCTAGTACCTCTCCACCAACTGTGTTGGGTTGATGAGTCACCGTTGATATGTTGTTGAATATCATCTCTGTCATGGTCCCCATGTCAATCTTGCTGTCAGGTAAGATCCCTGCTATCTGATTATAGAACTGTGTTGCAGAAATGTCCTTACGAGCACTAGGAGGCGCTTGGTTGTAACTTATCATCTCCTTGATTGCCGACTCCGGGAGCTGCGAAACCATGTTGAGGAATGTTTCTGTGGAAATATTCATACTCCTGGCATAGCTTGCAGCCTTACTTATCATGTTGTTTTTAACCTGAGACTCAACGGTGTTGGATGGGGACATGTACTCGTTGATCAACTCCTTGTTGTACTCATCAACTATCTCTGCCTTTTCCCCATCAACCTTTCCATTGAATGCATTCTTCTTGGCCACTGCCTTCCCATTCCCTTCCTCTCGGACCTTCGAAAGAACATTACTTATGAAGCTTTCCTCAGAACCCTTCATAGAGTCTGTTCCAGCCATGTCCAATGGAACTTCCGGTGTCTTCTTCTTAACTTCTTCACTAACTGCACCAACACTAGAAGGCCCAACATTGTTGAGACTTTCAACCGCCTCATCCATTGTCATAATCTCAGGAACCCCGTATGGTGAGGAAACCTCAACAAATTTACTCCCATCAGGATTTGTATAGACCTCTGTGGTGATTCCTTCCAGGTTCCTTGCCTTCTTCTCGTCATCAACCCTGGACTTCATCTCAGAGGCTGCTGCCACCTCACTTTCATGGGCTAGCCTTCCATTTATCGAAGGCCTCATGTCCTTCACAAACTCATTCCATGGCGTCTGCACAAGCTCCCCATCTTCAATCTCCAACTCAGATGCCTGCCCAATGTTCAGGCTTTTTTCACCGTTGGTCATCGTAGACGTTGGAACAGGATCCAGAGGGGAGGGAAGAGGTAAGGTAAACCCACTAGCATCGGCCTCATAATATCCGACACCCTTGTCAAGGCCAGGCCTCTCTCCAGTATTGTACTTGTGCTCAAGCAGTGAGGTGTCGAGCTTCTGCTTGTCCATCAGCCCTTTTGCACTTTCGGGATAGAAGACCTTTCCTTTGTTGATCTTCAACGACTTTGCCGCCTCGGAAATATGAACAAATCCATTTTCCATTTCAATGACATTCAGCCCACTTTCGACATTCGTCCCAATTACCTTATTCCTCACCTGGTTTCTTCTGTTCTTTTGTCTACTCTGAACAATAACCTCCTCCTCAGACTTGGGCTCCTCATTGCTGAACCCTTTCAAAGGAAGCTTCATCTTCCCTTCGGTGATCCCAATTCTACTGGCTGTAGGTGGAATAACCTCCTTGACATCGAGATTAGACGTGGCCGTCTCCTTTAGCAGTGCCTCGATGTTTGACTGGTGTGCCATCTCCTCCTCATACTTCTTATTTAGCTCCTCAAGGTCAGATCCTACAACATTAAGCCCTGCATGTGCAGTCGCCATGTGGTCAACCGCCTCCTTGATCGAGTCATTCATCCCCATAGGCCCAAGTATCTTCATCACCTCGGCTTTCCTCGCCTCTCTCTGTTGGTTCAATGCCTCTGCTGCAGCACTTTCAGCCTCCTCCCGTGCCTTTCCTGCCTGTAGTACATCTCCTGTGTTCTCAAGAACCCTTGTAAACGCATTCTTTCCTTCGTTCTTAATAATCCGCTGCTCTGCCGCCTTTGCAAGATGCTCCTCAGCTGTCTTCACCGCATTGCTCTCGTTGGCTTCTTTTTGGGCTTGTATAGCCTTATTCTGCATCTCCTCGTTCTTACGGTTCATGTCCTCAATGGCTTTCTCCGTCGAAACCTTCGAAAGGAAGTTAAGAGCATTTGTCTTACGTCCACTAGGCCTGAGCTGTGCCTTGGAATTCTCTAGGTTCTGCTTGGCCTTTGCAAGGTCCTCTGCACTGGAGGCCGCAACATCCGTTAGAATCCTCTCTTGGACAACAGGGTTACCCAGTCCTTCCATGCTTGCCAAGTCTTTCAACGTTTCTGCCTGGTTGAGCTTCTGAAGCGCTCGCATTATAGGCTCGGTTATATGCTTCTGGGTTAGATATTTGCTCAAGTCCTGGGCTCTATCAAGTCTCTTCTCATTAATCTCCTCCTGCTTCTTCTCCAAAACCTTAGGCCTAAGCCCAGAAGGCGTTTGAGCCATCTCCCTCGCACTCGCCTCCTCAATCATGGTTCTGTCTGCTGCATTTTGTGCTGCAACATGCCCTCCACCAGCAATTGCTGCAGATCTAGTTGCATGCTGATAATTGAGATCAGTCAAGCTCACTGCCCTTCCGTATGCAGCCTCGGGCGACAATCCCTTCGATAGACCCTCATTGTACTTGTCAATCATGAATCCAGCTTGATATGCCTCAAACTCCGCCCTTTCCACAGGAGAACCTTTTTCAACATACTCATCATACACCTTCTTTTGAAGCATGGCCTTGTCAGCATCAGAAACAACATCCTTGGCATTCGTTGCCTTTGCTAGATTAACCTGAGGAATGTACCCAGGATTCAGAGGCGGCTGAGACATATCGCTGGCCCTCTTCATTCTTAGTGCTTTCTCAGCATTGGCATCTCTAACCTCGTCAGCAACTCCCTTGGCTACAGGAATCGAATGTCCTGCCGAAATCAGTGAAGAATATGCAGCCTCTGGCGTTAAATCATCTATCGGAGTTTCGTTCTGGGTCAACGCATCAATCTCGGCTTGCTCCTTGTTGGTTCTTCCAGTAGCGACTCCTCCAGAAACATATGGTTCTTCTGGGCTTGAGTAATCCGGCGGTGCTGTCACATCAAGAGGTACTTCAGAAGCAAGATCTAGGGACGATGGCATAGCAACAGGCTGGCTTGTAACGGCCGGCGTAGAATTAGAGAGAATGGAGTTTCCTACATCCTCGGCAACATCCGGGGTTATCGATCCATCATTATACAGCATATCGAGAGCATCAAGATTCCCGTGTGCTGCCATGTTTGCTAAATCCTTTTCGTCGTGCGTCAGGTTTTCGGGACTGTTCGCATGAGTGCTAATCATATTCCGAAGTATCCTTGCATGGTTCTCGTTATGGGGCCTTATGCTTCCTCCATATCCCCTACGAGCTTTTCGATGCCCATGGTGACTGCTGCTACTATGACTGTCGTCATGGTGGTTATGAAGCTTCACCTTAACACGGGCATTCCGCGTAGATCTATTTCCATAGTCCATCCCTTTTTTCGTGCTTCCCTCCTTACTGTGATGGACATCATGGGAGCTTAGTCTTGCCTCTCCTCGTACCATCACGTTATAGAGACAAAGTAGAAACAATAGCATATGTTTGTGCCATCTTCCTACTAGGTATTTAAATATTTTTCCTAAAACGCTTTCACGACAATGTTTCGAAAAGTAGAGGCCATGTCCAATCGTCTAGGAAAGGTTTACCTTTCCGCTTGATAGCTTTTCCTTATTGGACATGGATGAAACCTTGTCTAGATAGCCTCTTATCTAAGGAGGAAATTGCATCAAGTGTAAATATCCTGACAAACAAATTAAATTTATTCAGCCCTCAACACTTCTAAGTCCAACTTCTTTGAATTCTCCATCGCAGTCAGGAACAAAACACTTGAACTTAGAGCTTCCATACCCAACGCTAAGGCTGAATCCAGAAAAGCTCCAGGAAAGGCTATAGCACGGCTCCTCCAGGACAATCCTCTGCGACTTGTACTCTTCTCCTTTCTTGGTGTAAATGATCACGCTTCCGTCTTCGGAGCATGTGGCTATACAGAGCAGTTTGAAGGGGTTTGTGGGGCAAACAGCAACATCCCTCACAAACCCTTTGTGATCCCTGAACCTTGCAACCTCCTCGTTGCCTTCCCACACAGCAACAGAGTAGTCCATTCCACCGCTCACGAATCCACTTTCCATTGCACTGACAGATAAAACCCCAAACCGGTGGCAGAAGACTTCTGATTCTGTCACAGCAAAGGAAGAGTCTACGGTTATGATCCTGACGTTTCCGTCAGAGCACCCACAGAATAAAGTAAACGAATTCCCATCCCATCTTCCAGAAATGTCATTTACAGATCCATTGAGAAGCTGCTTCTCATACTTCTTATTGAAATTTCCACCCTCATACTTCCAGACAATGACCTTGCCACTGAAGTATGAAGATGCAATGAATTCGCCCTGGTTAAGGAAAATAGCCTTTGTTGCAGGCCCGGAGTTTCCGTTTAGCTCCAACTCCAAGACCAGCTCGTGGGAAGACTCGGCAGTGCCCTTTGAAAAGACACGAACCATTCCATCAGAACAGGATGTAAGTATCTTTTTTTGGCTGAAATCTGTTTCGATGCTATGGATGGCTTCTTTATGGACGTCCATTGGGGTTTCTGTATTTCCGAAAACAAATAGAAGATATTTAGCGACGTGAAACACAAATCAGGTGAGGCAAAGCAATCATACGAACAGGTGCAGGTATGATTCAGGGCAGGGCTGCGGTCTGGATGCAATATCATAAACTATGGAAATGTGCCTGTGACTTTAAAAGAGAAGAAAAATTTTCACCCTACGAATGGTAGATTTTCACATCAGTAAAGTTCATGATCTTATGACAAACCAAAAGAACATCAGGAACATTTCTGTGATAGCACACGTTGATCATGGAAAGAGTACGTTGACGGATTGCCTCGTTATCAAAGCCAAGATAGTGTCCAAGGATTCTGGAGGAGGAAGGTATATGGACTCGCGTGAAGACGAGCAGCAGAGAGGGATCACCATCAAGAGCTCGGCAATATCCCTGCACTTTCAGGTTGAGAAGGATGTTCTGGAGGCATATACAAAGGAGGGAGATACCAATGGAACTGAATTTCTTATCAATCTGATTGACAGCCCTGGGCACGTGGATTTCAGTAGCGAGGTCACGGCAGCCCTTCGAGTGACTGATGGGGCTCTTGTTGTTGTGGACTGTGTAGATGGGATCTGTGTACAAACGGAGACTGTGCTTGGGCAGGCGATGAATGAAAGAATAATCCCTACCCTGGTTCTCAACAAGCTTGACCGGGCGATCCTGGAATTGGAGTATCCTCAAGAGAAGCTGGGAGAGGTCCTCAGAAGAAGAGTGGAGGGGTTCAATGCAAAGCTGAGCACCCTGGGGTATAACTTCAAGGTGGATTCGCTGATGCCTGAGAAGAATGAGATTTCGTTCTGCTCTGGGCTTCAGGGATGGGGGTTTACCCTAAGACTATTTGCAAGGTTTTACCTTGAGAAGTTCAACATGAGTGGGTTTGAGGGAGAAAGAAAGCTCACGAACTTCCTATGGTCCCACAAGGTGTCTTGTACATCCGACGACCCGTTTGATCCAAATATCAAGCACATAGCCAAGCCGAATCCTGCAAGATCCCCGTTTGTTGTTTATGTATTGAACCCTATCTACAAGATCAAGGACCTATGCAACAGCGGGAAAATTGAGGAGATCAAGGAATACTTGAAGTTCTACAAGGTAGATTTCAAGGGGGTGAATCTTACTGGGAGTGGAAAGTCACTTTTCAAGGAGGTGATGAAGACATGGCTCCCTGCTGCAGACTGCATTCTAGAACAGATAGCACTGAAGCTCCCGTCTCCGCTACAGAGCCAGAAGCTTCGATATGACTACCTCTATGAGGGTCCTGCCGATGATGATGTTGCAAATGCAATCAAGAAATGTGACAGCAGTGCCGATGCACCTGTGACGATGTATGTCTCCAAGATGATCCCCTCGAATGACAATAGGTTCATAGCATTTGGAAGGGTTTTCTCCGGAAAGATATATCCTGGAATGAAGATTAGGGTTCAAGAACCTGGATACTCACCGACATCAGAGGAACTGTCGAACACCTCCCTGGTCCACAACAAGTCTGTCTTAAGAACTGTTGTGATGATGGGGAGAGGATATAAGGACGTGCCTGATTGCCCATCAGGAAACATCATAGGGATAGTTGGGATTGACGATTGCTTGAAGAAAACAGGCACGATAACCAACAAGGAAGGGGCATACAACATCAGATCGATGAAGTTCTCTGTGTCTCCTGTTGTTAAGGTGGCAGTTTCTGCCAAGAGGCCTGAGGATCTTGGAAAGCTACAGGAGGGTCTTAACAAGCTTGCGCAGTCTGACCCCCTTTGCCTGGTTGAAAGGAACGACAAGGGCCAGAACACCATAGCATGTGCAGGATCTCTGCATCTTGAGATCTGTCTTAAGGATCTTCAGGACCAGTATGCTAAGATACCGATTGTTGCCGACGACCCACTGGTGACGTACTTCGAGGGAATAACTTCTACAGTTACTGAGCCCAAGATGACGAAGTCCGCAAACAAGCATAACAGGATATACATGACTGTTGAGCCTCTGGATGAAAACATAGTTGATAACCTGAAGGATGTCAAGTCTGACCAGATAAAGACGATGGTAACGAACTTCCGTGAGAAGCTGGAGATAAGAGATGATTGGGTTAAGAAGATATGGTGCTATGCACCCGAGATCAACCCCCTGAATCTTCTTGTGGATGGAACGAAGGGAATCTCCATCATCAATGAAATCAAGGAGCATGTTAACACTGGGTTCAGGGCTGCAGTCAATGACGGGCCTCTGATCGGGGAGGTGATGCGTGGTCTCAAGTTTGAACTTAAGGATGCCGTCCTACATGCCGATGCCATCCACAGAGGTATCAATCAGCTGCTTCAGCCGGTCAAGAACCTTTGCAAGGGGCTTCTTCTTGCAGCTAACCCCATTCTTTACGAGCCCATATACGAGGTCGAGATAACCACACCCAATGACTACTCTGGGGCAGTCACTACGATTCTCCTTTCCAAAAGAGGAACTGCAGAGGACTTCAAGACGCTTCCTGGAAATGATACAACAATGATAACGGGGACACTTCCAGTAAAGGAGTCCTTCACGTTCAACGAAGACTTGAAGTCTGGATCAAGAGGAAAGGCCGGCGCATCCATGAGGTTCTCTCACTACAGCACTCTTCCTGGAAGTCTGTCTGATCCAAACTCCTTGATGTTCAAGACAGTCGAGACGGTTAGGAAGCTCAAGAAAATGAATCCTGCACCTCCAACAGCAGACTCCTTCTTCGATAAGCTTTAATAAAAAGTTATTGGATTATTCAGAAAGCCCCATCCTCTTTATTTGTACTGGCCATTGGATGGAGGAAATTAATATGGCTCATACATGGCATCCCTACTCCTTGCTCTTAAACTGTTCCATGTTCTTCAGGAACTCAAACTTCGGGTTGGATTCTATAGCCCTATTGATAAACTCAGGAGACATCCTTGATGAATTCTTCTTTTTAGCCTCTCTGAGTGTGAGCTCCACTATCTCTGTGAGAAACATCTCAATGGCTTTGCTCGCAACAACAGGTACAGAAGCACCTATCTTTCCTATATCCTCGTTCAGCTGCATTATCCTTTTTAACCTTGATATGGGGAATCTCGTTAACTTCCTCTTTTGAGACTCTTGTCTAGGCATTGTTTACCCCTTCTGTTCTTGGGGCTTTAACAAAGATCAAACAGAGAGAAACGTAGCCGTATCTACCCCTCTCCACCTACAAGTATTGGCAGGATTTTAGATCCCAGAATGGATAGAGAGATCCTAAGACACAGAGTATTGGTAACCATCAGCAAATCATCGCTCTTCAGATTTGTCGAAAATGTTTTGGAAGAAGGCAAGATAGCTGCAATTGCAAGAAACATCTCGGAATATTTATTAAACAGCAAGTACAGCAAGGAAAGGGCTCTTGGACACATATCGGACTATTTAGAAGAAGAGCTCGAGAATTCTGGAATAGATATAGAAGATGGCGTCGACGGCGTAGCACTTGCCGTTCTATTCGTGTATGAAGAACTCCTCGAAAACGAGTCGAAGTTCTTTTCAAAGATCCAAGAGAAGTCAACTCAGGTAACTCCCCTCTCTGATTCAGAGGAAGAATGACACCGATCTCAGAATCTAATGCTTTTATAAAGCTTCTCCTTCTTAGCTTTTCTTTTTCCTTCTGTCTCTTCCTTCGCAGCTGTCTCTGCTATAGGAGACACATCCTGAACAACTTCGTTGCTTACTACAACTCTTTCTTCAAAGTCTTCAACATATACAGGCTTAGTGTATTGGTTCTGATCATTGTAGATGACTCCAATGCCTTCGTTGGAAGTATTCTTCTTGGATACCTCATCACTAATATCAAATAAAGGCTCTCCCCAGCCTAGAGGTTGGTATCCATACGAGCATCCTTCGGGTATGGGTGCATTCAATCCTGGAATCTTTGCATCCGGATAAGACGGTGGCATCCCGTGCTTCTGCATATTGAAAAGCCATGGAGGCGGTGTGACTTCATCGATTCCCAGAGCCTCCATCAGATCACTGCTTATTATCCCTGGTAAGCATACATCCACGGTATCAGCGCCTGGCTCGAAGAACTCCCCGTAGCTGCGGAGGCGTGGCTTTTCTTTCTTCAAGAAGAAAGCCTCGTACAGCATCTGCTGGTCTATCAAAGATCTTCCAAGCTTTGGATGCAACTTCTCTTTTATCCTTTCTCTAAGACTCATCCCGGATTCCTTCTCTTTCATCATTTTTCTTAGCTCCGGAATCCCTGTTTTCACCACATTGCTAGGGATCCTATAGCTAGGCTTGTGATACGAGCGCTCAAACATCCTTCCAGAGCTTGATTTCCAGTGTCTGGGAACAGGGACGCCTCCCCGCCCTTTCATTTCATTATGAGGTATCGGATCTAGGCATGTTGTGTCTTCAAGCTCGAAAAGCTCCGGATATGGAACAATAAGCTTGAGATCCTCATATCTATGCTGCAGGACTCTTCTCTTCCTCTGCCTCTTGTTTAAGATACCTCTTAGCGGTCTTATACTGTGGATGAATCCGTATTCATCATCAACGCCAATCTTCATATGGGCTCTTGATTTTGCATTGTCCATTCATGCTATGAAAAGATTCAGATTCATAAGAAAGCTTAGCAGAGGAGCGCATGGGACAGTGTATCTTTTTGAAACAACAGACTCCAGGAAGGAAAGGGTGGCATGCAAGTCTATTCTTTGGAAGTACAGAAAACATGCAGAAAGAGAAATCAGGATGTTGTCTTCAATGTCACATAAGAGGATAGTAAGGCTTCTGGACTTTTTCCCGAGAGATTTTGGAATATTCATCATTCTTGAGTATATGAGCTGTGGAAGCTTGCATGAAGCAATAATCCAGTTTGCAGAGAATAAATGCAAGGCCAGTGGCTATCTGGCGTGGTCTGTGTTGGCACAGATTGCAGAGGCCTTGTGCTATTTACACAGCAAGCAGATTGTCCACAGGGATGTAAAGCCATCAAACATCCTTATGGGGCGGATTTCATCGCAGAACTCGGGATCGGTTCAATTTAAGCTTTGCGATTTCAGCATAGCAAAGAGACTTCACAAAGAAAGCGGGGCATACGGGATTGCAGGGACACCTGCATATATGGCACCCGAGGTTGTGTCCGGGGAGCATTACGACTTTTCGGCGGATGTATGGAGCTTGGGCGTTTCCATATATGAACTGTTGACCTTGAAAAAGCCTTTCGAGGGAAGGAGCAAGAATGAACTCTTCGAAATGATAAAACAGGCAAAGCTCCCACAGGTTGTGTGTGCAGACATCGAGTTGGAAAGGCTGATCAGGAGATGTCTGTCAAGAAACAACAGAATAACATCTGGAGAAATCCACGATAACAAGAGAGTTAGAGCACATCTCTAGGTGCCAAGGGCTAGGCAGAGAAATGCTGGAAGATTCTCGAGAGCGAGGGATCACACAAATATCGATAAATGCAGCCATAAACTCTAGGATACACATTTATGGAGCAAGGTGTCATCCTTATGGAACAAGTAATCCAATAAGAAACATCATGCTGGTTTCAGGTAGAAAATAAAAAAAGTCTGCTACAACTTAAAAATGCACAGCAGAAAGAATTCGACGCAATGCTCGCACATGACTTGTTCAAATGATGCAGACATAAAGAAAATATCCAAGGTGCTGTTTATTATTCTAATGTTCATGTTTCTGGAGTTGTGGGGTCACTGGAAGACAAACAGCCTGTCTCTATTAGCAGACTCACTCCATTTACTTGTAGACATACTCGGGTTTATAGTCAGCCTTCTTTCATTAAGTTGGGCAAAAAAGCCTTCCAGCAAGAGAATGACGTTTGGATACCATAGGATAGAGATCATTGGGTCCCTGGTCTCTATCGGGCTTATCTGGGCAGCCGTAGGATATCTTGCAATCGAGTCGTTCCACAAGTACCTTCATCCAAGCGAAATCGACGGAGGGATGTTCTTCACCATAGCTGTGGTTGGATTTTTTGTAAACTGCATATGTGTGTATGTTCTCCATTATGACGAGTACCAGCATAAGCTCAAACACAAAAATCTGAACATCCGGGCTACCTATGTGCATGTGGTTGGGGATCTTATCCAATCGGTGGGTGTGATAATTGCAGGGATGGTGACATATTTCTATCCATCAAAAGCGATTGTTGATGTGGTCTGTACTATGTTCTTTTCCATACTTGTTCTAGTATCCACGGGGTTTGTGCTAAAGGATGGTGTCCGTATACTAGCAGAAGGAGCGCCTACAGATCTTGATATTGACGGGATGAGGGCAGACATTCTAGAAGTGGAGAACGTTTATAAAATTGTCGACCTATATGCATGGTCAATATCCATGAACAGAAGCGCTGTATCCATTAAGGTACTAGCTGACGAGATACTGATCAGCGACTACGAAAACATCCTAATGGAGGTGAATCACATACTTAAGGCAAAGTACCTTGTAGATATAGTAATCATACAGATAGACACGCCCAACTCCTTTTATAGAGACAGAGGGTTTGTCGTTGATGGAGTCATGATTGATTTGAAAGCTCTTGAAACGCCAGGGATGATGATTCCAGAAGCCTAGTATTGCCTTCGTGTCGTTGAGAAGAGTGTTCTTTGGCAGCATGCCAAGCAGACTTAAGAAAATGTCTCTACCCCGGAATGCAACTGAAAAACATTAAGAAAGGCCTTTACAGACAAAGAGCTCATGCGAATCCGTTCAAGGACAGTAACATTGTTATTCCTTCAAGCCCACAGTCTGTTGACTGGTCCTCCTACTTTGAGTCGAATAAAAGGCCGGATTTCGTTGACATAGGATGTGGATACGGAAAGTTTCTTATGAAGGTTGCTGAGAAGAACCCAGGGCATAATGTACTAGGGCTTGAAATTAGAGACAAAGTGTGCGAGTACGTTAGAGCAAGCATAGAAAACCTAGGGATTCCAAATGCTGGGGTCATGAGAACAAACGCGTTGATCTTTCTGCCCAATATCTTCGGTGGAGGTCAGCTGTCCAAGATTTTTATCTTGTTTCCTGATCCCCACTTCAAAAAAAGGAAGCAAAAGGGGCGCATTGTGTGCCAACAGATGATGGAGATTTATGAGTATTTGCTGAAGAACAGAGGGAGATTATATATATCTACCGACGTGGAGGAGTTGTTCGACTACATGGTGGGTGTTATTTCAGCACACAGAGGATTCAGGCCGCTAACCGAGGAAGAGATGAATGAAGATCCACTATTCTGCATGACTTCCAGGGATACGGATGAAGCTCTAAGAGCTGGGGTCAAGACAGGGAAGGTGTTTTCCAAGGTTTTTGAAATAAAGAAAGATTGATGCCACTCCTTTTACTTTCCACCAGGAGACTGTCAAATGGTGTTATCTCCTTTGAAATACTTTCTGGCGCAGTAGCCCCAATGGGAAATGATAAGACGGTTGTGGAACTGCTTTTCATACTGTCTCTCCTGAGCCTTTCTCTGACATTTTTTCCAGGGCTCATAAAGGATTCTGTAGATGAGGTAGGGTATTTTAGAGGAAACAGAGCTTCAGAATGTTTTAATGTTTTAGGAATACCAGGAGAAGGCGGGATTGAGTTCTACTCCGCATACGGCAGTATTGGGGACATCAGAATCAGGGACATTCCGCATGGATCTCCAATCACCGAAGCCATTCACGATCTTCATAGGAGTAAGAAGAGATTCACGATTCATATTAACTCAAGAACAAAAAATGTACAGATATATTCACAGTGTGTGCTTCCTAGATACATCTTTAAGGTCAAAGAGGTGCCGAGAATGAACCTGCCGCTCACTGAGGTAATCAAAGCGTTGGACATGCTCTATCTTTCAAACGGGCCCATGGACCAAAAACTGATACAAACAATAGTATATCTAGGACTGAGAGGAAGCTTGGAAGACAAGTTGATTATTCTTTATGAGAGTATGCTTGTTCTTATCAACGAGGAGAAACAAATGATCTTTTTTGATATCGATCTCGAACATTTGTTTGGTATGATGCTTGGAGGGGGCACCTCCTGGAAGGGCGAGAAGAAGAACGGGCCGAATCGGCTTCTGGTCGCCTTTAAGATAGAGTCCAACATGCTTTTCTTTTACGATCCTCTGAATGACAGACGAGGACTTGGAAAGAAGATGGCTGGAAACACCTTAGCAAAGGGGGCGATAAAGCTTTTCCCTTCGCCAAGAGACATCCAAATAAAGAATGCTGTGGGCAGAGACGACTACGGCAATCTGTGCGTGTTAGTAACCGACGAAGAAAGAAAGGAGGGAATGCTCGTCCTGGAAAAGCTGATTATAGACCCCATTAGGCCCAACGACTCTTCCTTCTTTTGACGGGAGATTGGAGAGTGTATCACCAGCCTGTTGCAATACTCTATCAGGACATTTCAGGATTGCCTGAATAATATAATTTCCACATTAAAGTTATTAATTAAATTTTAAGATCGAATATAAGGTAGATGTGTATCATCCTTGAATGCTTTTTACTGCAAAAAGGACGGAAGCAATTGTAGCTCTTATAGTCGGGACATTTGGCATATGGCCTTCTGTGAATGGAAAGGAGGCGGGCAATCAGGCCAGCTCGTTTCCTATCCAGAAGCTCGAGATCCAAGAGATAAAAAAGGCTTTTACTGAAAGGATCACAAAAGCTCAAAAAAGTAATTCTGATGGAGATTTCCTAAGGTCTCATATTGATCTGAATAAGGCAAGAACTAAATACCGGGGATGCTGCACATTTGTGGTTATTGATGTTGGGGGGACACATTTAAAGATAGGTGAGATTCTAATTGACCTTGGATCTAAAAAAGAGAACGGCGCCTTATGTTTTGACAGTATTGTGGAATGTAGTCCATCTCTTTACAAGTATCCGGACACTTCCAAGATTCCGAATGAAGATAGAATGACTTGGAATGAATGGGTTGCAGAGAAGATCGGTGAGTTCTATGGGCAAGAGTCTCCAGAAAGAAGCATCGATGCATGCCTGACATTCTCATATCCCCTTACTCAGACATCGATTAACAATGCAACAATAGAGAGAGTGACAAAGAACTTCTGCTTTAAGGTAGACGAAAACACATTCAAAGTGAATGTAGTTGAAGCCCTTAATTCTTCTCTGAAAAACAGAAGCATCAACGTCCACGTTAACTGCGTTGTAAATGACTCCACGGCAACATACATGGCAGGCATGCTTCGAGGATATGATAACATAATTGGGATCGTTCTGGGAACGGGGACGAATTCTTCTTTCTGTGTCAAGAAGGAGAGCGGAGAGGATGTGCTATACAACTCTGAGTGGGGATCTACAAATGTGCCGAGAAGTGCTCTGACGGAAGCGGATCTTGCTGTGATTACAGACCTCGAGATGAAGAAGGCTTCTTATAACATCGTTGATATCCTAGCAGGAGGCTGCAAGCTCAGCGAAATAGTTTTGAATAGGCTTAAGAACTTACACCCAGAAATGTATGAGGAGTATGCAGGGAGGAAAGAATATCTATGCTCCATGATACGCTCAGCAATCTCGAGATCAAGTAAGGACATTCTTGAGGAGGATTTTAAACTCTACAGAACATTGGTTTCTATGGTCGATCACTTTAATACTAGGGGGACGAAGATACTAGGATCTATGATAAGTGCCATAATCGATTCTTGCATGGGGAATATGGGGCATGTCACCCTGATCCTGAATGGAACGGCATTTTCAAACATGAAGCTTAGAAATGCTTTTGAAATCGAGGTGCAATGCATGTACCCATCTATTGGAATTAATTTCGTGTTCCTTGGAAATGCATCTCTAGAGGGCTCTGCGTTCGTGTCTTTCATCCATTCAAACAATGTTGAGTAAGATTGTAATTTAGCAAAGCTATTAAATCTCAAGATTTTCATTTATTGATCAGGTTCCTCAAGAACTCTGCTTCTTCTTTGTATCTTTCTGGGTCAGGAGTCTCGAGGATCAATGGAATGTTGTCGAAGATTCTGCTGTTCATAATGAATCTGAACGCCTTTTCGCCAATCATTCCTTTTCCAATTGATTCATGCCTATCCTTCTTCGACCCCAGTGCTTCTTTGCTATCGTTGATGTGCATGGCCTTCAAAAACCTTAGTCCAACTACCCTGTCAAACTTTTCCATGACCTCTGCAAACCTTTCTTCTGTTGTGATATCAAATCCAGCCCCAAATAAGTGGCATGTATCTAAGCACACACCGACTCTTTCCTTATCTTCAATTTCTCCTATAATATCTCTTAGTTCCTCAAAGGTGCTTCCAACTACATTGCCCTGGCCTGCCATGTTTTCCATAAGTATAATGACGTCCTGCACTCTCGATATAGCCGTGTTCACATTACGACCAATGCTTCTCAGGCACTCTGCCTTACCTCTTGTCTTATCACTCCCCGGATGCATGTTGTACATCTTGATTCCCAAGGACTTGCATCTTTCTAGGTCGTCAACAAGACATTCCATACTCTTTTCTACCAGGCTTGGATTTCCGAAGTTGACGAGATAGGATCCATGGGGAACAATCAGCTCTGGATGCAGAACATGAGCCTTGAACACATCTGCAACACCCTCCTTCATTGGTGGTGCAAGGTATCTTCTTTGACTCTTTAGAAATATTGCACACGTGTCCAGTCCGAGTGATTCCATTTGTGCCTGGATTGTATGAATCCCCTTGCTTATCGATAGATGTGCACCAATCAGCTTTGCCATTTTGCTAAAGGCTCTGTCCCCAGTAAAATGTTTAAAAATAAATCCGATCGTTGCCTTTGCTGCAGATGCAGGACTTTTTAAAGGACTCGAAAAGAATTCTTAACGATATAGAAACATTGAACTCGTATACAAACAGCATCGATTACCTAAGCTCCCAGAAAAATAGCTCTGTCCTTAGCAAGGAGGAGGAGAAGGGGCTCAATAACCAGATAGACGTGCTGAACGAACGGTTTCGGGTACTTTCAAGGAACATCAAGGAAAGAATAGACAACTTCTCTTCTGAAACAGCGGAGCTTGAGAGAGGCAGCAAGAAGGACAAGTTTTACCACGAAACAAGGAAGATCCATCTTCATGCCCAATCAAAAAAACTTACGGAGGCCATAAACAGATACAGAGAGTCCCAGATAAAGCACCGCGAGGACGAAGTAGACAAGTTCCGGCTCCAATACATCATTGCAAAGCCTGATGCAACAGAGAAAGAAATAGAGGACTTCATTGGAGACGATGACGGGACAAAGGTGGCCTCTGCATATGCGCTGGGAGCACATTCCGCACAGGGGATTCTCGAAGAGGCAGAGAACAGAAAGAAAAACATCAAGAAGATAGAGGAGATGGTCCAAGAAATTGTAGACCTGCTGAATCTGATTAGCCAGGAAGTTTCAAAGAGAACGGAGGTTGTTGAGACTATAAATGATGACCTTATCATGGGAGAAGAAAACACTGCCGCTGCAAATGCGGATCTTGAGTCAGCCTTGGCATATCAAATAAGGGCAACCAGGATTAAGAGGCTGTTTGTATACGGAATCCTTATTATTGGACTCATATTCCTGATATACTTTGCATTTAAGACCAACTTCTTTGGGGCATTTGATAGAGTCTGGTAATATTAGCTTTGCATCTTGATACCTCTCATCCCCTGGAAATAATAGAGATGTTAAATAAACCATTCCATTTTACCTCCCAAGGTTGTTTATGGTGGACTTGAACGCCAATAAAGTTGTAAGAAAAGGAGACAGCATACTTGTATATTTGAATCAGCCGGAGGACTTCATATATGACATAGATGGCATAGCAATTGAATACAATGAATCGAAGAAAAGCGTAGAAGTGATTAATGATCTGATACCGGAGTTCATTAAGGACAACATGAAGAAGTTCTTTAGAGGGGATATAAAGAGATACATAGAGTTTTTAGAAAGAAATCTGGAGACATTTTTCAAGGGTGAGGTTCCGGAGATAGAAGGGGAAGGAAAGGCAAAAAGGCCTTTTGAGCTGCCAGGGGACTATAAGTTTCCCATTAATAGAAGAGTACAGATGAATGTGGCTATGGAGGTGGAAAAAAGATACGCTTCTGTAGTTTCTTGCGAATGCCTTAACTTGCAAGTTGAGTGTAACAGGTGCAAAAGAAGTCTGAATATGCCGGGGACAGCGGAGTGCCCTGGATGCAAGTGCAGGCTGGAAATAAACTACATCCCCTGTGTAGACTCAGAATTCTTGGGGTTTCTAAGTCTCCATGGCTGCAAGTTGATCTGCTTCAACCCTTCTAGGTACCAGCTTTCTTGTGACAGTTGCCATATGAACTACGAGACAAGTGAGATGGGTATAGGCGACACCTTTCGTATAAAGTGCTATGAGTGCTTGTCAAACATCGTTCTGAAGATATCCAGCATAAATCTTATACAAAAGAAGAAGGAAACACTGAAACCAGGGCAGCCACTGCCTGACAAGGGTGCATGCAAGCATTATAAAAAGTCGTACAGATGGTTCAGATTTCCTTGCTGCAACTCTCTCTACCCTTGTGATATATGCCATGACGAAGAGAGCGGGCATGTACATCAGATGGCTAACAAGATGGTTTGTGGAATGTGCTCAAAAGAGCAGGGTGTTAGCAAGACATGCGATTGCGGGATGAGCCTGAAGAGATCTACCTCGTTTTGGGAGGGCGGAAAAGGTAGCAGGAATAAGGCAACGATGAGCAGAAAAGACAGAAAAAAGTATACTAAATAAAGAAACACGATGTTCAATGTCTTTTCAAGAGAAGAAATACTGGTTGTTTTCTTTTTGCATTCTGTCCTTTGCAGATCCTGGCTTGTTGACTCTGGGCCTTAGATTGCTTGAATCTCTTCGGAAGGTCACATCCAAGTTCTTGAGGAAAATGTTCATACCTTCTAGGAGGTCCATTGGGGCAGAAGCCACACTTGAAACCCCAGGCTCTCCCTCAAATACAATCACTTTGTCTGCAAGATACGTTCCAACTATAAGGTCATGCTCAACAACAAATGCTGTCTTGTTGTTGGAGTATATAAACTTCTTTATGACCTTGGATATTGCTATTCTTTGATCAGAATCAAGAAATGCTGATGGCTCGTCAATAAGGTATATGTTTGCATCCTTCCCAAGACACATGGCTATTGCAATCCTTTGGAGTTCTCCTCCACTCAGGTTCTGGACAGGCTGGTCATAGGTGTATTCAATGTTAAGCGGCTTGATAACATCGTTTACAAATGACTGGTCCAAAAACGAGGATCTTATCTTTGACATGAAGAGATCTCTGACAGTACCTTTATACTTTGGAAGTATTTTCTGGGGCTTCAAACTATAGCTGAGGGCAGTAAACTCTTCCTCCTCGTCGGGCTTTATGAGCCCTGCAATCAATCCAACAAGTGTGGTTTTCCCCATACCATTTTCCCCGAGAAAAACAATGATCTCAGACTCGCTGAACGTGCCTTCCTTCACCTCAAGCTTGAATGACCCGTATGTCTTTGCCATGGCACCGTACCAATGCTGTGCTCTTTTCCCAACATCCTTGGTCGGCCTTTCCGAAATATCAAACTTAAGCTCAGAAGGCCTAAATCTCATGTTCTCGGTTGGTATGTACCCATCAAGAAAGATATTGATTGCAGACTTTATGGCATATGGTGCAGTTATCACTCCATACGCTCCAGACTGCCCATACAACACACACCCAAAGTCACTCATAAGGTCAAGTATTGCAAGATCATGCTCGACAACAATTACATAGCTATTGTCTTCGCAGAGTTCTCTAATCTCTTTTGCTGCTGAAAGCCTCTGCTTGACATCAAGATAGCTGGAGGGCTCGTCGAATATATAAACATCACTTTGCTGCATGCATGCCAATGCCAAGGAAAATCTTTGAAGCTCCCCTCCACTTAGTTCCTCAACATCTCTGCTGAGTATATTCCTGAGGCACATCCTGTCTATGTAGTAGTCTTTCTTCTGCTTTTGGTCCATCTCTTCGAGAACATCCTTGACAAGTAGCCTGTCTTCTACTGCAGCCTTATCGTTGTCCAATGAGAGGCTCTCAAGTGTATTCCTCACTCCAGAATTAAACCTTTTCTTCAACATTTTTGGAAGTCTGTCGATGTACTGGATTTTGGATGTTATCTTTAGCTGTCCTTCAAGAATCTTGGTAAAGTACCCCTGCAGCTCAGACCCTCTGAAATATCCTAAGATCGTTTCCCATCCAGGGGGGCTGTCATACTTACCAAGATTGGGCTTTATTTCCCCGGACAGAATCTTCAGCGCCGTGCTTTTTCCTATTCCATTTGTGCCCACAAGCCCAAGCACCTTCCCAGGCTTTGGAACCGGGAGCCTGTGGAGCTTGAATCCATTCATGCCGTATCTATGTGTTATATCCTTGGTTAAGCTTGTCGGGAGGTTGATTATAGAAATTGCCTTGAAGGGACATTTCTTCTGGCATGCAGAGCATCCAATGCATAAGACTTCCGATATTATGGACTTCTTCTCTATCTTTATGCATTCCCTTCCTGTCTTGTTCACAGGACACGCTTTCCTACACTCGGATGCACATTGCGATGGCTTGCAAAGCTCAAAATTAACAATGGCTAGCCGAGTAAGACTCGTCCTCTCATCACTCTTTGCCATCTCGTAAGGGATCAACCATTTTGGCCTCAAATCACAGAAGAGGTATATAGGCTTGGAAACAGTATACTATTTATTTCCAAAAAGATAGACCTTGTAGATACATGTGAACTTTTTGTGTCCCCCGTTGTTCTTAATGAAAAACTCTATTGAATCGGCCCTTGTCTTTTCAAACTCAAATGTCTGAAACCCACACACACTTGCATCGTACTTGAACTCTCCCAGAAGCATGTGTCCATCGGGGCCATAGGAAAAAACCTCAAATTCGTGTATTGCACTACTTGTATCCTTGGTAATAGGATGGTAAAACCCCACCCTATCGATTGTGATTTCTTTATCAAAATCAATGGAAAATTTACAGCTGCGCCCCTTGAATGATAGGCATTCTCCAATACTTACATTCTCGTCAAGTATAGTGGCTGGATCTTTGTGCTTCCTGAACCCTAGGAGCCCATATGAAAAGAGTTGCGACATGTCCCCAATTCTTACTCTTGCACCTTCTTCAACCTTTGCATAGTTCACCTCCTTTGTGTGTGCCATTCCCTCTATTTGCTTGCTCATTCGTGCATTTTCCTCCCTCAGTATGCTTATTTCCTCCATCAGATTCTCCACGACCATAGAGCTCATTGGCTTCATGATGGCTATGTAGAAAAGTAGAACATATAGAACAGCAATTGCCGTGTAGACAGGGTAGTTTTTCACACCCTTCCTATCCTGCCCATATCTATGCACCTCCACGGGCTCCACACTCTTAGTAGCTCTCATCTTTGGGATAGGTGTTTGGAACATAATAGTCTCGTCTATCCCAAAGTTTAGTGTTGAGTCTGGGCTTCTTTTCACCTGCAGGCGGTCTCTTCTATTCATGTACCCATGTGAAAGTGAAAATTTAAAACTTTCTGAGTATGCCAGTCTTTAATGCATCCCACCAGTCGCTTACAACTCAGGGCTGTTATCCTAGAACGTGTATGCCAAATGCAACCATCATGAAAAGAGCATTGACGTAGAAATACAGCATTAGCTTTGATTTGACTCTCAAGCTGTAGACCCTTGAAAGGTGAGTAATGGATATGTGTATAATCGATGATATAAACAGGTTGAAGCCGAGGACGAACTTATATCCCGATTCTTCGCACACACTCTGTAACCCTATGTTTGATATTGTCTTGCATAAGAATGACGACAAAGAGGCCAGGATGTAGAACAGATATGAGTATGACATCGAGTTTGATGCCCCCAGGCAATATATAAACACCATTGTCATCATTGATGTCAGAAATGCCAGAGGAATGCATCTACTTTCTGACAAAACCTTTGATATCTGCAGACTGGCAAGCGAGGAAAGTATTTTTGAACATCCTTCAACATATCCATGAATAATAACAGGCTTGTTTGGGTTTGAGTGGTATGATACCGAGCTATCGAAGCTGGAGAAGATTTTGATCACTGTATAAGAAACAAGGCGTATAGGCTTTGCCACGAGAAACAACATTTTGTTCACCTTGATGCTGCTTTCTATTCCGTTCTTCCTTTTTTCGAGGAATATCCCTGCTGAATAGAACGAAAGACATATGTAGAGAATGCTTGCAGATGATGAAAGCAAAGACGCAAGCATCACACGCGATCTATATGTGCTCTTTACTTTCCTCCAAACCTCTGTGGGGCTCTGTATGTAGTCTATGAACTTTTCCTCCTCCTTATTTGGAGATGTGAGAGGAAGTAAAAGCGTGGTCAGAAGAGCCAGGGATAGGCCGAAGAGAGAAATCAGTATGTTCACTCTGTGACTTCCCCCACACATTATGATGTCCTGCCCAATCCATGACGAGACAACACTTACAAATGTCTTGATGTTAATTGCTGTCGATAGAACCACTTTTCTATCCTCCTTTCTTCCGGCAGTGGAGTTAAGAATCGACTTCGTTACGACTCCGAAGGATGTTGTTGCGCCATGGAGTAGATATGCTATAGCCGTTAGAAAGCTGCACCTAAACGGCATGAACATGAATATCATATACACAACCATTTCAATGAGTGTATCGACGAAAAGACTCATTCTGTTTCCTAAAAGCTCGATTATAAGAAATGAAGTGAGAGAAACAATGATGGAGGATGTAAAGAACAACGGGCTAAAGTTGTTGTGAAGCTCTCTATTGTGGAATCCCTTCTGCTCGACAAGGTAAGGAACCATGAACGAAAGGAACGGGGTGAAAGACTTCAAGCCAAAGTACTGATATAACCTGACTGTCCACGACATTGTTTTGAGGGCTTTTTGATTGACTCATAATAGATTTCCAATGAAAATTTTTGTACTGCTAAACAAAAGTTATTGCATAGCGAGTTTGTAAAGGATTGGTAATTCTAGGGAGTTCTATCCATAATGCTAGTGGCAAAAATAGTCCTGAAATGGAGAGCGATATCGATGGGAGTCCTTTAAATTTAGGCAGTGGTGAAGGTGTAAGGAAGAATGATCGAGGAAAGCATAAGAGAGCACTAAAATGTCTTTCTCAAAGGACAGTTGCACTGAAGATATCCTATGATGGCCAGGGATATAGCGGGCTTTCTCCTCAGAACGGCAAAGAGACTATTGGCGGGAATCTTGAATATGCCTTGAAGGCCACGGGGCTTGGAGAGAAGCTAGTGTATGCAGGGAGGACAGATGCGGGTGTAAGTGCAATAAACATGATAGCGTCATGTGTTGTTATATCAAGAGTTTTAGAGCCCAACAGAAGTTATTCCATCACTGAGGACGACTACAGGGAGTACAAATATGACATAATGCTCAATAATCATCTTCCATCAGACATACGTGTCATTGGATGGGCACCAGTTCCTGACACATTCAATGCAAGATTTACATGTGTACAGAGACAGTATCGGTACTATTTTCACAAGGAAGGCCTTAATATTAATGAAATGAACGAAGCAGCTTCTAGAATCAAAAGGATGGAGAACTTTTATTACTTTAGCAAACACTCTGACGAGAATGCTCGATATGAAAGGAGGCTGGATGAGTGCAGAGTAGTGGACGACGGAGACATCTACTATCTGGACATAAGGGCCAGAGCATTTCTACACAACATGGTTCGAAAAATAGTTTGGGCTATACAGAAGTCTGGAAGGGGAGAAGCATACGATATCCAAAGAATAGGAACGTCAGAGCCGCATCCACTGGTCTTTTGTGGAGCGGTGTACCCCCACGAGCTTTCCTTCATCAGCAATCTTCGCTGTTTCTCAGAATTCCGCTACAAAATGGAAAGAGACCAAATAAACTACAAAATATCAAGGTACAGGTTAGAACACCTTACTGATGAGTTTTCTAAGGAGACAGGAAGTAAAAAGAGGCAATAGATAAATAAAAGCTTTATTCCCTAACCTTTTCAATGATTTCCTTGACAACAGTCCTTCCTTTTTCCGTTAGCATATCTTTAGAGTGTTCATTTATCCACCCCATGTTCTTCAGATTCTCAAGCACTGAGATGCCTATTTCCGGGAAGGCATTAACGTACTTGCTGGGCCGGCATCCCCTGTTCTTACGAGTTCCATACCTCTTTGCAAGGAATTCTGGCGTGACAGCCCCTTTGATTGAGATCTGCCTTACAATGGAGGCCATTCTTGTGAAATACCAGTCATCCTCAATGGGTGCCTGTTCCTTGCCAGTTCCGGTCTTCATAATATCATAATCTTGGAGAGGAACTACCATGTTGGTTGATTTAAGATAAGACTTAAGCGCCTCGTTGAACTTCTCTGGTCTAACCTCGTAGATCTCTTCGATCATCTGGGGTGAAAATTTTGCCGTCATCAAAATCGTATGCCTTTGCAAGCAATTAGGGCATTCGCAACAAAACCCTAAATGCAGCCTTCATACTTCATATCAACAAAGTCCTGTGTGGTTCCACACGTGGTAGATCCTCAGTCGATTCCTTCTACAAACAAGAACATGAAGATATACATCGATGATATTCTGTACAAGGATTCTGCCTATGAGGGGGGATTTGACCTGGAGATAAAGGAATTCTGTTCTTTTTCCAGTATAAAAACCTGCTTGGGATTTAGAAACAGGCCCAAGACTTTGGTTTCAAAGAGAGGACATTACAAGCTTAAGAAAGAGAGGTACGAGGAGCTTCTTGGTGTTCTGAAGCCGGACTACCATGCAGATTTCGACACGGGGAAGATCTTTGTAGAGGGGAATGAGCTAATAGAGCCCAAGGATGTAGGTGAGTTTGTAGAGCTTCTAAACGGGGGCCATTTGCTTTTTGGAACAGAGTTCGTCAATAATCTTGTCAATCAAGGGATGATGATGAGGTTTGATGGATGTAAGATTGACGTTTGCAGAATATTCGATTGCAAGTGCTGCGGAGACCTATCTCCTGGGTATCTTGAATATCTCTGGAACATCAAGGAGATGAATGCGTTCACATATCTTGCAATACACAACTATAATGTCCTTGATGAGATCTTCAAGGCCATAGGCCTCAATAAATTAAGTTGTGGCGATGTGAAGGCGGGAGATAGGGTTTAGAGAATGCATCTATTCTTAAGACATCTTTTGATTGCAGTACTTTTTATTCTTCTGTCTGTAGCCAAGAATTTAATAGATTGGAAAATATTTACCCCAAATGAGTTTAAGTGTTGTCTCTGTGGATCAATTTGTAGGCTTTGCTTTGTCGATAATATCAATGAAGATTTCTGGAAATCCGATGTTCAAAACACCAAAGGCAATATGGATACTGAGGGGAGTCTATCTGTGCTCTAATCTCATTCAACTTATGTTTTCACTCTACATAATGAAGAAGATCAAGAGTACAAATGACAGCCGCAAGGTTAAGATAAAGAGGGAAGCAACACTTTTCAAAGACAACAACGAAGAGGAGGAGGAGGAAATGACATATGCCAGCTACGACGAATCTGAGCTCACCAAATCGATCAGGACAGCAGTAATCCAGTTTTTGATCATTGCTGTGCTTCACTTCAAATTGGAGGTTGTTCAGCCATTATTTGCACAATCATTTGTTCCATTAAGAAACCTTCTTCTTAGTCCCCTCTATGCTGCATATATCTGGAATAGACCTGTTCTGAGGCCATTTGAGGCAAACATGCTGTTCCAGAAGGCACCTAAAGAATCTATGGCATCTGAAAAGAAAAGAGTCAAGGAGGACTGATTAAACAATCCATAAATATTTTCTTATCATTTTAAAATTTGTGTTTACTGCGAGGATTCAATGTATGCGCTCTTCCGAAGGAAATAAAAGTTTGATCCTTGTTTTAATCCCTATATGGGAAATGATGTGACCCAAGACGAAGACATAAGCACGATCGAAGCCACGAATGCAAGCCTGTACGGGGAGAGTGACATCATCCAGGAAGAAAAGAGCATAATTCGCGTGAAGGTTCAGCAGAAGAAGGGGACAAAGAAAGTGACTATTATTGAGAACATACCCAAGGAGCTTAGGGAAGGCTTGCTATCCTCTCTCAAAAAGGAAATGGGATGTGGCGGAATACTACTCGATGATAAGTCATCAATCCAACTACAAGGGGATAAAACGAACATGGGGATTGTCAGCTACCTAAAGAAATATGTTAAGGACTGTAAAGTCGAGTTGAATGGAAGAGTCAGGTAGGGCACATGGACCTCCTCAAGCGAGAAAGAGCGTCTCCCGAATTAAACAAAGTTAATATTCGTCTTTTAATAATTAGTTTGTGAAGTCTAGAGGCTCAAAAAGAATCCTATCGGGTGCCTTGAAGACCCTAGACGTCTTGTGCTTGAAAAGCTCGTTGAGAATGTCAAAGTCGTATCTCTTGCCTATTCTTTTCTTGTTTTTGTTTCTGATTTCAAACTCGTGCAGCTTGTGCTTCGAGCTACACATCTCGTCCTTTGTTAGAATATCTTTTTGAGATCTATGCTCATGTAGATACATACAATCGCTATTTTGGCATATTGCATTCCTCAGATAGAATGTACAATATTTTGTGGTTCCATAGGTGCACTTTAGAACTTTCCCGTCTAGAAGGCTTTCATCGACCTCTTGTATGCAGGTCTTTGCCTCTTCGTCTGTACTGTATGTGATGTAAGCGCTGGCTGTCGACTCAAGTGACGAGGTCCTCTTATTAACCACTATCTTTTTAATTGCGCCAAACTGTCCAAAAAATTCATGTCTGCTTAGGACGCCTTCGTCAGCATACTTCTGTGGTATGCATATTATATATACTAGGTTCTTCTGCACCACCCTTATGTTCGAGAAGCTTCCTCCTGACTGCATAGAAGCTATTAACATCGGCTCTTTAGGCATCCTTGGGGATTGTCTGCAAAATTTAATATTTATTACTGGTTACTAATAGGTTCAAGAGGCTCACAAGAGACAGGACTTCTTTCTCCTTCACTACAAATTCTCGATCTGTTTTAACAATAATAATGAAAGCCTTGGTACCAATGGCTACCGCTCCTGTTTAATTCCTGCATGTAGAACAGCCTATGAAGAAGCGAACAAACAGAACCTTACAAGATAAAAGTACAGAAACATCCCTGTCATATCGCTTTAATTCAAAAACATCCCGGAATCAATATTGTATACACCCTTACCAACCTCAAGAGCCCATATCTCGACATTTTCATTGGTCAGGACACCGTCCTCCGGATGGGCGTTCTTCAAAGCCATAATCCCAACCCTCGCCAGCTCCTCGACACCCATCTTCTCATACTCCTCACAGTATGCTTCCAGCACCGTTCTAGACGATTGTGACCTGCACCCTATGCTCATTCCCTTGACCTCTTTAACATATCCCCTTGGATTGAACTCAACCAGCCTTATCCCTTCATACTCCGTCATGTAAAGCCCAGAAACCCCGTAAAGCCTTCTTCCATCAACTATTGTCCTCTCAAACGCATCCCTTAACAAGTCCTCAAATACATCTAGAAAATGTGTTGGCCGCCCCTTGATAACTTCCTCCCTAACACTTTTGTCGATCAAGTAGTCCACAATCTGTTGCCCATCATTGGTAATTCCAGAAAACGTAAACAGAGACCTCTTGTCAATAGAAAACACTTTTTTTTGGGTGTCAGCAAGCTTCGACCTCTTCTCGTTGTGGGCTATCAAGATACCAACATTTTTGTTTCTAAGCCCAACAACCGTGTTCCCAAGCTCCGTTGTTTGCTGAATGAAGTCCAGCTGCTTCACACTGCCCTCGGGATTGAATATCTTGAACATGTTGTATCTTGCCTGAGAACCCATTTCAACTGGGGCTTGGAGTCTTAAAAACATTAAACATCATCCATTTATTTCAAGCTTCCAGCCTCTAGGATATAATAAATCTCACATGCTCTTGCAGCACAGGGATGTCAAGGTCCTCAACAAACTTGCTCAGAGATTCGGAATATAACCGAATCACGTCGTCCATTGGGCTTCTTATGCTTCGCTCCATTGCAGACTCGTTGAGATCCCTAAGCTCCTTAAATATCCTTTCGACAAAGTTGAGCATTCGAAATGCCTCATTGAAGTAGAGGGAATCAGACGGCGATGCCCCCAGAATTTCCTTGAAGTATCCCTTGATTCTTTCTTCTAGATCTTCCATCGTCTCCATTCTAGGCGCCTCCTCAAGCCTCTCAAATATCCCAGACCCAGTTCTGCTCGTGAACAATTTGAATGTGTCCTCCCGAACTATAAGATCCATAACCCTGTAAAGCATCATCCTGGGGTTCGAAAACAATACCCAAAAGATTTATATTTCATACATACAAGTTTATTTAGAATGACATACATATCCTCAGAAGAGCTTGGCTGGCGATCTCGTCCATCTCGTCAAAGTCATCCTCATCGAATGACCTTGCTGTGCTTGGAACATACTGGGGAATGTTCTGGACACTGCTACTTCTCCTCGTCTTTTGATTTACATTTGCTTGAAGAGAACTCACAAAGGTACCCTCCTTTCCATGCCCTACCTCGTAGTTCTTGTGGAACTCGTCAATCGAGCAGAACATGCTCTTCCTTCTCACCTTCTCACTCCTTCTTTGTATCGACGAATTCCAGTAGTTCTTTATTGCGTTATCTGTCCTTCCAGGAAGGTACTTTGCTATCTCTGACCACCGATTCCCAAACTTTGAATGAAGCTCAATTATCAATGCCTCCTCTTCCATAGTAAACGGTTTCTTTGTGATTTGTGGGTTAAGGTGGTTGTGCCACCTTTCCCTGCATTGTTTCCCAACCCTGCTTCCTAGTTTCTTCGCAATAAACGACCAGTTTTTTGGCGAAAACTCCTTTACTAACTTTAACAGCTTCTCATCCTCCTCATGTCTCCATGGACCCTTAACAAGCTTGGCGCCTGTATCCTTTTGATTCTGTGATAACTGATCCAACGAAGCCATAGGATGGCACGCTATCAGGGTTTATATTCTTTTGTTTACAAAAATTAAATTCAATGATATATTTGACATAATTCTGCCTTCGAGATTTAATCATATCTCAAATTACTACTAATAAATTTATACGAATTCCCGGGCTCGCATATGTAATGCCATACCCATCTCCTTGGCACTAACCTCTGGTTTCTAGCTATAACTTTCACTGACAGCTGCTCCAGGGACAATCGTATGTTTCAAATAATGTTCCCAAAGTTCTATAATGAAAGCTGTCCATTTCAGGATTATAGATACACCCGGCTTTTTTTAACCTTCACGCCTTCCTAAACCAGTAGGCTTTAATTATTGCGGGAAAATCCAAGGAACACCCAGCATGGTGCACCGCTAGTCAATACCATAAATCATCGATGAACTGCCCTAGCCTCACAGCCACAAGGCTGCTTTTATCCTCAGCAAATAAATAATACATCCCTCCTTGTATTAAACCCTATCTCTATAATACTCATATTCTCCGTTCCTAAAGGATTCTACTACATACGAGACAACCCTTTCAACATCCACCTCTCTGGAATCTAGTGTTCCTATAAACTCGATAAGTTGCTCTCCTTGAAGCTCCAATATCTTCCGAGCAAAAAACTTGAGAATGGCTGCAGCAAAGAATATGAAGACAGAGAAGTCAAAGAACAAAAAGAAGTCCCACATCCTTAGCACCAACTTGATGTCGAACCTTGTAAATAGGGTTAGGTACCATCCAACGGCGTAGACGCCAATGTCTATGTTTTGATGTAGAAGATGGCCATACACCTCGGGAATCAGAGCCCTGAAAACTTCGTCTTGGATTCTTTGAACACAGGGAACCTTGCTCAGCTTCTTATCAAATAGGGCCTCCAGGTTATTGTTCTTAATAATACTAACAAGCATCTCAAAAGCTTCCTCTTCGGGAAAATACATCAGGAGTAATGCTGCAGCACTGGACATCCCCTGGCAGTATCCAACATCGGGGTTGTAGTTTGAATATGCGGTAAGAATATTGAACAGCTCGCACTGACCCCTGCCATACTCTCTGTTGAAGAGAAAGTGTCTTCTGAAAGTTCTTTGGACATCCACGTGGATTTGATGCTCATACCCACTCTTCTTGGATATCAGGTTTGAGTAATTGAAGCCAGAAGCCTTCGGCGTAAGCATCCCCCACAGTCTGTACTTCAGAGACAGAGGAATTCCTCGATATATAAGCCTTCTTGCACCTTCACTTTTGCGCAGTTTTTCTCCGCTGTTTTTGCATCTTTCTATGATGTCATACCATTCGTTTTTGATAGAGGCGGGGCTGTCCCTTGATTGGGAGCTGAAGCTGTCGACAACAAACCCATATTCATTTGTGCAGAAGACCTCCTCAGACATTCCGTTGGAGTTATAAAGCTCTCTTATGCATCTTTCGTTCTTCATGTTGTTTTCAGGCTGTATTTTTATAAATAGAGGATCTGAAACACCCGAGAAATACCGATAGCCCCCTCATGTGGGCATCCTGCATTCCCTGGAAGCTTCTGTAATTCAGTATGGTGGGCAGGTACATTCCCGGGAAGCCACGGAGACGGACCTAGCCTGAAACAATGCAAGAGATCTGCTGTAAATTAAGAGAATCCTAATGGAATAAATGCATCACAAGAGTACAGTCAAAAAGACATTCAAAGTCGTATTCTTCTTCATCCAGGCGCTAGTGTTTATTTCTGGGGTCGGAGGGTCGATAGTCGGAACAACCATCTATTTAACGGCGCAGGAGTTACTTCAGATACCTGCAAAGATACTCATGCTTTCATATACTATAGGGGTCCTAGAGGTTCTGTCGGCCATCCTTGGATATACAGCACTATCATCCAGGAGGAAGCTCCGAATGCTAGTTTACATCTCGATTACACTTGTACTTATGAACATACAGGCCATAATAGCAGTCAAGAGCTGGGATGTTTACGAAAGGTCACGCGAGTGGGGCGACTGGCGATGGAGCTCATTGACAGAGAATCAGAGAAACTTTGTTCAGGCAAAGTTCAGGTGCTGTGGGTTTTATAATGCAGCAGATAGAAGCGGATCGAGCTGTGGAGGGGAAAATGGATGTGTGGGTGCGGTCTACAAGCTTTCCAAGAGTGTGTCGAAGCTCATACAGAAGATACTAATGTTCCTGTTCTTTTTTGAATCTGTTGGAGTTGGAATATTAAGCATGCTAAGGCTTAGAAAGTGACGAGGGGCCTCAAATAATAAACGGGTAGGTGTCTCGCATTTGAACAGTGTTTTTGAAGAGCACAAACTGAAATGTTCTGACGGTAGGGAGTCCTGGGATCATCTAGGCAAGAACTTATATTTTAAAATTTTTCCCCCTTACAATGCAGCAAGAGAATAATAGAAGAAAGCGGATTCCAGGTATCCATTCGTGCCTAGCGGTTATAAACGAGCTGAGGCAAGAGCTGGGGAAGGTGACTGCATCGATAAACGACCTCCGTGACAAGATATCAGCTATTTATAAGCAAGAAAGAGAGAATTCGCCAAAGAACAACCTCTATAAAAAACTGGACGAGTTGGCAAGCGAAATAAAATCATTGAAGGAAAGCAGGTCTAAGGCGTTTAATCTGAAGAGCGAGGCATTGGGGACATATGAGACGATCAAGGGTGAAATCCAGCCGGAGAAAGGGAAGAAGATGATGAGTGCACAGGAGATTGACAGCCGGATGAAGGAGATAAACCTCAAGTTGATTTCCACCAAGTGCGACTCGAAAACAGAGAAGATGTTTGAGTCAGAGATCGAGAATCTTAGAAAGCAAAGGAAGAACATCGGGATGTTAGAGCAAAAGAGCAAGCTTGCTTTAGATATTAAGGCGAAACTTGATTCTTTGAATGGAGAAATTAAAGATTTGAGCCAAAAGATAGCAGAAAGGCAATCGGTTGTAGATGGAATCAAAGCGGAGCTAAAGGAGATCAATGACCAGGAAAAACCCAAGAACCCTGTGATTGAGGGGTATGAGAAGAACATTCAAGCATTTAAGAATAAGAGAAACGAGCTTTCTGAGAAAATAAAGGCACAGCAGGAGAAGATCAGGGAAAAGGAGATTGAGTACGACAAGTTTTTGGAAGAGATGGCAATTGCGCAGGCACTTGAGAAGCAAAAGGAAGAGATAAAGCAGAGAATAAGTGCTCTTGAGGAGCAAAAGAATGCGCTTTCGAAGGAAGAATCAAAGCTCAATCCCTCGAGGTTTGATTCTATCATATTTAGGATGGGATCTCTTGATCTATCTGGAGAAAAGATCAGCCTTCCTGTTGACCTAGCCCTCTATCTGAGCCAGCACAAGATTCCTATTCCCACATCTGCTAGCCAAATGAAGCCAACAATTGAGGTTCTTAAGTCTCAGAAGGAAAACTTTGCGAGCCAGGTAGTTGAGAAGAGAAAAGAGTTTGAGAACAGGATTGCCGATCTAGAAAAGAAGATATCTGAGGAGAGAAAAGTTTTGATGGCCATGCCTCCTACTGATGTAAGGGTGTTGAAGTTCAAACGCGATTAAACTTTAGTTGCATTTTGCGATTTGATTTATTAAATTTGCAGCCAGATTTTCTGGATACATGCAAGGCTTCTTGGGCTCATATTTGATGTTAATTTTTTGTTTCGAGGGCTTCTTTTCTATCACTTATCGGTATCATGGCAAATACGGCGAATGCCCTCCTTGCTTAGCCTATGTGCCAGCGGAATAATATCCACCACATCAGGGGTAGGGAGTTCGGATGGTCTTGGCGAATAATAAACTCCTGCATACCTCTCGTTCATCTTGTCAAGTGTTATTCTTGCCAGCATATTTTCCCGTTTGTTTTCCTTCCCCTCCAGTTTATTTTGTTTTATATACGCCACATTTTTCGAAGAATATTATTGGTGTAATGCCCACCTGTTATATTTGGCATCATTACGTATAAAAATGTTACGACCGCCATACGAAAAGCCTTCTACCCAAGTATAAAATGATAAAAAAAAATCACCCTACTTACCATGTGGAGATGAGGTAGCTTTCATTGCTGCCCGCATCCTGAATGCCCAATTCTCACCACACAAAATGGAGCAATGGGTATTCATTTGGGCAACATCCCGCCACACAATTTCTTTCCCGGGAGATCAAGCAAGGTCTGCTTTCTCCTTATTATTTAAAGTATGTATTCCAGAGCTTCTAAAACCAAGGTGCCCAGCCATTTAGTATTTTTCTTTATTGTGTAGGGAGTACAAATGTAGGGCTCTTGCCCTAATTAAAGCTGCACTGCAAAAGCTGATCTAAATAAATGGATCCAATCTATCCCACAAAAAGGAGACACCCTTTTCAAATATTTATGAAAACACCCTTCAAATTCGTCAAGGCCGGGATTAGAAATGAAGAGAGAAGAAATAGATGATAGTAATGACCGCTGCGTCCATCATGTAGGATTTAGAGAAGGCAGACACAGACCCATATCGGCACCGCCTGTGGATAAGTTCTTCATAGAAGATGAAGTAGAACTCGGCGACATCCAAACAGATCTGAACTATTCTATTTTTTACAGAAGAAATTGCAAAAACGAGCCTCGACTACAGCCGCCAAGCTTCTTCATAAGGGGACAAAGCGGATATTGGACAAGTCAGTACGACGACTTGATAACCAAGGCATTCTCAAACACAGGGTTTCTTGATGTAGAGATGGGCGGGGATGCATCTTCCGAACCTGAAAACAGCAGGTCTCTTGCGGAGAGGATTGACGAGGACTACCCAGAATCTGAGAAGAGTAGCGAGTATAAGGGCACCTCAAGAGCAACCACTCCCATTGGGAATACGAATGTGTTGGACACCGAAGTATTCAGTGCAATGCTAAACCTCAAGGCAGCAAGGGGCGCAGAAAATGCGCAGGGGGGAAGCCACAGGTCCTCGCCTCCAGCTGGGAGCATTGAAGGAACACTTGCGGACAGCAAATTCTTTAGAGAGCTTCTAGAGATCTATGAAGAACAGGATGGAAAGGGATGTAAGAATGTGTTTGGAGGAACATCAATGAAGGAGATATGTATAAGTGTAAGTAAGGATCAGGAGGGAAGTAGATGCATACAAAGAAAGATGGATAACATTTCTAAAGAGGAGATTTCGTGGTTCTTCAACAACATTGCGGATGCGGCTGCAGATTTGTCTGCCAATCTGTTTGGAAACTATGTCATCCAAAAGATCATACCTCTTCTAACTGAGGAAGAAAGAACAAGACTAACGGCCAGCCTGGTTGGGCAGATCCATCTTCTTTCTGTTCATCCTTATGGATGCAGAGTGATTCAAAAGTTGGTGGATGTTTCTCCTGATGTCGACTTTATCCTGGAAGAGGTGAAAGGCAACTTACTAGAGTTGATAGAGGATCAGAATGGAAACCACGTCATCCAGAAGTGTATAGAAAAGTGCAAGGACAGAAGGATTATTTTGAAGCAATTTTCGGAGAACTCCTTGTTTCTGGCCACCCATAAGTACGGATGCAGGGTTATCCAGAGGATGCTGGAGTTCTGCAAAGAGGAAGAGATCAAGGACATTGTCGAAGTCCTTATAAGTAACATAAAAACACTTGTTGACGACCAATATGGAAACTATGTTATCCAACACATTTTGACGGTTGGAAAAGAGAAGGAAAGGAATCTAGTTATCGAAAAAATTATAGAAAAAAGCTATGAGCTGAGCAAGTGCAAGTTCTCAAGCAACGTTGTTGAGCAGTGCGTTAAGCTTTCGAACAACGGACAAAGAGAGCAGTTTCTGGAGAAGTTTCTAGAGCCTGTGGGAGCCAAGCCTGGAATGTATTCCATGTGCATTGACATGTATGGAAACTATGTTGTGCAGCGCCTGTATGATTCCTCTGGAGAAAACATACGGAAGGAGATCAAAAATACATTGAGACCTTTTGTTAGGGATCTCAAAAAGTCTCCATTTGCCAGGCACATTCTCTTCAAAATCAACACATGATGACTTCCATGTAAAATTTTGAGAATAAAGGTTTAACAGATTTATTTTTCCTCTAAAAGCACCTTAGGCTTTATTTTACCGAAGAATTACAGGTTCTGGGATAACCCCAATATGGTCAAGGGTCTAAGCAACAAGGATGCCGTCGTAGCAATGGTTCTCGCAATGATGGGAACAGGAATAACTTTTATGCCGTATGCATTTAAATCTGCAGGGTACCTTAATGCAATATTTCTCATGGTGTTCTTTGCTATAGGAACAGCCATATCTTGCTACTGCATTTCCTATGCAGCCAAATACTCAGGGCATGAAAATCCCACATACTCTAGCCTGGCATCTAACATTTCCACGGCACTTGGATATATAGTCAATGTGTCGATCTTTTTCAATGGATATATTGCTGCTGTTAACTTCTATAGATATCTGTCTGACCTGATTGTTAGGAACTCGCATTACATTCAGAACCTCACAAGCGATTATGAGAAGTCTAGAAAGGTTGTTGTTCTTATTCTTGCGATTCCATTTTTGTATCTGTCTTCAAAAAAGACATTGTCTGGTCTTGCATTTACAACCTATCTAAGCATTGCATCCGTGATATACCTGGCATTTCTAATGATTTATTTGTTCTTTACTGTGGGAAGCACCTTTGCCGATGGAAATCCAAAGCCGTTCAATGAATCTCTAGGAGAGTCTGTCCCGTTTTTCATATCTTCCATGGTGTGCCAGGCAAACATGGTAAAGATATATGGCGAGATGGAGAAGAAAAGCAACAGAAACATCATTATCGTGTCTTTGGGCGCTGCTATTGGTGGAATGCTCATTAACTGTTTGATTGGGTTTTTCGGGTACTTTGTGTTTGGAGATGGAGTAAGCGGAGAAATTGTGACGGAGCTTTCGGATATGAACAATCCGATCAATAAGTACCTTAGAAGTGGGTGGGATAAGAACAACATCATGTCTGGAATGGCTGTCTATGGAATGATGCTGACGCTGTTCGGTGGATATCCTCTGCAGGTCAACCCTGTTGTAGATATGATCTTCAAGTTCCTTCCAGTAGAAAAAAGAACAGAAGTAAGCAGAAAAATAATAGTAATCTTGTTATTTCTGATAGCAGTTTCCCTGAACCTTATGGAGGAGCTCAAGACAAAGGTCATGAAGAAGTATCTTGGGGCTACCTTTTCCAATTCTGTGGCATTTGTGTATCCATTTGTATATTACTTGTCTACAAAGAAGGAAAAGTCTCTTGCATCTAAGTCTGTATGCACACTGATGATAGGAATGAGCATTGTTGTAAGTATCTACACAATTTTCAGGTCTCTATAGGCAGGAAAGGTAAGAAATAAAAGCTTTACTCAACGCAAGCATAAACTAGCTTATGAAGGGGCCTGCGCACGATATTATATTTCTGTATCCAAACTTAACACATAGAAGAGGTGTGCTTTTGGTATAGTATGTCCCCAGACATCCTCCCTTGTGATCGGTTCTGTCCCAAAGCCTAACGCTGTTGTCTGCACCGCAAGAAGCGAGGACGCTTCCATAAAAGCAGAAGGAAACAGAAAACACAGTATTCTCGTGGCCCACATACTTTCCTAAGAGCTTCGAGCTCTGAATATCCCAGAGAAGTACTGCTCTGTCCTTACTTCCGCTCGCCAGGAACTTACCGCAATGAGAAACATCTATACATGTTACTGTATCTGTATGTCCACAGAATATCCTTACAACGGACGCCGTGTTTATATCATGCATCCTCACTCTATGGTCTGAAGACCCTGTAAATAGGTAGTTCGAGTTCGGGTGGAACTTCACAGCAGTTACATCACTAAGAGAGGAGATTATAAGCCTTTCGGGCTTTGAGGTTGTAACAGACCATATAATGGCCTGTCTATCGCCTGCTCCGCTTGCAAAGAAGTAGTCGTTTGGTGCCACATCGACACACCATACAGGAAATGCGTGGGCCTTATAGACAGCAAGCAGACATAGAAGATCAAGGCTCCACAGGCATACAGTACAGTCTTGGGAGCTTGAAACAAGAAACTTGTTTGAGGAAAAGAACTTTAACCCATACACAGGCCCGGAATGCCCAATAAGCTTGTAGCTGTTTCCAACCTCCTCAAACTTCTCCTCATTCAGGGTTTTGATGTCCGACTTTGCAAGTTCAGAGCTGCTCTTAAGCTTCTTCAAGGGATCGTTGGTTAGTGAGTATATTTCTATGTAGCTGTCCTTGAACCCGCATGCCATTAGCTTTAGGTCATTGCTGATTTCTGCCGCTGTAAGGCCTTCGTAAGTATTATGTATCGTGTAACAACATATACTGGGGAGGTTGTTCTTGTTCACAGCTACTCTTTTGCACAGATCCTTTAACTTCTCTATTTCCGCATTTATTTGTGATGCATTGGGCTTATACGGCGAATCCTTAGGCTTCATTTCCCTTTGCTTCTTTAGCTGTAGTACATACGTCTCAAGATGGTCATACCTGTACTGCTCATCTCCAAGTATTGCATCCTCGCATTCCCTGGAAACCAGAAATGTAGTCAGGTCTATCTCGGCATCGACAACACTCGTTTCAATACCTTGAGGCCTGTCTTCACTCTTCGGTCCAACATACACTTTGATATCCAGATGTTGGTTAAGTATCTTCAGTATGTATGTTAGATTTCTCTCCTCAAGAAAGTTGATAAGGAGATCAAACGCATACCTTCCCATGGACAGGTGGTATTTAGAGCTCTTGAATGTATAAGCAAAGTTATTCTCGTGAATGTGCTGTATTGTGTAAATGCTTTCAAACTGCTTGATCTCTTCAGACTTGTTGTAGTGGTCGTTCCTGTACTTCTCAAAAAACTCTTTTGCCTCGTCAGTCTTGTTCTGTTGTATCAGATCGAAGTAAATGTGGATAAACAGAGGATACAAAAGAGGAAGGAGGTCATTCTTAAACAGATCAAGAGAGTCTTCGATCCAAGTCTTGAGACTAACATAGGATGCTTCCATCTGATCCTTAGATGGTGCTTTAGCTGAAATGCTCTCTCTAATATTTTCAGACATATCGGGGTCTCTCCCGAAAATTTTAGTTTCCGTGCATTTAGAAAGGCCATATGAGTAATTTCATGGTACTTCCGATAACAATGTCTGTTCCATCTTTCAATAATAAAGCAACTAAGTCACTAAGAAATTACCAGAAACCGTCTTGTTTCCGGATGTGCATCCACTTCTCATTGAGCTTGGAAACTTTTACTCTGAATCTTGAGATGTATAAACCGGCAAAGGAGCTAGAAAATGCTTATTCACCTTGCCACAACAGGATAAGCTGTTATTTATAGGATAGCAAGATAATATAATATAATTATAGCCATTAGGACTTTGGAGGTCTTAAAAATCTCGAGGCATTCAGTTTCAGGAGAAAGAAGGAATGATTTATTGCAAAGTTGTTAGTATCCAAATTGACTATGATGAGGGTACTTATCAGGAACAGGTGCTGAAGGGTATAAACTATGATAGCTAGGAGGTTTAGAATCTTCAGGAGGTGTAGAATATTCAGGGGGTGCAGGAGGTGTAGAATATTCAGGGGGTGCAGGAGGTGCAGAAGGGTTCACCGACGAAGTTCGAGATGGTGAATAGCTAGTCCTATAACTATAATTGTATATAAGAAATGCCGAAATAACAAATAAGGCCACTATAAACATCAAAAGCACTGCCTTCTTATAAGAATAGGGACAAGAAGAATCGCTCTTCTCTTCCATTCTTCTTGAGCCTTGAAGAACTGTTATGTGATTAAGTTTTCTCATTCTATTCTTTCTTGTATTGCTGCGACTTCCTAATTTAATCATGGATTGTCTTAAAAATATTTTTTTAAATTCGAATGGCCAAAAAGGAGCATTGAGTAGCCGGAAATAAGAAAAGTTTAATTATCCACACCATCGAAGAAATCGACTATGATAGAGTATGCCTTGTCTGAAACAGTCCTGTCTCCGCTGTCCTGTAGTCCCTCTATTGCATCGACTATGTCTGCCTCGACAATCTTTTCATATATAGGGTTTTTGCCGTACCTAAGCTCCCATTGTCTTCCTCCGTTTAACGCATATCTGAAGCAGTCCAATATCTGGCACTGCATCTCCGGAACATTTGGAACTACATCCAAGTAGCTTTGTAGGGCATCGATAAAGCCATTATCCATCAGGATCCTAAGCCACTCGAACTTTGTATCAGAGTTGGTAGGAAGATTATTGCAATGGTACATCAGGTTTAGTATTGCCCAACACGCCTCCTTTCTTATAAACAGCTCATACGATGACATTGAGTCTATGAGCATGGGAACAAGATCCATATCTACAACTGCCTTTGCATGCTCCACTGTACCTGCAGTGATATTTGACAACGTCCAGCATATTTCTTTTCGAAGTCTTGGCTGCTTTTTGTTTTCCAGCCTATAGAATATCGGCCTGAAAAACCTCATAAACCCCATTTGAATCAGGGCACTTGTTTGGTCATCAGATCCTGTAACTATGTTTCCTATCATCCTTATTATTGGAGATATTGCACACAAGCATATCTTTGCATCCTCTGCTGAATAAGATATTCCAATGAGCCTATTGGTAAGAGCCTCTAAAAGAGAGTATGTCCTGCTCATCGTTCCGCTACTAAGCACTGCATCACTGCATTGGATGCTAACATCTACAATGTAACTAAGCGCCCAGTATGCGTCACTGACAACCTCTGGGTCTCTTATATTGATAAGCTTGAAGAGAACTTCTAGCGATTTCCTCATATCTTGCTCGTTTGGCGGTGGGTTCCTTCCTCTGTTAAGGTTTGAGAGAAGCCAGGTGAGATTCCTAACGATCTTTATGTGAATAGCGCTTTCATGAAGCTTTAGGAGCAGCCCAAGAACGGTATCAAGAGCACCTGTTTCAAGTATTATGTCCCTCATGCCCTCAGAGTCTCCAGCTATGTTTCCAAGAGCCCACACACTTTGGTCCAGAACTGCATCATTTGTGTCCAGCAACATCTGGATCAAAAGAGGAACCGCCCCACAATCAATGACTACCTTTGTTTGCTGTGTGGTTCCTGATGAGATATTTGTTATGACCCATGCAGCCTCTACCCTAATCTTATTTATTATATCCATGGCAACACTAAACTCAGGCATATCTTGCCTTATGCTTGATACCGGAATTCCACCCATCGTCATTGAAGACGATGTCAAAAATGATATATCCATGAGCTCTATAAATCTAGGCACACACCCGGAATCTATGACTGGTTGAATTGGAGGAGAGTCTTCAACGCTTAATAGCGACCTAAACTCGTAAACCCCCTGGTGGGCCTGCTCCAAATCGCTACTGAAAAGCTTTTCCTTCATCGGAATGAAGTTTGAAATGGCCGATGCAGAGACAGAAAGATTTCTTTTCTTGTTCAGAAGTTCCTCCTTCTTCTGCTGCCGAAGTTCGACTTGCTGTTCCTCCCTCATCTTTCTCCTATTCTCTGTTGTTTTACTATCAAACATATATGACCTTGCCATTTTGATGGGTTCAAAATTTCTCTGTCTAAAGCCACTTTGAACAAGATGGGTACCAGGTGCATCTACTAGTGAAGGCTTCCTTCTGAGCTTGGAATCTGCAAAAAGACAGTTGTCCTAAATAAACATTTCTTCTCACACCCTAGTTGCAATGGCAGGAGATTTAAAAAGCTGTCTGAAGAAAGCCTCTTTTCTCGAACAGACTCCTCTGCCGCAGCCCTTGCCCAACGACCTGACCCAAAAGGGGATATTTTTTGATGTCCAGTCAACTACGCCTGTTGACCCAAGAGTTCTCGATGCCATGCTTCCGTTTTACACATCGGTATTTGGGAACCCACACTCTAGAACACATAGGTACGGGTGGCAAGCAGAGGCTGGAGTTGAAAAGGCCAGGTCCCAAGTTGCCTCTCTGATCGGATGTGATCCAAAGGAAATAATATTTACCAGTGGAGCAACAGAAAGCAACAATTTAGCGCTCAAAGGGGTTTCTGAATTCAAGCTCAAGGAGGGAAAGCCTGTCCATATAATAACACTGCAGACAGAGCATAAGTGTATTCTCGACACATGCAGGAACTTGGAAGAGAGTGGTGTGAGAGTTACATATCTTCCGGTTGGAAAGGACGGAGTGGTTGATATTGAGGACATTAGGAGAAATATAACAAAGGATACGGTGTTGGTGTCTGTAAATGCGGTGAATAGTGAAATAGGAACCATCCAGCCTCTAAAGGAGATAGGAAAGCTGTGTAAGGAAAAGGGGATTTTGTTCCATACTGATGCAGCACAGGGGGCAGGAAAGATCAAAATCGATGTTAATGAAATGAATATAGACCTTCTAAGCATGTGTGCCCATAAAATCTACGGCCCAAAGGGGATAGGTGCCTTATATATTAGGCGAAGGCCTAGAGTCAGGATGATCCCACTGATCAATGGAGGGGGCCAGGAAAGAGGGCTCCGAAGTGGAACTGTTGCATCTCCTCTGGTTGTAGGGTTTGGAAAAGCTGCAGAAATATGCTCGAAGGAGATGAGAAGAGACTTTGAGCACATCAAGAGGCTTTCAGATAAGTTGAAGAACATGTTTAAGAAGAACATCGAAGGAGTAATCATCAATGGATCTGAGGATGGAAACCCGGGGTGTGTGAATGTATCATTTCCATTTGTTGAAGGAGAAAGCCTTCTTATGTATCTCAAAAACATAGCCTTGAGTAGTGGAAGTGCCTGTACTTCTGCTTCACTGGAGCCATCTTATGTTCTGAGGGCATTGGGCAGAGATGACGAGCTAGCCCACTCCTCAATAAGGTTTGGAATTGGAAGGTTTACACTGCCACAGGAGGTTGATGTGGTAGCAAACAAGACCATTGAGGCCGTTAAGAGGCTGAGAGAAATGTCTCCTCTCTACGAGATGGTTAAGGAAGGAATAGATTTAAGCAAGATCAACTGGAGCTCGTAGCATTGGGTATATTAAAAGGGAATTATTCCATTTGTGAACTATGAAGTATGTTCCAAAAAGATTGGAAATACATATTAATAAGCATTTCGTAAATATGATAATTTTAAGTAAGATAGTTGAAAAGCCAATGAAGTTTATAAGGAAAGCACTATTGGTCCGTTCTGATGCAGAAAAAATATATAATCAAGAAAAACATGGAGTGCTTCATCATGGGATATATTAATATGAATAGCAACGATCTTATCAAGCCTTACAACGGGGTTGAGCTTAATGATCAGGGCCAAAAGTATAAGAAGATCGGAGAAGAGGTTCTTAAGAAAAAGAAGCTCGGTGTTGTCATACTGAGCGGTGGCCAAGGGACTAGACTTGGATCTGATGCCCCAAAAGGATTGTTTAAGATCAAGGGGAAAACATTATTTGAGTGGCACATGGAGACAATAAGGGAGATTATAGATAAATACAATGCAAATATAACTGTGTTTATCATGACATCTTCATTCACAGATGAGGCTGTCAGAGAGTACTTCCAGAAGACAGACTTTGGCCTGAAGATCCATTTCTTCAAGCAGAAGAATTCGCTATGTGTGGGAACGGATGGAAAGCCTCTACAGTACTACGAGGGATATGCTGAATCGCCTTATGGGAACGGAAACATGTTTGAGGCTATACAGCAGGTGAATCTTGAGGGGATAGAGGCCTTGAATGTCATTTCCATTGACAATGTCCTTGCGAAGATTCTTGATCCTGTGTTTGTTGGAGCATTCTTCAGCGGAAACTATGACATCATGAGTAAATCCGTAACAAAGAAGGAAAAGGAAAGCGTCGGAGCCTTCCAGATAGATGGAAAGCTTAGAATCAAGGAGTACGGGGAGAATGATGCAGACGGAGATGGGGTGCAAGGCAATATATGCAATCACATGTTCAGAACATCTTTTGTTAAGAAGATGAAGAGTGTGAATCTTCCGGAACATAAGGCATTCAAAAAGATCCCATACACAATAGATGGAAAGCTTATAAATCCAGTCAAACCCAATGGATTCAAGAAGGAAACTTTTATATTCGATAGCTTTGAATACACTCAGAGAAACGGGGTAATGAATGTCCCTCGAGAAAAGGAATTTGCACCTCTGAAGAATGGGATGGATTCAACGGTAGACAATCCAATGACATGTGCTTTGGCTGTCGAGAAGCATAGAATCAAAACGTCCATGCAATAAACCCTAAGTTAGATGAGATTCACAAAGAATCCCTAGTATTATGCATGATATATCCCCTTCATGACGACCCCATACATTTTAATTGCAAATCATTAATCATTAAAATAGACTTCCATTAAACTCCGGCTTGTAAAGAATAGGTCCAACCCATTCCCAAACATTCTTGCCTTCTACACAGGATTCTCTTATGTTAGAGTTTCTTCGGATCATTCTTTCAACTTCCCTCCAGACCTTTTTATCAACTCCGAAACAATCCTTAAGCTGCTCTATATACACATGATTAGGAAAATTAGAGTTTCTTGTCGACACATATATTTGCCTTACCAGAACATCAGCAATGTCCTTGACTACCTTCCGCGCTGCTTGGATCCTTTCTTGCTTCTTTCTCCTAAACATCCCGATTACTTTAGTTATGCCAATTACAATTGCCAGTGGTGTGGATATCATGACCATCCTTCTAAAGTAGTATCTAAAAAACGTCTTAATAGACACTCTTGCATTTACAGAATAGATCATTCCATTAGAAACAACTATCCCAACCTCCTTCCCTAGTTTTTCTACTATTTCAGGGTCTTTCGTCAGGAGATCCACTGGAACGGATTTTGTACGGGTCATTCCATATATATAGTCTCCACTTCTTTTTTCTAATATCTTTCTTAGCTCTTTTATCTTTCTTGACATCTCTTTTTCGCGTCTATTGTCTTTCATACAATAATCTCTCAAAATCCCGTGCTTGATTATAAATCCTTTATCGCAAACTAACTTCCCATTGATAACTCTAGAGTGTTCTGGCAAAGGAATACAGGGACGCCTGTCGTCCAGGCAATATGGGCATGCAAACCTAAAGTACCCTGCAGCAGCAAATCCAATGATTGACAGAACTACAAAACACCATTTACTTTTTTTACCTTGGGGTCTTAGCCTGTTGGAACTGCTTTTCGTCGAGCCGACAGACGACCTAGGGGAGGAGTTTTTAGACTGTAATTCAGGCTTGTCCAGGGTTGGGTCAGAGGTAAATGCTCTTTTTCTTATGTCAGAGCTAATTCCCTCCTTCTCGTTTTTTCTGGAAGCGGATGAACGTTCCGAAGAGGATGAATGAATAAAAGATGACGAGAAAGAGGAACCGGAAAAATCCATAGTCGAGTTGTTGGCTGCTGAAGCATCACCCATCAAGCTTGCGCTGCCTAATTCTTGATCTTCTAGCAAGCTATTTCTTTTTTCTTGGTTTGAAGGTGTTCCCTCTATAAAACTGAAATCTCTTAGAGAGAAGCTTTTTGAAGCGTTCCCGTCGGCTTCTTTCCTATTTTTCCTAGGTGTCCTGTTATCATGCGTAGGTGTCGCAGAGTAAGGCTTTTTGCCTGAGCCTCTATCTTTATCATTTTCCACAGGAACGTCGGGAACCTCCTCAAAAACATACTTCTTTTTTGGAGATACATTTTGGAACGAATTCTCCATGGAAATGTTCTTTCTTTTACCTATCAATACATCAATACGATTGTGGATACTTTCCTTGTATGCATCCAATAGCTCAGATTTCTTTGCTGTCAGCGGGGGAATGGCCTCTATTCCGTTCTCATACATAATTCTACGCAACTGCGTTTTTGTTAACTTTGTGTAGTCAAAGTCCTTATTCAGGTAGTCCTCCGGAACCATATCCTTAGGCATCTTTCTAAGGGTAGTACAAATTTTGTTTATCAGGGCCTCTGCATAATGCTCAGCTTTATCTAAAGAAATTACGCAGAGCCATGCTTCTGGGCCATATATTTAATGCTATGTACAGGTGATTTATTTAATCTTTAGATCTAGAGCTTTGCTTCAGGAAAAAATCAGAAAAATATCAATAAAGATTTGAACAACTATTGTTCCAATGAAGATTATGGGTGCCCTAATGCTTGACATAAGCCATATCTTTATCACGTCCCCCACCACCCAGCAAAAGTAAACCTCCTTAGGTGATCTCTTGGGTTCCCTTTTTTGATTTTCAGGATTTTTTTCTTCTCTCTCAAGTATCAGCTGGAAAAGATTAACAGCTATTTCAAGAGCCGATGAAAACCTTCCGCAATGCTCATAAGTCCCGTAGAGAGCACCATACAGATTTATGAAAAAGATAAAGATACACACCATCCCCAGAACACTTCCTTTGACCCCATACTTTCTGTAGAGTAGTCTTGTTGTCCTGTTTCCGAGTATCCTTGCCTCGTAAGTGCTTAGTGGCCTCCTGTTCATGGTTATCAGAAACATGTGGAGTAGAATTGCAAAGACATATTGTGCTAAGAGAAACCCAGAGTATTTTTCAAAGCTGTAATGAAATACCTTGAGTATATTCGACATTATGAAGAAGGTTGAAATAAGCGGGGATAGGAGAATATCTCTTGAGAGTATCTGTGGAATGTATCCGATCACTGGAGAAACAACAAATCCGATATATACTAAAGGATTGCCTGTGCTAAATAGTTTTGCTGGATTCATCATGTTTTGAGGATAAACAAATATATGGGTGGAAATCAATAAATATCTAGATATTTAGAATCAAACAAACATATCCGGTTATGATCCCTGATGGTAAAGGAAATAGTAAAAAATAAGATTTTAGAAATGTCTGGAAACAGCAACAGATCGGACGTCTCCTTTCTCCTGGATTATAATCTAGATGGAGGCAAGGAGCTGAGATACAAAGCGTACATCCATGTTCTAAAAGAGCTAAAAGGTGAGATGTGTGAAAAGAATCTTATCGCAGGATATTCTATAGAATTGCTACAAGCAGCATTGTTGATTGTCGATGACCTAATGGACAATTCTGAAATAAGAAGGGGTAGGCCGTGCTATTATCTTAAAAGAGGAGCCAAGACACTCAAAGATGCTTTTTTTCTTCTAGCAGCTATAAGAAACCTGCTGGACGAAAAAGCAAGGAGTGCCTATTCAGGCCCAGTATTAAAAACCTGTCTTGGACAAACACACGATACAATCAGAAAAACGAGGTCAGAGTACAATATTGAGACATATACGGCCATAGCGGAGAGCAAAACAGGCGCGTATACTTTCTACCTACCCACGATTCTTGGATATGTATCTGCCAGAAAGAAAGAGCCTAGCCGCCTTTGGGACTTTTGCAATCTTGGAGCCTTGATCTTCCAGATGCAAGATGATTATCTGAACTTCCTTCCAGAAAAGTCTGCGAAGTCGATGAATGATCTTGAGGAGATGAAGTGCACCTGGTTTACCTCAAAGATATCACACATGGAAGGTCCTTCTATTGAAAAGTACTTTTCAGAGGGGGTGGTGTCTCCGGATCTGGTTAGTATCGTCAAAGGTCTCTTTAAAGAGTATTTCCTTAATCTTGACGAGTTATTGGATAAGCTTATTTCCATGACCAACGAAGATGAGAAGACAGTGCTAGATGTCTTCATTTCCTTTCTTGAGTCAAGAAGAAACTTTTGACGGGGCATGGCCCAGGTGTTTGAGATACTTTTTGAGTCTTTTGAAAGGCTGAATGACTTGGGAAGTCTCATTACTTATCAGCTAGAGTGCGTTTTTATTTATTGAGAGCGTACAAACCCCCTAGCATGAACTCTAATTTTTTCAATCAGCAGAACAAAGATGACAATAATCAGAAAAACCCATTTTTGAATACACCTTTCGGGTCTCAGCAAAGTACATTTGGAAATCAGATGAACAAGCCAAGTATATTTGGAGGGCAGTCTCAGCAGACGAGTGCATTTGGAGCTCAGCCTACGGGTGGGATATTCAATCCTACATCATCAACAGGGTTTGGTGGCGGTGGGCAGGGCTTTTCTGCACAAGGATTTCTGAATAAGCAAGCACCGAGCACTGGGTTCGGCACCCAACAGCCTCAAGCATCAACCTCTTTATTTGGAAAGCCTGGAAACCTCCAATCTGGTGGAAACACCTCAATTTTTGGAGGGCAAAGCACACTTCAGCCATCTGAGAACCCGTTCAAGCCCCATGCAGCTTCTCCATCTCCATCCAGCGGTTTTGGAACACAGCAACCAAATAATACATTCGGAACACAATTCCAATCGCAGGCAGGAAGCACTTTTGGAACCCAACTAGGAAATGCCAATCAATCATCTAATCCATTTGCAAGCCCGATACAAAATCCTCTCTCTGGTGGGATAAGATCTACTCAGGATCAAGGAAATGCAGAGTCCTCAGGAATGATTCATGGAGGAGGGTTTGGAACTTTACAGTCTGCATCAGGAACTCAGAGTCTAGGTCCTCAAGTGCAGCAAGCTGCGCCAAGTAACCAGCAGACTACGAATCCATTCTCAAACCCTGCACAGACAATACCACCCACCCTTGGAACGCAACAAAACACCTCGTCTCCGTTTTCTTCGATGCAAGAATCTCAGACTCAGACCAGCGGAATATTTCCTTCGGCAACAGCGCCTCAGGGCTCTGAGCCCACATCCCAAGGAACAGAAGTAAGGGATGCAGTTTCTAACAGGAAGCCAAGGGCATCTGCCTCTGTATTCAACCAGGCGGTGGGGGAGAAAGGAGTAAGTTTTATGCAAATGACACTAGGAGAAATCATACAACAGCAGACAAGAAAGCTTGAGGAGAATATAAAGGTTTTCAAGGAGAAAGCAAAGGAGGTTTTCGAGCAGGACGAAAGAATAATCAGGTCTCTAAATAATTATAAACTGATAAGAAACAGAATTGAAGAAGAGGAACGTGTGATTGCAGAAACAGAGGAGAACGTAGAGTTTTTTGAAAAATGGCTTTGCAACTTCCAGGAAGAGGTTCCTGAAGGGGCTGGGGATGAGCTTCTAATGTGCATCAAAGAATTTGAAAGAGTATGCGACAAATATAACAAGACCATTGAAACACTTAAAGACGAGGAGGATGAGGTTATGTGCCTGGTTAACGAAAACTATAATCTTATTACTACCATTGAAGAAAAACTCGAGATTCTCGAAAAGTACTGAATAAATCTGTTTTTGTGTTCTTATGCGAGAGTTTTTCTGCAGTTGGAATCTGGATGCGGGTATGTGATTCCTCTTTTTAACCGATTTTTCTAGAACTTTCAAAGGATAAAACAGGTATTAGTTCTGGCCCTCATGGAGTTTATTGGGATTGACATTGGGAACTACAAGACGGTGATCGCGTCCTCCAAGGACAATGGAAAAGTATACGGAGATGAGCAGGGAAAGAGATCCATAAAGACCATTATGGAGCTCAGCACGCCGATCCGCAGATTTGGAAATGGGGTGACCAATGATACGGAGAGTACTCTCGAGGTGAGAAGCAGGAGCTTTAGGGACTTTCTTTCTGACAAGAAGGGATGGGGAGATCTTGCAATGTTTATGAAGTATCTTGACAGGGTTGTGAAAAAGAACACGCCTACACATCCTCCAATATGCATGACTGTTCCTGTGTATTTCAAAGAAAAGGAAAGAAGAATACTGATGGACATTGCAAGTGCCGTTGACTTTAAGCTCGAAGGACTGATTGTAGATGTATCTGCGATGGGAATGTTTGGATGCGTTAGGAGGGAGAGCATGCCTAATGAGTTCCTTTTGCTTGATTTTGGGTTTTCCAAGACGACGGCAGGGCTCTTTAGCTTTGAAAAGAACGTATTTAAGCCTCTATATGTGAAGGCTATGAAGGTAGGATCTATGCAGTTCGATGAAAAGTTGATTGACATTATTGTTGAAAAGCATTCCCTGGAGAGAAATAAGCTGGTTCGGGAAAAGATCAAGAGAAACCTTGATAAGATCAAAACAACCTTGAACTCTACAAGAAACTGCAGCATCCAGCTTTTTATTACCGAGAATCCTTTGGAAGTTTCAGTTTCGCAGGATGAGTATAGGAAGGCGGTTGAAGCATACCTAAATGAGCTTAACGAATTTGTCGATTCTGTCATTGAGGAGACGAAGTTTAGCGGAGTAACTGAGGTTATTGGGGGAAACTCGATCTCATTTCTAATCAAAGAGATGTTGAATGGAAAGTTTGAGTGCCAAGCCACGTTAGATGTCTCTGAATCAGCAGCTATCGGAGCAGCACTTGGAATGGCATGCAGGTCCTTGAGGGCTAGATACTTACTCCATGACATTGTCGGGAGGGAGGTCTCCATAAGAATTCAAGGAGAGGACGTAAATCCGACAGTAATATTTAGTCCTACGGAACTAGTTGAAGGGAACCCAAAGATAGTTACATACAATAGGAAGGGAAGCTTCACAATAGAAATTCTGGAGGATGGCGAAGTTGTTTCAACTCTAGAGGTTGAAAAACCCGAGACTGACGAGGCGAAGGCGATTCATGTGTCTTTTTCTATAGGAAAGTTTGGGACGATCTGTGTGAATTCAGTGGAATGTGAGGAGACCATAGACTACAGGTACAAGCCATTTAAGATGTCTGAGATTGACATTGATGACATCAAGGCACTAGAAGCGAAGTATAGAAATGAGGAACTGGGTCTCGAAAGAATAGGAGGGATGAGAAATGAATTAGAAACTATGGCAGTCGGGCTTGGAGATGTTTTGTACAACAAGTTTAACAAGATAATAACTGAAGAAGAGCTGAATTCAGTCAAGGAAATAGCTATGGACCTATTTGACATGCCCCAATCTGAAACGGTAGGGCAGGAAGAAGAAGTCAGGAATGGTATTCTATCCAAACTTGAATTTGTATCTAAGAAGCTTGTTGATTACAAGGATAGCATTATTGAAGATCTTGAGAAGCATAGGGATACGATTAACGAGTTTAGAAAGGAACACTCGAAGGTCTTTACTCCCAGCATCTACAAGCTTCAGGGACTCCTTTACAAGTTGGACGAGTTTATCAAGAGCTTTGACCTGAATTTGTTCAATGTAGAATCGTTTGATGAAAACTTCATAACAGAAGTCAGACGTGATATTCAGAAGTATCTGGAAAAGGCTAAGGCTGAGGTTGAGGAAAAAAGAAAAGAGGCTGAAGAAAAGGAAAAAAAGGAGAGGGATAGTAAAGAGAAATCCGAAGAAGATGTCAAGGGTGCGCCTTCAGACAAAGAAGATGATAATGAAGAATCCGATGTTGCAAGTATCGACGAATAAAATACCGACATAATCTGTTTTATTAGCTTTTCTTTGATTTCTGCATAATCTTAAGAAGGCTGCTTGGACTCTGCAAACATTTCTCCCTTCTCATCGAAGCTGAAGTAGTTCTTTCTTATAAGGCTCTGGTACATTTTCAAAGTTGTAGTGAATACTAGGCCTGCCAGCAGAAGCATGATTCCCCCAAGCAGGGCTCTTGTTCCGAAGTCCCTACTTATAGGAAGGTTTTCCTCTTCCTCCTTTGGGATGATCTTTTCTTTGATGTTGAAATTGATTATTTTCCTTTTTCCGTCATCAATAACCCTCTTCTTTATGAGAAAAAGATCTCTGTATCTCCTGCGGTCAACGCTGTTGCGCTCCAAGGTGTTTACAATCTTGCTGTGAAGGTCGGGGCTCATGTCTGCCATCTCTCGATGAATCAAGTCACTGATATTTTCAGGGTTGATTTTGAACTTTCCGATTCTTAACGACTTGATGGTACCTGCAGGAGAATCAGCCTTGTTTGGGGCCAGGTTGGAAAGGTCAAGCTCCCTGTTTTTTCTATCGCTAATCGTTTCTCCCATAAAGTTACTTCCCCTACCCTCAAGTGCACTTGATTCACTAATGGATATCATTGAGGACTCACCATTGTAGTCTGAGTAAGTGTCTCCATTGCCAATTCTGTCTATGTATGGAACAATGCTGTGGTTGTAGTACTCTGCAATTGCAACGGCCGGGCCAAATGTTAGAAAGATATTAAACAGCATTTTCTGATTCACCTCATCAGTATTTTAAATAGTGCTGAAACACTGGATCTAAAGCAGTTTCACATCTGAGAGCAAGGTTACAACTATTATCAAAGAATTCTTTAATTCCTGTTCTTCAGCCCAGAAATAGGCCCTTTCACGGGCAGTAGATCTGAGTGCTTCCCCTTTAGGAAATGGTCGGCAGATATTTTAAAAGGATTTAGCCCACTTCTAGATACTAGGCTACTTCCAGGTTGATCCGCGCCTTCTCCTCCATTTGAATCAGATCCGCTTTCCGATGGCATAGCCATATCGCTTCCTCCTATACCTTTTATATGGGGAATATCAATAGACTTTTGCTGGTTGTTCATCAAGGACACACCAAGTGTCATTATGGAGACAACCAGCGTCAGTAAATTTACTATGAAGCCTATCATTGATCTTTTGATTCCTTTAAATTTAAATACTGCGAATGAAACAAAGCCTCAGCCAGTTGAAACAAATTTGTCAAACAGTATCAACATACAAACTAGTATGAATATTAAGAGAGCGGCCAATACTAGAAACACCTCGGTTCTCTCCTGTCTTTGGTTCTCTTTTAGCTTTCTTCTGGTATCTACTAGGGCCTTCTCGATATCACTGCTCGTGTAATTTAATCCCATAAGCTTCAGGGTGCTTTTACCCAGTATCTGCTGATTGGTATCAGCCTTTCCTATTTGTCTATGGACGAGTTTTACTGTGCTCTCAAGCTCATCAAGGTTCTCGGCATTCTCAGAAATGTCTTTGTGTTCTTGAGCGACTTTATAGAGTTTGTCTCTCCAGTCCCTGACCTTGCTTTTAGCCGAGTCATCATATTTTCCCTTTTCATAGAGATCCTTTTCGTAGTCCCTTACCATTGCTTGGACAAGAGATATATGCTTCTTCAGGTCCTCTTGGGAAGAAAACTCTGTTCTTGAAAGCTCTGTGTTTATCTTCTCCTCCATCCTCGGGGTAAGGTGTACGAATAACACCCTAAGAAGAATTTCCGGGAAACAAACAGACGGTTTCGAAGAGACGTACAAGAAAGCCCTATTTATTTGCCATTGCCTCTTCCTGAGACTCTATTATTGCCTTCTTTTCTTGATCTGTGCCACGCCTTGATATCCGATCCAGAATGAAGTATTTGTAAACAAATAGCCCAGTAGTGACAGAGGCAAAGCATATATTTACAAAGAAGAACATCTTGTAGTTTGCTGCTCTGTCTTCAATGGGAATGTCCTTTCCCTTCATCTTATCCTCGGAGAAAAGGTTCCCAAATACAAGAGTGGTAGCAAGAGACCCGAGGGCTGTAAAGGTTCCATGATAGATCATCTGCGAAGTAGATTTGAGGTGCGGCGGGCACAGGTTCATCGCTAGCTGGACTGCAGATGGCTGTAATAGCCCGAAGTACATTCCCCTCGTGAGTTCAATAAGGCAGCTATACAGAAACACATGCGGGTCATTGTAATCTAACAGGAAATAGCATCCAACCCTGAATATCTGGAATAGCTGGGCAATGAAAAATGGCCAGACTAGTCCAATCCTTTTGCTTATTGCTGGAAAGTGATAGAGCATCACAACCTCGAAAACCATTCCACAAAAGGTTGTTGTTGCCACGGGTGACTCATTGAAGAAGTTAACCAAGTATTGGAGCCAATTTGGCCAGGAAGAAGGGAGGTCGTATCCCTTGATCTGTAGCACATCTGTCAGGTACACTGTATGGTATATGGACAAGGCTTGCCTTGTTATTCCATTCAAAAGTATCATAAGTATAAAGAACAAATAAGATCCATTTCTCATCAACTCCTTACAATTTGCCATTATGTCTCTTCTAGCAGTTCTCCCTTCGCTTGCAGGAGATTTGAGCAGTGAAAACACCAATATTGAAGACAGAGCTGTGGTCACCAGGGAGTAGTACCTCAGATTACCAAACTTAAAATCATCTCCAAACTTGATGCACTTCTCTATTACTTTGCAGGACAAGCCATAGCCTGCAGTTCCCCACAGCTTTTGCTTCCCATAGGCTCTAGCGCCTGCCTCAGGGATTCCGTTCAGATAATCCAGCACGGCCTTATCAAGCAATGGGGGAATCCCATTGTTGAAGGCCATGTAAAGAAGAAGGTTCACCCAAAACATCCCTGGGAAGATGCCTATATAAGGCTCTATATAGAATAGCTGAAGAAGAGCACATGTGAGAAGAAGGGCTCCAACTATAAATAGATGGGACCTCCCAAACTTGTCGTTCATTGTACCGATAAAGATATTAGTGAAAAATATTGTTCCAAGCATGGGCCCCATATATTTTGCCAAATCCCCATCAGTAGCACCAAACTTCTTCTTGGCAAAGACGCCTCTAAACTGATGAAGAGTGTAATACTGGAGGTTCACGAAAAAGTACAAAATTTTCGGTGTAATTAGAAACTTCCTGTTTATCTTTTTTATAGACTCCATCACTCACTAAACATGGATTTTTATTTATAGATTTCTAGTAAATTAAATTTAATATATTTAAAGCGCATATCAATTTTACATTTGAGTCAAGTGTCCTTACATCAAATTAATTTTTGATATCGACTCGGCCTTCGAAGTTGGATGTCCGACAGGGCTTATAGATCAAGAACCATTCCTGCTTTTACGAAATTTAATCTCTGATAGTAGATTCATTGGTGTCTTTAGCAGACAACTTGCCTTTTTTTACATTCTCCTGATTGATCTTCTTAGGCGAGGAAAAGACATTGAACAGTTTGCGACTCCAGAGTCCATATTTGATAAGAAACAAGAAGATACTAACGCTGGTGACGACGATGTTTGATATGAAAAACATTCTGAACGATTCTACTCTTCTGTTCATGATTTCTTCTGGGACTGATGTTTCATTACTTTTGAATACATATCGGAAGTAAAGGCTTGCCGCTACTGAGCCTATGGCTGTAAAGGTTCCGTTGTATATCATCTGGGACGTTGCCTTCAGATGAGGAGGACACATTTTCTCAGCTAGCTGCACTCCTGATCCATGCGAGAGTCCAAAGTTTATTCCTTTAAGCACCTCGAATATACAACAGAAGACAAAAACATGGGGATTTGTACAAGGAAGAATAAGATACAATGCGAACCTGATTGCCTGAGATACCTGAGCCAGAAGCAAGGGCCAGAGTAGGCCTATTTTCCTGGAGACTACATCAAAGTAAAACAGAATTCCCATTTCCAATGAAATTTCAAACACAGTGATCGTAGCAAATGGAAAGCTATTGAAGATCCACAGTCCGTTTCTTAGCCACATAGGCCACGATGTAGGCAATACGTATGGCTTAACGCCGAGCACATACTTGGTGTAAACAGGGAGATAGATGGTCATCGCAGCACGCGTAAATCCATTCAGGAAAATTATAAATATAAAGAACAGATACTCCCTGTTTCCTACTAGTTCCTTCCATTCTGACGTGATGTTGTGGTCGGCAGTTTTACATCCATCACCTTCATCTTTCAAAAAAATCATTACTAGGCATACACAGGCGATGGTCGTGGCGAGAGAGTAGTACTTGAGATTTGTAAAATCTATTGCATCTGTCCCTCTCCCTGTTTTCATTATTCCTTCAAGACTAAAGATACTGAGCAAGTACCCCACTGTTCCCCAAATTCTTTGCTTTCCATAGGCTCTAGAACCTACATCCGGGAACTTGGCCAAGTAGTCAAGGATAATCTTATCGAGCAACGCCATGATCGGTGTGTTGGTTCCTAAATATGCAAGCATATTCACCCAAAACATAAAGCGAATGTTTCTTACGTACTTTTCTATATAGAATAGCTGAAAGAAGATGCAGGATAGGGATAGAAGACACACCATAAAAAGCCTTGGCCTTCCAAACCTGTCATTCAATGTTGCAATGAGTATATTTGTAAAAAAGGTTACAAATAAAAGAAGGCCAACCGCGCTTAGCTCACTTTCCCCTATCCCAAACATTTCCTTGGCAAACAGAGGCCTGAATTTGTGCAGTGTGTAATATTGCATGCTAATGGCAATGTACAGAATCTTTGGCACAAGTAGGAACTTCCTATTCAATTTCGAGAGAAAGTTCATCTCAGAGGATAAAGGGTGTCCTTTATTTTTCGAGTCACCAATTTTAACAAATTTTTAATCAGACACTTGATTTAAATATTCATTTGTCAATAGCTTCTAGAGGCATGGCTCCTTTATGGCCATTGGTTATTTCTGCCTAGGGGCGGCTTAGAGACTTGAAAACCACAGCCCATAGACAGTGATGCCGAAAAAGATCAGAGCAGGCATAGTGAATGGAGTGCTAATTACCATAATTATTGTGCTTGGAGGAGTGATTGTATATCTTTCAAAACACTGTAGCTTCCTCAATGAAATCTATGAAGATACAAGAAGCATAATTCTAACGAACAAGAGGGATATTGACAAAAACATCTATGGAGACAAGATGAAAATCAGGATCTCTGACAGAAGCCTCTATGGAGGGATGTGGAAGGGATTTGAAGAATTGAAGACGAATGTAGTCATAATAATTTCCCAGGATGAGGTTGTCAAGGTCTTTGACATTGTTTCTAAGGAGATGAAAGAGTATAATCATGATGAATATATAGAGCATATAAATAGAAAAGGCAGCTGTTTATCTTTCTTGAATAATTCCAGACATGGAATCCGGAATTTTCTGAAGGACACCTTCGAGGATGACGAGCGTGATATAATAGAAGATGCACCCATAGTTCATGGATGTTTAATACTCCCAAACACAGATGGAGGACTTAAGTTTATGTCTAAATCAAAAATAATGGATGTAGACTGTGGCTGGAATGACATCGTTGAATACATCTATCCTGACAAAGAAATGTGAGTATGAAATAAATTATGAATACATGTGGCTTGTTAGTTTACTATAATTAGTGTATGTCTTTAAAGACCTCAATAAATAAAAATTACCTGGGAAGGGCATGGAGAAAGCAGAAACAGGGCTAGATGTGGATCTCATGGAAAGGCTAAGCTCGAAAAACTGGAAAGACAGGCAGGAGGTGTACAGCGTGCTTGGATCTCTGTGGGGTGAGGGAAAGGCAGCTGAGCCCGAGGTTATCCAGAAGCTCCAAAGCGAAAGCAACATTCCCGCACTGGAGGCTGCTATAGATGCGCTTTTGAATGTGAATGGGCTTCGAGCCAACGATATCAAAAAGATATTTGGAAATATTGGGAATCCAAAAACAAGTATTAGGACCAGGATTGATGCACTGATTGACAAGCTAGAAGACACCGAAGAGGTTTTGGAGGTTCTAGGCGAGCTTTTAGGTTCTAAGTCGCCTAAGAATGTAGTTGGAGCTCTGACGGCCATCTGTGGAATTGTCAAAAAAAGAGGGTGTGATCTGAAGGGTATAGGAGGTAGGATCGAGGAGATAATGAGCCACGCTGACAAAAATGTTAGGAGCGAGGGATTTAAGTTGTGCGTAGAGCTTTATAAAAGGAACGGGGAGTCTGTTTTGCCATATTTGAGTGGATTGAAGCCGATACAGCAAAAGGAATTGATGGAAGAATTTGAGAAATGCAATCCTGTTGTTGAAGAAGGGAGTGTAAAGGATCCAGAGTGCCTTCCGGGTGATTTTGTCAGAGAAGCGTCTGATGATAATTGGAAGGTTCGGTTGGAAGCCATGCGTAACATCAAGAGGATTGCCAAAAATATTGAATGTAATAACGAGCTGAACAACCTTCTGTGCAGAAGAATAGGTGATGTTAATAATCAGGTATTTTACATGACTCTCGAGATTATAAACGAGCTAAGGCCCAAGAGTTTAGATATCATAAAGGGTCTTGTTGAAAGGCTAAAAGAAAAGAAAGGCACTACCTCTGAGAAGATAAAAGAAACCCTTTTTTGCCTTGGAGTCAAGATAAATGGGAGCAATGCCGAATTTTTAGGTCATAAGAATCCCCAGGTAAGACTAAATATATTGGACTATTCATTGAGAGATCTGCAGAACGACAAGGAATTCATCAGGATGATAGGAAATTGCATTCTCGATCCTGTAGGAGACGTTAGAAGCAAGGCAACGGATATAGTTACTGAGATCTGGAAGAAATATGGAAATGTATTTGATGGGGTTGTTAGTCCAAATGCTCTTACAAGGATCAAGAAGGTAATTGAGAAAACCGGCAAAAAAGAGGCTGTACCCAGTATACCTTCAGGATTAAAAAAGACGTCTGATAAGAAGGAAAAAACAGATGAGATCAGCACTAAGGAGAATAAAAGCCTGAAGGAGAAGAGCATTTCTCCGGCTCGCCAAAAAGACCATTCCAAGGATATAGGGCGACGGATTAAGGAAGATGACGGAGTGGGTAAGAGAAAGCATTCTCAGGCAAATGTTAGCATTCTCCTCAGCAACGTTAATAAGCAGAGGGTTAAGGGCAGTGCTTCTAGAGAGGAGGTTTTTACACCTCAATTTATCCAAATGATGGATAGTGGACCCTTCCATCAGGTTTATGACTTGTTTGATAGTATAGACAAGACCATTGTTAGCGACTTCCTCATAGATTTCCTAGTCCAGTCAAATGCCTCGGAAGCATTCATCAACTCCACCCTCTTATCATTCATATCAAACAAGTACATTTTGAAGGAATTTGAATGCAGAAAGCTTGTGGAGTATCTTCTATCTAACGGGATGGTTGAGGAGCTAGGAATGATGGATCGGGTTTACCCTGTGACAAAGCTGTTTTTAGTTTATCAAAAGATAGGAAGCAAAGAATCTAACGACGAAATATTGAAGCTAGTGAAGAAGTACAAAATGTTTAGAGGAGATAAGAAGCAATTTATTGAAGGAATCAAGAAAAGAGGGAAAGTGGAGGTTGAAGAAGTGATAAAGGGATGCCCAGACTTCCTGAGTTTTGTGGATGAGCTTGAAGGGAGTTTCATGTCTATAGCAGAAGATGGATGTAGGAATGTAAAGATGGAGGATCCCAGAGAGGAGTTTGATGGATTTATTCCTAAAAAGACAGGAAATACAGAAATGATTGTGGACAGAGAAGAGATAGATATAGAAGCTCCATTTGTTCAAAATGATTCCTTTGTAGTCGGGGATGCAGACATCGAAGCTTCTTTTGAAGCATTGAGCATACACTCTGTCTCTGGAGTCTTTACTCCAAACTCAAAGAAAATCAGGAAGGAGGTGGTGCTTCCCGAGAAGAAAAAGAGAGAGATAAGTGGGCTAGAGCTTATTCTAGACCATCTTATTGACTCAAACCCCGGGGTTAGTGAGGTTGCCTTTAAAAGGCTTATGAGCATTATAGACTCAGAAATTGAGTCTCTTCTGTCTTTCTCAAATTCAATAATCAGTTCGATTTCGATTCAGCTTTTTGATGTGCTTCATAATCCATCATTTTCAGAGTTGATTCTCCAGGTTTTTTTCAGGTTGAGCCAAAATGGACTTTTCTGCAGCCAACTGAGAAAAGAAACCTTGTTGAGTGCAAATACAGACCTTATAAAGATAATGAAAAGGCAAAGCTGCAAAAAAAACAACTTCCAAACATCTCCTCAAGGAACTTCTGTGCAAGACACTTCACTTATAGGCGAAATTCTAATCAACCTATGCTTAAACTCCAGGGCTAGCCTTATCTTAGAAGTATACTTAGAGATGCTGGTTTCTTCTAAGGAGGAGATTCTTCTGAAGCTTATATGGAGGCACTCCAAGGCACTAAAGATGGATGACCGCGAGGAGATGTCGAAGGTTCTTGATGTATTGATGCGCTTCTACGACAATAATTATAACTCCATTCTTTCCGAGGACAACGTCACCCTGAAAATACTACAACTCCATCTGAGAGAAATGGTTAAATTCTATAGAAAAGACATATATGGATTTGGGATTCGAGGTCTTGCCAAGATATTTGTCGGGTCTATGTTTGGAAACACAGAGTCCATACACCACCAAGAAACCAAGAAGATTGATACCAGCTAGATATTGCCGTTAATAAACCCATTTGTTCATGCATTCCATTAGATTTTCTTAAGATTCTGATCCGTAGATTTCTTCCCTTCGGGAGCCCATATTTAATGAATAGGAGAAAGAGAGAAAGAAAGGAGTATTTGCTGCGGAAGGAAAGAGAAAGGCTTGACAAGGAAATGGAGGAAAAGAAGCAAAGATTGGGGATGGCACTAGAGACAAACACAAAGATACCACATGAGATTAGAAAGGATGCAGCTGCATTGCTGGATGAAATAATTTATGAAGGAAAGATAGAGGAAGAATATAGATATCCAAAAGTAATGGTTACAACATCCAGGAACCCAAGCTCGCAATTATTGCACTTCTCAAAGCAGCTGTCCCTGGTGCTTGATGGTGAAAACTTTATTCGGGGACAACTGCGTGAAGAAGAGATAAGTGATGTAGCACATAAGCATGGCTACACATGCGTTATAATTGTCCACGAAAACAGGGGGAGGCCTGCATCGCTTGTTATATCCTACTTTCCATTCGGACCTACTATGAAATTTACAATAATAGACCATTTTATAACAAGGAGAGCTTTTCCTCTTTCACCTAAGTCATACTTTGTATGCGACAACATGGAAGGCCCAATTGGAAAAAAGATCAAGGAAAGGATGGCATTGTTATTTCCTCAATGTAGTGGGGCCAAAAGAATAGTTAGTCTGGTAAATAGAAACGATACCATTGCGTTCAGACATTATCTAATAGAGAGGGGAGACAAAACCACTTTGAATAAAAGTCTCGGGATGGACCTTAAGGCCTATGAGATAAGAAAGGGAACATTTGAAATGGACGGGGAGTTTGAATGGGCTTATAAGCCTTACATGAATTCTAGGAGAACCCGGGAGGAAATAGGATGTACATCCAAGAGGTAATTAAAGTCATAATTATTTGTTGATTTGAGTACTTCACTTTTATAAATTTGCATTGTCTTGTACCCTAAATGAGCAATGATTTTCTTCTCGGACAAATACTTAGAATTCCTCCAATTACAAGATACATAGTTCTCCTTATATCAATAGTAGAACTACTTGTGTACATAGACGCTGTGTCCCCGTACAGCTTGTACTACTCGCCCTTGTTCCTTAAGAAGTTGGAGATATGGAGAGTATTCACGTCATTCCTTTACTTTGGAAGGCCAACGCTGGATATGTTTATGCACGTTGTTTTTCTATATCGCTATTCCAGGATGCTCGAGGAAGGTTGTGCAAGCACCTCGGAGTACTTTTGGCTAATTTTTGTCATATCGTCTGCCCTTTTTGTTATATCAAACATCTACGGAATATCAGCACTCGGAACATCATTTTCCTCAACCATAACATACATCTGGACAAAGAGAAATCCCAGGGCAATTGTCCAGATATTTGGGTTTATTTCGTTTCCTGCATTTTACCTCCCGTTCATTCTCCCCGGATTTATGTTGTTATCGAAAAGATCGATATCTATAGACGATGTACTGGGAATAGTTGTAGGGCACCTGTTTCACTATTTCAAAGATGTTTACCCTAGATGGGGACGAGATGTTTTAAAGACTCCATGCTGGGCCAAGAAGCTTTTCAATGAGCATCCTTCTGGCTGTTGCAAGTCTCAAAAGGGGATTACAATAGGAGAAGCAAGGAAAAAATACGAAAAAAGCATGGGAAGCTCCTTCAGAAGCAATGAGGATACTGAAATAAGCGCGGGGGCAGCAGATTCTAGGAATGACGAACATGTAAATACAGAAACCCCAATACGAAATTGTACAGATCCTTCAGGGGATTCACATAAGGTCTCTTCTTTGGGACCCACCTCTGTTTCCACGGCAGTGACCTCTTCAGGAATACCAGAAGGCAATTCTTTTGATGCTAATAATATTCTTTGTGATAAGGAGGTAGTAACAGAAAACGTTCTCGAGGCTCAGCAGTCCGACGAGGATTGGGATGAAAAATGGGGCGAAAGTGACAATGAAAGTATCGAATAATTATCATGTAATTGTCCTCTGTAAGCCACATGTACCCCCTAAAATGATTTACTGAAGGACTAAAACTATTACATTTTCGCTGAAATTCATTAATAAATCTTTCTTGAAAGTTGATCTAGAGGAAGATGCACAACAGGTCCATTGGTAGATCTTATAACGCCAAAGTCCCCATTAATTGCTATCAGAATTCCACATGTCCCTCTCTTTTCGCCATCGAGCACACAAACAAGGTCGTTCTTCTGAGGTTTCACAAAAGAAACATCCTCAGCAGAGAAGGTTTTATCTTTCGTTATAAACTGGTTATTCTTGCAATCTTCAAGAACTAGTTCCTTCCCAAAGACTTGGATCAGTGCACCTTTGTAAGGATTGTTTTCTTCGGCAATCCAGTCAATGCCAGTGTCTTCAAGAGAATACGCACCAGGGGTCTTGTACCCCGGAGTCCTGTATCCTGGTGTTTTATATCCAGGCGTCTTGTAACCAGGGGTTCTAGAGCCTATAAATTCATTGTATCTTAGCTGTCTACTTGAAGCCTCTCTATAGGAAGTAGTTATATAATCTCTTTCCACAGTTACAAATTTCATGTTGGAGTTTAGCTGGATTCTACACATGTTCCTATCAACTTCCTTGACAACACCATTGTGGCCTTTATATTCTCCAGATTGTATTTGTACCTCCTTATTAATTAGTGGATCTCTTCTAATTTTCTTTCGTTCATGTTTGCTAACCTTTTCGTCCTTGGCATTGGTTGCAACAGGCCCCTTCAAATCATCAATGCTGACCCTCAGCTCTTCAGTAAAGTCCCTTATAGCAATCACGCATTCCTTATTATCTGCTTTCACAACCACTCCATTTTCTCCTTTGTAAGATACAGTCTCACCTATGTCAAAATGTTTCATAAGTCCAGAACTCTGCACCTCAAACTTTCCATCCTTGCTTTCTATCACGGCAATGCTACCGTTGATGCTTTGAACAGTCCCTTTCATTCCTATAAGCTCTCCTTGGGTTACTCTAACCTTATCACCAGCAGATATGGGGCAGACCTGCTGGAACTCTTCAAGTTCCTCAAAAGTTGGTTCTACATCAAAGTCCACACTGCTCCTTAGCACATCCTTTTCTAGGAATCCATCCACATATGTATCCCGCTTATATATATAGTACCCTCGCGACTTTATTACACTCCCGCTCTTGAAGTTCTCAGGGTTGAAAAGCTTCTTCTCTCCATCAATCCTGGGAACGGCTCTGATTCTTACCATCTCTTCGTCAAACTCGATTATCTTGACAAGATCGTTTTTGTATTTTCCCTTTCTTATCCTCCCCCACTCCCCACATATCTTCTGCGAGTGGTATGTTATGGCCTCAATCATTTCCTTCTGAGGAACAACTGACACTCTATTTCTGCTAACTCCTCTAAGAGATTCTAAGGCATCAATAACATGCTGCTTTTGAAAAGCCTCTACGTAGAGATATCCTTTCAGCCCATCCTTGCAAACTATGCTGAATACGTTTTTGGGATCATTTTCTATAATTTTCATCAGAATCTCCCTTTCTGACCCCCTTTTAACCCTTACAATAAACAATCTTGGTGATGTGTTCCTAGGAACCAAGTTTGCTTGCTTGATTTCATGCTCGATAGTCTCTTCTTCCTCCTCAACTTCCTCGTCCTCAGGGATGGATGCATACTTCTCTTCGAGTTCCTGTGTAAGCTTGACCCAGTCCCTACGGGGAACCATCGGTTCCTGCACTTCATCCAAGTCTTCCTGGCTGATCTCTGAGTCCTCTTCAGATGCTTCGATACTTATGTATTTGCTTGTGGGCCTTCTTGCCATTAATAAGGGCTGCAACTTAAAACGATTAACTAATGGAATCTTCAGCCCCAATGGAAGAGAAAAAGCTGAGGAAACTAGAAAAGGCAGTGAGGCTTAGAAACATCGATAAAATATTTCCACTTATAAAGAAGATATCACCGTCAGAAGCTGCAAGTGCAGAGAAGATCTTAACGGAGTTCTACAACCATGAAGTATCCGTGGCCAATGCAGTCATTGAGCTAATCGCATACTCAAAAGTACACAAGTCCAAGATAAAACCCCCGTTCAAAGGTTGCTTTTGTTTTACAATTCCAGACCTAAAAAGATGATATACTTCTAGCAATAAAGTTATACTTATTCTCTGTTAATTTTCAGATAAAAGACATCCCTAATAGAATGAGGGTATCAATATCGGTTCCAGACAATCCTCATAAAGACACAACGGTTCTGCTGAAGGAGTTTTTAGACATAATCCCAGACTCCCATGCCGGCAGCACAGACGAAGAGCCGGAGATCTCCATAAAGATAGTTGAGGATGTAGGGCCTCAGTGGATAGTTTTCAAGAACTCCCAACTTCAGATAGTTTTAAAGATAATCCAGTACAAGTCCAGAGATTTTCTAAGGGTATCTAAGCCTATTTCAAAGGACCATCCTCCCCAGCTCATTGTAAATAACTTCACGACAGATATTGGAATGAAGATAGTTGAGTTTCTGGCGAGTATGTTCCCATTTAGCCAAGGCTCCAGGCAGGTTGCAAACTTTACTGTTCAAGGAGACTTTATCTACTTCAGACTATACAAGTACTGTTTTGGTGAAAAAAGCCCAATTATGGAGAATGTAGGGCCGCACTTAACACTGAGGCTTTGGAGAATGATAGAATATAATGGGAACGAAAAGAAGGTTATGAATTTCAAGAAGTTTATCAAAAATTCGAATTTATTGTGAGACAACAGAAATTATCCACACCCATATAGAATAATACATGTCTTGCATGCCTATTCTGTTTTGAGAGACTTTTCCATTTGGCTGCTTATCTCATTTATCTTATCATCCAGTCCGCTTAACTTTTCGGTATAAAATTTTTCCATTTCCACCTCTTCTTCTTCCAAGGCCCTTATTCTGCTCTCATATTTGTCATTAAGGATTTTTATGGTTTCTGCCCTGAGCTTGAGATACCTGGCTTCTTTCATTGCTCCACAATCGTTTTCAATATCAAATATTTTTTTCCTATAGTTGTTGTAGAATAGATGGTCTGTCCTCGTCACCAGTTCGTCCAGGTTCGTATATATAAGAAGCCGCTGAAGCCTCTTGAAGTCATTGCTTTCCTCGACGTCTACATTTATGAACCCCCATGGATACTTTCTTCCCCTTACAATATCTCCTCCATGCTCATACATGGTTTCACTAGCTATTACTGCAAAAGGTATGTTTTCAACTATGTCTGTAACCTCCTCAGTAAGATCTCCATCACTCTCGTTGAAGTATGGCACAAAGAAGGATATGTTGTTTTCTGAAAGGATCTGCCTCACAGTTTCCTTCACATGACTTAATTCATCGGGTGTATACATGTCTGCTTTTGGTATGATTGGCACAAGATTACAGCTCTGGGAGAGCTCGTACATGTTTTTTATTTCCTGGTCGGTTAGTGTATCTGAGGGAAGGAGATAAAGGCACACATGTATTCTGTTGTCTTTGAATGCCTTGTAAAGTCCCTGCTCATTGTCAAAATACTCCCTATTCATGGCATTTATATATTCAATCACAGGGCTCACATCAGATTCATGATAGGTTACAATAGATATCTCCAGAGAAATATCATTTTCAACTATTTCGTTCCTTGTTACTGTAATGGTGTTTTGTCTCTTCTTGTCAACCAATGGCGCTGCAAATATTGAGTTAATCAGCGTAGACGTGCCAAGCCCTCTCCTTCCGACAGCCAGCACATTGAGTTCAAAGCCTTTTATCATGGAGCTTTCCCTCACTTGATCTGGAACTGAGGAAAACCCCACGGGATTCCTGACGTTAATAGTTCCGAGATTTCTGACTATGGTTGGTATGTTTTTCATGTTTGTTTATTGTGGTATCTTTATTTATGATTTGAATCGATAAGAGAAAGAAAATCCCTAGAGCAAAGGCAGGCCCAAACGCACGGGAGAATGGCGGTGGGCACACACCAAGAAAATTATTGGATCTGGTGGCTACAAGAATTGTGCGGAAGTATTCTATGAGCTGTTATCTACAGAGAACAACAAATATCTACCTTGGAATAAAAGTTTGTTTATGAGATGCCCCAATGGAATTTGATAGAATAAGAAAGCTCCAGGGAGAAAGAAAGTGGCTTCAATTTTGCTCTATGATAATTGACTCGATGAACACCCATCCCATAGATAAGCTCCTAGACGTCTTTCTGGAAAGTGCAGGACAGGTGCATCCTAGGTCATCTTACGAAGTCTTTCTAGCATTTTCTGAGAGGCTGGCTCCAGAGGAAGGAATAAGGGTTCTAGCGCTCGGAAGAAACATAATAGAAGGGTCTCTCCTGTACTCGGAGTCCTTTGAGATAGAGAAGATGTTCCTAGACATAAAGAAGTGCCTGCTTCTAGTTGAGATAAACGAGATCAAAGGAGTTGAAAAAATGCTATTCGAGTGGAAAGGTTTCAAGATGCCAAGGAATGTGAGAATTATGTACAATTTCCTGGGTTTCAAATTCTATCAAAAAATTCAGAATATCGAGGCGGCCCTTTCCTATCTTCTTCGGTATGTAAGTTTATTGGGCTCTGAAGAGCTTATAGATACTCTTGTGGAGTATGCTTTATTAAGTAAGGAGTTTTTCAACTTTACCTTGATAACATCGTTACCCGGGTTTAGCAAAATGAGGAACAAGGATTTGAAGGAGATATTCATGATGTTTAGGGAGGGAGACATAAGAGGGTTGGAAAGAAAGAATGATGAATTCAACAAGATCTTTGGAGACAATGCCAGCATAGTCAAGGAAAAGGCATACATGATAGCTTTAATAAACATCTGCTTTGCGGAGGCCGAAAAGAAGATATCAATTAAGAAAATTGAGAAATCACTAAAGATACCAAGCAAAATGGTTATATATATAGTTTTGAAGTCCTTTGGGCTAGGGTTGATCAGTGGATGGATTAACGGAGAGGAAGGGATTCTCTACTTTGACAGCCTTATTCCAAGAGCACTTCAGAAAGAGGAGGTAGTGAAGCTCAAGGAAAAATATGATGTATGGGAGAAGAAAGTGCAGGAGGTCATTGCCATGCTAAATAACTAAATATGTTCATTTCTTTCCAAAAACTCTATATTTTTGCTTGTTCCTCCGACAATTATCTTTTCTTTGTTAGATGTAACTTTAGGAATATCCCCCGGGCCTTCTATTCCAAATTGATAATCGGGCTTCCCTGCTAGTCTTGATTTCACAAAAACATGCTTTTCGCTGCCAATTAAGTAGTAGTCATCATCATAGTTCTCCAGCGACAGGGCGCTTGACTTCAGCTCAATTTCACGTGGAGTATTTCCACACTCAAAGACTTTTTTTCCAACAGAAACAAATAGCGTTCCGTCACAAATACAGATGGAATTCACGCTAGAAGCAAAACCTGCCATTGGAATCTTGCTATTTCTTTCATCCCAAAAGAATACGTTTCCATCCATTGAGCAGCTGTAAACGAGTCCATTGTTGAACATAACATGAGTAACAGGAAGCATATGCCCTTTCATAACTGATATACTGTTCTTTACTCTAACATCCCAAACTCTTATAGTACAGTCAGAGGACCCACTGAAAATTCTCCTGTCATAGGTGTCTAGACACAGAACAGAAGACATGTGCCCATAGTACTCTCTTACAAATTCTCTGTCAACGAGATCATAGCACTTAATCAATCCATCAAGCAAGGCACAAAAGATGTACGGCTGAATCTTGCTGAACTTGACTTCTTCGCAAATTTCTTTCAAGGGAACAGTGGCCAAAAGTTGCTTTGTTTCTATATCTGTTATTCTTGTTGTTCCATCCATGGAAGAGGACGCAAGAAATGCATCGTAGGGATCTATGTCCAACGACTTTATCCAACTACTATGGATTTTTAGTATTGCTGTACGCTTGTACTTCATAGTAAGAAGACTGGGGACTGCTTTTTCCTTGCTGCTTTATGAGAACTATATTTCACCTTACTACAAATGGATTGAGGATAGAGGCGAATTTGCTCCACAGTGAAATAGAAACAGTTTTGGTACTCTTCTTTTGATCTTCATCGTCTATCTCCTTGAAGCTCTGAAGCTCTTTCTCATTGTGGAAAATTTCATCCAAGAGACTATCCAAATATTTATAATCAGGCTTTTCAGAGAATTTCAAGCCTCTAACATATTGGAAAAATTTTATGAGATGCTTCTTTCCACTTATCCCGTCACATAAATTGTGCACAGACAAATCCTCTTTGATCTTTTTTGTTCTTGTCTTTTGCCTTTTCGTTATCGAAGCACCAACTTCCATCCAAGGAAGTCCTGATTTGTACAAGAGGATTAGGAGATAGAACAGACTTTCAAGGTCATCTCTTCTTGACTGTTCCATTCCCTTGTGAGTATTTATGGACATATACCAGAGTGTTCCTGACACACTTTTGCCCTCTGCTTCAGGAATGTGGCTTCCGTCTTTCTTTAGATATGGCACCGACATTCCGAAATCTATTAGATATACCTTGTTATTATAATCAAACATGACATTTTCCGGTTTGAGATCCCTATATAGCCTTCCTCTCTCATGTATATATTCAATGGTGCTAAGAAGCTTCTTTCCAACAATAGTGGCTGATTTTCTGGTGAAAAATCTTGGGTGTCTTTCCAGTATATCTCTCAACGAATACCTGAAAAGTGGAAGAACAAGGAAGGCTAAGGTCCCATGAAATCCATAGTCCACGAGCGGAGGAATTTCATTACACCCCCGAAGTTCATGGTAAGCCTGGATTTCGTTGATTATAACGCTACCTTTCCCCCTTTCCTTACCATTCTCTATTTTGAGTGCATAGGCTTTCTCTCCGTCCTCTATTCTTACTTCATATACCTTTCCAAAGCCTCCTCTTCCAATCTCTTGGCATATGGTGTAGTTCTTAATTTTACCCCCCATGGCTCGCCAGAGAAGTCATTTACAAAGTTCTTTTATTCCTTGTTTTCAGCAGGAAGCAATGATCTCAGACATTGTTAGAAAGGCCAAGTGTCAAGGCCTCCCAGCAGCGTATTCTCCATCCTATGTGTATCAAGTAAATGAATGCATTATGAGAAATTGAAACAAGATTCTGATTGCTTGAGATATTTGTTTTTATGAAAAATAAAACCCACAAATCTTGTTATGGGTGAAATCGGTTCTGATAGTGCTGCAATTAAGAGAATAAAGAAGGAATATGCACTACTTGAAAATGACAAGGGCGATGAAAAGAAGAAGGATTCAACATCAAAGTATATCAAAATAATTCCTTTCGTTTCTGGGGACTTATTTACATGGGAGGCATACCTAACAGCGCCTGAGGAAAGTGTCTACAAAGGAGGAGTTTTCAAACTTCTTATAACGTTTTCAAATGAATATCCTTTCAACCCTCCAAAGGTAACATTCCAGACACCTATATATCATCCAAATATAAATTCCTCTGGAATGATTTGTATAGACATCCTTGGGAAGGAATGGTCTCCTGCACTTACCTTGAATAGCGTTCTATTATCTCTCCTTACTCTTCTTGATGATCCAAATGCTGACGATCCTCTGAGACCCGAAGTTGCAGACATATATAAAACAAACAAGGAGGAGTACAAGCTTAGATGCCAAGAATCTGCCAGGAAGGCCATGGAGAACAAAAAATAAATGTTTTTGAAGATATGCTTTGGCATTGTGCCACACTAAGACATACCGTGACAGAGTTATGTACAACGGAAATTGTATTCTGTTTCTGATCCCTAATGTCTGGGTTTAAGGACGGAAACGTTGTATATATGGAGCTAGAGAACTTCCAGACGTTCAAGAAGATGTCTCTTAGGTTCTGTCCGTCATTTAATTTTATAGCGGGGCCCAACGGGTCTGGTAAGAGCAGCATAGCAAATGCAATGGTTCTTGTGTTTGGAGGTACGCCAAAAATAATAGGAAGAGGCAAAAGTGTGGGAGAGTATGTTAGGTTTGGTGAGTCTGAAGCAAGGATAGAGGTGGGTGTGTGGATTAAAGGAAAAGAAATCAGGCTTTGCAGGAATATATCCAGAAGTAGTCAAAGTAGGTACTTTGCTGACGGAAGGCCTTGCAAAAGAACAGAGTATGAGGAACTTGTAGGAAAGCTCAGGGAAAATGTAGGGAACCTATGCCAGTTTCTTCCACAGGAGAAGGTTTCTGAATTTACAAGGCTTTCTCCTGAAGGTCTTCTAAGAGAAGTGTTATTGGCAGTGGGAGAAGAGGAGATTTTAAAACATATGAAAGAACTAGAGGAATTAGAAGCAGAAAGAAACAAAGTGGCTGACGTACTGGAGTCGTATTTTCGAAAAAAAGAATGTATAGAGAGAGCGGTTGAGATATTAGAGAGGGATGTTAAGAGGGCTAACGAGAAGAAGAAGAAAGAGGAAAGAGTAAGAATTATGAGTGAAAAGCGAGATTGGATACAATATAAGCTTTATACAGACGAGTATGTTGCAATCAAGAAGATGATAGGACTGCTGAAGAAGCAAGTGGAAATGAGGGATGAGGAGATGACAAGGATTGAGGACAAGATAGCGGAATTGAAGTCTTCTGAAGCATACAAGGAAATCAACAACTTATTCGGGAGTCTTGAGGAGTATGATACGAATTTAATTGACCTTGTAGAGAAGATCCGAAGTATTCATCAGGAAGCAGAGATGCTAGGAATTGATAAAGAGTCGCTTAGAAGTAAAAGAGAAAAGAGACTGGAAAATGCAGAAAGATTAGAAAAGGAGATTCTAGATCTTCAAGAAGAGATATCCAAATTTGAAATACCTCCACATCCTGGAGAGCTGGATGAATCTAGGACCAAGGTTCTCGAAGTAAAGATGTCAGACTTGATGAGAATGCGGGGAAAGATTCAGCACGAGTCTTCTGAACTAAAGCGGCTAGTAGACGAGCTTGGTCTAAAAAGAAAGAAATTTCATGAGATGGACGAAGTAAGACTTCAGATGCTGAAAAAGTATCATACTGATACATACAAAGCTGTGTGCTGGCTTAGAGAGAACAAACATCAATTCAAGGACGAAATAATAGAGCCGCCGTTCGTTCAATTAAGGATAAAAGATGCCAGATATGCGCCTGAGGTTGAAAACTTTTTGGGATTTCAGTCTCTGTCACCATTTATTTGTAAGTCAACAGAGGATTTTGAGGTTTTTGTTCGGATCATGAAAGATGAAAAGAAGTGGATGATCAATGCAATTGAAGCCATAAAAACAGATAAGAGGCTATGCAGGGGAGAGGAAGCCATTTCCAAAGAGATATTGAAGGAGCTAGGGTTTGAGGGTGTTCTGAGCGACTTTATAGAGTGCAGAGAAGAGATCATGAGTTATTTGGTTGTAGCAGGGCACTTTGACCTGATTCCAGTTTCAAAGACAAATGTCGATGAGGGTTTAGTGTTCAGAAAAACAAACGTGAAAAGGATGGCGGCAGGAGGACGATACATCGAAATCAAGAAGAGTAGGTATGGGCCTGAGCATGCGGTTATTTACAATCCTCTGAAGTCGCAGAACCTATTTTCACACAATCTATCTCTTGAAGAGTTAGAGGGAATAGAAAAAGAGCTGGAGAAAAGAAACCTAACAAGGAGAGAAAATGAAGAAAAGCTTAAAGAAATTTTGAAGGACTGCGAAGCCATTGATAAAGAGCTTCAGGAGCTTTACAAGAAGAGAAGCTCATACAATTCGCAAATAATGGAAATAAAAAGAAAGGAGGCACGTGTCCAAGTTCTAAGGGGATCAATGAATAGAAAGAATCTTGAAATAAAAATGCTCAAAGACACAAAGGACTTGGATGAAGAGGAGGTGAAAATAGACAAGGCAAAAGAAAAATTAGAGGTTGCATGGAAAAGTGAATGTGATGAACTGAGCAGATGCCTCGCAGATGAAGGATACTTTAATATGTTTCGAAGTACATTCAAGCTATTTAGAGAAATCACGAATGTTAATAAAAACATCGAGGATTTGGAAGAGAATAAGAAGATGATAGAAAAAGGAATGAAAGGTCTTGAGGAAGACATAATTGAAAAGAGGAAAGAGAGCTGTAGGCTTAAAAAGGCAATTGAAGAAAAGAAAATCCGTCTTGAAAAAATAGAAAGAAAGAAAGAATATGATGAGGCGTTAGCTCAGCTTCCAGATACAATAGATGAGCTTGATGAGGAAATAATTAAGGAAAAGGCCCAGATAAAGATTTATGCTGTCGATAGTAAAGCCATGGGGGAGTTTGAAGTTAGAGAGCAGGATCTAAAAGAGCTCAATGAGAACATCTCAAAATGTTCTAATATCTTAGAAAATGTCAAAAAGAAAATCTTAGACATAAAAAGCATTCTAATTGATAAGATAGGGAGAATGACATCAAAGATGGATGAGCAGTTTGGAAATCTCTTCAAAAAGATCGGTGGAGATGGAAGAGTTATGTTTATTTATGACGGGCTTGATACATGCAAATGGAAGTTTAACATAATGGTCAAGTTTCGCGATGGCGATAGCCTTGAGATTCTAAATTCGCACAGGCAGAGCGGAGGGGAAAGATCTGTTGCTATAATTTTGTTTCTATTGGCTATTCAGCATTATAAACCATCCCCATTCCGTCTTGTGGATGAAATAAACCAAGGAATGGATAAGCACAACGAAAAGCTAGTTCACGACATTTTGGTTGCACTTAGCGAAGAGCAAAATGAACAGTTTTTTATGATCACGCCAAAAATAGCGCCAAACCTAAACTACAGCCAGAATATGAAGGTGATTGTTCTTTACTCTTCTCAAGACTGTGGAAAACAAGAAGACTTTATAAAATACAGATCAAGAACACTTACATAAAGGGGCCGAGCGTATCAATGGAAAGTAAAATAAAGGTATATTCTGCTGATGACGAATTCCTATCGTTTAGTTATGTGCTTCTTGAGTATCCCATTAATTTCATCAAGCATTCCTTTATACTGCTTGCCATCCCATGAGCCCACAACCTTAAGTCCATCTCCGTCGAACACAAACGACTGATCCTCAACCTGTAGCATGACCGAAGGCCTCTTCTTGGCGCTTTTGGGTGCCCTTTTGTTATTCGCTCTTTTATTTTTTCTTATCATTATAGTTTTGCCTGTGTAGCTTCTTTTAAGTCCTTCTATGAGGGACAAGAGAGGAAGTTTCCTTGCTTCATCAGAAACTGGACTGAGGGCTTCTTCCAGCTTGTGTTTCATCTTTTGAAGGATGGTTTTCTTTATTTCTGTCAACTCAGCAGTAATATTTCTTCTGAGTTCCTTGAAATGTTCTTCTCTCATGGAGGGATCCAAGAGAAAAAGCCGAATAAGCATTTTCATCCAAGATATTCGGATGTTGATAGTGGATTGTTTTCGCCACCCTCAAAAAGGAAGTTATGGAGAGAGCACCTATTGAGGCTTACATACGTGTAAAACCAGGGAAAAGCATCCTAAAGCATACAGACAAATCTGTGCTGGTGTTGAAAGAGTGCGGAGAGGCTGTAAAATACGAGTTTGATGGGGTTTTTGGGCCTGATTGCACACAAGACCAGGTATTTGAAAGGTTCAGATGCATTGTGCCAAGACTTATAAAGGGACACAATCAAACACTATTTTGCTATGGAAGCACTGGTGCGGGGAAAACATATACGATGGTTGGCCATGGAAGGTCCTATGGGCTGATGCACAACTTGGTGAAGGATGTTTTAACACATGGAAGCTTCCTTGTCTCTTACATGGAGATATACAATGAGAAGATTTACGACCTATTGGAACCCAAAGAATTAGTTTTGAGGGAGTGCAATGGAACAATAGTGATTCCAGGTCTTTTTACCAAGCGTATTGAGAGTATAGAAGAATTTGAGCAAATGTTTAGACAGGGAACTAAGAATAGGACGACGGCAGAAACAAAACTTAACAAAAGTAGCAGCAGAAGCCACGGAATATTGAGAATAGGTGTTGGAGAATACAAACTTAACCTTATTGATTTAGCAGGATCCGAAAATAATAGAAAAACGGGTAACGAGGGAATAAGGCTTACGGAATCGAATAGTATCAACAGAAGCCTTTTTGTTCTAGGAAAAGTTGTAAATGCCATACTTAAGGGAGAAAAAAGGATCCCGTATAGAGATAGCAAGCTAACAAGACTATTACAGGATTCTCTGGGAGGAAATAGCCTCTGCTACATAATTGCCAATATTGTTGGGGATTCATCTGCGATTGGAGACTCTATAAACACACTTAGCTTTGCATCCAAGTCTAGAAATATTGTAAATGTACTAGAAACTACACAGAAACCTAAACATGAGAATGCTAAAAGCAACAAATGTATCCTTCCAGAGTTTGGAGGAAGAAGGCCTTTGTCTCTAAAGACAAACATGAAGTTTAATGTTCAGAGAGAAAAAGACATGCCTCTTAGAGGTAGAGGAAAGGAGAACAATCCCTTCCAGGAGCCCTTATCCATAGACACTACAGGCAGTAAAAAAAGAAAGAATCTTCTTGAAGACAAAAGATGTAAGGGAGAAGGAAATAAATGCACAAAAGTTTCCAAACAGACTAGCAACGGGAGTTCGCTAATCTTAAAATCCCTCCTTGAAAAGCCAGACATTGTACTATCTCCACGGACAAAGGAGAAAAGCTATAGAGCCTTTCTAAAAAGGGCGCAGGAACTTGAGTCTGCACAGAAATATAAGTCAGCACTAGAGGATTACAAAACAATGCAAAAGTTTTGTGACAACGACTTCATTAGGGAAAAAATAGAAAAGATTAGTACGCTTCTAAAAAAGTCGCGAAAAAAGCCCGAAATCACAAGAAAAAATGTATTGGAAATTCTTAATCAAGGAAATTTCTTTGATATAAAAAAGCTTCCCAGGGTTGGAGATAAAAGAGCCCAGGCAATCGTAGATTTTGTAAATGGAGGAAACTACTTTGAAACACTGAGTGACCTGAGGCTTCTATTCAGTGAGAAAATAGTGAATTCCATCCTTTTTTCCATAGGTGATGGATGACTCTTCGCGCTTAAGATAAATTCTAATCATATCAGTTACACTTACCATAAGCATTGAAGGCTTCTTAGTCAAAGTAATAAATGGACCTTTTTAAGTTTATTCTATTTTTGAAGACTACCTTTTGCGTTTGGTATCAGTGTGACACCGTCATGAGGAATTCTTTGGTTGGTTCCTTCTTTAAGAGAGCTCTGACGAGACCCTTCATCAGTGCTCCTCTTTTCTGTACGATTCTTAAGAAAGTCAAAGTCGTCAAGAGAAAATCCATCAGGAAGCTCTTCAAGAAATGAGGATGGAGTTGTATTGTGGATCTTGCTTTTCTTCGAAGACCCTGTGTCTAGATTTGATGAAGGCTTTTCAATTATTGCCGTAGTGAATAAATCATTACAAAACAGGCTATCTGTCCTATGGAGATCATATTCTAGCTGCTGATCTCCAGAAGAAAACAACTTGTCCTTAATATTGAATCCAGGAAACCCTTGGTCTAGGAACCCATTCTTCTGTATTTCTTCAAACTGCTTGTCATATATACTTTGCGGTTTCTGCTGAGAAGGTACAGTAGTTGCCTTCTTGTGGTGTTGCTGATCAAAAAGTACGTCCTGTTGTGGCATAGACCTTCCCTGGCTGTACATCATTCCCATAGGAAGAACCTTGTTTTCTATGCCCCTTAAATATCGTGGATCCACCTCCGCCCCCATTCTTTTGCTATTCTGCCGTGTATGGCTTACAAACCCAACCATCCCATGAGGAAGCACGCTGTTTCTCGTAAGGTTATTGATATACTTATTGTATGTAAATAAATTTGTCTCTCTTCTCAAGTCTCTTTCTAATGCATCACAAAACAAAGCATCGTGCGGAACACTATACCAATAAAAAACTTTTTGCTTCTTTTGTGTCCTTATACACCCATTCTTATATAGAAACTCTAAAAACTCGCTTCTAGGGCCCTCAAGCGTTGCATCAATTCCAGGCTTCAGATTCCTTAAATCAGAAAATACACCCTCCTCAAACTTTTTCAAGCTAGTTAGACACCTTCCAGCATTCTGAAACCTCCAGACTAGTATCTTCACTATATCTGTTCCAGTAATGAAGAAATGCATGTTCCACAATACACAATGAATATAATCCCCATTTTTGAGTTGAAACTTTTTGATCCTTTCTCCATCCCGAAATTCCTTAGGAGCATTGGCTAGGAATTCAAACAGCTCCTTATCGCTTTGAGCGTTCATCTTTATTTGTTTATTACCATTTGTTTTTATATCCAAGACACAAAACAAAGAATTGTTTACCTTGTTTCATATCAATATCTTCCTATGTCACTATCCTGCGTTTGTTTTCCTCTTGCCCTTCAACCTCTCCCGTTTCTGGCAACGTTGTAATTAAAATTCTTTGGCAAATCAAGGGTTATATTGAAAACCGCCCTTATTGCCAATAGTACAAGATATTTGATAATAAAAGATTAAAAATGGGGTTACACAATATAAACAGAAGAGGCTATATAACCAAAGAAATATAAGATAAAGGGGCCATAAGTGCCATCAAAATATTCGATGGGCACCCTTCTGGAAATAGCCTATATAGCCCTCTCTCCTTAACTATTTCCATAATCGGATTATAGTCACAATAGTTTAGCTAATGGCTTGAAAATGGCACAACTCCTTTCGATCTCTTTGGAATCAACCAATGAGGAATACTTAAAAATAATTACGAGTATATACATTTGAATTTTCAGTAACAGATAATGAAATCTTTTAAATTCAAATGGGCCTTCTTGGCCCGGGTAATTCTATGCTCGCAATTGATGAAAATGTTTGATTCCGAGCCTTTTGATGAGTGTGACCCAGATAAGTTCTCTGGAATGGAAGAAAGTGAGCTTCTAGAGCTTTTGAAAACCCAAACAGATAATATAAAAACTTCCGTTCACAATATTATGCACGGTGTCGAGGGAGGTGGGATGTCCCATAGTTCCTATGGTACAGAGTCTGAAGAATTGCCTAGCGATTCTGGCGTAGATCCTAATGATGGTTACAAATCAGTTTCCTTAGATCCTTCCGATGATGTTAAAAAACCACTACCTGAGCTTGCAGATGAACTTTGTTGTATAATGGGCTTCCTTCTAAGTAAGGAATTAAAAGTACAGGAAGCTAGAGAAAAAGTCGTAAATTTGATGGAGTTAATACTTAAAAAGGCTATCGAGGAGGCTTCTGGTGAGGATGATTCAAATATTAAATCCTTAGAATCTTCACAAGCAGATGCACTTCAAATAATGGATCAAATAGAACTATCTGGAACAAGCGCTTTAGACATGTATGGTTGACGTTAAACTGTAAAATATATATGTATATGAGGCATCATGCAAAATTTATCCCTTTTTGAAATTAAATGATGAAAGCAAAAATCAAAACTTTTATAATAGATAATTTTAGATATGAAATATCGAAAGACCAGGTGGCAAAAATGCTAAAGAGCGAAAACATACCTTTAAAGACATATAATGGTTTTATATTCAAGATCCTATTAAAATGTGAATATTTGCTCAAAATCACAGGTGTTCCGAGGGCATTGAATATCAATACTTTCTTAGATAAAGAGTTCCTTTTTGATGATCTATTTTTGGTAAATAGCAGAGGACAAGAAGAGGCTTTTGAAGAAGAGAAAACCTTGTTTGAAAAGAAAGAAATCCCAATAGAATATTATTCCAGCACAATGCATCTATCATATAGACTACTTGGTAGAATGATAGCAGAAGACGAAATTCAACAAAGATTCAGAGAATGCTCTATTGGATTGGGACTAAGTAACGGAGTTGGAAAGAAGTGTGCCGAACACTTGAGAAAGGGGCTACAAGTGTATGTTCAAAAAATAGTGAATAGATGTAATAGCAAAATAACAATTACTAGTCTTAAAACTGGTCTAGAAAAACACATGCGTCTGTTTAATGGATTAGACATGTTTTAGATAGAAATCTCCTGTATAATATTTATGAATGATCCCTTCTCAATATCACAATCTCCTTCAGATAGGCATCCCATCAGTTTACCTTCATTACTGACAAATATATGCATCAATCCACATGATGCCTCTTCCTCTATCATCGTTGGGTCCATCACAAAGTGGCCATTGTTAAATAAAGCAACTGTTTTTGAAATTGGAATGTCTATTTCCCGTTTTTCCGTTCTTTTCAAATCATCTATAATAGGAACATCCAAGCTTTTGAGCAGAGTTCCAAGCCCAATGAAAAACAGATCATATATATTTCCATCGTTACTCAATATATTAAGCTCTATCCTTATGCCTATTTTATATGAATCTAGCAATTCAAGGATCTTTGAAATGATAATGTCTGGAATTGCAATTTTAGAAAACTCTATCGATTCTGCATGTTGCTCTTTTACATTAAGAATTTCCTCAGATATATTTGAGGCCCCCAGGGTCTCCTGTGTTTCTTTAAACTGGATAGATACCTCTATCTCCGACCATCCGCGTTTAACCCTAACATTTCCATCACTTTGTGCTATGGATGCATGAGTAACACATGTTTCCCTTTCTTCTTTACTTTTCCTTAGATCAGCTCGGCACCCTTTGGCTATGCCATTCCTCACGAATGTTAACTCATCTTGACTAAAGCCCATGGGTCTTATTTAATAAAGCTATTTTCTCTATGAAGATCCTATCGAGGCCAAAGCTAAGTTTATTTAATTTTTGACTCTGTCTTGGTAAACGACTTGTCTATCCTCTCCTCCACCGTTCCGTCGCTCCTGGCCTTCCTTCCGCTCATCAGCCTTGGGAAGGTTTTTACCGCTGCGATCACAACCACAGAGACCAGGAGGCCTATCGAAAGCGTGTGGAGAGCCGTGATCATGCTGCTTCCGTCAATGCTGGGGAAAAGCACCATTCTGTAGGATGGATGCCGGGATGCACTTAATAGCTTGTTTGATGTGTGCTGCAGAGGCTCATTGGACACCTGCTGGCGCTTCTGACCACTCGTTCTGCGGCCCGGGCCTGTCAGGCGAGTGGTTTAGTGGCGCGGAGGGGTGGGCCCTAGAAATGGGACGACTGTGGAGGGCGGCAAGGAGCTGGGCCTCAGTGTTTGGGCGGAATCTCTGGAGAGAGTTTGATGGGAGCGAGGAGCTGAAGGGGGCCTGTGAGAGGATGGCAAGGGGGTGGATGGGATGCAGGGATGCTGTTGAAGACACGCGTCTGTTCAGGGTTGGAAGGAGGATGATGGAGGTGTCGAGCAGCGTGATGAGGGCCTCTGATGCCTCGATTGGGATTGCGCTTAGGGCCGGAGGAGGCCTACTGTGCCGGCGAAGGGAGTTCCAGAGGAGATTGGACATGGTGTTCAGGATTCCGCAGTACTACGGAGGGGTGAGGAGTTCTGGGCCGTCTGTGGCAGCCAAGGATGGGAGTGGGGAGTGTTTGAGGAAGAGAGGGGGGCTGGTTGAGTACAGGGGAAGTGTGATGAAGAGGATATGGAGGCTCTGCTCTGTGGTTAAGTCCCGTCTGTCCTCTGACGAGAGGGCCATAGAGGAGATTGAGAACAGGTGTGTGGGGGAGATACTTAGAGGTCTGGGGTCCGAGCCGGTGAGTGGGCTGTGCACAGAAGAAGGGATGGAGGACTTGAAGAATCTGGCCCTTGAGGTGGGAGGAGGAAGAGATGTGTGGACGACGGACATCAGGAATACCTCGACGTCTGGGAGTGTGGCAAAGGGGATGTTTGAGTGCGAGTTTGAGGCTGAGATTGCAACTGGGGATAGGATGTGTGTCGGGGGCGATAGACATGTGTTTCTCATTCGGGGGAGGTTTGTGAATGGTGCGGGGTGTGAGGATGGAGGGTGGTATCTCTCTTCACTTGCCTGGACTCGGATAGGATGAGACGTAGAACAGTATAATTTATTCGTTGTAAGCAAATATAACCTTTGGGAACTTACTTTCTCTTGCTCTTTGCCTCCCTGTCTTTCTTTTGAGCTGGTCCTTTGTGAGGGCCTGTCTCTTGGCCCTGTTGAGCTTGGGCCTAAGGACCTTCGGAAGCTTGTGGACCGGGGTTCCCCTGTACTTCTCGACGACCTCCTGGAGAATCTTCTCGCGTCTGACGGTGAGGATGCGTGCCAAGTTCTTCCTGGCTGTCCTGATGTCGTCCTTGCCGACGTCTCCGCTGTTCTTCTTCTGGCGGAGGCGCGCCAGCTCTGCCTTGACCTCGTTAGCCTTCTCCTCAAGCTGCTCAACATCCAGCTGCCTGAGATCTGATGCCTCGATCTTCATTAGGGCTTCTGATGCAAAAAGATTTGAACGCAAAAATCGTGCTTGGGGAGCGAGGGGTGGAATATGCGTGTCTGGCAAAGGACATTTATTGGCTTGGGTCAGGGAGGGGCGGCGACAAAGAGGATGTTTTCCCCCCTCAGAAAGAGGACCTTGCTGTGGGAGCCCTCTACGGACGAGTGTGTCAGCATGAGGTTTATGTGCTCGTCGAACCCCTCGAGGATTCCTGCATAGACCTCTCCGCTCTTTGTCTTTATTTCGACCCTCTCGTTCAAGTACATCTTCAGGAAGCAGAACGGGTCGAGCATGGAAGTCGTGGGGCCTCTGGAAAATTTTGTTATTGGGGATGTGTGAGGAGGCTGTGGACGGAGGTTTCTGGATTTATGGGGGGAGTGTGCAGCCCTTTATGAGGTATTTGGAGTTGAGCTGCATATCGAAAACAAACAAACTCTTCCAGAAGCTTCAGGACCTCAACCCTCTTCTGAACATCGAGATGGAGGCATACTCCTGCAAGTCGAGCAGGAAGCAGAGGATGGAGATGCATGTGGAGAAGCCGCTCAGGTATCTTGTGTCTGCACTTGAGCTGCGGTTTCCGGACTATGACTTCTCTGGGGAGTCGTGGAGGTCTTTTTCGCGGAAGTCGATGGGGGAGGTTGTGAACGAGGTTGCGTACTCGATAAGCACTGTGCACAAGAACAACTCTGATGTGAAGGAGTTTGTGGGGTTTCTTGAGGTGATTCTCCACAAGTCTGTTGACCTGAGTGAGTGCATGATATTTTCGTATGAGAACAGGATGGGGCCCTTTGAGGACTGCTTCTGGTACTTTTCGTTTCTGTTTTTCAACAAGAGGCAGAAGAGGGTGGTGATGCTGAATGCGTTTATGAACAGGAACTAGTGTAAATATGGATGTATTAAATAGTTTGAGTCTAGATGTGTGTGTGTGAATAGGTTTCTGTGCACAATTTATGTGGCGGGATGCAAATATGTATGTATGATAGATGCCCATAGGATATGAATAGAGCCGACAGAGGGAGTGTGTTAGAGTGCAGCACAGTTTTTAGTTCTAAGAGGAAAGCGAAGGATGGGGAGGGATACGATGTGGGCTCTGAGTGCCCACATGGTTTTAGCCTAGAGCTGGAGTCTGAGTCGTCTGAGGCAACGGATGTGGGGATTCTGCTATTTTTTATGACTGTTCTTGTAACGCTCTTCAAGAATCCATTAGCAGATTTGTTTGGAGGCTTTGCGATTGAGGCTGTTGGGGTTGTGAATCTGGGGTACCTGGTTCATTCGACGTTTCTGAAGCTATGTGCTAGGGCTGTGGATTTGAGGGAAGATTCGTGGAAGAGCAGTCTAATGGTTGTGCACTTGTCCTTGCATCTGGTGGCGATTGAGGCGATTGGAGTTAGTATCTTTAGTTCTAGAGGAGGATCAAGGATGCTTATGAATAACCTTTGTAGGAATCCGCTGGGGATTTTTGTTGCCTTGATACATATTCTTCATGGGCAGGATGCCATGGAGCTTAAGTATAGCAATTATGTCTGCGGGAGTATACTGAGTGCTGCTTGGACTGTGGTGTTTGTTGCGAGCTATAACTATGAGCACGATATGAGTGATAGTCTAGTGAGACATATTTTCCTGTTTATGTTCCTTCATGTGGTACTGTATAGCATGGAGAATGAGATTGTCAAGAGTTTAAGGATTTCGAAGAAGAAGTTGAGGAAGATCCAAGGGTTTGCAAGGATAATACCGTGCATAGTGTGCAGTGTAGCAGGGTACTATATGCTGGGCAGGATACTCACGAAGCGACTCTCGTACATGGAGATGGGCAACTCTGATTTATCATTCTCATTCTTATTTTGAGATATTGGGGTGTGTGCTGTGGAAGTAGTTGAATAAATTGATGGAGTGCTTGTGTTTTTTGGGCGAGTATGCAGGTGTTTGCTTGTGAGATGGAGTGTGGGATGCGATGAAGGCTGCATGCATCTTTGTATGAGGAGAGTGGATGCCTGGTGTTCTTTGGATACCTCTTTTAGGCAGTTGAATGATTGGAACCCGATGGACACATGGCGATGAGTGGAGGGTCAGGAGATTAACTGAAAGGTTTGCTTTAGAAGGGAAGCGAGCGATGGGGTTAGGAAGTTCATAAGATGGTTGAAAAGGTTTAATGGCAAGGACATTGTAGGAGGTGGAGTGATTAGTGTGTGACATCGATAGTCTGGGTTTATTGTATGACTGGGATCGGTTGTAAGAAGGTACGGTGTGTGTTTGCATATTATCTGGATTGATGAGGTTGTAAACGATGTGTATAGCCAATGATGTTTGGGGGAATGGAGGAAAGGAGAAGGCACTAAGGCGAGTAAAGGAGTGTGGCCCATGAAGCTTGGAGTGCTACAAGCAATGATTCTACTTGGGTGGATGATCTGTTCTTCGTCGATAGAAAGCCATAAGGTTGTCAAACTAAGAGGGTCTGAAGGATGTATACTGTTTCCGATAATTTTTTCTGGAACCAATGCGATTGCACTACCGACCACGAGGCTCAAGGATGTTCGGAGGGGCGGAGACGAAGAGATGTATGTTAAAGAGTTTATCGGTTGTATTGGGGACATGGTGCTGTCATTTACTGCTTTTGATATATGTTGTGAAGGGGACGGGGTGTTTGAGGCTGTGTTTGTAAGGGAGATGAAGAAGCACCTGCAGAAGGTGTCGAATGATGCATTGAGTGTATATGCAAGAGGAAAAAGCACTCTTAGCGAGGTGCTATTGATGGTGTACGATAGATTGTTTGAATGCGATGTTCGGGATGAGGGAAAGAGAAGGATGACGGTGTTTGGAAAGTGCCTTATTTCTGAGGCTGATAGAATGATTCGTGAGATAGGCGATGATGTAGATGAGAAGGAAAGGGAGGAGAGAGAGAATTTTTGTAATGTGATCAAGAAACGTGGAGAGAAGTGTTGCAATTTAAAGATGTGGAAGCGTATAGTTTATGCTGAAAGTGTAGTGTGCAATGCGTCTGTGAGTCTGTATAATAAGCTTTCTGGTGAGGAGCTTTTGGGGTTGTTGGCTGAAGGATGCATGAGAAAGGATTTTAAGGAGGAAGGAGTTAGCGAGGAGGAGCTTAACGATAGAGGATATATGGAATACAGTATTGTTGACATTAAATTATTTCTAGATACATATATTAAGCACGGGTGTGAAGTTGTGGAAGAGATAGTTAGGCAGATGATGCTGGGGAAGGATGGAAGGGAGATAGATTCTAAGTATGTTGAAAA